ATATCTCCCTTACCTAGAGAGAATACCTTATAATAGCTAAATAACCTTATGATTTTAACTTTTATATAATCCTATTAATTCTATAATAGGGAGCCTAGGAGTATAGCCTTTTATCTTTATTTTATTTCTTTTAGACCCTTAGAGGGTTAATAGGATTAAATATAAATATATTTATTTAACTTTGCCCCCCTATAACCCTAGAGATTAATAAAGAGGAAAATAAACTAATAAGATTATTTAATCTATTAGTTTATAACTAAATAATAGACTCTTAGACCTATATAGGAAAGTCTAAGGATATTATATATAATAATAATATAGAAGTAATTAAAGGAATTTTTTAGATTATAATTATTAATAAGATCGGGATCTAAGATAATTATTATTTATATAAAACTAAAAAAAGACTTTTTATAAAATATTAATTAACTTATATAAATAAAATTAAATATAAATTAAGCTTCCTTAATAAATTAAGAGCTATAAAATAGCTTTATATTAATATAAGGGGTTATATACCTATAAAGCTAGAATCTATTAATATTATTAATAATTAAATAATTAATTACTTAATCCTAGCCCTAATAATAAACCCTAGCGATAAGGTATTTCTTCCGCGAAGAATTAGGCTATTATTAGCTATTATTATAGCTCTAATCTTTATAGATATACTAAATAATCTAATTAGATAATATAAGCGCTAAGACTTTAAAATTAAGGATAATATATTAATTTTTAAAGGTAAGGAATTTATCTTATTAAATTCCTTATTAAATTCTAAAGTATCTAACTTAGGGTTAAAGATAATAATAAAAAAGCTAATAAACTTAATATTAAACTATAAGAAGAAATTAATTAAATTCCTATAATTCCCCTTATTAATAATATTAATAGCGATAAATAAGCCTATTACCTTAATACCTCCCGAGAAAATAAAGGGCCCTTAGACTCTAAGTAGGCCTCTAAAGTCCCTCTTATTAAGTACCCCGAAGCGCCTATGCCCCTCCTTAAAGAGTAGCTCTAAGTATATATAGTTAAGCTTATTATTAAGCTCTAAAGGAAAAAAATCTAAGCTAAGAGCTTAGGGAGGTAATAAATTAATTAATTAAATAATAATAGGTTATAATTAAGGCAAATATAAGGATAAGCGGCCTTATATTATTAATATTATACCTAATATTCGGGGCACTAAATAATTTACTTATTTAACTTTAGAGAGTAATAATAAATATATTTTAATAAAGAAAATAATAAGCCTAATTATAAAGATTATATTAATATTTCTAGGGTTAAAAGGTTAGCTTAGGGAGGTAAGAAGCTAGCCTATATAGTAATTATTAACTAGGAATTATATAATTTATATACTAATAGGTCTTATAAGATTATCCTAGTAGGATAATATTATATAAGTAGCCGCATAGCTATAGGCCCTTATTATAGCTTTAAAGAAAAGTAAAGATAAGAGAATAAAGAAGTAATAGAGAAGCCGAGGTAAATAATTAAATAGTTTATAAGTACTCTAATAGGTATAAAATTAAGCTAGGGAGGTTATAGGCTAAAATAGATAAAAAGAGTATCTAAGATTAATAAGGCTTTTTAGGAACTATAAGGATAGGTATTAAAGCCTCGTGGGGAGCTATGAGTTAGGGGAAAGGCATACTAGGCTATTTTAGGCTATTAGGTAATTTCTTATATATAGAAAAAGGGCTAAGGCTATGGCCCTAATTATTATTATTATTATTATCTTCTTTAAGGATTAGATTAAGAACGGGGAGCTTAAGGGCTCTTTTCTTAAGAAGATCTTTATTATTATTAATTAATTATTTGCCCTTATTATTTTATATAGTATTTAATTTATAAGAAAGTATATAAAAACTCTTTTTTAAAAGTTATTAGAAGAAAGTTATATTAAAAGTTTTAATTATAATTAGTATATTTTGTTTCTCTAATAAAATAAGCTTAGATTATATAATAAAAATAAAAAGCCTTATTAATAAAATAATTATTAAAAATATAATTAGGGTTATAAAGGAAATAAATTAATTTAATAATATAAATAAAAAGAAAAAATATAATAAAGAAAATATTTATAAGGTATAAAAGAAAAGCTAATAAAAGAAATTTAATATATAAAAACATAATTCCTTAATTAAGATCTTTAATAAGCTTTTAATAACTTAAATAAATAATAAAAATTAAAGCTATTATAAAATAAAATAAATAAAGATATAATAAAAAAAATAAAAGTATTATAAATAATACCTTATAAGGCTTAAAAAGAATATAAAGACTTCTTAGAGACTTAATAAATTAAAATAAAAAATATTAAATAAAAGAAGCTATTTATAAATAACCTAAGTAATAAGAGGTAATATTCTCTTATTAAAAGGATATATTAAATAAGATCTTATATAATAGCTTTAAGGGTAATTATATAAGAGTTATAGCTAGTTAATCTCTAGTAAATTAGCTATATTAATCTTAATTTAAAAGGCTATATCGCGGCCTAGAAGGGAAAGAAAGAATAGCCTTAAGGATAATAAGTTTAAGTAATAAGAATAAATTAAAGGATAAGCCTATAAGGATATAAGTCATATGCGAGGTCACATAACCACACAGAAGAGCCTTATAAATAGAGGTATAGCATAGTTCCGGCATATTATGCCTAAACTAGTTAATCTTTTATAAAAGAAGTCTATTAGCTTAATTAGTATGCTACCTAATTATATTATAATTATTTAGATATAATATAGGTCTCTTAGCGCGAGGTCGCGTATTTAATTCCCACCGCGTATAAGTAGCTAGCTTTAAAATGGCTCGTAACGGCGGCAAAGGCTCGGCGGCGAATCGGCTTATATTAGGCTTATAAGGGGCTTTAGTAACCCTTAGGGGTTAACCTCTATTAGCATTACTTCTAACCCTACAGCGAGGTCACATAGTTATATAGGCTAAGGCACCTAGGCAGGGATTAGGTCCCCTATAGCTATAGCTATCTAATTATATTAATTATAGCGACTCGGGATATGCCGCTATAAGAAGGGGAGTAATTATAAGGATATAGGTTATATGCGAGGTTATATAACCGCATGGAAGAGCCTTATAGATAGAGGTATAGTATAATTCCGGCATATTATGCCTAAACTAGTTGATCTTCTATAAAAGAGGTCTATTAGCTTAATTAGCATACTACCTAATTATGTTATAAAGCCTATAATTAAATAATATTTTATTATTTAATTTTAAAATAAATACTTACTTAAGGAAGCTTTAATTTATTTTACTTAAAACTTAATAATTGTTTATAAGATTATAGTAATTAATAGCTTTACTAAATTACCTAGCTAAGCTTTAAAATTTCTTTAAAAAAGCATAGCGGGTAAGTAAGCGCAGTGCCTTATACTAGAGTAATTAGCGGGTTTTAGAAATTCTTTTCTTTAGTATTAATACTATTTAATTATAGGCTTATCCTTTAATTTATTTTTATTACTTAAATTTATATCCTTAAGGCTATTCTTTCTTTCCCTTCTAGGCCGCGATATAGCCTTTTAAATTAAGATTAATATAGCTAATTTACTAGAGATTAACTAGCTATAACTCTTATATAATTACCTTTAGAGCTATTATATAAGATCCCGCTTAATAGATATATAACTTCTCTATTAATCCGCTTAATATATAAGCCGCTCTTATAGAAGAGGCCTTATTTTACCCGCTCTCCGCCGGGCTTTTTATTCTTTCTATATATTAAGAAGCTATTAATATTTATCTTAATTCTCTATTAAGAAAGTGCCCTTGTTAATTAGTTTTCCCTCACGTGGCCAGGTGCTAGGATACCGAGACTATTTTATATATTCGGATTTATTATATATTAAAGTTAGGTCTCTTCCTATAATTATATTTAATTTTTCTAACCTATTAATAACCCTATTAATAATATATAAATTAAGCTTTTCCTAATAACCTTATATCTATTACTAATACTATAAATAATTATTATATTTAAAGGCCTTTATTATTTATCTCGGTCTAAATTATTTAGATCTTTTTAAGCCTATAGCTCCTCTATTAAGTCTAATAATTTCTTTAGCTAGCCCTCTAATTATTAAAGCTAGCTTAAGAAGACTTTATCTTTAAAAGAAATATTACTTATAGCTAATTTGTTAGCTAGGTTCTTAAGTATTATTTTTTATATATTAATATAATTAATCTTAGTTTTTTATAGATTTATATACTTAATAATTATAAAATTAAATAAAAGTAACTTAAAATATATCTATAAGATTATTAACTTAAATAAATTAAAAAATAAAAAGCTTAATAAATCTAAGTTTCTTTTAAAATTATTTTTATTTTTATAATTTATTAATATAACTTAGGCGCTTATATTATTATATTATTAATTAAGTCTTAGGTTAATTATTAAAATTAAAAGTTTTTATATTAAAATAATAAATATTTTAAAAAAAAATAAAATAAAATAAAAAAAGAAATATTAATAATAAGCTAAAAAAAAAAGCTAAGGAATATAATTTCTTATAAGAAAAAGAAAGGTAATATCTTATATTATAAGGCTTATTTTCTAGCTATTAAGTTTTTATAGCTATAGAGCCTTACCTTAGGTTTTTAGTATTTTATAGTATTAGGTTTTAATATTATTATATATCTTTAATTATATCCTTTGCTCCTATAGCTAATAGCGATTATCGATATTATTAAAAAAAAATAGAATACCGAGACTATAGGTTCCCTGACGTTATCCCACGCCCCGGGAAGTCAAGGGTATCATGAGCCAACCACCTCCGCTGGAAGGCCCAAGGGCAGTCCAGCCCCAAGACATAACGGTCGCCATCTTTTGCGCTCTTGCTACCGAAGTCGCCGCCGTTAGGTTTACTCTGAATGAGCGATTGACAAGCCACCCAATGATGGCTGGGTTGGACGCCTTTACCTATTCTTACGGTCGCATAGAAGATCACAACGTCGGTATCGCCAGAGGAACACAGATGGGGCCCGTGAATGCCGCAGCATGTGCCGCCACAGCTGTTCAGCAGTTTCCAAACGTTCGGTTTGCCCTGATGATTGGGATTGCAGGTGGCATACCAAGCCGAAGTAGGGATATTCGGCTGGGTGACGTCGCGGTTGGAATCCCTGGAGGCAGCCATCCTGGAGTGCTCCAGTACGATTTTGGGAAATATCAACAAGATGGATCGTTCATCCTCAAAGGCTGCCTGAACAAGCCTCCCTCGATTCTGATAAATTCCTGTCATCGCCTGGAAGAAGAAGAGGAAGAGATGGGTAGGAGGCCGCATTGCCTCATACTGAAAGACATTGGCGAGAAACATGAACCTTACCAACGCCCGAGCAAAGATGATCTTCTCTTCAAAGACGACTTCCATCATGTCAACGCAAGTGGGGATTGCAGCGAGTGTGAGGCTGCAGGAGAAGAGGGGGTTATTTCTCGCAGGCCACGAGATGGGACCGACCCTTCATTTGTTCATCTGGGTCTTATCCTGTCCGGAGGCGGAGTTGTCAAGAATCCAGAGGACCGTCGCCTTCTACGAAGGGGCAACGAAGACGCGATTTGCTTCGAGATGGAAGCAGCTGGCATCGTGGACCAGATCCCTTGCTTGGTCATCAGAGGGATATGTGATTACGCAGATACACACAAAAACGACGACTGGCACCGATATGCAGCGGCGGCTGCAGCAGCTTATGGCAAGGCTGTTCTCGCCAATGTCACTGGACAAGAGGTCAAGGCAGCTACGAAGGCCCAGGACCTCACGAAGGCACTCGAGAGTGGTACGTAAAGGAGTCCCCCGCAATGTTTTTGAAGGTTCTAAAATATTCCTGGAAGTGGAAGGGAAGCTAGGAGAGGTAGGAGAACATGTCGACTTATTGAGACGGAGTAACGATCAGCAAAAGGTCCTAAATTGGCTGGGACAGGAGGGTTGGAGACACCCGCAAGACGATCACTTTGCAAAATGCGAGCCCGGAACTGGCAGATGGCTTCTCGATTCACCTCAATTCAGCGAATGGCTCACAGGGACCGAGACAACATTACTTTGTCAAGGCCTTCCTGGAGCTGGGAAGACCGTGATGACTTCCCTCGTTATTGACCACCTGGGATGCTCGGCGCCCGAGGAGACTGTCGTTGTCTACGCGTACTGCGATGCTGGAAAACGAGAGCAGCAAAAGGCTGTTCATATCCTCGCAAGCTTACTCAGGCAGTTGATCGAAGCTAGCCCGAGCATGCCAGAATCCGTGCAACGTTTCCATTCGAAAAACCAAGGCCGACAACTAAGCTCAGTCTCAGCCCGAGAGCTTACCGATGTCCTCATCGACGCTAAGCTTCCCCTCTCACGCGCATATGTCGTGATTGACGCGCTCGATGAGAGCGAGGAGGTGTCGAATCTATTGCCCGAGATATTCAGAATGCAACAAGAGGTCAAAGCCAAGGTTTTCGTCACCTCTCGGCCAGATAAGAGGCTGGAGGCCATGTTTGACCATTACTTATCCCTTGAGATTCGTGCCTCGGACGAGGATGTGAGCTGGTATCTAGAGCAGCGCATCGCTCAGCACGACGTCATCAAGGATGAACTTGAAGAGTATGCAGCAGAGGTGAAAGAGGAGCTCAGGGAGGCGGTAAAGGAGAAGGTTATGAAGGTTTCTGATGGAATGTGAGTTGAATGGTTCCTCATGCAAGAACTTTATTAACTATTTCTAGATTTCTTCTGGCTCGATTCCACATGGATTATGTCTTGGAAATGACATCTCCCAATCGGATGAAAGAAAGCATCGAAATGCTACCCAGGGGGCTGGCTGCATATCGAGAGATTTACCTAAAAACGATTCAGCGGATCGAAAACCAACCAGGCGAATATTGCTCACTTGCCAAGGCTACTCTGATCTGGCTTGTCTGCGCGAGGAGACCAATTACTGTCCTAGAACTTCGAGAGGCTCTGGCCATCAAGATCAATGCGTCGAGCCTTGACAATGGCGACTCCAGCACTACCAAGTCCATAGTAGAGGCATGCAAAGGTCTAGTGAGTGTCGGCAACGACGGTGTTATTCAGCTGCTTCATCACACGGCACGAGAGTACCTGGATTCCAACTTCGGCTGGCTAGAGGGGCCAAGGGACAGGGGGCTTGCCGTTGCTGAAGCAGCCGAGAGAGCAAAGGCCGTGGCGCACCGCGACATCACGTTGAAGCTGCTCACCTACATTTCGTTCGCCATTTTTGAAGTAGGACCCTGCGGCTACTACCCCCAGTACCAAGAAAGGAGGATGTCACATAGACTCTACAGTTATGGGTGCTGTCACTGAGTCGACCATCTTAAATCTTCTGGTCCTTATGTCTCTAACATCGTGGACCTTGAGACCGATTCACTCCTGACTCGCCTGCTTGGCAACGAGAACAAGTGGAGATCTTCTATTCAAGCCTTCATTCATGACTGCTCACCCTCTGCAAATCCGATCTCTTGGGATCTGGGGTACGCAGATGAGTTCACGGGCCTCCATCTCGCCGCACTTTGCGGCGTGGAACCCTTAGTAACTGCTCTCCTCGGGACCTACCAGTTGGACGCCCAAGACTATGATGGTCGAACCCCGCTGTCTCATGCAGCCGAAAAAGGCCATGTTGACGTAGTGATGAGTCTGCTGAACGCTGGAGCGCACGTCGACAAGTGCGGTCTACTCAACCAAACACCACTTGTCTATGCTGTAGAGAAGGGCCACAAGGAGGTTGTCCGATGCCTTCTAGACAACAAGGCCGATACTGAGAGGAGAAGCTATGCTGACAGGACCCCTCTGGCGCTGGCTGTCCTGGGCGGTCATCACGATATCTTGGAACTCCTCCTTGAAAGAAACGCCGACATCGAAGCAAGAGACCTCAGTGACATGACGCCACTGAACCTGGCGGCTAAAAATGGCCAGGCTGCCACAGTAGAGTATTTGCTTCAGAAGAACGCGAAAGCAGAGGCGAGAGATCATCTTGGCCAGACGCCGCTGCTTCAAGCGGCTAGAAGAGGTTATGTTGACGTCACGCAAGTTTTATTGGATTGGGGTGTTGATATTGAAACGAAGGATTATGAAGGCTTCACGGCACTTATTAGAGCAGCCAGCGGTGGCCACATCGACCTCGCAAAGATTCTTCTTCAAAAGGGTTGCTATGTTGAGGCAAGGACTGTGAACGGAGACACGGCATTAATTTGTGCGGTCCATAGCGATCACTTGAAAACCGAGTCCTTGGGTGACTGGGAATTCCTGGGCGACTGGAACGACGACTCCAGCACCTTGTTGGAGTCTGATATCAATCACATGGGGGAAGCGCTGGCCGAGAATAACTTTGAAATGTGCCAACTACTGCTTGACAACAAAGCTAACCCTAACGGCATTGGAGCTACAGGACGGTCTCCGTTACTGGAAGCCGAAAGGCTTGGAAGAGCAGACATATCCCGGTTTCTTTTGAGAGCGGGCGCAGATCCCAGCATGGGCTCTCCCAGCACCATAGCCGCCCATTATGACCATGACGAAGTCGTGAGGGCGCTGGCCATTGCGGGCGCTGAGACTAGAGGTCTGGAACAACCCAGTTGGTTGAGGCCGTGGGACGAAGTTGTTAAACAACGCTATCAAGATAAGCTACAGTTGCTGCTTGACGACACGCCTATGCCTAAATGAATCAGGTGCAACCCTGAAACTGACTTGTGACCCTCGACGGGACTTCATGGCATTTCGGTAACATCTTGTTACTTATACATAACACTATCTGCCTAGATATTAATAAACCTTTTTCACGATTTTCTGTTATAAATACGCATTAAGAGCGTTATGAGATAAAGCTCGGCTGATGAAATACATAAATTCGGATGTCTTATCCAATCTAAACAGCCCAAGCTCCCTCTTTCTTATAAACATCACAGGAGTGCGAAATCAAGGTGTATGTGGAGTCCATATGTCTCCTCAATCTTGTTGTTGTCTACCGTGGCCCATGAGAACCTCAACCCTCGATGAGCCAACCCTTAGTGACAAAGTCTAGCGCTTCTGACGCAAATGACTCCCAAGTGCTTTCGTCAAAGTCGAATGCGTGATCTTGTCCAGGACAAACATCAAATCTGAGCGTAGTCTGCGGAAGCTTCTTGTGTATAAGATTAATGAACTTGTAACTTCCCCTGATGGGTACAGTCGCATCATCATCCCCATGCATCAACCACCTGTGTTCTGTTAGCTCAAGTTGATCCACGAAGAAGTCAACGACTCACATCTTTGGAGGTAGCCTCTCGCCAGCTTCGATTCTCTCCAGTGGAAAGAATTCCCTCCTATTTAGTCCCTTGTTGTCGAAAATGGCTGATGCGAAGATGCCAGAGTGGCAAGCCGCAATTGGGAAGGGAATCCTGTCAAGGTTGTCTTTGGAATGGGGCTTCTTGCGGGTCTCCTCGATCCAAGCTATAGTCTCTTCCTTGGATGGCATATCCTTGAGATCTGCTCGTAGGATGGTGGGCTCGTCTGGTCCTGGGCCCTCGACGTACACTTTGTCTCTGGGGTCTAAGAGGGGGTAAACGACTGCGAGGGTTCGAAAATCGTCGGGGTAGGAGAGAGCCAGCTCTGTCGCACAATAACCACTATGATAGGTTTTAGCCAATATTCAACTGTATCCTTTTACTGAGCTCTTACCCAGCCGAGCCCCCAGCAAGCAGTGTCTGCGAAAAGTCAAGAAAGTGGCCAGGAGCCTTAGTCTCCAGGATGCTTGGTAGCTTCAGCTTTGTCCACTGCCAGCAGTCTTCAAGATCCTCGAGCACATCGGCTACGCCATTTTCGGAGGGTAAGAGGCGATGATCAGGGGACACAATGATAGCTGAGTGCCTGAGAGCCAATTTGTCAACCCACTTTGGGAAAAAGGCAGGAAACAAGCCATAACCGGTGACGAGAAATCCGCCGTGGAGATGATAGATGATGGGGTGGGAACCAGGTTTGAGGTTCTTGGGGATCAAAACAGCAGCTTTGATCTCATGAGAGGAGACGACCTTGAAGCTTCAAGTTGTTAGTCGTGGTCGAGAATATTGAGGGTGTTTCTCACGTCTCTTCAAAGATGTTGTACGAGTCAAAGATTGACTCTTCAGTCCAGTGGTTGGCCATGTTGTCAAGTTGAAGTGGGTCGTGGATAAGTGTGTATGCTATTGGGATTCATTTTCATCATATTTGGGATAGAATAGAAGTATATATACAATTGTTGATCTCAAGAAACACCGGGCGTTGAAGCGGAATATGATGCTCCGCCTTATAAATGTGTGGATTAATAAGGCGGATGATGATGATCCGCCGCATGTGAGCAACTCTCCACTCAACTCCAACGGAATCCCATGTTCCGAGACACGGCACAGTTGATGAATAAGAGGGGTTCTACAAGATGATTGAGGTATAAAATGACTTCACTCTGCTCTATTCTTGTATGATCCATACAATTCGCTTTGAACCTCGTTGATCATCATGCATTTGGCTTCACACACTTGGATGCGCCCAGAGCCTCTGGAGAAGACTCTCGAGCGACTCAACCGTCTTGGATACACTAGCGTCGAGCTAGCTGGTGAGCCGGATCAGTTCCCCGTCGAAGAAACACGCCATCTTCTCCAAAAGTACAACATCAAATGCTGGGGTACAGTCACCATCCAGCAGGGAAAGCGGAACTTGATCGCCGCCGACGCTCAGCAACGACGGGATACCATCAACTACATGAAAAATGTGGTGACCTTGTCAGCAGAGCTGGGGGGACAAATTATCACCATCGTGCCTGGCAATGTCGGCACAATTATCCCCACGTCAACTCCAGAGAATGAATGGAGATGGGCTGTCGAAGGCCTCCGCGAAGTTGCCGCATTCGCAAAGGAAAAGGGAATTCGAGTTGGACTCGAACCTCTCAACAGATTCGAGACGTACTTCCTCAACAGGACAAACCAAGCTCTCGCCCTCGCCGATGAGGTTGGATACGATGTGGGAATCGCCTTTGACCCCTTCCACTTGGCACTCGAGGAGAAGGATCTCATCGGAGCCATCCGGGCGTGCCGGGGCCGAATTGTGGATTTCCACGTTGGAGATAATAATCGTCTTGCTCCTGGAGACGGATCCCTCGATTGGCCCAAAATCATGGAGGCTCTCGTCGAAGCAGGGTATGATGGTGCCTTGTCGGTCGAATTCATGCCGTCGATTGATCGTACACCTGTTGGAAAGTTCGGGGCGGAACAGTTGGAGACAAGCAACGTGGAGGTCACGGCGGACCATCTCAAGTTCATCATTGATCATGGGTCTGGGTTGCTGTCCGAGAGTTACTACACCGAGTTGTTGAGGCGATCTGCCCAGACTCTCGCTCCATACGTGGAAAAGTGAGGGCACGCTACAGGGACCTTGGCATCTCAATCAGATTCAACTAAATATAGGAACAAATTGATTGACAAGGTTTATTAGGATTAGACCTATCTAAGACCAATTACGTTTGGATATAATGACAGTGTCTGACAGTCTTGCTGGTGTCTGGTTACTTTTGCCCCTGGCTGAGAAAGAAATCTGATAATCCATCGTCATCACCGCGGGGTGATCATTAATAGTCTCGGTGATGCTAGGTAGTTTGAACTATTTTTGAGAGCCAACTTCGCGGTACGCTTAGGCAGTGGCCTTGCTTGTAACGTTTTCGCCCCTCTTCTCCTGTCCAACCTCTGCTGCCACAGCAGACTTGAGGTCGACCTCGACCTGTTCACCAAACTTGGCGTTGATTTCCTCAAGGGGAAGACCGATTGTCTGTTTGATGTCAGTGATATAGACTGTAAAAGGATGGACATGGGACTGACCTCAGGGAAGGTGAACCAGATGGCAATGGTGCTGATGACGGTGACGACGACAAAGATCATGTAGAACTTCCAGCCAATGTTCTTCAGACCAACAGTGACGGGGGCACTGTAGGCGATCGAGTTACCGAAGAAGGAAGCGAAGACAAGAGTTGAGCCCTCGCTGCGGAGATCTAGAAACCCAAATGTCAGTAAGACTACATGTTGAGGAAGGTGATTGAACTCACGAGTAGGCCAAATCTCGGATCCGTAGGCATAGGCGGTACACTCAATGGTGGTAGTGAAGAAGGCACCGAAGATGAAGTAGATGGCCACGGCAGCGTTGAGACCGGGGCCATCGTCAGTTCCGAGGTAGAACTTCTGGAGAGCAGCCATGACGCTGAGGATAGCAGCAGATCCAAAACCACCAATGACTAGTGACACCTGGTTAGCAGTCTATCCATGACCCGTGGTGTGAAAACTTACCAAGAAGTCTGACACGGGGGACACGGTCGAGAAGGAGAACGTTGAAACCACATCCAATAACGGCGCACACAGTCCAGACAACTCCGAGAGCCATCTGGAGAGTAACGCCGAATCCAAGACCACCCATGAGGACGGGAACAAGGTTAGCAATGGCAGTGATACCAGTACCCTGAGCCATGACCCAGAGAAGGATAGAGCAGTAAGCTCTCTTCAAGAGGTGTCGCGTGGTGAAGATGTACCTGAAACCGGCGGGCAGGTTCTTTTCAGTCTCAACCTGGGCCTTGATCTGTGTCGCCTCAGCATGGGCAAGGACACCATTGGGGTCGGTCTTGGTCTTGTGCAACTTGACCAGAATGGCGAGGGCCTCATCATCTCGGCCTTGCTCCATGAGCCAACGAGGAGACTCTGGGAGGAAGTAGAGCGAAATGAGGTGGACAACGCCCATGCCGGTCAGGACGATGAAGATGAGGCGCCACTGGATAGCAGAGTGGACGTAGCTGAAGGCAAGGTTGAAGACGGCGCAGAGGATGTAAGCAGTGACGACACCGACACCCTGCATACCGACCAGAGATCCACGAGCGTGAGGGGGAGCGACCTCACTCATGTAAACAGGAGAATTGGCAAAGACCATGCCGGCGCCGATACCGCAGATGACGCGGAAGACCAGAAGCATGGCAATGTTGACAGATGCGGCTTGAAGAGCACCAGAGATAATGACGATACCGGCGGCTACGGCGGCTACGGCGTTACAGAGACGACGACCGTAGTGCTTCGAGAGGGGAGCCTGAGCCAGAGAGCCAACCATGGCACCGGCAAGGAAACTGGGCGAGGTCAACACACTTCTCATGATTGTTCGTGAAGAACTTACCCTCCTAGGAGTCCATCGGTTCTTTGAGCGGCATCGGGTGTCGACAAGAACTTGGCGATGAAGGAAGGCTGAGCCAATGTTCCAGCAATGGCGTTGGCGCTGAAGCCATACAGGTATCCGCCCAGAGCAGCTGTGATGATGACCTTGAAGCTGTTAGAGATGCTCTGTCTCAACAAGATGGGGGTATCTTACCTGGTAGGTGATCCAACTGACAGAGTGCGTCACAGCCTTGACAGCATCTCCAGACCCAGAGTCAGAAGAAGGCGAGCTGGCACCGTTGTCATTGTTCTCAGAGCCATTAAACTCCTGGCTCGTCTCGAGTTGAGTCTTGTCAGCTTCTGAAGCCATCTTTGCGTCGTCTAGCAATTCAAGCTTTCAAAAACTCAAAGAAGTGAAAACGAGGCGTTCGCAAACAAAAACAGACGATGACGGGGAGACAAGATGCCTTGGAGAGAACAGAAGGGGGTTTAGAGGAGGAGAAAAGGCCCTGATAATGAAAGACAGCATGCGATGCAACCTTGCCGCATGCCGCATTTGCCATGTGCGCTGACTGAGATAGCAGACCCCGTACAATGCAACCGAAGCCCACGAGGATCTTTTCAGCTTCTGGCATGAATCGTATGTGCCTACACAGACTATGTAACTTTATCCCCTCAGAACGAATCAGTTCGTGCTCCACTTGGCTTGTATCGTTGGCCCATGTTGCGAAACCAACAGCTCCGACTAGCATGCGGTACATTCCCCCCTCAAGGATGGACCCTAGTTCTTGTAGATCCTTCATCCATCTCAGTCGTATATCCTTGTAGGTGATAGTCATAGCCGGGTTTTGCTAAGGGATGCATGGTTCGAGGAGTAGTCTGATGCCCAACGGTGCAAAACGGGCATGGTATGAGCTCTCCTCAATCGAATGCGTGCCTGATCTTCGCTTGAGTAGCTCTATTTAACTGCATTTTTTTCTTCTCTTGTCTCGGCCAGTCATTTCTGCACATCTCTTTCCACACCTGAACCAGTCATCATTCTCCAATCCTACACCTATTCCATCACCATGGCTCCTCCGCACGTCCCTGAAGCCGCCATCTTTCCCGTCCTCAAAGACAAGGTTGCACTCATCACTGGTGGTGCGCAGGGAATGGGCAAGGCCACTGCGGAAGTCTTTCTCAAGGCCGGCGCCAAGGTCGTCATCTGCGATGTGCAGCAGGACAAGGGCGACGAGGTGGCCAAGGAGCTGTCTATTCTAGGCGAGGTCTACTTCACCAAGGCTGACATCTCTTCTTCTGAGGATGTGGCTGCCCTCGTCAAGTTCACAGTGGACAAGTTTGGTCGTCTGGACTGCGCTGTGAATAACGCTGCGTTGACTCCTGACAAGACACCTCTTACCGACTTTGACGAGACATACTGGGATAAGCTGATCAGCATCAACCTCACTGGCACGGCGCTGTGCGTCAAGCATGAGATGAAGCAGTTCATTGCCCAGGGAGGTGGTGGTTCGATTGTCAACATTGCCAGCATCAATGCCTTCAAGCCACAGCCCAACATGCCGGCCTACACAGCTGCCAAGCACGCCCTCGTGGGTCTTACAAAGCACGCAAGCATGGAGGGCGGTCCGCATAGCATTCGAGTAAACGCCGTGGCGCCAGGTGCCATCTTTGTAAGTTGACAAGTCCAATTTGGCAATTCTAAGTAAGAGCTAACCGACTCCAACAGACTGTCATGGCTGAAAAGGCTCTGGAGATTATGGGGACGACACACGACGAGTTCGCGCCAAACGTCAGCTACCTGAGCCGGTTCGGTATGCCCCACGAGGTGGCACAGGGATCTCTCTGGCTGTGCTCTCCGGCGTCTTCGTATGTGACGGGTATTACTCTCCCGGTGGACGGTGGCTTCATGGCCAAGTAATGTTGTATGTAGCATGCATGACTCGCGTTGCAGGAGCTCATCAGTCAAGGGGCTGTTAGTGTCGCAACAGCTGTAGAAACTTTGTACATCCATACATATATCCTTGTCCCTCTGCAAGTTCAATCACTCTTTGCTTTTTCCTCTCTCATTAAAGTCCGCTGTCGGGGTTATTCACCGTCAGTGTTCCTCGGCGTTGGACCTTGCATAATCGTTTCCACATCCCCCAACTACCGGCGTGACCGGGAACCATGGCCGGCGTCAGGGTTCCACCCGGGGAACGACAAGACCCTGTTGGTGACATTCCAAGAGGATCATTCAGCGGCCGCTTGCCCTAAGCGAGCTCTGCCGAACAAATTTCCTCGGGACGATTATCTCTTGTTTGAGATGGGTCGCGACTAGGAGAGTCCCATACGAAACCCCGTTCTCTTTCCCCGCTCGTTTAACGTCCAATCGTGATTCAGCAAGATCACCCCAAGTGGTGATTGGCAGACAGGATCCATCTCGAGATAGTCTGGTCTAATGCGGCCCGAGGCAAGGGTGCAACCGGGAAGTTCTGTCGCATCCGGTCCCCCCTAGTGTAACGGCTGGGGATTTAGCGAGAAGACAAAAAAGCAAAGAGTGGCAGTTAGACCCAGCTCAATCCTCGGGTCAGCTGATCGATCAGTCATTTCAGGGCATGAATTCGTAGACACTTGCGAATTCCACCAAGGGGCTACGCAGCAGTTGAGCAAGACGTGATTGAGATTCAGTCAATGATTAGCTAGAACACTTCTAACAGCTGTTCCGTGATCGACAGCCCTTATCATCTATATACACGAGGAAACTATCCTCCCTCGCCTAAGTGCTGAACGTCAAGCCGCCGTTGGCGCTCACCAAGCTACCAGTCATCCAACTTGACTCCGGTGAGCAGATCATGGCGACCAGGTTGGCAATCTCCTCTGGATATGCGGCTCTGCCACCAAACTTTCTTCCAAGCTCCTGCACCTCTGGCCCGTCCGTCTCTCTAACGGGGACAAGAGGTGTCAGAGGGTTCCACAGAGCCAAAGCTTGCTTGATCTCGTCAGGTGCCGTCATGTACATGTCAGTCATGACAGGTCCCGGGTTGATGGTGTTGACCGTGCAGTTCTCTGCAAGCTCACGGGCCCAGACCCTTGCCATAGCCTCCATAGACGCCTTGGTACCTGCGTAGAGGGTTGTGTGAGGGGTGCCGATTTTGGGGTTGATGCTGGACATCATGACAATGCGGCCGGACCGGTCTGTCGGTAAGTAGGGCTTGCACACGCCCGTAAGCAGCGCAGGGCCCAAGACGTTGACGCGGTAAATGTGGTCGAACTCATCCTGCTTCACACTCTCGACTGGGCCGAGGTAGAGCACGGCTGCATTGTGCACGATGATGTCGATCTTCAAGTCGTCGCCACCAAAGTGCTCTTTGCAGACAGCGATAAGACTCTCACAGCTCTCAGCCTTGCTAATGTCGGCTCTACATGGCACAGCCTTGACAGCATGCTTCTCCTCGAGCTCCTTGCACAGGGTTGCAGCAGGAGCATCAGAGGATTCAGTGGCGTAGTTGACCAGAATGTTGGCACCTCTGGCAGCGAGAGCGCGAGCAATGTAGGATCCGATGCCTGCAAAAGAAAAAGAGAAGACGATCAGGTTATCTGGGTATATCAAGTAAAGCAACGGCAGGGAAGAACCTACCACGGGCGGCCCCAGTGACAATGGCAAGCTTGCCTTGGTGAACTTTAGCGTCGGAAGAAGCGCCCATTGTTATTGATGGACAAGGAAGGTTACTGCGTACAGAAATTCTGATGACTACAACAACCCGCGAGGGAAGCGGAACTTTAAGAGATTCCGCACTGCATGGTATCCACCGCTGTCAGTTCTCATGGGTGAGGGCTTTCGTCTTGGAATCAAGCGGTGGATGCACTTGAAGCCGCCATCATACGAGTTGCGTATCTCCCATGAACCAACTTCATCCAGCCTCCTGTCCAGTGTAACAGTATGCCAGGGGACCAGACATACCAAGGTCCCACCATCCGGTCCCTATCTTCCAAGGTTCCGTGATCGTCGTGTACGAAATCTCAGGGGGTTTAGACGAGCGAGCGAAATCTATAGTACGTATCCATCCCGTGATCGGCAGACTAACAACCGCGCCAGGGTTGCACCTCATGTCGATCTTCTAACCCCAATTAGACCAGCTTCTCCACGCACCGGGGTTCGGCTTTGGAAAAATTGGCTCATGTCTACCCGATCACTAGCAATAACACAGACCTGATATGCCCATCACAGAGGCCAAGTAGATCTGCCGTTGCACCAGGCACCGAGCAAGCATCCATTGGAATCAGCCATGGACCTCACAGGTTTGCTGCAAGTCCCGGGACCAGTACAGTAACTACGCGGCCTTGTCCCTGAGTGATGGAAGGCCTCGGAAGAGTACCGCTCACTCATGAGTCGACAAATCGTCTGACTCGTTGGTGCAAGGCGTTCCTTCGACGCCGCTCCGTAATTCAGCTCATCACATCAATCAGACGAGAAATCCTGCAACCGTTGATGTTTCCAAAGCAAGTTCCAAAAAGAAAACATGGTGGTCCTGGTACTCCACGTTTCATCACTAAAGAAAGTTCCCAAGGGCGGGTAGACAACGGTTCTCTCCCAGCCCCATTTGTTACGGAACGAGGGAACAACCAGGAAGAAGCCCAATCAAGGAAAGGGGGATGAAACTTGGGCCGCATGAACACCGTTGGTAATTTAAATTGCCCAACTACCGCCATGCTGGGAGACCCGTTTCTGTCATATTCTTCGAAACCCCCCCTTTTTTGAATTCCACTTCCCGTTCACCCCCAGCAAGTGTTCCCGAAGTGGCTTTTAGGCCTGGCCACCCCATCGAGCCCTTGGTTCCTCCCTGCTTGCCGTGTCTCTGTAATCTTCCATCTCTTGGACATCTCATCTTGAGTGCCTCAACCAAACACCATGGCGGCCCATGTGATGGCAGGAATTGGGGGCAAAGGCGGAACCGTGGTGGGAGTCATTTGGTTTGAAAATGTCTTGACATACATCTTGGTCGCGGCGCGAATCTACACTCGTCGATACATCAGAGGTTCGGTTGGCTGGGACGACCTTTGTCTGGTTATCACTTCGGTTAGTATTGCTGGGCTGTGTCTTGGAAATCGTCTAATATCTTTTAGCTTCTCATGACTGTCTTTGGCATCTTGACTACAATCGCATGTGCTCATGGAATGGGTCAGCATGTTGATGCCCTTGAGACTTATCAGTTCTCGGATGCTTTGCTCTATCTCCTATGCGCCCAGTCTGTTGTCTCGATGGCCATCGGCATGGGGAAGGTGACTGTCGCCATCTTCTTGCTGCGCATTGTTACTGCATCTTGGTAAGCCTTATCTCGCTTGCGAAGGCCTATGGGCTCTAATTAATGGCTCTACCAGGCACCGTTGGTTCCTTTGGTTCTGTATCGCCTCGATGATGATTCTCAGCATCTTCCTTTCCGTCGCCGTATTCGCACAATGCACTCCGGTGGAATCCATCTGGAACCCCTTATTGATAGACCAGAAGGTGTGCTACCTTAGTCTCACTGTAGTGGCCTTCATCGACTGTGGCAAGTATCGAAACGCCTTTGAAAAATATCGGCATGCATCTAACTATCATACCAGCATACGCCGCGGCAATGGACTTTGCTTTGGCCGCCTTCCCCTGGATTGCTCTTCGAGGACTGAAGATGAAGCGCAAGGAACGCATTTCCATCTGTGTTTCTCTCAGTCTTGGAGTCTTGTAAGCCGCCATGAAATGCAATGCCCACAAGATCAACAGCTAACGATGTGAAGCGCCGGTGTTTGCGGTGTCATCAGAACATCGGGACTGGAAGTCTTGAGTAACTCTGCCGATTATCTCTGTAAGTATATGTCGCACCTCATTCATCCCAAGTCGCTAACCAGAATCTTCATCAGATGCGACCTCGGACTCGGTTATCTGGACCGCCAGCGAAGTCACCACAACCATCGTCTGCGTCACCCTCCCGGCTCTCCGTCCTCTATACAACAAGGTCCGGGGCCAAGAGTCGAGCTCTGCTGGCTACCAGCAACACGACGACTCCGCCTACAACACCGGTGGCTCATTCCACATGAGCTCATATGCCAACAAACGCAAAGACAATGGCATCGGATACCCCAAGGGCAGTAGCAACTTTGCCAGCGCCGAGGCATCTCGAGATCCCACTACAATTAAGAACGATAGCGATGAGACTATTTTGCTGCAGGGTGAGGGAAAGAATATCATGAGGGTTCAGGAGGTCAGCGTGTCGTACGACAATGGAAACTCGCTGAACAACGTGTCGATAAAGCAAGATGTTTGAAGACAACCAAAACAAGTCAACTTTTTTGTAACACTAGCTTGGAGTTGGATAGAAAATAATGAACCTGAAGCTTTTGAATACTTTGCTTTCCAGCATCCACGAGAGGCTACCCTACGAAGTGACGCCATGCTGGTTCGGAATGCCCTCTTAACTCCTGTAACGAGAACAACGATTCTTGTAGGGTAGGGTAGTCGCATTGATAGATAATGCCTCAACATCTAAAAAGTGCCACCCCAGAGGATCCAGTTCTTCCTCGTGTTGGGTATTGGGTTGAACAGACCTATCGCTTATCACACTAGATTTGATGAACTTCTCTTATCGATCTGGAATCTCACAAGCGAGACGAACACTACTTACATGGATATGGGTTGAACAGATTCAGGATATCGACCCTTGCTTTTTCGCTAACCCGTTTCCCCACGCAGTAAGATCTCAAATTCTTCACCACCCCTTGACAGTGAGACACGATGATACGTTTTGTTGGTTGTGTTCAAGACAGAACCAACAAGATAAACTAAACAAGGTCAATTGCTGGTGGTATTAAGAGAATTATCTTAAAGAGGAGCGAGGCTATAAATGCCAAGATCTCTCTTATTTTCGCTATTTAGAGTCGCCCAACATGTCTCCTACCCTGAAGCATAACCCGGCAACTTGGTGAGGATTCTATCTCAACATCAATTCCAACCAACCTTTCATATTAGACATTCTCAAGTCCAATGACTCCATTGGCCTCGGTATTTATTATCACTATTAGAGACATCCCTCTTTAGCTCCTTCGGCCACCACCAAGCATCCTCAGAGTCCTTCTGAAACTTGTTGACCTCCATTGGGCCTTCAAACTCGGGAAAGTACGCAACTTTGCAACCCGAGAAACTGACCTTGGGCTGTTCTTGGTAAAATGCATCAAACTCTGGCTTAAGGCTCTCTAGGAGACTGTTGACATCACCAGAAGGATGTAGCTCTCGCCATGGCTCAACACAGGCGCGGCCCTTGCAACTCTTGAGAACCATCATCAGGGCATCGAGGCGTGTGACGATTTGATTGAATGATCGTCCACCAAGACTGTAGCTGGTTGAGTCGTGTTCTTTAGAGAGAAGGTTTCTGACCTCTCCAGGGTCGGTCTGTCATTTGTTAGCTCACGTAGGTATCTAGGTAGCTTGGGAGGAAAGGAGGCCAATTACCTTGAGATCGTAAAATTCCTTCTCGTTAGTGCACCAAACCGAATAGTAGATGTTATAGCTTTCTCCAATAACGCGGATAGCCTTGTAAGTATTCTTGTCTGCCGCATGTCCCGGTGCGCCATAGCCTGGATCACTCATGTTGTTGTCACCGTACCAGCCGAAAATGCCCTCTGGAATAGCAAGTCCCCAATACTCGATAGTAACATGCTCCTGCTTTGACTCGGCTTCAGCGTCAATGCTGAGTGGAATCGGGGTTCCGTCGGTATCAGACAAGGTCCGACCTGCGAGGCCCATGATCGTAGAAGCAAGATCGGTATGAGCTGTGACCGCTTGAGAGATATGGCCTGCGGGAACACCTGGGCCGCGCTTCCAATGGGTTAGCTAGAGCAAATCCTGTATTTTCTAGAGACTCACAATGATTAGAGGAATATGGACATCTGTCTCAAAGCCACATTCCTTTCCTGGATGCATTCGATGTTGGCTGATGTGATATCCGTTGTCGGTAGTGTAGATGATATACGTATTGTCCAGTTGACCGGCGGCTTCAACCTTCTTAATCATAGCCTCGACCATCTCATCCACAGACTGCAGCGCCCTCAACCTTGCTCTCTGGTATTCATCATTGTAGGCGATGACGGTATCGTTGAGTCGCGGCAATTCCTTGACCCAGCTGACCCCACCTTGGACCTCGGGATTGAAGCTTTCGTCTCGTGGAATGATGTAGTCCTTGAACAGGTGGGTATGTCGCTCTGCGTACTTGGGCGCATCGGAAAAGAAGTTTGGGGTCAGATCAACTGTCCCGTGAGGGGCAATGGGGGCGTGGACCAGGAACCAAGGCTCTTCGTTTGATAAGGCATCGTCCAAGAACCCGTAGGCCTTTTCAGCTGTGAGATCCGGCGAGTAGAGTCCAGCATAGTTCACCGGTGGTGCTCCATTTCGCGTCATGGTTGCGTTGAGGTACTGATAGGTGTGGGGATCCAGAAGAAAGTCGGAACCGTTGAAGCCCCCGGCGTATGGCTGGTTGTAGTTTTCCACGGTGTGATGGTTCCAGAGCTTTCCGCTGTAGTATGTGTTATAGCCAGCAGCTTGAAGCCAGTGGGGAAGATAGTTGTCATTGATGCCCTCCCGCACGATCTTTGGGTAGCCTCCATAGGGAGCCCAGACGTCTGTCACCTAGGAGTACGAGTCAATATGAACATCGGTTGGGCCTTCTTGAGTTTCACTTGCGTTGGTATTGTGCGCGGCTCTTCCAGTCCAGAGATTGACTCGAGAAGGACAGCAGAGAGCCACAGTGCAGTAATGGTTGGAGTAGAGTGTTCCTTCATTAATGAGGTACTTTTGAAGGAGTGGCATGTGCTTCAAAGATTCCATGTGCCTTCAGATAGGATGTTAGATGACGTACATCTTGTTAAAACGAGACTCACCAATCTTGATCATCTGTTAGAACAAATAGGATGTTGGGTTGGCGTGAAGCCACTGCCTCTCGCCAAAGGGACGAGAGGCATGTTAAGAGAGCAAGCGAAATCTTCATGGCCACAAGCCCGATGTACTGCTACCACAGCAATAGACGCGAGAACATGATGATTGAAGAATGGAGGCAGGATCTACTTATTCATGCCATTGCTTCACACTCGGTAACCATTTCCGCGACTAACAAGCTGGTTCAAGACAAGGGTCCTGCTCTGTGGGCCTCCTCGGGCGCTAACATGACACTGCGTCTAAATCCGCGATGGTGTCATTCCAGCACCTTAGCATGCCATGCGGACGAGTGGAGATGCACATCATCCCATAAAGTTCACTAACATGACACATTTCAAACTGATGGAGACAACATCTGCACAGATGGACCCGAAAGCAGGCGACAGCAATACGAGCCGCCGGGTGGGCAACCTGACGGCCGAGCAAGCCGAGAAGAAGCGGGCGATCGACCGGGATAACCAGAGGCACCACAGGGCCAAGAACAAGGCCTACATACGGACCCTCGAGGAGAAGATTGCTGAGTTGACCGCTCGGCTTGCAGAGGCTGAGACTTTGTTGGAGCAGTATCGAAGGCGCGACAACGAACAAGTCCCCGCATTGTCGCATTCTTCGTCAACTGATCTTACAATTTCAACACAACCGACAAGCTCTGACGGCGAGGTTGAGGCATCGGCGTCAGTGCCACTCTTGTCTGAAGAAAGCATCAAGAGCTATCTTGACTCCTTGCCTCTGGATCTTGGCACAGGCATGACCATCCACTCCTTCAGCGCAGTTCAAGATGTGAATTTTCTGGATTGGGACCTTGCGTGCGTTATGGGCAACCTGTCGCCCACGATGGAGGTACAGAGTACGGATCTGCCATCATACGACACAACCCTAGGCTCATGGGACGGTACGAGCAGCCAAAACCAGACACCTGAATGGCAGATGATGCCTCTCTATATTCCGGCCACAACGAAGCTGGACGAGGTCATTATTAGCACGACAGCAGCCTGGCGAGCCCGTCTCCACAAAGACGAAGAACTCGAAAAACCCGTCTTCCCTAGCATCAACTCTCTCCTGAATCGCCCAGGACACATTGAGCAGGGCCTACCGGGGACCTTTTCTGAGACTGTGGCGGCTCAAGTCTGGCGGTCACCGATAAAGACACTGCCCGAGCGCATTGGATTCATGTACAACTTGTCTCATCTGATACGCTGGCTCGTCTGCCGCAACAAGGAGACATACGAAAAGATGCCACCATTTCTCAGACCGACAGAGCTACAAAGAACAGTACCCCATGCCGCATGGATCAGCACCGTTACTTCGCCAGACGCCCGAGATGCACTGATCAAGCACATGGACCTGAACCGCTTCGAGGAGATTAGAATGCTAGCTGGAAAATCGGTGTCTGTCAGTTGGCCGTATCCAGACTCGACTGCGTTTGTAGAGTCGCCGGATAAGCAGAGTCTGATGCTGCATCCAGCATTTGAGGCGCATCTTCGAAGGAGAGAGAACTGGACAGTTAGTAAAGAAGTGTGTGGGGCGTTTCCATTCTTGAAGCCGTTTATGAATTGGAGAGAGTGACAAACGTATAGCTGTAGAATTTAGAAATGAGCACTAATGAATGCTCGTAAATACAGCTTTGGGAGAGTTCTAGGTTTCTAGGCATCTTGACAGATCACAGATTGGGGGTATTTGCCCAATGTGTTCTTTCTAAAAGTTGAAGCCCGGGCCTTGATGGGTTAACTGAATCAGAAGATCGAATAATTTCGGACACTGCATTTCGTTTACCACAGCATGGAGCTGATTTTGATATTTTCCGCTGTCAAGTCGTTGAGCTAACATGACAGATGGTGCACCTTTTGTGGGGTTAGCCAGGGGAGGTATTCGCACGCCATCGGCCCTGGATATGAGCACCAGCTCGTTATCGCAAACAGCTGGGCCGGGTTGTTTCCGTGGGGTTAACTCTTTCGTCAAGTTCAATGCCATGTCGAGCAAGGGCATAAAACTTTAGAAGTCAATTGTGATGTTACTATGTTACGAAGACCTCCATTCGAAATCGTATTAGACCAGGTTAACACTCTCTATCCAAGGCTCGAACAGCTTATCCAATTCCCATGCCGTGACCATTGTATCTGAATTCATCGCCTTCACTTCGGCATACCCTGTTCGTTCCACGTATTGATAACTCTTCATGCTATTACGAACAACCAAGCCAACCAGAGATTCACATCTCAGTGTATATCCAAGCAGGATGACCTTGACGTGGTGCAAATCACAAGGGACCAGACTCTCTTCGTCAAAGTAGAGAGTAAACTCTACATCCCGACGCGCCCAGATTGCAGATGTCTTGAGTGCTGGTGAGCCTTGGAGTGCGAATATTGCCATTGGCAACAGAGGCACCCTTAGATGAAGTCTCCGAGTCTCTTGGCCCATCATCTCAATCATGCCAATTGAAGACGGAAACAAGGAGTCGTTTCCAATGCTAGAAACCAGCGAACGCTCTAGACAGATAAATTCGACTGATTTAGCAACTCCCCATGACCAAGTAGGGCAGCGTCTTGATCGCTGCCCTAGTGGCCTCTTTTTGCCCTTCCAAAGAAGGCCTTCAGCAAGATAAGAGCGAAATATGCCACCAAAGTACCGGTCTCCATGCTTCTTGGCCAGTAGATGGCCAAGGGCCTGAATAGCTGTCAACCGGTCATCCTCGTAGCTCAGTTCCATGCGAAGATACCGCGGTATCAGTTCTTTCCAGGCAAGCCACATGCACAACAGAGAGGGCGAATCCATAACTCTCTCATATCCGGTATGCAAGATACGCAAGGCAGAATAATCGAAGTTCGGCGGCTTTTCCTTCGGAGCCTGGGCTCTTTGTAGCCACTTTGATTTCAACTCCTCGGTCTTCATCAAGGAGTGGCCAAGAGAGGCCCCCCATTCGTCTGCCATACGAGCTATCCTACTCTCCATCTCATTGTCAGAAGGCTGTAGCTTACAGTTTCGAATGCATTCAGAAGTTTTGGGTATGCCACGGCATTGCCAGAAAAGAGCTGCGGGGGTAATGTGCAGGATCCTCGGAGATAGTAGGCGTTCCTGGAGACACCAAGCTCGCTTCTGCACAGGCTGGTGTCCCCAAGCCTCCTTTAGGAGATGTTTGGTCGGGTTTTCCAGTACAAGGTAATTTCCGAGTCGGCTATTATGGCCAATCGTACATGTCTTAGTGAGGTTGTTTTCAATTGGTCGATCAGGAAATAGCCCTTCAGAGCTATCTGAGAAGCCGGTGGCTGAAATGAGACAATACCCACCGGCATAGTATGCCTCCATCTTAGTCGCCTCCATGTAAAAGTCTTCCAGGTTTTGGATGATGCACAGAGCATCTACCCAAAGGTAACGAATCTTCATGACTCTTGTGAGTCTAATGGCATCCTGGATAGTCCGTGGAAGACTCTCAGTGTCAATGTTCACCCGGCGTTTCTCGTAGTTTTGAGGGGTGGTTTTTGCCGGACTATTAGACTGGCCCCAGCAGTAACTGAGAGTCAAGTATTTGGGCGGTTCGGTAGCCTTGAGGATGTCCTCGCTGGTCACAACCAGGCGGACAATATCCTCCTGGCAAGTTCCAACGTCTATCAGCCTCGTGGGGAAGTAGTCGGGATTTCTTGTTGTAACAGGCTGGCAGTCTTGGTGCCAGTTCTTTGCGGCGTCGCAATTATCGACCCAGGGCCGGATGACGTCACGGGCGAGGCATTCGAGATCCGTATCAAGGGTTTCCCGGCGAAGTGCTGCGTATATTATGAGCGTGGAGAGACACAAAGTGTTTCGAGCGTACGTACATTTGGGGGATAACCACCGCCTCGTTTCGTCCACGATTTCTCCTGGCACCATTGACCATCTCAACCGTACGACCCAATCAACTGGCGTTCCATCTTCCAATATCCCGTAACGAATCATTATGTGTCGAAGACTCGAAATTTCATCAGGTGGCCTCTTCAAAGCCCCGTGGATGAAATAAACCTGAAGAGTGCGACAGAGGTAGCAGCCCATGGTGGCCGCCTGCTTTAGTGCGGCAAAGTTTGGGTGGTGATTGAAGTAGACAGTAGTCATTCCTTCTCCTTCTGGGTTCTTCGTGTAGATAACTAACTTGATTTGTTCCTTGCGGCCTTTCCCCTTGTCCCGGAGGTCGGTTGCACGTTCAGGGCTAGTCCTTGCATCTTGATCGCCATCGGAAGGATGTTGAACAAGAACGCCCAGGCGCTCGACTTCGCTCGGGCGTAAGCTACCCAGTCCTGCTGCGTTCTGTACTTCGTCTTTGTGCTCGTTGGCTGATGGGTTGTTGGGTTCCTGGCGCAGGGCATCAAGCGCAAAGTCGAGATCGTCCAAAGAGTCGTCATCAAGCCGATTCGAGTAATGTTCACTGTCTCTGGACTTTCGGAATGTTGCCAGCAGGCCCCAAATCTGGCTCCTCCAAGGGATGCGACTACATCGAGCACACCTCTGCTCAGTAATGCAGACGGCGTCGTTGTCTGGTGCCATTCTGGTCGGTGTGCGTCACATGTTCGAGGAAGGGGGTTCAGTGTAGAAAGAGGATGGAAAAGGGGATGACAAGGTTAGAGGGGAAAGGAAAGAGAAAGAGAAGGAATGTAGGTTAAGAGGGGGCTGTGAGGGGTTGAAACACAACTCGTGTGGCTGATTGATTCTTAGCTAAATATGCAGAAAAAACGAGTCTACTCGGACCATATCCTTATACATCAACATGTCGGTTTCTTTTTAATCTATCTTAATTTAATTTGCGGAGAAGTAAGGGAAGGTAGTTCTTTCGTCCGTGTCAGTCAATCTTGGAATCCTTGATTCTGAGAAACAGGGTTCGCATAAAAATTGTGAGAATCACCTGAGCCAAGACTAGGCTGGCACATGGTCAGGAATGAGGCTGTGAAAACAGCCACTCTTGCCATACCGCGCCCCAATCAAGGTCGGTCTCATGTTACTAGTCCTCCCTAGGGTTAAACAGAGCTGGGCTCCCCAAAGCATCTCACATGTGGAATCAGCGTGTAAACGATTGGAGTGTTTAAGTAACTTAGTCCCATTGCATTCGTAGAGGGCAGATCGAGGCAACCTAGCCAGAGAAATATAGTTGCACTGTTAGCCAGAAAGAAACCGAAAAGAACGCCCAAATACCCACCCTCGCTCACAGCTTGAATCGTACTGTTTTTTTATTCCTTATTTCTGTTACTTCCGAACTTGAGAATATGGCTATCAACACGTACCAGCATTCCGCAAAACGGAGCCGGAAATCGTTGAAGAAATTTATTACAAGAATACTAGCTATTCTAATTTTGGAAAAAGAATTAGAAGAATTACTTTGGTATGTGCAATTTAACCTTGAAATTATGTTCAGGGGACATTTTCAACGGTAACTCATCCTCTGTGTAGGTACAATCTGAAATTTGCCAGGAAAAGTGAGGAACACGGTAGGAAAAGACCAAAAGGCAATTTAAATTCATTCAAGGAAAAATTTCTATGCTAGGCAACCAAGCCCGCGTTTGTTCTCATGGGTTGCCTCGGATCCGCATATATGGAATGTGGTTCCGAGGGTATTGTGCTTGCTGGTTGAACTTGCACTTCCAAAACGTTCGATAACTGAACGACGTAGTCAGTCCGGATTTCTTATAGACCTGATTCGTCATCTTGGAGCAGGGCATGTCCATGGAGACGGTGCTGAATCGCTGGTAGGCGGCCACCGATTTGACAGCACTGTACCGGCCGTTGGTTAAGGAGAAGGTGTCTAAGGCCGCCTGCAACGCTTTGCACGACGCCACATAGCCTTCAACAGACTTTTTGATCTTTGTGTTGATCAAGATCTGTATGACTATAACCCGGTTGTAGACTCCGTCGTTAAAAGTTACCTCATCTGGGACCTGTGTCCAGTCGACGGCAAGAAGCTTGTTAGCCAGGGCCAAGGCCTCTTCTGCGACGTGTTGGTACTGATCAAGAATGTCGAAGAGGGGAAATGAGGCTGTCTGGATATCTGAGGCTAACGCCGGGAGATCTGTGGCGATGGGCATAAACTTGAAGATGTCGCTGACAGTCTTGAACTGGCCTTGCTGAATAATGCTGACTATTTGACTCGTGGTCAAGACATTAGTAGGCCACTCATCTTTGAGCTTGCTAGAGCGACCCAAAAGTCCTGTCAGGGCACTATTGGCGGTGCCGAGGGGGGCTCGAGCTTCCCAGAGGTCATCAACCATTTGGAGGAGGTCGACGGCTGAGCATCACATGTTAGAGACTTTGGGAATTTGGCATGGAAGGAGTTGTTCGCTTACTATCCTGTAGAAATTTGTCGACTACGGGGCCGTCACACCTCTGAAGTGTCTCGCAGATATAGGTTGCAAGGCCAAAGATCTCAGAATAGACATCCTGCATAGTGAACTGCACGTTGTCGCAGCTTTGAGCATAGGCCAGTATGCTCGTCAATAGTTCGTATGCCTTGTTGTACCAGTCACCCACGACGCTAGTAATGGGCTGCTTCATCGTTTCGTATGACTTGGTCACGTAGCCCTTGATAGTGTCGCGGATCATGTTTACGTTGCAAGAGCCAGCCTGGCAGGGGACCGTAAGGTCAATCAGGTTCTTGTACAGATTCATATCAATCTAGCGGGTGTAAGTTTGCTGTTCGAGCAGGGAGGTTACATGTGTCATACCTCTGCGGCCGGTGCAAAAGCCCACCCATCTTTAGGTTTCAAGGGTGCAAGGACAGCAGCCTTGTTGCCCTTGACAGGGAAACCGGCATTGGCGATGCACTGAAATCAGTCAGAAAAGGGCGCTGAATTGCGGGTGAGTCCCAGCTTACCGTCTGCAACTCTCCAGCAGACTTGATGATATTGGCATTTTCTGACTTGAGTTCGCCTTTGGTCGAGATAGAAGTAAACTCCCCGCTACTCTCCAACTGTTTCACCTTGGGAAAGCATGAGCACAATGCATTATTTGAGTTGATGAACTTGTTCCCAATGGTGTTGCCTAGGACGCTGCGGATCTGGTTGCAAAGATTGAACTTTTTAGTAACGACGGTCAGGCTCGATGGCACATTCTGAATCTTATCATCATAACCTAAATAGGCGTTAGCAAGACATCTGTCCTTCACGTTGTAGAGAGTTGCAGCTTACCAGGCACACACTGCACCTTGGTGCAAGTTTTGGGCTTCTGCTTGGTACCGCAGTTGTACTTGACCTGTTTCTTGGTCTTGCACTTGTTGTACTGCTCCTCCGTCAGCCGCTAACTGGTAGTAGTATGATCTCATTTTTTCTGGCAGCCTACCACTTTCACTGTCTTGCGTTTGGTGTTCACTTTGACGCCCGTGGGCACGGTGATGGAGACTTTGCAGCCAGAAACCCCTTTCACACCAGCGCAAATATCAGTGATAGAGCCCTGAGCGATGGCCACGTGTGCGAACAGCACAAATGGTAGCAAACATAACCAGGAATACCGCATCTTGCAGTATCCGTTCGTGACTCTGGCCCCAAGAAATTCTCTATATGAACTTCCAGGTGCTGTCCGCCGACTTAAATAGCTGGAATGGGCCGAAACAATCCCCCTGGTCAAATATCCGTTTTTCGACGGCCCCGTAAGGCTGAATTCGCCGCAAGGGGGAACGTCAAGCGAATGGCTGGGCTAAACATCGATAGCGTCTATCCTCTTTCCACCGCGTGGTCTAGACCCAGCCAAAATCAGGTCCAGCCTCAATATTGAGCATTCCTTTGAACGCCTCTGTAAAGTCGCCTGTATTTCTGCCCCTTATTGCTGTGTCACGAGCCCTGAGCAGTGGCGTTTCGGTTCAGATTATGTGTCAGGGGCGAGCCAAGCGCATTTCACACGCAACGGCGTAAAATGGATTCTTCGACACTCCAGTTACTCCAAAGCGCGATGACCGTGCGTTAAGCATGATAAGTTTATAGATAACTCTATTCTGGGTAAAGTAGTCTAGGTTATTCCGCGAGCATCCCCTTATTTTACGTATAGGGACAATCAGGAGTGTAGAGAAGGGTTTCAACCCCTACCTTTTATGATCCCATTCATTACGGAAAAGCCGTCTTATGGTGATCTTACTATTACCTACCCTTTTATTACTGCCCTGCAGGGAGTGAGCAAAGGAGCGCGGTAGACTCCTAGGGAACCCCAGAACAGCTTACTCACCGCCCGGGCAGGAAACGACGACAGTTGGAGTAAAGCGTCGGCAACTTGTTCAAATTAAGAATTCAAAAATATCGATTAAAGTGCGATCTATTTTTCTGACCCTCTGCAGTTCGCTTTACCTATCTATTCCAATCGTTCATCGCCGATGCTTGGGCAATTGTCCTCCTATTCTCGCATCACGCCAAAGTCGTTGTCGTGCTACAGCACAACTGTCTTGATGAGCGCACTAATTTCCGGGACTGACCCCGACAGCGTCATTCCCACTATTCGTTGCGCCGTTGGATATGATCTGAAATGGATGATGATGGTCTTTTAAGGAACAACCTCTTGGTTCCCAGCCTAAATGGACAGACCAGGTTAGTTAGCCATGAACATTTCGTGTGGAACATTGCCGAGCAACTCCGGCTTGTGCAAAGCCTTAGTAAGGCTTGTCGGGCCTATTTTGTGTACAGTAGCATCGCAATCGGTGCCATTAGGGTTGTTTTCAATTATGGATGGCATGTTAGCGAAGGGAGAGATCAGCTGCCACGCAAGGCAGAATCTCATCTTTGCAACATCCACCACCGATATGACAGAGGTCTGCAGAAGGAAACCTCGGTAGTACATCCCCTGAGCCCTGCCAATCTTGCAGGTGGACGAGTTCCAATGTGCTGCATAAGACCCGCAGGGAGGCAGCCGGTGGGCGGGATGGCATGCCGGCGTACACGCCACATTGGGCAGACAGGTGATGACGAGGCAGCATGGGGGGCTACTGTTTGAAAGTGCATTGTATTAGAACAAGGAAGTGTGCAAAACGTCCGAGGTTCAAGGCAAGACGGGTTTGTGGTTCGCGAACAGCTTGAGAAACCATTTCACGAAGGCGCTTCGGTACAGAAGCTTCCAGGCCAAGTGCCATGGGAGAGTGTTTGGCGGCTTCGACGAAGGACCTGGGCCATCCAACGGGTGGCTGAGTTGGATTCGCCTACGACTTGATCGCTGTTGAGTTTAACCCGTGACCCCAACGATGGCCACAAAGCCCGTTGAAGGGGGAATTCCTGGGTACTTACCTACTCCCCTTACAAAGGCGCCATTCAATGTACCTAGGGTCGCTTATCTGCACCATCACGCAGTTGATGGCGGGGACCTCCACAGCGGGGAGACCCGTCGCCGTTGCCGTTCTGCTCAAAATAGATTGCCGCACGTTAAGTATAACCTTAAAAGCGTATAGAAGCTTTGTAAAACGGCCAGTCAATTGCCTTTGATAGGGAATCAGATGCCTTGTACGGGCACTGTTCAATGCAGTGTGATTGAAAAAAACGATTCCGGGAACCCGTTCGTCGGTTGCCAAAGCCTGTCTTCTCCACCATGTCCCATTTCTCCACCATCGGTGAGTTACACGCCAACGCTGCACATAAACGGCTCGGTGAAGAGGATCAGATCTGCAGCGCATTTCAGGGTGTTTCCAAGTGTCCAGATATCAAGTTATCTTACAGGTCTATTCCCGACATAACATTAAGAAAAAAAAGGATGTTTATGGAGGTGTATGGCTGTTCAGTCCTGGGGGACCTAACTCCACGGCCGTCGAGAAGCAAGGCACTTCGAATCAACAAGGCAACCCACAAAACCGGCCACCCGCCCTCTTCATGCAAACTTTTGCTCTTTTTAGTTCACATTACTCTTCCTGATCGCATTCATCTCTTTGTCCCTCGTCTCATCAACAATGACACATCAGGTCGTCCAAGGACAGCCCCCAAGGCAGCCCCTCTCCAGCTCCGAGTTCCGCAACCACCGTCTGGCCGCTTGGTTACACGACAAGGTCTCGCCCTGGAATTCTGCCCAATCCTCCGAGACATATGGGGCGCTCCATGCACTCAACTTCCCTTCTATTGCACCTCCCGATTCACCTCTCCTCTTGGGTACCACCTCTGCATCTTCCTGCATTAGCGATTGTTTTACAGAGCACCACGTATCAGTGCCTCCGCCACTAGGACTCTCAGATCCTGCATTTACGTCTCTTATGGGCACAGGCATGTGGCTCGCGAACCTACCTTCTCGGCCGAAAAAGAACCCCGAAGCCTGCCACACCGACCCTTCTCCGGACCTCCGACCGGGGCGTCGCCTGGATGCCACATTTCGAGAAAGACTATTAAACGATCCCGATTATTCCGAACGCCCTAGTCACACGACACAAGATCTATCGTCGGAAGATTACAACATCCTCCTCAACCAAAGTTTGGACTCTATCGCATCTCTCAGTGGTGGTGATAGTACTATCCGACACCATGCCGGCTCGAGACGGGCCTCCGGTGGTGGCACCCCCACCACACGCAAGCCAACCCCCTCACGAGGGGCTTCAAACAAACGAAAGACCCCGGGCGGGAATCGGCAACGCCCCGGAAAGGCTCCCGACGATAGCTCTGGGTCTGGATCAGGAACCGGGTCTGGAGACGGATCCGCCGCTAGTCACCATCAGAACAAAAAGCCGAAGACGAGCGACTTTCTATACCTATGTCCCTACCGTCTAGTTTACCACGAGATGAGTCCTCAGCATAGTTTCAAATCATGCCAACCACCAGGATATATAAGTGACCGAAGTATACTCAAGTAAGTCAGCCAAGAACCTAACAGAGACGTGTAGAAAGGAAGGGGGTTGTATCGTCAAATGGAACCCACTAACACTTGTCACAGAAGGCATCTAAGGGATGTACATGTCAGAACCAAAAAGAAGCCAGATCTGCACCCTGATTACTCCATGGCCGAAGAATTTTGGGACAACAAAGTGGTGGGGATCTTTGAAAAGGCTTGCTCTAAGCGTTCCAAGACTGGAAGCGACATGTGGCAGCAGAAGGAAACAGCTTTCTACCAAGAGATCTGGAAAATCATCCTTCCCAAACAACCTATACCAAAATCACCTTGTAAGTGTCTTTCCAACCACACAGTCAAGCACCGTATAATGGTTAACTGACTGATTCCAGTTCACGAAGTCTCCGTGGAAGAACATTCACTGGTTGATGAGGCAGTTGAAAATGAGCAAGTTGTGTCTGCTCCCTCTGAAGAGGAGGCTCTGGACGTGACGGCCATCGCCATTGCTGAGCTCCTCCGCACAAGGCCGGAGTTATCTCAGCGGTTCAAAGATCTACTTCGGAGCCAGGAGGACTCCCTTCACTTGCCCCCTTTGACAGAGGATACACGATCACCAACACCTGCACCATCAAACTGCAATCATGGTCCAAGTATCAGTCAGCACTTACCACCACAAACAACTGCGACACCGCACCTCCAGGCGATGACAAACCAGGTTCCCATTGTCGGCACAGACACAAGCCAACAGGATTTTGGGACATTCGAGGAAATGATGGAAAGCATTCAACCAGAGACACCCAGCATAGTCTTCCAGGAACATCCTCCAAATACGGGCCCCGCAACCACTTCGCAACAAACGCGAACAGCCTCACGGCCCCGGGTGTGTGTTCATTTCGACATCCAGCCGCCCGCCTCCGAAATCACCCTGAGGGTACGGACAGTGCCTGGACACATCGGCCCCCAAAATTGGGAGATCACCGTCCCGGAAGGTCTGGTCATCGAGGAGTACAAACAGCGCCAGATAGAGCTGCCTTTTAACTTTGAACAACAGACGATGCCTGGAAACCTTCAACATGGGGTCTCCGGCTTGGACCCCAGGCTACAGGGCTCTGGGGATGGGGGTTGGTCTGAAGTACCGAACAGTTCTACAACCTGGTTTGGAGGAGCTCAGGGCACATGTTCAGACAACAACTATTACTAAAATGATCAACGGCTTGGCGAGGGTAAGATACTTTCTATATGGCTCAGATGGGGATGCAATAGAATGGTTTGTCATCTTAAATTCGAATGAGACTGTGAAAACGAGTATCCAATCCTGATCTTAGGGGCACTGTGAATATCTTATAGAAGCACATATATAGGAAAAGGCTCAAAAGAACCTCGTGGTGGGCTTTATAGGAGATACCGCGACCTTATTGTGAATTGGGGCTTTGCATAATAGTACGTAATGCTTGGTCTTGGAAGTTGCTGATTCTAGCAGCATACGGCTAGCCCATGCAAGGAACTGTGGGGTGACGAAGCTATCTGCAGGGTCTTTATAAACTCTAAACGGAGACATTGCTCGTTACGGCCGGCTATTATATGCAGGAACAGAAATTGATAGCTTTCCTCCTTCTCGATTTAGACGAACACAAGTCCTTGGCTATTCCCAAAAACCAGTGAGAATCGTGTTTCTGCACCAAATCTTGCCACCCGGGCTCGGGTTCGCCGTATATCCCGACATCCCAAGAGATATACCAGGCTCACAGCGCAGGGAGATGGGTCACGGTAGTTGACCAAAACAGCAAGGTTTCAGGTTCATCCGATCGGCATAAAGTCTTTATACTCTCTCCTTCCTATTCCCGCACCTTCATGAACTCCCTCAGGGGTTTGCGGGAGAACACCGGAGGGATCAAAGCGGGAGCCAAGACGGACATGCCGGAGATAAAGTCAGATCTGCCAACCGAGGACGGGTGTGCCCATCGGGTTTGTCTCCTGGTTGAGGGCTCGGACTTCACGTGCTATGTTAAGAACGCAGGGATGGTCAGGAAGTGACCTGAGGTGAGCAAGGTGACAAGGGTTTTCAACGCTCGGTTTCAAAAGGGTCCTCAGAGAAACTCTAATGTATGGGCCAACTCGTAGTTTTGGCACCAATCATGTAAGAGAGACTCACCGTGGCGTCAAGGGTTCAGTGTCAGCTTATCGATTACTCGACTTAACAGGAGGCATGAAATTCTAGTAGAAAATGGGATGATCAAGAAGGCGTTGATAAACGAGACCTTCTTCTTCCGGTCAACACAAGACGATACCAAAGGAAGCCACAAAGAGAAAACACGTCAGATAATATCGGATAACCGTCGGCGTAGTATTCTTACCTGTCACTTATAAGCTGTTACTCGGTTTCCCCGTACCCACCCAAGATAGTCGCCTATCTTATGCATGCGGGTTCGCCACAACCGGGGGTACGTGGGAATGCCAGCCTCGGTCACACGTTTAGGGTTCATGTTCGCCGAAAGGCATGTGGATATACGCACGAGCAATCGCACGGTCTCGCGGTTGGTCAGTCGATGCTTCAAGCCGATAGCCGATCTGACTCTGCTACAAGTGCCTCCACAGTCTGAACTGATTAAGAGTAAGCCCTCTGCCCAGGCATGGCCGAATGCCATCCGGCAAGTTTACAAACATGGAATCCGGCTCAGTAGAAGACAGATCAGCCACCCTGATCGGCGTGGTTGTGATGCTGCTGATCATTACGACGGTGGTTGTTGTACTGCGCTTGTGGACTCGATATGTCATCCTCAACCAGCTCGGACCAGACGACTTTCTCGCTCTCATTTCTCTGGTGCGCCGAGTCTTGTCCCAAGGTGCTCTAGGACATAAGCTAACATACAACAGTTGGTGGTTATTGGCTGTGGGATAGCCATGATTCTAGGTGTGTTTGACCAGTGAGACTGTCTCCTACGTGTTGAATCGAGTGGCTGATCGAGGTGGAACCAGAGACTCGCTATGGCCTTGGAAAACATGTCTCTCCAAGCATCCTCGAAACATTGCCCCTCTACTTGAAGGTGAGAACAAATGCCTTGCCTCCAGTTCTTGATGCTGACGGGAAAAAAGAACTTTTACGTCGCGGTTGTCCTATACGCGGCTGCTCTCATGTTCATCAAGCTGACCTTCCTCCTCCATTATTATCGACTACTAGCCATTCAAGGGATGAAGAAGGTCTACCAAGCTGCCATTGTGCTAGTCGGCGGCTGGGCTTTATCCCAAGTTCTGGTTGGCATCTTCATATGTTGGCCAATTCAGGGGTTCTGGGACAAGAGTATCGACGCCAAATGCATCCCGAATCAACCGCAATGGTACATCAACGCCGCCGGCAATATCGTGACGGATGTCATGGTGTTCTTGCTGCCAATACCTGCCATCAGGAGCCTAAGATTACCACGAACGCAAAAGTTTATCCTCGGAGGTATCTTCAGTCTAGGCTTTTTGTACGCGTTTCCCCCTTTGCATGACTGCGGTTGCTAATTGTAATAGTACGGTTATTCTTTCAGCCATTCGCATCGAGTATCTTAAAGATTTTGAGGACTTTACCTGGAAACACGTCGAGTCCAACCTTTGGTCAATGGCAGAGCTCACATCGGCCCTGGTCTGCGCCTGTCTCCCAACACTACGGCCCTTCGTCATCCGTTACTTCCCAACTCTGGCCTCCAAGTTTACACGATCTAGCGGAGGTTACAGAGGAGGCCATGGAAGCAGGATTCACTCTACGCCACACAAGTCATCCAAGTCTGCAAGCCGTGGTGCAGACCGGCTGTTCCACGACAACAATGCCACTTTCGAGATGCAGCGGCAGTATAGCAGCGAGGGGATTGGTTACAGTAGACACCAGTCAGATGAAGACTTGGTGACTATGTGGCCGGCTGATGTTATCAACGCCGCCGCTGTTGAGCCAGGTTCAGTACGAAATGTGCCGATTCGAGGTATTAAAGTCGAGACCGACACTTTTCAGACTGTTGCAAAGATGGACCGGGAGAGGAAGCTCTGAAAGTTGTAGTGCCCTGAATAAGAGTTTAATATTCCTGTTAAAACTGGCCTTGATACAGCACGGCACGTGTTCCCTGTGGGATGTATATCTGCAAAGCGGCTCCTCCGATCATCTGGGCTTTTTCGGCTTCGCCTAGACAAGCAATACGGCCAGTTCCGAGTCAGTGTTAAAAAGCATTACTTCCAAGATGAGCTGGGTGCAGTCGGTCCGACACGATGAGCGCAGTGGTGAGTAATTCGCATGCCCATCAACATCAAGACGAGATAGGATATTCGGCTTCTTTGTTTCATACACGTGCTTTAAGATCAGAGCCCACTTGCATGACATACCAACGGACTGGCTGATGCCATTTCTAATCACCTGCATAAACCTAGACCTATATCTGAGTAGTCACCTTCCTATTCCCACCTCGACAAAGTTAAAGTTTGCCCAGAAACAAGGGCCCACGCCATTTTATAAGCAAGGGTGGCAGGGAGAGCGGGATACCGAGTATCCGTATAGAGTTAGTAACACAGCAGGACTTTCATGATCCCGTCGGTATGAATGAACTGACTTGGCGTTGTCGTAATCAACCTGAGACATCTTCAAAAAGGCCAAGGTGTCTTCTCGTATCGAGGAATAGTTATTCTTGCACAGACACACACCAAACATACATACTCTCTCCCCCTTACCTATCGACTGCAGATATCCTTCATCATGAGACTCCAATCTCTTGTCCTGTCTCAAGTGCTCGGCATGGCAGCCGCCCTGAGCTACGACCCCGAATACCTCGCGGCCGTCTCGGTCCTTCCTCCAACGGAGCGGCCCGACACGTTCGCGGACGTATTTGAGCTACGGAACTTCACTGAGGATGCTCTTTTCAACATCATCCACATGTTACCGACTCCTGCGGGCATCACCGAGACCAAGTTCCAATACAAAAGCCTCGACAACACCACCGTCAGCCTCTACCGCTTCACCAGCAAGGAAATCACCGACGCTACCAAGCCTGGACCTGCCGTCGTCTTTGCCCATGGCGGAGGTGGAATATCCTGCAGCGTAGAGGTCTACGCCCCCCAGATCGCCCGTTACGTCGCCGATACGGGCATCACTTTCTTCGCAGTCGACTACCGTCTCGCCCCGGAAGATCCGGCCCCCGCTGCCGTCGACGATGTATTTGCTGGCTTGAAGTATATCTCAAGCCACGCTTCCGAATTGAACATTGATCCCAAACGGATTGCCGTTATGGGCGACTCGGCTGGTGGTGGGCTTGCAGCTGGCGCAGCGCTAATGGCACGCGACAAAGGCCTCAGCCCACCTTTGGCCAAGCAGATTCTCGTGTATCCCATGCTTGACGATCGAACCAAGTTGCCCAAAGGATCACCTCTCGAACCGTTCCTCATCTGGAAGACAGGCGACAACAAACAAGCATGGGCTGCCATTTTGGGTGATGAGGCTGGGAAAGAGGACACCAATGTCTCCATCTATGCAGCACCCGGCCGCGCCAAAGATCTGCGAGATCTCCCGTCCACATACGTCGAAGTGGGAGGTCTGGATCTTTTCCGAGCCGAGGATCTGTCTTATGCCAGCCGTATTGCAGCCGAGGACATCGAAGTTGAACTTCACTTGTGGCCTGGTCTGCCACATGTGTATGAAGTGGCAAGTGAGGCAACCATTGTTAAGAAGGCTTTGGATGCGAGAATGAGGGCATTGAAGACCTTTTAAGGCATGTCATCACTCGATGGAAGAGAAATGTTGTGATGTGCCTCCTTAATTTCACAATGAACATGTAATTTAATAATGATAATCCCTTCAGAGGCCATACTTAAGAGATGGCCTTGATACTCAACAAAATATCTATCATCTCATCCCGTTCCTCCTATTCTCGCGTGTGCAGCCACGGGTTTCCCAGAAGCCTGAGAACCACAGACGTCGTATCTATAAAGCAGAGAAACCCAGCTGACTGCAACCTCTCAACGACGACAATCTGGGGCAGTGCGATTAGAATGAAGAGGTTGAAGGCACGCTCGGCTCAAAGACAAATGTCATGGTGGCTGCTCTTCCTAGCGGCCATAGATTCGATCGACCTACCTAGGTTATGATGCGGACAATGAAACTGGCGAGCCAAAAGACCTTTATTTTCCCCATGAGAATCGACCCTGTGATCTTTGCTGTGCCCATAGAATGATCGTGGGGCGATCCTTTCCTCTGTCACTTCATCACAGGCCCCGCATCTACGCCAATCAGTATATGATCCATGATATTTGGTAGGCATGTTGCATACCACGGGGTATATTTAGACACAAGAGGTGGTTGGATAGGTATTAAAATCTTCGGAAGAAGTGTTCTCTCAGGTCAATGGGCAATCAGAACGTCCAAATAGCTCATTTGATTCTTCCTCAATAGCTGTGAGCTGTAAAAACAACCACCGCCTCCAGAACGGTCGTCCGAATATCACCGTATCCATTAGTCCAACACGCTACTCATTACAGCCTCGAGGTTCGGCTGAGACTTCTTCGACGGTTAACTCGGCATCGCAGTTCTGATCATCTGTTGCGTCTGTTCCGAGATAGCTTCATCTTTCGCAACAGCTTGGCAATTGATCGGAGGAACCTTCTGCGACGTCTGATAACAGGCTGTGGATCAGGACCGTTGATCAAAGCCATCCCAGGGGCCGGATCATCCATAGTATCAAGCAGCACGGGCCAGCTGGGGGGAGAAGTATCGACAGCAACATAATCAAAGTCCCTAGGGAACAAGATTTGTCTACAGTGTGTAAGAAATCAGGTCGAGATAAAGGGGTGGTGCTTTCATACCTGACTATACTCGTATAAATACGACCATTGATGCACCCTCTTCCGAATTGGGGAGAAAGACGAGGATGGAAAAAGTCTCCGGTTCCTCTTTTCCAAACTCTGTGGTGTTGTTGCGTCATGATGCCTTCCACTAGCCCGTCCTCGGGTCCAATGTCGTTGCTCAAGGGGGTGCTGATGACAAACTCCTTGACGCCGGCAAAGCACGATAAGACTTGTTTCAGCTCGTCAGTATCAAGATCGGTAATCTTTTTAAAGTTCGGGTAATTATATCTATCATTAGGTTGGCTGAAAACCTTTGTTGAGCGAGCTGTCACCCAAATCTTGATACTCTGGAGATTCTGAAAATTATCGAGCCGTAACCAGTGAAAGTCGTATGGGTCATGCGGGCGGTCTGTCTGGGGTGTTCGCGTTGGTGATGAACAAGTGATTAAGCGGGGAAATAATGGAGTCATTGACAATTCCAAGTGTTTGCAATACTTTAGGAACGCCTGTGGTTGGAGGTCGACTTTAGGCCAGTTCCTCATCCGAGCATCTTGATCACAAAACCCGACAAAGGATTGCCAGCTATGTAGGTCGGTGAATACAAAAGTTATTGACTCGTATATAGACTTGAGACACTCTTCAAATCTGGATTTCAACGTCAGTGACCAGCTTTTTCCGTCTTAATACGACCATACACACATGAGCTTGCAGGTAAGGAGCATGGGCATATACGGGCTTTTGGCCATCTTGTTGGTAAAAGACGTCTTTTTGCCAAAAGGGCGCTGGGAGTCTTTCCAGCAGTGGTATCGCCCAGTCGAAGTGCCTTGTATGACATTCTCCCCGTAAACTCTTTCACAGAGCTCACCACATGCCCAGTGATTAAGCCACGGCGAAAGGAGCCGCATCTCATAGTTGTTATTGCGTATGGGGTCTCCGAACGGGACATTCTGCTGTATTCGCAGGAGCTCGAGATCCTCTTGCAGTTTATCTATGACATCAAAGTCTGTGGTGCATTGCCACCGACAATGGTGCCAGTTTGCTGGGTCAGCAGGGTGGCCATGCCAAAAGATGTGTTGCCGCAAGCCGTACGGTCGCCAAAGTTCAAGGTATATGGCGTCTCGAAGCTCACGTGGAAGACGCGTGATCAAGAGGCATTGTTGTTGAGGGTCGAATGACATGCTCGGGGCTTGACCGTGAATCGCAGCCAAAGTGGGAGCAAATGTCGCGTCGATGTAACAGGCTTGAATGTCGAGGGCCTAGACGATGTGAACTAAGTGGCTTGGGTGGCCAGGGCAGGAATGGAGCTGAGACAAAGGAATGGTGCGGACGTCAAAATGAAGAATCGTGAGAGGTGGCTTGAGCGGTGAATGCAAGAGGTTGGGTCAATTATCCTTGTCACCCATCTGAAACATGCCAGGGCAACGTCGTAATATCATGACGTTTCATCTTCTCATATCTACAGGCTGTAAAATTGTTCTTTTGGCCATGATAAGACCATCCAATACTTGAATTTCCCAAATTCATGGCGGTGCCATGATAAGCCAGCTTCCATCCCAGTCCACAAACTCCTTCTCAATCACTTCGGCCGTGCTCTCCCACGGAACAGAGAAAGCACCAGAGTTGAATTTAGGTGAGTAAATGATTGTTCCAGCCTCAGCGGGAAGTTGCGCTCGCAGGTCCTTGAGGGCACTCTCGGTCTGCGCCAGGATCCTCCCCACGTTGTCCTTCCCCGGCTTTCCAGTCGCTGCACTCGGTCTCCCATAGCCGTAACTGGTGAAGAGACAGATTATATGGACGCTCGGTGCGCCTGCGGCCACGTCTGACGGCTGAGGAGGGATTATGAGACAGCGCCCGGCGAGGCTTCTAGGCGGCCATCGCTCCGACGGGTTGGTTTTGGCGTTGTTGCAGAACCTCTTGTACACTCTGCATGCGGCAGGGAATACAGCGGCGAGCTCAGCTGCGATGCCGGCTCCCCATTGAGCGAGGCAGTTGGTCGCGTGGAGGAGGTATGTATCAGAAGGGATAGAACGGATCGAATTGAGCGGTGTGTGCTCGAGGGCAAATGCGGGAGTTGTCATTTTGAGTCAAGTTGCATTTACTGTTTGGACGCTTCCCATGTACGTAAAAGTTGAGTTCGATGCGTAATGATGTAGAAGAGAGAAGGGAAAGAAGAGAAGTAGTGAGCCAATGCTTTTTTATCCGTCGCGATGGCTTCGTTTGACAGTGAGTCACCGGCAAGATCAAACAGTGGCGCGGAGCTAATTGCATCCGACCTCAGCTGAAGTCAGCCCTGCAGATACAAGGCAGAATTGAGTGTTTATTCTTGTACTACAGAAGCAAATTCGATTGGGTAGGCAGACGAAAGAAGATCTGAGAGCTTAGAGGGATGATTGTATGCTTGGTGCCAAGCTTCACAAGCACTCAGAAGGTGAGACAAACATCACACATGAAGCAGATGAATTGCGCCACGCCTCACAGCCTAAAGGAAATAAACCCAGCAAAGAGAGAGATCAAAAGTCCAGGAAATATAGAATGATACGTTGGTGTACGATGTAGGTGGGCAGTTGGCAATGTTGGCCTGCGGCTTACAGTAAAGCCTCAAGACGACACACGTCGCTTCCCCAGGCCCGTCCCTAAAGCCCGGCATTTATTCCCCACACTCTCTTCCACACAATCATACCCCGTTGGCTCGCTGTCGTAGAAATAAGGTCCGCCAAGCAATTATGCATCTTCCCCTTTGGGACATGGTGAACCAGGTCCGATCTACCCGTCGTATCCGAGCATAACCGACCGAACCTCCCGGCGCGGGGTATAAGCGCCTCACCATGGGGGCATGTATTTATTATCAAAAGGAGATAGCAAGAGTTAGATGAATTGATGCTCCTGGAGGTGCCTTCTGTCAAGTGTTCAAGCTGAAGTGTAGGAGTCGAAAGACTCCAATATCTAGCATCAAAACCGACGTACATCACCACCATCAGATCCAATGCTCCATGTGCTGCATTATTAATCCATCCTCTATGGTCTGTGACTCTTTTCCGATACCGCTTAATGCTAAGAATGCCGAGGAACAGACAATCAGCCAATTCTTGGCGTGATCGTTAACCTGCTGTACCAAGACATTTTGTGTTGTCAACACATGCCACATGACCGCATCAGCTTAAAGACTAACACCAAGGATATCCGACCTCGGCTACATACCCCAATAGCGATAGCTCACATAATAATACAGAGGATCGTCTATATAAACTCGATTCCCTTGCTGAACTGAACTCAATCCTTCACACATCCCATCAACCCTCCAAAGCCTCTATCTACAAACAAAATGACAGACACCGAACCCCAAGCCGTTCAAGTGACCAAGACCCCAGATGGCATCACAACTATAACAATTAACCGCCACCACAAGAGAAATGCCGTCGACGGGCCAACAGGCAGAAAGCTCACTGAAGCATTCCTCGCCTTTGAAGATGATCCGTCTCAAAAAGTTTGCGTCTTTTACGGCGCAAACGGCAACTTTTGTGCTGGCTTCGACCTCCATGAGGTAGCCAAGTTCAACCCTGGCGACCACGAGTACAAGGGTCCCATCATCGACGCCAACCATGAAGTCCAAGGCCGCAACATAGGTCCCATTGGTCCGTCGAGGATGCAAGTCAAGAAGCCCGTCATCAGCGCCGTTTCAGGCTACGCCGTCGCTGGAGGCTTAGAACTATCCCTCATCGGCGATATGCGTGTCGCAGAAGAAGATGCAGTCTTTGGTGTCTTTTGCAGAAGATTCGGCGTCCCTCTCATCGACGGCGGCACAGTCCGTCTCCAAGCCATCGTCGGCCTCGGTCGCGCTCTAGACATGATCCTCACCGGCCGCGGAGTTAGCGCCCAAGAAGCTCTACAGATGGGTCTCGCCAACCGCGTAGTGCCCAAGGGCCAAGCTCTCGCCGAGGCGACAAAGATTGCGCAGCAGCTGTTGGCGTTTCCGCAAGAGTGCATGAATGTCGACCGCGCCAATTGCTACTACTCTGCCTACAATGCTTCTTCTTTTGAAGATGCGTTGGGTAATGAGTTTAGGAATGGTGTCAAGGTGATTACGACGGAGAGTATAAGAGGTGCTGCGAGGTTCAGCGGAGGAGCTGGACGGCATGGTGCCTTTGAAGAATCAAAGATTTGACGAGGATGTTTCATTTCAGCCTTTTTATAAGACCAATCTCTACTCAATAATGGTTTTGTCCACTTCCACTACCTTGCTCATAGATGTTATGATAAGGAGGCGCTCCCTGTCACAGGTAAACACTATAGGAGCCTTAAAGAAGTCCATTTTCAATCATCAACTCGAAATTTTCTTGCAAGTGTTTGGGATTCCATTACTCGTGTGAGATGGTGTATCGAGTCATGGTGGACAACACCCAGCGTTTCATCTATTCTTAGAATGACAGCACCAACCAGCATATTCAGATCTCCTTATTAGCTCCAGGTCAAATCAACCGTCATGTCCACCTTCAAGTTCTGCCGTCATTTCCAGAAGCACCTTTATCCGAGTTATGAAATCCGAAAAACATAATCAAGCAGCCTCGGTATCCCCGTCTTTGGCCCACCCTCACCCATCACCATCAAACCGAAAGGATCCATTCCGTCATTCTCGCCATCTGCTATCCGAAAATATGCCAAAAAGGCGGGTCTGATTTGCTAGTCGCGACAAGGACCCCCCTTTTACGTATTCCTAAGCGAAAAACTCCCCTTGACTCGGTTCGTATGTAGAGTACGAAAATCTATACGAAAATTCATCTGTCCAAGCAATGTGACTCTAGTTCCACCTTTCGAGTCCACTCATGACGCGTCAAGGGATGCGGTCGGCGCTATCTCTTAGAGTTTGGTTGGTTGGTGCTCCCGACAAGGCCAAGTTGGATGAGGATCGAATGGTTAAAAGCCCAAGCACTTCCCTTTCTGCACTACAAATCCATTCCGATATAAACAGCACCTACAAATAGTCCTACCAACCTTGGTGTTTGTGTCACTCTATCACCACATTTGGTCAAACCATTCACATCGCCAAGCCGGCATTACATCACAGCAACCGCAATCATGGCCAACAGTACAGATACGCCGCAAGGCTACGCCCCTTTCGATCTATACTCTTACAATCCCGCTCAACCACCAGCCTACGCTTTCCTAGCCCTCTTCGGAACAGCAGCCGTCACTCACTTCATCCTCATGTTTCCCTACCGAGCGGCATTCCCCATCCCTATGATCATAGGATCTGGCAGTAAGCAGCCTCTCAGAAGCATTTAACATCAGCTAACCTATTCAGTGGAATGCGCTGCTTACTGGTTTCGATCTCGATCTCACGACAACCTTCGGCAAACGCTCCCCTTCCTCTTACAAAACCTACTCATGCTCGTCGCCCCACCATTCCTCGCCGCAACGCTGTACATGTCTCTCAGCCGAATTACACGAGCACTCCGAGCAGAGGAACTATCTCTTATCAGCCTCCGATGGATAACAAAGCTTTTTGTTCTGGTTGATCTCGCATGTTTCGCAACTCAGACCGCCGGCGCCATCATGTCCGGAAGCGAAGTCCTCGATGAAGCAAAGCGAGGCAAAACCATCATCATCTGCGGTCTGATTCTTCAAATCGCCGCCTTTGCCTTGTTCCTTCTCTGCATCCTCGTTCTGCAGGTCAGAGTAAAGTCATGCCCTACGAGCCACTGTCTCGCAGGAGTCTTGTCCTACCGCCGCTATCTCGTTGGTTTGTACTGTACGAGCGGCCTCTTTCTGGTTCGAAACATTGTCCGCATCGTTGAGTACAATCAGGGTGGTGATGGGCCCTTGCTTTCCAACGAAGTTTTCCTCTATATTTTCGATGGATGCTTCATGCTGGGCATTACCGTGATTATTATCGTCTTGCATCCCGGCAGGCTTGTAAAACAGGCCAAGCGGGCAGACTATATGAAGGACGATGTTTTGTTAGAATCTCGATAGTTTCTTTTTTACATTTTGTGCAACTAGACATTTGTGTTTCCTTTGTATATAGCCACTTCATCACCAAACTGCCAACCTATAGAATAGAATGACCAAGAGTTTCTTCACCTGTTTTACCTCGATCATAACACCAACGATGAAAATCAACGGTACTGAATAAACTCCAAATTCACATCTTGTACAATCTTTCTCACTCCTTGCCCCGAGTCCCTAGTCCTTACGCTTACCAAGCTCTTTCGGTCGAGATTCGGACGAAGCCTCAGGTCAGACGCTGAAGCTGACAAATGAGTCGGTGACGACTTTACTGGAAATAACGGACTTCTCGCACTTTCAAATTGTCCGTAAATTCGCTAACGAAATCTGATTGATATCAATGGCAAGAGGTTTCGGTGGTAGTTCTCAAACTATATAAGCATGGAGGGTGGTCAGACTCGGCCATCCTCACCACAGTTCACAACTCCTCCAACGCCTCAAAAGATGGTCTCGCTTCAAATTGTTCAGCAATCCAATGCCCGGCTGGCAACTCTTCCCAAGGGCTTAGTTGCCCTGTTCATCGGCGCAACTTCAGGCATTGGCCAAAGCGCTCTTGAACAGTTTGCCCAGCATGCCTCTGCTCCACGCATCTATACTGTCGCTCGCCCACAGACTGTTGCCTCACACGAGAAACTTCTCTCCTCTTTGCGGGAGGTCAACCCAGATGGCGCCTATAACCTGATCACGGCCGATGTCTCTCTCATCTCAGAGGTCGATAAAGTAGTCAGTGCTATCAAACAGGCCGAGACGAAGCTCGACTTGTTGTTTCTGTCACCCGGCTTCATGGCATTTGAAGGCCGCAAGGATACCAGCGAGGGCCTCGACCCATCCATGACCACACGCTACTACTCACGACTTCGAGCAGTCGAGCAGCTTCTTCCCCTGCTAAACAATTCTGCCACCTCAAGCCCAAGAGTCATGTCGGTTCTGGCCGGAGGATTTGAGGCTCCGCTAAACGAGAGCGACCTCGATCTACGCGATCCTAACAACTGGACAACCTGGAACTCTTCACTCCACTCTGCAACCATGGGTACATTGGCCTTTGAGGTTCTGGCCCAACAGAACCCTAACGTCAGCTTCGTGCATTGGTCTCCTGGGCCAGTAGCTACACCAGGTTTGGCCAAAGCCAAGAAGTTTGGCATGTCGCCGCCGAACCAAATGAGTCAGGACGAAAGCGGCGCCCGCGCACTCTTCGTTGGCACCAATGATCGATATTCCGTCAAGGGCGGGCTCGTGCCAGTTCCAGAGGGACTCGAAGTAGCCAAGAAATCTGGTGGTGGGGTCTTTATCATTAATCCAGAAGGCGAGTCCGCCGATAGTGAAAAGGTTCTGGCAGGGATGAGGGAAAGGGGCGTGGACAAGGCAGTTTGGAGCTTTACGGAGAAGATGTTTGCTACCCACGCGGGTAAAGCCAAGGATGAACTATGAGAATACCAGGTTTGAACATTGTACCCAACACTCTCTCTTGGGAAGGAGAACTCATTACTGTTCAAATTGTTAGCTGGCAGCTCGATATTGATCTGGGAAGCCAAAAGCAGGAGCCATATGCGACAAAGTGAGGCACAGCCAGGAGACTCTGCTTTGACAAGAGTCTCTGAAGTATTCCTTCTATGAGCTTCGATGGATCCTCTGTCATGCCTCGTGGTCTCCAACCTCGGCCGTGTCCCACTTACTGCTTATCACTTTACGGATAATAGATTTTACAGGTCGGGATATGTGCTTATTTCTACCTGGTTGAATCATACCGCCAGTTTCCACCAACCTCACCAGCTACAGCCAGTTGCCCAACACCATGGCCCGCACAATTTTCCTCATCGTATACAACAGTCGATTATTCCCTGCCCACTGGGCCATCTGGATCCCCAGCCAAAGCGATCCTAATGTTGGCAAAATCGTCAACGCTGTGGGTGATGTTCTCACGGGGTTCGACATTACGTTTGAACGAAACTACAACATCTCGGCAGAAAGTCGCCCTCGCCAGTTAATTTCACTCGGAAATGTCCAAGATGGTCATGTAGTTGATGTACCGGGTGACGGGCGATATCGAGTTGAGAGCGAGTCTCAAGGAGACCTCGTGGCTTATGACCTAATTGAAGAAGCTGGGCTCAACACTCCTGCTCCTGTCAAGAGCCTCCGGTCTATTTCCAGTGTCAGTGATTTTATCTTATTCATATTTATTGTAAGTTAATCCATTACAGTCATCCCATTCTCGGGTGGAAATTAGGAACTGTCAGACGTGGGTTCGAGAGGTTGTGGAGAAGCTGGTGCAGGCCGGTGTCATGCATGAGTCTGCTCTCGAGGCAGTACGAAAAGCCCCGAAGAACTAAGCGTGAGGATAAGAGGTGATGGGACTATATTCCAAGCTGGTTTATCTAGCAGTGGTTGAGGAAATGGGACGAATGAGCGTGGAGAATCAAGCCATAATGCGATCTGGCCATGAAATATGAGTGATCCAACCCATGCTAAGAAGCAGAGCACCACCCACGGTGCTCTCAAAAAAGAGCAGTTAACAATCATACATTAGCGTCAAGTTATGCCCTTGCAGGCGATAGTAATAGGACTCTATATGCGTATTAAAGGTGGCGCGAGGGTACCCTCTACCCTATGACTGGATCCTTGGTTAGTGAGAGGATTAGTTACCATGATGACGAACTCAGCGGTGGCCCCGATGATGCCAGTAACAAGGTCTTCGTCTAATATACTCGCCTGGAAAGAGGATTGCCGGTTTAGTTCTGTGTGAATCATGCGCCATTTCACGGGCGTCCTCCACTCAAGTCGGAGACTGCTGGACGCGTTGACTTGGTCCGAGTACAATTCGACGCGGAGGGACAGTCAAACACTTTATTTTTCCTCTTTTCTGGCCGCTTTTCTCAAAGGGCTGACCATCTCCGCCAAAGAGCACTATTCTACAGGGTGTGTCCATCTCAACCGCAAACTCCAGATCCAATCATGCACCGTGTCCCACAGGTCCGGCTCAACCCCCGACTTGCCAAAATCACCCATGACTGGGTCACTGAGATCCGGGTCGCTGCGGGCCTTGGTTCCAGCTTTGGTCCGCCAGAATGACTTCTTCTCATTCCCGCGCTCGTGTTGATGATAAAGAAGGATCTTTGGTTTGTCGATGAGGTAATAAAGGATTCGCCTTGCAGAATTAAAACTACCGTCGTGTTGCATGACGATTGAGCCACCAGAGATCATATCTTTCCAGTACTTTCGCTTCAGTGCGTTGTGGCGATACTGTTGTTTGGCTTGGGCCGATGGAGAGTCCAGATCCCACCTGTTTGTGACAAGAACGCAATTACTATAGGCCTCGTCTCCCAGTAGTAGCTTCAAATATTCCAGTTGCTGGAGAATTAATAAGCATTCTTCCCGGTCCGTCAGAAGGGGTGAGTAGTATCATACCTTTATACCGTTCCCTCGAATGCGCGTCTGGGAGATATCATAGAGGTATATAATACCGCTGAGCAGTCGACCGTTCTGGTAGTTACTGAGGAGTTCCTTTGATATGTGCTGCAGAATTTGGATGTCGGGCAGCCTATCATCTTCGAAACCCGGGGTGTCGATGAGGTAGACATTCCTGCCATCGATAGAAGCTCGGTACCATGAGACTTTTGAGGTTTCTTAATCACTTCGAGTTAGTGTTTAAATCGGGGTAAGCTTTTCAAGGGAACCAACCAGACTCCAACTCATCACCGACTCCTGGTAAATCGCCGGTCGATACATGCCGCCCCCCAAGTGTGTCGATAAGAGCACTCTTGCCCACCCCAGTCTGCCCCATAACTGCAATTATGGGAGCAGATCGATCGATCCGAGGTGGGCCTACGTTAGCAACGATTATACCGATGATCAAGGCGACCATGGTCAAACAGAGAGCGATCCACCGACATGCACGTCCGCATCTGGATCCGGATCCGGATCCCGCTGTCTTGCGAGCAAGGCCGCCAATGCGAGATCGCTTGCTGTGTGAACTCTCTATATCGCAATGTCAGCACTGATAAACCAGGGAGAGACGGCCTTTTTCTTACTCTCTGGTTTGTACTTCCTCTTTAGGACTTCGGCACACTGATCCAACTGCAGTGAGCAGTTGTCCTTCAGGTACGTGAAGGTCCGGGCTGAGATATCCTCGAGCTTTGAGGTGTCTGAGAGGTCAATGTTACCGATCCCAGCTGGGACAGTCAATCTGAAGTACTTGTTCGTCCTCACAAGATGTTCATGTGAGGAAGCAAACCTGGATGCTGTCGCTTCTGTATCCGTCAACACAGATGAGAAGTTTTTGAGCATATCCAGAACTTTTGCACTGTAGCCTTGCTCGACCCCAGTTCCAATGGACACCATACAGTGAATTTGCTCATCGAAACTTGTGCTGTTCGGTTCCTCCCACAGATCTCGGGCACAGTCTCGGGTCTGAAACACGGGATTGTTGGCGCCGATACCACCATCAACAAACTCGAGGGAATGGGGGCCGACTTTGATAGGGTCGAAATAGGTCGGGGCGGCCGATGTTGCCCTGGAAGAGAGTTAGTACGTGGCGCTGCGGAATATAAGAGGATCCAAGTAAGGGGAGTCTCACCTAGCCGCTTCCCAAATCTTGATGCCCTTGACACGGTTGTGGTGTGCCGGATCGCGGTAGTTGCGGAATTGGACTGGGCTTCTGTCCAAACACTGCGTCGCGCAGACAAAACTAATGACCGGGCAGAAATTGTCAGCATCCAAACAGATAGGTTTCCAAACACTCTCTCCCAAGGAGTGCCTCACACTTTACACTGGCCTTCATCCGTGGTCTCTAATGGCGCGCTGGATGTTTCTTCATAGATTCGTATGATGTCTTTGACTGCATCTTCAAGGTGCTGGCTATCATACATTGACCAACCGGTGATGGTGCGCACCACTCGCGGCATGTACTTGCTGCACAATTTCGGTCGAAAGACTTGTCGGGAGATATGTTGATATGCCACAATGCACTCGGCGACAGACATTTCAAGACGGCCCAACATGATGGCGATAAGCCTATTCATAACACACCAGTTAGTCATTCTATTTAGTCCAGGCTCAGTATGCTTACCCTCCAGTGCTCGTGCCACCAATCATGTCAAAGACATCGCAGGGTCTGGGCGGATTTTCACGACTGATCCTTTCCATCAACTCCTGCAGTATAAGTAGAGTTGACAAGCCCTTCACACCGCCTCCATCCAGAGACAGAAGAATGGGCCGGACTACGTCGTCCTCTGGAGTCGATGATGAAGGCGTGGATTCATGAGCTGGCGAGACCTCATCAGCTGGTGAGGGCCCGTCAACTGGTGAGACGGAACGACTCATTTTGATTGTGTAGTAGAGTACGAAGTATGCTGATGATGAATAGAAAAGATCAATCTTTGGCGGGTCTTCGTAGTTGCGATTTACACTCACAACGATGATCAGGCTCTGAGAAAGTTGATGGAATCTGTTCTTAAATAATCACTTTTGGCCGGCCCCCAGACGTAAGCATCTTGGTCTTCTTTGTTTCCTAACTATGCATATCCCATCTTAATGGTCAATGTAGTTTGAATTGCATCGCAAACGCCTTGTGTAGCCTCCTTTGTGTGACGTGGCAGCCCCATGACGGCTGAGTTGTCACCCCAGTTCAAAGAACAAGGCCCATCTAACAAGGACGTAGACTACAGGTTGGCATCAACTTGGTCGCCTCCACCGTCCAGCTTTCTGGCCCCGAACCGTTGATTGGCGAGGAATGAGGGATAACCCCTTGAGATGGGAATCAGTCCAAAACAAGGCTTTTTCTTCTAGTTTTTTTGATGACATCGCTGTCAGCCACATAATCAAAGGACACACTTAAAGACACACAAAACACGGCTTCAGGATATGTGTAAGCCTACCAACTCGTATTGACGTTGAGTACGCGCTTTGTTGGTGTTCTTTGTCCCAATGAGCCGCCATGTCCGGTGGCTATGGCTACGGCCTTGTTGGTGGTGGGCGGCGTATGTAGGGAGGCGCCACGGGCAAACAAATTCCCTTTGTTTGCTTGACCAACACCAGCAGGGGCGTCCTGCTGAGTCCTTCTGGCATCCCCTTTGTTGTGTTGTGCAGGCTCTGGTGGTTGATTGAAATGCGCGCTGGAGTTTTAAGGCAGTCCACGTCCTGTATCCAGTTGAAGACTGCCACCTCATCGAAAGCTTTGTTCAGCCCGCAAGAAACAGCACCAGTCACTCAAGAGTTCCGACCCCATCATGATCGCCCAAGACAAAAACACAGGCCCCAAGCCAACGTTGGTTACCACGCCAGATCCACCCGTGGTGGATGCCTCTGCCGACATTACAGGCCTGGACAAACGGTCTGAAGACGGAGACGACAGCAACGTCTCGCTGAGCAAGTCCAAACCCACCGTGTCTATGGGAGACGATGCAGTTGTCGAGCTACCGCCGGCTACTGAACCACCCATTGAGGAACGTAGTGATGCCGATGAGGTCCCCCCGCCAAACAAGTCCGATTCGGTCGTGGACGGGAAAGACGATGCCATCGTTGGGCCTCTACTGACTACCGAGCCACCAGCAACGGAGTTTGACGATGACAATGACATCCCCCCACTGAACAAGTCCAACTCGGCCGCGGTCGCAAAAGACGATACAGTCGTTGAGCTGCTGTCAACTACCAAGGCACCGACCAGGAACCTTGACGGGGACAATGACGCTCTCCCGCCAAACAAGAGACCCAAGCTCATGGGCCAACAAACCGGCGATGAGGACTGCAAGTCGCCCTCGACCACTGAGCTGAAGCCACCGGCGGTGAACGATTTCAAAGACTTCACCATGTTCAACGAAGTCGACGAATTCGATGCGACGGATAAGTGTGTGGCCACGTACACCTTGGTCATGATGGATTGCCAAGAAAGCTACACAGCCTGGATCGGCACCGTCAACGCCCCAATAGATCAGGTCAGTTTTGAGCAGGCTGTGAACTGCCTTTCTCGAATCCCGGACAAGGCCATCTACCCGCCTGTCCCTCCAGACGTGCAAGTGGTTGCGACTTCCGACTTCACACTCGACAACGAGACGTGGCTCAAGAGGCCGCTGATTCACAGCTACAGCAAGAAGGATCGCACATACTGGGTCGCCAATTCGTTCCTTGGCGAGATCAGAGCCCACCAGCTCGTGGAGGAGCATCCGCACCGAAACCTGGTCAAGTTCAAGGCATGTCTCGAGAAGGATGGCCTAGTGGTCGGGATTTTGCAGAAGCGCTACCCAAGGAATCTCCACTTCCGGGTCGAGGCCCGGTCGCTGCCGCCTTACGACGCGACGGCATTCTACAACGACATTGAAGCGGGCCTGAAGCATCTCCATTCTCTGGGGTTCGCGCACAACGACTTGAACCCCAGCAATGTCATGGTAGACGCAGAGGACAGGCTCATCATCATCGACTTGGGCGCTGCCAGGCCATTCGGTCAAGTTCTCAATCAGGGCGGCACTCCAGGCTGGTGCGATGGGTTCCAGAGGACTTCGTGTGTGGCCAACGACGAGATCGGCCTGCGCCTGATGAAGGACTACTTCCAGGAACACGAAAAGAAGAAGTGAGCGGGACATGGCGGTGCGTGTCTGTCAATGGGCTCTTGTTGGTTTACCAGTTGCATTTTCACGAGCAGATAGGTACATAGGTAGTCAGCTAGAGAGTACAACGGTAGTTTCTGCTTCTTTCCCTCGTTGATACCATCACGGAGCATCGTAGCGCTCGTAGTGAGCATATTCATCGTTCACTTTGTTATCCAGCCAGCCATATCATTACGCGCTCGTGATGCAATGTGTCCATCGATTTAGTTAATAATCGAATCCAAGAAACCAACACCATTCATCTAATCAACAGCCGCAGTATGCTTTTGTCTGATCATTCAACTTCCATCTCCTTCCACCACACAAGCCAATCCGCCTACCCTACACCACCGGCCGATCCTTGTTCCGCCCCGCCCCATCCTCCGCCTCGCCCGCAAGGCTCCAGCTGCCTGCCTCATCACAGACACCGCATCATCATCCATCATCGCCCATTACCCAATTCTCCTTTCTCACGGCAACGCCTTACCCCCACGAGTCCTCAGAACCATCTTACCCCACGAAACTCGCTCTCGAAACACCCGTCGTCATCATGGCCTCCACAGACCCCAAGGCCGAGCAGGACAAGCCCGTCGAGCCAAAGACAGAGCAGAAGCCCGCGACTCTGGGCGAGGACGACGAGTTTGAGGACTTTCCCGTTGATGGTACGATCACATAGCACCCAACATTGCGCACCTTGAGCTTCCCGACGAGCTCCCCTCCACCTGCACCCCGACCAGAATAAACAGTACAGAAGCGGCAGCTGACAAAACACAGACTGGCCGGAGGACCAGACCGAGGCGGCCAAGAACAACGGCGAGACAAAGCACCTGTGGGAGGAGAGCTGGGACGATGACGACACGAGCGACGACTTTTCAACACAGCTCAAGTGGGTGCCCCAAGCTCCCCCGTTCTCGGACAAGACAGTCACTAACCTCGAAACAGGGAGGAGCTCAAGAAGGTCGAGGAGTTGAAACGGAGATAGGAACTCGAATTTCTCCAGACGGAAAGCGAATAAGATGGGATGGCATGGAATGCAGGACTAGAGCATCAGAACTCATAGACTGGGTCGGTTAATGAATCAACATATTACACGAGCACTGTTTTACGATTGAGGACGTCCCATTATTGGACATGACGGCTTCTGCCGATCTATTGGTATTTGGATATTTGCTTCCTACAGACTAGCCCTCCCCACCCGGCCTTTTACCATTTTCATTCCCGTCATCAACAGGTTCATGTACGTCGTATTCCAAACATGGTGGACATCATTTACTTACTCGACAGAGCAACAACACCGGGCAGCTCCTTGCCCTCGAGGAGCTCCAGAGAGGCACCACCACCGGTCGAGACGTGGCTGAGCTTGTCCTCAACACCGTACTTCTTGGCGACGGTTGCAGTGTCACCACCACCGATGATGACAATCTTGCCATCGTTCTGGACACCATCGACGACGGCGTCGAGGGTGGCCTTGGTACCGTTGGCGAACTTGTCAAACTCAAAGACACCAGCGGGGCCGTTCCAGAGGATGGTCTTGGCCTCGGCGATGGCCTCCTTGTAGAGAGCGACACTCTTCTCACCGCAGTCGAGACCCATCCAGCCATCGGGGATACCGTCAGCGTCAGTGGCGTAACCAGTCTCGGCGTCCTTGTCGAACTTGTCGGCGGTGATGTAGTCGACGGGGAGGACGACCTTGACGTTCTTGGCCTTGGCCTTCTCGACCAGCTCAGCAACAGTCTTGGAGCCAGCCTCGTCAAAGAGGGAGCTGCCAATAGACACGTTCTCGAGGGTCTTCTTGAAGGTAAAGGCCATGCCACCGCAGATGATCAGGGTGTTGACCTTGTCCAGCAGGTTGTCGATGAGCTGGATCTTGTCCGAGACCTTGGCACCACCGAGGATGGCAAGGAAGGGGCGCTGAGGAGACTCGAGAGCCTTGGCGAAGTAGTCGAGCTCCTTCTTCATGAGGAAACCAGCAGCCTTCTGGGGGAGCTCGACACCGACCATGGAAGAGTGGGCACGGTGGGCAGTGCCAAAGGCATCGTCTACAATCGTCAGCATCATACGGCATGGCGAGACGGACCGATCAAACACGAGATGAGGTGGTCCGTGTTGAGGTGAATTATGGGTTTACTCACTGATGTAGACATCACCAAGAGCGGTCAGGCCCTTTCGGAACTCCTCGACCTTGGCCTTGTCGGCCTTGGTCTTCTTGCCCTCCTTGTCCTTGGAGCTGCCCTCCTCCTCAATGTGGAAGCGGAGGTTCTCGAGGAGGATGACGGAGCCAGCCTCGGCGTTGTTGACAATCTCCTCGACCTCGGGGCCGACAGAGTCGGGGGCAAAGGTGACGGACTTGCCCAGGAGCTTCTCGAGCTCAGGGACAACAGGCTTGAGGGAGTACTTTTCGTTGGGGGAGCCGTTGGGGCGGCCGAGGTGGGACATGAGGATGACGGCCTTGGCGCCGTTCTCGAGGGCATACTTGATGGTGGGGAGGGCACCAACGATGCGCTGGTTGTTGGTGATGTTCTTGTCGGCGTCGAGAGGGACGTTGAAGTCGACCTAGGGGTTCAGTCAGCGTCTGGAAAGGGAATTGCTACAGGATTGAAGCTCTAGCAGTCAACCCATGATGCCATCATCAAGACGATGGCGGCAAAAGAGCTCTCAGCTGGATAGCGGGGCATCAACTTACTCGGATCAGGACCCTCTTGTCCTTGACGTCGACGTCAGTGATGGAGAGCTTGCTAGACAGCGACATGTTGACGGCTTCTGTAGGGTTCAAATTGAAGTGAATGGAATAGGCGGATGATGTCGAGAAGAAGAGAGAGTTCCGTGGTCTGATGGAGGGGGAGAAGAAGAAGATGTAGGAGGGGAGCACCACCGTCTCAAGGTGGGGGGCCAGACGATGACGGCGGCGGGGCTTTCGCGGCTGCACCTGGAGCTGGTGGTGGGATGATGAGGGAGATGGCCGCGATGACCCCTGGAGGCACACGCGTTTTAGCGGTGGGAGCACCTGTATGTGATGCAGCCGTGGCATTGGACAATCATCAGAATCAGAACATTTTTAACCAGGCATTCATTCCTATCCGTAGATTCCAGGATGCGTCGGTCCGACCTTTTGACGTGACGCCCACTGTATCTACAGGCTAAAACAGCAAAATCACTCAACGCCAGCACGGGCTTCCTCAGCCGCAACCTACCTAGTTTTCTCTCGTTACCTACCGAGTACATCTCACCGTTGACCCGGGTAACGAGACGGCCGGGAAGACGGGAATGCTCCGGGATCTGGCGATGCGGATGCGGCCTCCCGGAGAGATGCGGGCCGGCCACCGACTATGCGTCCTCTACCTTGTCGGCCCATGACATCGATCGGGATCTCGAGTATGTAATGGTAACATCCGTGGTAGGCTGAGGAGGGAGGTTCGTGAGTGGGACGGACGATGCTAGTGGAAGATGAAAGAACATGATCAGCATCAAGACGGTCAATTGCCAAGCATTGTTGATTTACAGCATCACCACATCAACTGACATGTAGACATTCACGCCAAGTCTGTTTAACCTCGGTGCATTCGACCTCCATGAGATTACCATGACCTGAATAATCTCCTCCTATCCATGATACAAAAAAGATGTCCATTGTGACGCTCGTCAATCCATTCCGTCGACCATGACGAACAGATGACCGGGCTGTGCCCATTACCAAAACACACTCCTCAAACGCCATAGCCTTTCTCAGATGAGCCGTTATAGAATAAAATAACGACGAGATTGTCCTCCCGTCGACGCCAGAGGGAATGCAATCGCCCGCTCCTGATCTCGATAGCACGGACCTCAATGGAGAGCGGGCCAGCATGAAAGCATCTACTTGACTACAAAGCAGTGGATTTCTCCTACTGCTATAGCCTTTTATTGTTTCGTCTCGTGTATGTTTCGCTTAGTCCTTGGACGAGTTGGTGAGCGAGAGATAAGCCGTCCAGGCGATACCGATCGTCGACACGAAGGGCTATGACGAGTTAGCTATGTATCATTAGTATCCAGCACCTCGACTCACCAGCTGGAACTGAACAGGCATCAGGCGAAAGTTGACAATCTGCACAGCAGGCCACACACAGTAGTTGGCCTTGAGCGAAGGAATATACATATCCCTAAGCTTGCTGGAGATGGCACGACGACCTCCACCCTCGGCAATGGTCATGGTGGTAAAGAAAAGAGCCAGACCAAAAGGCGCAAAGATGAGCTGATCAAACGCAACACGCTTCATGGCAGGAGCAAAAGCGCTCGTCTTTGTAATCGGAAAGATGTGCTCGAGGAAGCGGAACCACTTGAACTGGACGGGCGCCATGCAGAAGCCGTACGCCATGAAACGGGTCAGACGCTCAAAGTCGAAGGGCGGCGGGAGGTTTTCCGAGTCGGGGATCAGGTCGCGGTCGTAGAAGGGGTTCTTGCGGTCGAGCTCGTGGATCTCGATGGCGATGCCGTCGTTCTTCTTAAGGCCGCCTGGCTGGCGGAGGGCTCGCTCGCGGATGGCTGTGATGGATTGGGCAACTGTATCGGCGACACCACCGAGGATAGCGTTGGTGACCATCATGGTCATGACTACAAGAGTCAGTATTGGTTGTTCAAGTCGGCAATTGGATCTGCAGATACGTACGTGGTCGCTCGTCATAATAAGAGTTGAATCGAGCCGTGAGTCTCGCGATAAGGGCCATCTCGACGAGGAAAACGATGGTGTGCAACAGAGGCTATACCAAGTCAAGTGTCGTCAGCGTCGAGTCGCATTGAAAGTATAAATGAGTGTAGGCAACGACAATGCAAAAAGGAGTAGACAAAGGGTGAGAATGTCGAGCCGTTGGGAGTAAAAACGTGGTGGTGATGATGTCGGTTAAAGAAAAAAGTACATGTGGCGACGGATCATAGAAAGAAAAGCTGGTGGTGGTGGTGGTGCAGATAGGACATGACAAGAGCCACCCGAAAGCTACTGTACCCCAAAAAAAGAAATCAGGAAAATGGGATACATACGATGCGCCCATAGATGTATTTCGAGTTGATTGCGCGGACGAACCGCCTCTGGTTAAGTTCCCACGTCATCTTGAATATTGTCGATGTCGAGGTAGTATAGCTTCGAAGGGATCTCGTGCGTTTTTATGAAGTCGCAACGTGGAAGAAAAGGGAGGCAAATATGTTTCGAGTCGCTGACGAAAAGGAATGGCAGGCGGATGTCCGGGGCTTTGAGTCAAGGGCGGATTTCCGGTGATGACGACAGTCCGGCGCTCCAGCGCGCACACTGGGTTCGTGGTCTTGGCGAGACGGAGAGGACACTCTGTCTGGCTGAGACGAGGTCGAATATGTCGGCGAGAAATGATATGATGCAGGAGAATATCGCAAAAGCGGACAGTATTGGAGATGGGGCAGAAAGATGGGAAAAGATCAAGTGGGAAACGAAATGGCAAAGGGTCATGGAAGACCAAGGTCATGCGACCAGCCTCCCTCCTTCAGCTCCATCAGCAGAAAACACAACGCAAGCGCTTGGAGGCGACAGTGTAACCACATGCCGCATACGCACCGTGTGGGATGGCGCACACTCGGACATACAAAAACTTGAGACACCAGGACATCGAGACTTAGTGAAGAGTACATAAATAATAATCTAATTATAAGCTAAATAAAACATAAAAATGAGGAATAATATTATAAGTCTTTGATAATCTTTATTTATTATATTAAGGGCCTTTTTTCACCTTAGAAAATAGAGAGGGCTAACTCAGTGTCTCATCTTTTTCTGCGAAGGCGTGGCGCATTCTCCACGTTTGACATGACGCTTTCTGCCTGACATCGACTGGGTTTCCTGAATGCACTTTGTTTACCACACTGTGTCATTCTGCCTGCAAGCCTCTTACACAAGGCATGACGAAGCCTTTTTCTCGCAAAGTACCGCGCTGCGTACTGCAACCTACAGTTTCTGCTGTACCGTAATACTAGGTCTCTCTGGGTTCTTTTCCCCTCCCCGAAACCGGACCCTTGTCTCCATCTCAAGGGCCGCTGTGGATCATCCTCCGGGGATCCCGGCCGGGTCCCGCGCTTCACGGAGTCGCCCCGGCTCCGAGACACCGTCGATGCTTTCTACCTGCTACAAAGCCTACAACCAACGACCAAAAGGAAGACCCAACAGTATAACCAACAGATCCTCCGGTAATACAACACAGTCGTATCGTGGCTCCCATGCGTTGTTAGTATTGGACGTCATTGATTGTGTCAGACGGGCTTGGTTTGAGGCTGAGTCAAAGGATTCACGGCCAACGGCGTATTTGAACAGAGCCACCATCCGTGCTCCCTAGACGTACCGTGATGGATTTCTGCTTGTTAGCCCTGTAGGAGCCATTCGCCTAACAAAAGGCCAGGATGTATGGCCAAAGCAGCACCGACCCCGAGGTAATGTGTCATAACTACCCTATGCCAGAATATGTGGGCGTAGATCCTTGGGTGATGAGGCATTTCTGGGTTGGGGAAGAAAGAAAGGAAGACAAATAAACTATACGCCATTATTCAAATGTTGTCCAACCTAGTTCAACATGTAAAAGCCTGGCTTACTTCTTTGGTGGGTGGTCGTTGATATTCCGTTGATGTCTTGGCACTGTGCCGTGAGCCTGGGCCAAGACGATCACAAACAACCAGGAATGCCTCAAAAGCCACACCACATCTAGGAATGAAAAGACAACAGTACATACTGTGGCTCGGCCGCTTCTAGGAAAGAAGAGAATTCACTTTATGCACCCATGTTTCGAACGGCCCTGCATTTAGCACGGCGCTTGTAAGCAGTGCATGTTTGGCATTGGGGTGCCTCGACCTCATTCGCTACCTAGTGAAAGGCGAAGGCGGGTACGTCAAACGGAGATGTTTCATAGCCGTCCATGGGTCAGAAAACACATGAAGAGTTTCAGTTGTTTGGCAACAAGTCAACTACACTGAGAACCATGAAACGTAAAAACATTACTACAAAGACACGGCAAAATGAGGCAAAGATTTATTCACCCGGGACTCGAACCCAGAGCCTTCATCACCACAGCCACTAAACATAGCTTCTTTCGAGCTCCATGATCCATCCCCTTCCACAGCCATGGCAACGGCCTCACTGGGCACTTGGGGCGGGTCGAGGGGGCGAAGGGGGAGGTGTGAGAGTCCACATGCGAGCCTGTCCGAGTTTGAAAGCTAGCTCTACCGCCTCGAAGCGCTGAAGCCATGTTCTCTCGCGCTGCCAGCAGACACCGTTAGCATGAACTCCTCTGAAGCGGCTTAGTTGGCATCGATGGCCTCGTGGGTGATCGCATCGTGCGGTATTGCGAGGTAGCGGGACCAAATACTTACGTGGACGACGGGTGGTGCTGTCAAATATATCAGCATCAAGCTCGAATTAAAGAGATCATTCAAGACGGAAGCACTTACGGGGCACAACGGATGTATTGGAGGGGGGAGGGACGCTGGCTGGCCCTTTCTGCTTCTTCTTCTTCTCCTCCTCCTCCTTGGCGGCTGCGAGGAGTGCGGATGCTAGAAACGATCAGTTCATCGCCGCTACCCAGGCCAGTTCTTTTGGATCAACTTACGATCAAAGTTTTCCCAGATCTCGGGTTTGGGATCAACATCAGAGGTATAAACCCCCATGGTGCCGTCTGGACGTATGACGGACGTCATGGTGATGGTTGATGATGGAGGAAAAAGATGCTCAAGAACGACGCAAGGTGCTCCGAGAAGTTTGCGCATAATGAATTATCTTTACGTGCCCTGTTTGCAGCAGTGCGTTTGATGCTCCTTTTACGCTTGTGCAGCGTCAACCAGCTGTTCACCTGAGTAGGACTAGAAAATAGGCCTTACGCAGAATGGGGATTGCAAATGCGACAAAGCCCCAAATCGAGAAAGATGCCAATTAAGAGATTAGCTAATTCATTTCTTTTAACAATACTTCCATTTGCGTCAGGCGCTGCCTAACGTCAATTGCCTTGAATGGTTTGCAGCAATCTCAATGGTGGTGTTGTCTTATTGCGTACTGCTCCACGTCATGCCTGCACCATCACTTCTTCTCAGGGACTCCCCTAAAGATGCCAGCATTTACGACTGCAATTCTGAGCGTGCTTGTTATGTTGAAGTCTGATAAAGCCTGATCGTCACGTCGCCTGGGTCGAGGCGGTCGCGGGTGATCACGTGACATATCCTGGTCGTGATGGGGGGTCTGACACGTCATAATGTTAGACCATTCTTGACGTTGGCTTTCTAGTGACTGTATAAAGAATAACAGGAGAAGGCACTCATTTAAATGAATCGATTCGACTTGAGCTAAACGAAGGGTATGGTCTCTGTGGGCATGATTGAGGTTGCAGTGGGTTAGGAGAGTCAGACAGTGAAACAAACCCAGATCACACGACATTGCTGATGTCAATAACTACAGAGCTCTACGGGTTCATGCAAGGCACCAAGGCGAGCCATAGCATGCACCAACGGTGTGTTGGCTGAGCATGGGGTTATGCCCGCTCACTCGCCCTGACCCGCTCTGCGATGGGCGATCCCTAGCTTACCGAGAAAGCAAGCGTCAGCGTAGAGTAGAGGACACAGCCAGTATATCATATTGCTGTTCAATTCCTTGACAAACTAAGGCCTTAGTTCTTGTAGACACAGCTGCTGTCAAAGACCTGGAGCTGGCGTGGGCGGCGCCAGGTCAGGGTTTAGGGAATAAACTTCCGCCTCTGTCTCCAAACAAGAGCCTCGTCTTAGCCTTAGGTAAAGAGGGGTTTGACAGCTTAGCGGGGGTAAAGAAACATCAACTTCCAACCCCTGGCAAAAAAGAAACACCAAAATATCGGTGCAACATGAAATAAATCCGCAAAAAATGAAACGATGTACCCAGGACTCGAACCTGGAGCCTTTGCCACCGGAAAGCAACGCGCTGCCATTGCGCCAGCACACCGCTGCCTAGATGCTAATTGGCCGCGGTAATTGGAATCATACGATGCAAGTTGTGGAGGTGTGTGCAACCCTTACTTGGCTCGCGCGCCGCACATGTTTTGGGGCAGTAATGTCCCGTTTTTAGGCGGCAAGAGCACTCTCACAGCTTGAATACACTCATAGAAACAATTCCCACAAGCTTTGCGCTGAACGGAGCTGAATGGTTGCCGCTGTTGTGCAATATCTTTCGCATCTTTTTCGCCGACATCACAGATTTTTCCAGCATCGCCGATTTCCTATTTCGGCAATACCCATCCACCACGTGGGGAACCACACCGTTGTAGGGCTGAAACGTCCACGTCTTTTGGCAGGAGCCCAGATCTGTGAAATTTAGGAAGGTGCCAAGGAGGAACCAAATATTCGTGAGCTGCATCACGAGAAACGGCGGCGTAAATGACTCGCTGCATGGTCTGTCGCTAGGTGGGTAGGGAGAACAAAGACTTCCGCCGAGCGATGTACTTGAGCATGGACGGATCAGACGATTGGTAACTTCAGAGATCTGGAGAATGAATGCAACTGCAGGGAGTTCCTTGAGGGGGCCTCAAATCTAAATGGCAATAAAGGGGGTGGATGTCTGCGAAGCCTCAATGCAAGGGCTCCAAAACACCAGAACTGCAGAACGTGTCTGACTCTACCAAATGTTAGGACCCTATTGTAACTGAATGTAAACAGGACAATATGAAATTATCCTAAAGTATCATAAGAATAGGTAATTTTTAAACGCAACTCTTGAGAATACTTGTAAGTATCCTTACCTAAGAGAGCACCCGTTCATACGATGCTTCAACCGACCGCGAGGGCACTGGCATGCAGCTCAGCTATCCCGACGTTCGTTCCCAGCAGGTGGAATTAAGCCAACTTAAGCCTGTAATGCCTCCTTCCAAGGGATAACACATTGAGGCGCGAAGCCACTACCGTCCAGCTATTCAAGGCAGATGGGACGCTACCCTCAGGGGAAAAGGTCAACTCAAGGCTGCGAGAGAACGCAAGGGACTCGTATATGCATATTGCTTCTAGACTCACGGATGAAACTGAATCACATTATGCAACGCGCTCGATACAAAGCTCAATCACAAGCAACCAAAGCAAAATGAGTAAAAAAAGCATCACACGAATGGGTATACTCCAAGCCGTTCCCAACGGCAACCAAAACCGCCATCCATCCCAAAGTCTATAACCATAAACCCAACCGCCAAACACGACCCGCTGCAAGACAGACAGACACGCTCAAGCTCAAAAGTCCTACTCCAGCTCATCGTGGTCCTCCCACCGCTTCGCCCCCAGCTTGCGAACCTTCTTGGTGGGGCTGCCGTTCGCGACGGCTGCTGGGCGCGAAGTGTCGTTGCTAACGCGCATGCGCTCCAGCTTGCGTCCGAGGTTGGAGACACCATCGGTCTTGGATGTCTTTGCGGCTGGTGCAAAGTCCTCGCGTTCTCCGAGGGGTCTCCGCTTGCTGGGGCTGCGCGAGGCGAGCTCACGCTTCAGGATGCCGTTCTCATGGCGAAGTCTCTCAACCTCTTCCTCCAGATCCTCGATGAGAACATTCTCCTTGTCATAGTCGGAATCATCAGGAGCAAGACCACGCTCGAGGATCTCGACCTTGCGATCCCAGTGCTCTTCATTACGCTCCTGCTCAAGTGCCATAGAAGCCTTCCACCGTGCCATCTCCATGGCGAGGCGCTGTTCAAACTCAGCAGCGCAGTCTTCACGAATGGATGCCTCCATATCAAGCATGCGATCTTCCATGCTCAGCAGATGAGCCTCGGCGGAAATCCGCGCTTCCGTCTGGCGATCGACCTCTTCCCGCAGCTGATCGGTCTCATCACTAAGTCGGGCGATCTCCAGGGCAGCAATCTCCATGGTCTGACGCTCATCGGAGCTCATGGGAGGGGTGTAGTTTCTAAACGAACCCGAACCAGGAGGCATGAATGGCCGGGTATGGTGATGCACTGGGCTGGGCGAACGGGTGTTAGCCGCTTTAGGGGGTGGGTGAGCCAGGATAGTGGCTGTGATAGAGGGGATTCGTGGCACCGTAACCTCGCGAGCAAGGGCGCTGTATCGCAGGATCTGGGAGGTGGCATTGAAGTCACCTCGAGGGTCAGCTGTGATGATCATGACACCCCTCTGAGGGTTTCGTCGAGGAGCGTGAGCATGAGGGGTAGTCGAAGAGGAGGGGAACGAGTTGGAGAAGAGGAGCTCGGTGAGCTTGCACTGTCTGAATGGGACAATGTTGGGCTGTGAATGTTAGCACATGTCAAACACTCTTCAGAGTGTAACTTACCTTGCTTGAGCTTGCAGCCTCACTCTGTGTCTGAAGACACTGACCGAGATACATCAAACTCTCGTTGATCTTGCCAGCCTCTGCAAGCGTCGCACCGGCCGTCTTGGCCTCTCGAGCTCGCTCACTTCCCGCCAAATCAACAATCGTGAACCGGTTTCCTTCCCAAGGGCCAGGTCTCCTGCTGCGAGTCCTCTTCTTGACCTCGAAACAAAAGAAGCCATGGCTTCTGCTCGAGACGCTGTTGCTTCCAGTGCCAGCGACTCGGCGCTCTTGAAGGCCAGTCTCAATAACAGTCAGAGCCTCAGCATAAGTAGTGCAAATGATCTTTCGCAGCCCAGCAACAACCTTGCGGTCAGGGGACAACTCAGTAGACTTGAAAAGCAAAGGACGGCGACGCAGCTCCTTGGTGGCGCCGGACTTGCTAGGGGGAGTGAGAAGATCGTAGATGCGGTCGTTGTGCACCTCATACATAGAGATGACAATCACGTACTCGGCCGATGGATCGCAAGGCACGTTGATTCCGCTGACGTCGGGTAACTGAGGGAGTGCCGAGGTTCGGGCCGCGTTTCGTCGAGGTGGAGGAGACATCATACTATGATCGCCCTTGAGATCTTGTTTAGTAACATTCTTGATACGGCTGGCGGCAGTTAGGGACATGAAATGCCTAGTTCGAGCCCGCTTGGGAGTAAGACAGTTCATAGTGCTGGTCGAAGTGACGAGGCTGCCGAGAGGTCGTCTCTCGCGCTTTGGGGAGCCATCCTATTGCTCCTCGAGGCGCAGAGGTTCTTCGGCCTCGCTCACAAGTCGTACACTTTTCGGACTTGTCGCAACTGAATCGCTTGGGAACGCGCCGGGCATGTTTCCCACTAACTTCGAGACTTGGCGACCTGGGGACTTTACAAAAGAAAGGATCGAGTTCTGGGTTCGTACAAACATAGGTGTGCCGGCGCGTGAGCCTGCCCTTGACGCCGCGAGAGATTCGGCATATGGAGGATCGAAGAAGTGAGACGCGACAGTTAGAGTCGACTCGGAGGCGTCGCTTGCCTGGAGGGAGTCTTGGGCGGCATAGACGGAGTGGGAATCGACCATGTTTTCGCCAATCGATCGGAACAAAACATCCATCGTCAGCTGGGTCAAGCCTCGCTGTGTCTTGTTGCCCAAGATCGTGTGAGTCTGCCGTTGTCAGTCTCGCATCTCTGAAGTCAGTATCAACACAATTACCTTGCCCGACCCGGTAACGCCCAATGTTGCTACGACAGCATCTGTTCCCTCTCCTCCCTGAGGAGCCAACACGCCCTCAACAAACGACACGATTTCGGTGCTGTGGAAGACATCGAGCTGGGTCGCTTCCTCTTCAAACACCCGAGTAAAGGCAAACTTCTCGATGGCCCTCCGTCGGTCCGTCGGCGGGTTCAACGTGATATGCGTCGCATGGGAGTCCTGCTCCGCTTCCTCAACATTGAGGATACGCTCTGGGTTGGTGTTGTGCGAGGGCGGCGGGCGCAGTCGCAGGTAGACCTCGAAGAGGTTGTGTGAAGCCTTGCGCGAGGCGTCCATGATGATTACCGATAGATACCGCTTCGATAACAAACGAAAGTCAAGATGGGATTCGTAATATGGAGGTAGAAACGGGTCAGGCTGGGTTCATGGATGGGTCGTAGATGGTCACTAACGATGCTTTCGGTGCGTTGCATAGGTGCCCATGTTTACCTTTGCTGCTATTGCGGAAATGATTTAGCCTGGCTGGCATGGCAACCAGTCTTTATCCTCGATAAGATAAGATTAGATAAAGACATTCTAGACGCCAGTTGGCGCGCGGGTATGCGCACGGGCCAACGTTGTCGCATGCCGTAGCCGCGCCACCAAGAAGAAAAAGTTGGATGTGGAGATGATGCCTGCTCAGGCCTCATTTCGCGACACCTCAGGGACAAGGATGCAACCCGTCGATTGAGTGGTGTCACAAGAAGTGGTGCATCGTAAGGTTTCAGCGGAAAGATGCAGCCACAGGTCCCGGCGTGGGAAGATTCCGCAGAGCGTCGGTCTGTCCTCTTCTGCTAAGCTCTACTACGTAGTATAGCTCAAGATTTCCCCTCCCGTTTTGACTTTTACTGCGTAGTACCGAAGCGGAGGGTGTCAGAGCACAGAGCTGAGCTGGGGCCTCACGTGTAGAAGGGAAGCCAAGACATGGAGTTGAGATTGAAGCTCCGTGGCAGCCGGGATTTGTGACAGCGTGGGCAGACACGAGGAGTCATCTAATGCATTTCAAGCCAATGGGTGTGTGACAGCGGGAGAATGTGGCCAATGGTTTCTGTCTAGAGCAGCTGACTGCCGGGGAGATGATCCTCATTTGACTCAGAGGCTGATGAAGAGTCAGAAAAGTGCATCTGCATGTGCTCATGTTGCAGAAGGTTCATTCAGTGTCAATCCCTAGTGCCAGGAGTGTCATTTGTTCCGTCATGATGGGATGTCTGTCGTCTGCTCCAAACAGTAATGCCGAGGCAGCCATTGGCAGAAGCGAAAGAAAGAAAAAAAATTCAGTTGGATGATCTAGAAGAGGGGCGTCCACTGGGCAATGGGAATGACCTCCACCCACCTGACAAGTTGCGCTACAGAGTTTTGACTCTAAAATCTTGCGCTAACGACTCTGATGACGGCAGTGCCTGTTGGACCCGTTTGAGAGGGAGGGGAGGGATAGTGAGGGGCTGGGATGGGATGGATGGGGGGGAATAGATTCAGCCTGGGAGAGATTGAGACATGCAAAGGCAATGCACGAATGGACAGATTCTGGAGATTGAACTACGCAGAGGCCATCCCCAACTGAAGCCTCATAAACCGTTGGGTCCGACCATGGCCCGAGGTCTCGGAGGCGAAAGGAAGAAAAACCTCGTCGACAGATCTCGTGAAACGACTCAAGAGGGGCCGAGAAAAAAAAGAGTCAACAACGACTATCCTGGCGAATACGACTAAGAAAAAAAGTCCAGGCACGTAAGGCGGAGGCGTAATCGAAACAATTAGCGCCAGTTCCCATGTTGCCTCAGCAGTTTTTTTCTTCAGTTTCTCCTCTCGGCTTGGGTTGGTTGAGGCGTCGAGACTTGCCTACTGCGGACTCTAGTAGTTTAGTTGCTTCGTCAATCCCGGTTGTCGGTTGGAGAGGGAATAAAAAAGAGCCTTTGCGAAGACGAGGACAAGACTCCACCAGTGGCCATGGTAACATGGTTGATGGAACCAGAAGAGACATTTCTTTTCAACCGAGGCGTCGTCTTTGAGGAGAGGGGATGATGGATCCATCGCCTGGGTCCTTTCTGGATCCCCTCTTCATTCTCTGCAGCTTCTCGTTCTTCAGCTGTTCTGGATCCCCTCGTCTGATGGAAGCTCCTGAACTACGAGAGGGTGGACCATTCCCTCCAGCAATGCCTGGCCACTGACATGGTCGCCTCGTCTCGACAGACTCCATCTAGCCCCGTACATAGGAGGGCCCGATGGGAGGAGACACACCCCCTGTTTGTTAGTGGAGTTGCCGTCACTGCGGAGCCCTCGAACCAGAAGCCAAGAAATGCTTGGACAGAGGAATTGAGGGGTCCTTTCTGGCCTTCTGTTTTGGCCATGGCTATCCCGGCTCGAGTGCCTGAACCAGCACGGGACTCAAGGGAGCGGCAAAGAAAAAGAAATGGATATCAGAGCCACCGTCAGGGCCCTCAAAGTACCGACGCATTGGGCATGCACCAGAGTACATTACATGCCGCACAGAGGAACCACTGGAGGATGCCTGCCTGCTTGCCTACCTACAAACTGGCATCTTCTGCTGGTGAGATGCAACCTAGTCAACTCGGACGTGGAACATGAAGCCACCTCATGTAAAGCCACCTCACTCTGTGTCTCCTTGCTTCGCGGCGGGCGTCTCGTCCTCATCTCCCTGGGGGTTGTGCGGCCCGTCTGCCTTCTGCCGTGTCTCTCCCCCGGCCTGTCTGGATTTATCCTCCTTGTCGTGCCCTTGGCCTGGGCGTCTAAGTGGTCCCCTAATTGCTCGTTTGCTCGCCTCACGGACCAGGGAGCATGGGGTATATCCCTCCAGATATCCATTCCCATACAGTAGGGTTGATGACGGACAGGACAGACCGAAGCCCTAATTGCCAGCATTCAGACCCCCGTCTCTCGCTTCTGCACCTTCAAACGACACCATTTGTAGAATTGAATCTTCGCCCTGCATCGCACCGAGTGAAACAGGATCAGCGGCTGGCGCTGCAGACAGTCTCGAGACTGACCTCTCGTTGGGCCTCATCCGTGAAATAAGCCAGCTTCATCTGAGGCTCCAAAAAGCGGTGACGGCGTGCCAGCCTATCCAGAACAAGCCTAGCGCCACCTCCCGCGCACTCCCCTCCAGTAGACTCCAGTGACTCCACCCTTGCTCCAGTAGATTTGCGCTAGCCCCGATCGGGAGCTGTCCCCACCTGTAGACGGAAAAAGTTTGGGATATTTCTGCTCCTCCTCCTCTTCCTCTCCTTCCTTTCCATCATCACCAACCCAAACCACAACCCCTCGAGACAACGAAGTCGCCATTATCCAGCATCATCCAGAGAACATCCCATACCGAAACTTAGTCGAGTCATCATGCCTTCGGCCGTCGCTGAGCTGTAAACGCCCACTGCGGGCCATGGCTGTTTTCCCCCGTGGTCCGCAGTCCAGCAGTTCACCGAGTTACCAGTCAATTTCCTCGCTCGACTTAGTTTTCCACAGCCTCTTCCGCTCTTGAGCTGAAGCTCAACCGAGAGTCTGTCTCTGAAACCAACGATTCTGCGATTTGCCCGATTGTCAAGGGCTTTGTTATACACCAACCTCCACCACCTACCTCGACTCCTCCATCTGTCCTCGTACCACTTCTCTTTACCCTCGATAGCATTCACCCGAGTATCGACACGTCACTACCAGAAAGGATACAACATTTCCCACCAATTTCTACACGCCACTGGATTCTGAGTCTACATCAATTTCTGGTTCTTGGACCATATCGAATTGGATCTTGCATACCAAGAAAACTCAGCGACAATCACAAAGTCGCCACACAATAGATTCCAGACCAACCACCGATTGTTTGTCTACTACATATACACAGAAACCATGTCTCGCAGCTTGAAGCGCAAGTTTGCCGCCCCTGTCAAGGTCAAGAAGACCAAGACCGTCAACCGTCGGCGCCGGGTTTCCGACACCCCTTCTACCTCCTCATTGGACCTGTCTGATGAAGGTGGCTACTCTGCCGTCGAGGACATTAGCGACTCCGAGGACGACGATGAGGATGATGTCGCTGCGGCCGAGGAGGAGAACATTATGGAGGAAGCTAGCGTTCCAACCCCACAGCCAGCTCCTCGGCCGCGAACCCTCATTGAAGAAGAGGACGACGATGATGATGACGATGACGAAGATGACGACGACGAGCAGGGAGGCGCAGATGTCGATGATGATGAGGGCAGCTGGGGCGGTATCCCCTCAGAGAATGAGCAAGATCTGCCAGAGTTCTACCAAGAAGCCGACTTCTTCGGCGCAGACACCCCTGTAGAACGTCATGTTCACTTTGACATGTCTCCCAGCGAGTCTGATTCTACTGACACTGAGGATGATCATGCCGACATGTTTCCCGACATTTTTGTTGACCAAAACACTCTCGACCCTGGATTCCGTCGAGAGATAGAAAACGACCCCGACGAGTCGTCAGGCTCAGGGTCGTTCTGGGACTACACTTACCAGTATGGTGACCAGGAGGACTCGGACGCTGAAGAGATCGTCCGTCAATTGGATGGGGATGAGACCCCTACTGCTACACCCAGGGGACCCCTTGCCCTTTCTGCTCCCACGTCTCCTACTCCCACCTTTGAAGAGCCCCAAGAGCTGGACGGCTATGAGAGTGAGTCCAGCCAGCATACGGGACACGTTGTCTTTCCAGTGCTAACATGTCTCCTCCAGCTGATGGTGACACTACCGAAGAGGATGAGCCAGAGCCACCTGTTCGCAGAAAGACACGGCGTCCTTCCAATCCCCAGAGTGACATGTCGGACTCGGATACCGACAGCCCAGTAAAGGCCGAACGTGGTCAGCCCCGTGTGGGCCGCTACAACCTTGATCGCTCCGACAAGAAGCCCATTGCGGTTTTGAACCCCTTGACCAAGAAGATGATGATCTTTACCCCCCACCGCCGGCGACACCTTGACCTCTCGCCGGAGCAGTTCAACTTGGGGTGGCCCTTTGAGGATCAGACATCCCCCATTATGAGCAACTCGGCCAATCTGATGCTCAGTGCCATGTTCTCAGCCGACACCTTTGGCGACTTTGTTAATGACAGCCAAGTCATGGGGCCTGCCGAGGCCTTCTTCCCCTTTCCTTCAGATGCCAACACGGCTGATGAGAGCTCGACTGCGCCTAGTTTGCCTGACGAGGATGGCGAGGCGAACCTCCAGCTAGAGTTTGAGGACTTTATCGATCTTGGAAGCGATGACTCCAACGATGAGGACGGAGACAACAACTGGGGCCCAGCCTCAACTCCTGCCCGACCCAGCACTGCTGGAAGCGAGAAGGAGGTTCTCTCGCATCTCAACTCCGAAACAGTCGGAGCTTTCCGACGGAACCAAATCAACCAGCAGCTCATTCTGAGCAACCAAGCCACTCAGGACTCCCTTGCATTCAGCGGTCCTTACAACGCCACGGCGATTAAGGGTCTCAAATCCGACCGCTTCGACACAGCCCGCGTACCCCTTACACCCATCCGCCGTCATAAGAAGCAGCTGAGTGATCTCGCTCGAAGCCCCCTCGAGACTGTGTCTGCGAAGCGCAAGGCATCAGGCGAGGTTGGCGGCGGCCACAAGAGACATCGAAGCATCTCTGACGTGAACCTTCTCCGCATATGATGCAGAGCAAGGTTCCGACAGACACACCCAAAAACGTGCGAGGACGGCATAGCCCTTGCGGCGCAGCTATCCCTGGCCTCGACAGCACTTTCTTTTACAACCTTTTCCTTGATTGATTCCTTATCTTCCGTTTCAGCGAATCGCGCCAGCCTTCGTTCCCAGCGTGCCTGTGTAGAGCCCTTCCCGCAAGGGATAGGGACGACTTCTTTTTTGGAGATGATACCCCAAGCCTCGATCTTGGCCGGAAAGCCTGGGTCGATGGTGTCTTTTGGAGGATCGATGTCCGCAGTTGGCTGCTCTGTGAGCGCCCTGCAGGAATGGAAAAGAGTAATGCCGCTAATGATGGTTCAAGATGGTCAAAAGTTGTGGTCTCTCGTTCACTGGAGTTTTTCTATGTTTGGGTCTAGAGGATAGATAAAAATCCACGGCCATGATTCATTTGACTGTTCCATGATGCTTTTGAGTGTTTGTTTGTGATTGTTGTGACTTGTTGAGTATGTGTGGATGTAGTGTTGATGAAGTTGTGCAGGGGAAACTGGCCTTGTCACTGAAGGCAGCCTCATCCAGCATCAACACCAGAATGTAGGTCTTAGAGTCAGATAATCCATCTCTATTGTTTCATAGCAGTTCTCCAGGTCAAAGAGGGGAACAAGGATGACGTGTCGTGGTCTCGTTGCCTGATGGTCATGACAGGTTGATCGACGCCTCCTCATACACATGACAGCCACCGGCCACTACAAGCATTACATAGCATTTGAGCACTCTTGGCTGAAGATTTACCTAAGCCTCACCCTAAGACTGATCTTAGGATCCTTCCTGTCTCCGAAAGGTTGTCGTGGTTCACCGCCGCAAACCTCCCTCAACATCACCAACTTCAACCACCACAACTCCCTCACGTCTTCAACACGATTCTGAAGCCATGAAGACAGAAAATTTAGGCGTGCTAGCGCAATGGCAGCGCGTTGCTTTCCGGTGGCAAAGGCTCCAGGTTCGAGTCCTGGGTACGTCGTGATCCTTTCCCTTTAGTGGTTGGTGATCTTTTTGCTTGGTGTTGTGGAGATGGCAACCCACACACAACGTTTCACAACCCACCTTATGCCCAATCAACTCTATTTATGAGTCTAGTTAAGTGTTGGCAAACTGGGTAAAGCCTGAAGAAAGGAGATTGTTGGAATTCGGCTTGTTGTGAATCTGGCGGGTCTGTTGATCCTTGCGTATGCAGTTCTCTAGGGTATGGTTGGTCCACGGTGAGGGTCAGCTTGTTGACTATTAACACGATGGATAGAGTGTAATTCTTGATTGACTATGACATGAAAGCCTGGGTATGACTTTGGGTTTGTCTCGTATAGTGTTTGCTAATTGTTGGTTGTGCTGAACAAGTTGGACAATGCTTCACAACTCAGGCACCTAGTTAGTCAGTCACTGCAAGTTGAACTTTCATGTTGGAGACATCTTCCTCTTTTGATCTCGAATACTCGGCTTCAAGTGCGCAAAAGCAATGATCACAGAACCTGTGCTCAACTCGGAAAGATACGACACAATCAACTGCATCTCAAAGTTCTGGGTATCGAATGTTTGGGATATCTATTAACGTAGCACACATATTCCCCATGATTACCATTACGACCCAACGCCACAACCGCAAACCCATTTTCCACACTAAGCATAGCGCGCTGGCGTTTGAGCAGCAGCAGCCATCGGGGCCGGACCCTTTTCATTCACCTGAGGCAACGCCCAGTTCTGCATGGGGATAGGTTGTCCCTGGTTCGGCGTAGGCGGACCATTACCCTGCGGCATCTGCTGGAAGCCCTGGCCCGCGGGCCCCCAGTAAGGCGGAGCGGCGAAAACCATGACAGGGGCACGGCGGTTGCGGTTGCGTCTGGACATGTCGATACAGGCAAAGACGAACAGGATGAAATGGGCGATGAAGACTAGGCAGGTGAAGATGGTCATGGCGATGATCTTGGGGCGGATGCCGCCGTACTGGGTCTTGCAAGACTGGTACTCGTCGTCGTAACGACCATAGCGAGTGGATTGGGGAGAACATTCGCTGTAGTCGTCGTTGAAGATGGCGCTGTAAGTAGCCTGCATGCCGCCGACGATCGAGGTCATGATCCAGATGATGAGCGAGAGGGCGATCTGGACACCAGGGTGGATTCCGGACTTGAACTTGCGCAGAGCACGGGTGAGGACCTCGACAATATCGCAGACAAGAGCAAAGACGAGCTGTAGAGGTTTAGCGTGAGGAAACAAAGAGTAAGTGTTGGGAGACGCACGATGGGACCTGAAGTGATGCCTAGGACATCCAAGCCCATAAAGTCATCCTCATCTTGTCCGATAAGGGAGAATGCAAGACCCATGCCGACAACACAACAGACCATGGAAGCACCGTGCAATGACATCTTGGACACCATCCAATACTTGGTCTCCACCAGCGGAGGAGGCGTCCACTGCTGCTGGTTCATAAACACGGGCTGTTGCTGGCCATTGTTCGCGGGTTGCTGTTGATAAGGCGTAAAGACCTGACCGTAGGAGCCAGGATACAGTTGGAAACCCGTCTGCGTCTGGGTTGGCGCGTTGTTGGGTGCCTGCTGCGTGGGAGGAGGTCGAGTTGGAGCCGCAGTGGAGGACGATGCGATGGCATCATCAGTCTGAGTTGAAGATTCGGGCGCCATGATGAACTGCGATAAGCGACTTGAACGATGCTGGAGAAAAGTAAGAGTCGAGTTTCGTGGAGTGATCGTGAAACGTTGATCGCGATATGGACGAGGAAAGCACACGCGCAGCGATAAAGAGTTAATGAATGACTAGAAACGAAAGACTGTACGACCGCCAACTAACGCAAGGGATCAAAAAGAAGAAACTCCCACGAGACACACCGGGAGCAGAGATTTATTTAATGCTTCTTCGCCCCCCCTCCCTCTCAACCCCAGGCAAATCCTTCCATGATATTAGCGTTGTGTTGCACCTCCAGAATTAAACTAGATGCGCGTCGGGGACCCTTGCCCCCTGTGATTTTAGCATGCTGGTTGTAATGCTTGATTGGCTCGCGATCCTTTGAAGGGGGTCGTTGGTGCCTTGGTGGTGTTCAAGGGGCTTGTCGGTTGCGGGAATGGCGCGGTCTAAGGCATGATAGGATGGCACTGTTAAAAGGAGGTGAACAGTCTAGACAGACAAGACATTCTCTGCTATTCTGATGCCTCTCGTGAAGTGTAGTGTTGGTACATGATCTACTTAGCGGCAGCTCAAACAAGCCTCATTTGAAGGATCTCACTTGAAACGCCCCAGACTCACAGCCGCAGCCCGTAACCAACAAAGTCGTACAATGTCCAGGTCGCAGTTAGAGGACCCAATTAGAGACTAACAAGACTGAGCTCTTCCTTCTCACGGTTGCACGGCGGTCGACCATCGCCTAGACCTTTATCGACCCGTGCTCTTTTGGAAACGATCGACACACGCCTAAAATTGGACCAGGGGCTGGGAAGAGAAATCGCCGAGGCGAGGACCGTAGGGCTATGCTTTGTTCACTTCATCTGATTGTGGTCGTATGTCCACAGTGACTCACGAAACTCATCCTGCAGCTTATACGAAGTCTTGTTAGTACCAACACCAATATCCTTCATCACTCTATTCCAGACGGTGGCTGTGATTGCTTCTCGGCCCAAAATGAAGTGGTCTTTGCCAAGAGCTGTAACCATGTCGGCTCACAGACGCTATGGTCGCATCCTCTGTGCCGACCGCAGCATAAAAAACAACACCACACCTCCCACATCCCGTCACGGTTGGATGGTTCCCTATCGGGAAATCGCCGACATCTGGCGGTAACGAGATTTCTAGTGCCAGACGTGTGGGTATCAAATCTACGGCAGTTTCCTTCCATCCTAGCTTGACCATCTTTTGCTCTCGCGCATATTCGCTTACGACCTATACATACATATCCAACGCGCTCGTCTATTCTCTCTGCAGGACAACCAAGAGACCCATGATGCCCAGCATCACCGTCTTGAGCCAAGGGTGCTCTGACAGGAGGATCGTCACGTATCCAACAAACGGCATGTATGCCACTACGCTGCCAATAATATCCTTGCGCTCCAGGTAGTCTTGTCCCTTTGCGTACAGCTCGGTATCGTCCGACAGGTTGTTGTCGCCCTTTGTGAGAAGCTCGGCCGTATCTCTGTAAACTCGTCAGTCGCTGCGTGCTAGCCTTGTATTCGTGCCTTCGTACCCATTGCCAAACTTGCGCACTACACGGTGCACAATGGGGATATCCTTGTCCTTGACATTGTAGACCACCACCTCTCCAACCTCAGTCTCGCGCAACAGATTTCGATTCCACAGGAAGAGAAGATCACCGCGCTGGAACGCAGGCTCCATAGAGCCAGAAAGGACGACGACGATCGGGGACGGCGAGTCGGTGATGACGGAGAGACCCTTCCACATCTGCGACTGTTAGCACGTGTACCCAAGCGCATCGTCACGACTCACCATAAAGGCAGTGGAAAGGATCAGCGCAAAGTTCATGAGCTGCGCGGCAGCTTGCCGCGGGTTACCGAGACTGGAAAGCATGGCGACGGTCGTAGAGCGAATGGATGGAAGCAATGAGTGAGGATGGGAGCTTGACAACTCCGTGTTGAATGGGGACAGACAGGCGCTTCGAAATGGACATGTGGCTCATGGGAGCTCGAGTGCACGGGCCAGAGTGAGAGCGAACAGTTGGGGCGTTTGAGGCTTGACACTGTGGCTGGTGAATGAATCGCCCCCACATTTTCAGGGACGTTATGGAACGCCAGGTGCCGGCAGAAGCACGAAAGGTGATGTCATGACAGCAAGAGGAGCACGAGAGCGATGTCATCGGCGCAATTGGCGAGTGAGAAGTGTGGTATTTAAAGGACGTCTTGTGATCGAGGGACCTGTTTACTCATTTACTTGATCTTTATTCTTAGCATCAATACAGCACCTTTACTTGACGAAACGTCTTCAACATCTCCAAAATGTCCGACAACAACAACCAACAGCAACCGCAACAGCAGCAGTCTCAGGGCTCTCAGCCTGGCCTCATTGGCAGTCACTACCAATACGCCAAGGGCGCTGCCGAAGTAATTGCCCATCATCTCTTTCAGGTTGCCTCCTACTGACTTTGACCCAGGCCACCGTCGGTGTTCTCACTGGCTCCCACGCATGGAAGGCTTCAGGCGAACAAGACAAGGCAGCAGGTCTGGCCGCGTTGAAGAAGGTTGGAGAGATGAGAGAGCAGCAAGACCCCAACCATGAGCATGGCTACGGCAGGGCCGAGGAGATTGCAGGCAAGGTCACTGGATGCCAGGGCATGGAGAGGGAAGGTCACGCCAGCGTTCAGAAGAAGGATTAGGCTCGAAGCATTTGAGAGGAAGCCAACGTGTGTACACTAGTGATACGAGACGATGGCGATGAGTTGTGCTATCGAAGATAATGAAGTTGAACATTTCGCAACCTAACCAACAAAGGCTTGAACGAGTTCACGCAAACAGTCTCAACAACTGAACCAGGTAGTCATCAAACATGAATGGGCCCCTTTATTCTCCGTTGTCTTCTTCTTCTTCTTCTTCTTCTTCTTCCTCCTCCTCTAAGACTGCCCTTCGCGACTGCCAAACATTGCTAGGCGGGAGTCGAGGCACCATGGACGGCAGAGGTGCACCTTCTCAAACCAACACTCACCACCTTCCCTCTCTTCAGCCTCAACATGTGTTTTCTTCACCACCACCTCGACTCTCTTCCTTTCTCTCCTTTCAACCCATCCATCCTCTCTTCGATTGTCCGTCGTCTCTCCTCTGACGCCTCACTGCCCACCTATCTTGCCTCGTCGCTCCTCTTGGATCCACCATCACGCTATCAACATCATCTGCTCGTCTGCATCACTTATAGCATCTTTCGCATCCCTCCTGCTCTGTCTCGCTGAGCCTTCACCATGGACTCAGCTCCTCTTCTCCAAGGCGCCAACGGGCTTCCAGGCCCTGGCGTGATGCAAGACCACGTAAGTCTTGCCATGATGGAAACCCAGACTGCCTCACTGACTCGATGATCTCGACAGCCCGCCTTCCTCCGAGCATGTCATTCGCCCTGGCGGTTCATTCCCCAAAACGTTCTCGTCATCCTCCGAGGCCTGGTCCTGGCAGCTCTGCTTGCCATGGGCATTATCATCCTCAACTACGAGATCAATGAACCGAGCGAGTTCTCTGACTGGCGGATCGTGTTCGACTTTGCCAACATCAGCTTCTTCTTTACCTTTCTGTACCAACTGATCGCCTTTGTGAGTCTTCCCCTTCGATTCCTTCGTTCCCAACTGACCCTTGATCTCAGTCATGGACCTTCACCCACCTGTACTATCCCCACTCTCACCACATCGATGGTTTCGAGGGCATCGTCATCCGAGCCATGTCGCTGCCGAGGCACATGTCCAGCCTCCGGAAGCAATTCTACTTTACCATGTTTTACACTACGGCAGTGGTCTTTTCCTTCGCGAGCTCGGTCATCTACTTCTTCATCACCCGCCAGCATGATGACGATGATGCCGCTGGTGAACCCCAGCCTCCCAATCCTCCAAACGGCACTATGATCTGGGCAGGCTCCGTGAGGGCTGCCCCGGAGGCACCATGTAAGTGATGATGTATTGCATCTCTCTGCCTTGTGCTAACCTTCAGCAGTGAGCGACATCTTTGATGATGGATCACTTCGCGCCTTTGTCATCCTGGCCCTGTTCGTGATCGCACCCATCATCAATGTGATCGAGATCCTTTGGCTCAACAGCATTCGACGTCCATATGTATGTTCAGCTTTGACCTCCGTGACAAGTATCAATACTGACTGATGATGCAGGCGATTGGACTTCATCTGCTCGGTCTCATGGTCAATGCGGCTATCTACCTGGGATGGGCAGCCTTTGGCCATCTCGTCACCAACTGGTATGCCTTCTTCTGGCTCGACAAGGGAGAGGTTGGCTCGGATCAGGCAGTGACTCTGTACTCCATTGGGTTTGTGTTCTTGGCTCCTATCAGTAAGTACTCCTTGAAAGCGGCCAAACATTGACGCTGACAATCGGGCAGTGTACATCTTGATGCAAGGTTTGGTCGGCATTCGAGAAAGCCTGACACGATCGCTGTCCGAGGCTCGTGCCATCGCCGCTGCGCAGGAGGCGCTTGACAACTGATAGTTGTGCGGCATGGGTAGATGGAGGAGAGGGGAAAGCTGGTGAAGAGGTGGATGTCCATGCACGATAGTCAGTAGTGATTTGTTGGCGAAGAATGATGGACTCGGCTTGGTACGCTCAATATGAGCCAGGGTGTTGGATGCATGCATATTACAAATCCTCTTAATACCCTAGAAATTGACTCGGTTCTTGCAGACGTTGAAGCATCGTGCAGTGACGGTTGAAATGGCGGTTGAAATCGGACCGTTGCAACGGCTACTACATGCTTGAACCTTGCTTGACTTGATGGAGCGCTGAATATGGCCGAGATAGGTTCATGGAATGAGTCAAAAGTCGAAACGAGGCGTCAAACGTGACGGAGCTCGGGTGCAGACTTGAACGACCGTGAATCTGTACCAAAAATGGTGGCTGCGTGAGGCATGTGCGAGAGCTTGGGACTCGTCTACACCATCTTGGGCGCCGGCAGGTTGGGTAGAATTGACCGAGTCACCAATCAGACATGGGGCCTTGATTTGCACAGATGATCTGGCTTGGTAGCGTCTTCACGGAGCCTGACGATTGGGTATCAGGCTGGTGAGCCGGTGACGCGACGGGCGGGCGCTCTTTAGAGTCTTTGGATTGTCGAGTTACACTGAAGGTGGCTGCAGAGAGTGGCAAGAAGGTGGCCATGGTGATTGGAGATGAGACGAGACGAGACAGGTTTGAGATGAGGCTGTGCAGATATGACTGGGATAGACTAGGATAGCTACTGGGAAGTGTCAAAGGCGTCTCTACAGTAAAAGAGAGAAGATGACGAGTCAGGCATGAATTCGGTCGAGATCAAGTTACTGTACAGGGATAGTCATGATGGAGAGGAAGCCAGGCCGCGCCGCTTAATTTTAGCGAGACGAGCCGAACCCAAGCTTTGGGATTTGGGTCTTGACTGGGCTTGAAAATGAAATAGCTGGACCTATCAGAGAGGCTCTGTAATCGACGAGACTGACGTGGTTGCAGTGGGTTGCCTGTTACTGGAACCCCGCGGTGGACTAGACAATGTGAATGGCTGGGGATGGGCGGGAGTGAGGGCATCCATGGATCCATCCATCCACCAAGAATAGTTAAATACAGCTCACCTCCCCCAAACCCCCGACTTCCTCTCTTTCTTCCTCCCCCCCACTCGCAACTAAAATCAGGGTCGCAAAGCTTCATCACGAGGATATCGTCTTCAAGGCATATTCTTCCGCCCGGGCCCTCCTTCGTCAATCTTTTTTTTGTTGCGCTTCACACTCTCTTTCTCTCTCTCTTCTCCTCTCTCCTCTCTTCGCTCATTTCGTCACTCTCTAGCCAAGTTCGATCGAATACAAAAAAGTCAGCCGGGGGAATAGACAAAAAAACAACATCACTCTTTTGACGTGTCCTTGTTCTCCCCTTTCTTTCCTCGAATCTCCCGTCACGAGTTCACTCTTTAATTACCAGAACCTCCGAAAACAAACCGCAGCCATGTTCAAGCGCTCAGTCCGGTCGCAAGACCCAAACCGCGTCGACAAGTCTGCGAGACTAAAGAGATCGGGCTCCCACCGGGACCATGTCAAGATGTCGAAACTGCAGAGATCGCTCAACGAGCGGGACACGACTCCCCAGCAGCAGCAGCAGCAGCAGCAGCAAAAGTCCCCCGCAGCCGCGCCCTCCCCCTCGCCCATCGTGACCCTCACCGTGGGCCGTGACGGCCGGCTCTTTGCAGCGCACGAGGATGTGCTCCGCCAGTCGCCCTTCTTTGAGGCTGCCTGCCGCGGAAGCCCCTTTGATGCGCAGAGCAAGAGAATCTCCCTCCCCGACGAAGAACCCGAGGTCTTCTCGGCCGTCCTCGAGTACCTGTACAAGGGTGACTACTACCCCCGTCTACTCCACAACAGACACCGAAACTCTTGGGAACTCGAGGACTACGGTCGAACACCTCAGTCATCCCCCAACCCCGAAACCGGAGGTGGCCGCGCCGGCGAAGCCTCCGTCTACCTGTCCAGCCTGGGCGTCGAAATCCTCCGCGACACTGTCATCTACTGCGCCGCCGACCGCTACGGCCTTGAAGAGCTAAAGCGCCTGGCCCTGCGCAAGCAAGGGCTTCAGGCCGGCATCGACGTCGCCACCATCCTGCGGTCAGCCCAGTACGCCTACACCCACACCCCAGACTCGGACAGCCGCCTGCGCGCTCACTACCTCGCCCTGATCATCCGCTGTCGCAAAACCTTTAAGCGGAGCGGGACCATGCAGGCCGAGATGGAGGCGGGCGGCAGCAAGCTCTTCTTCGACCTGTTTGTAGCCATGTGCAACCACCTGGACGATGTCATCGACGTCAGCAATGCTCGGACGCCAAAGACTGTCTGAAGGTGACGACAAGAACGAACGAACGAACCACCACCACCACTGTACACATACCAAACACTCAGGCCTCCAGATGCGCGTGTAACTCGTCAATTTGGATCTCTGCTGGAGGATGAGTGCGGAAACAACAAAAAAACACGGAGAACCAAAAAGGAAACAAACCACGAAAAAAAGGTGTATCACGATGGGAATTACTCAAGCCGGCGTTTGGATTCTTTTGCTTTTAACGCTCCCTCCTCATCAGATTGAAACGTCCTAAGGAGCTACACGAACTCCCCTTCTTTTCACGAGGTTGGCCGACCGAAATTGTCTGATTTGAGAAAGTACAAGAGCTTGAGAGGATCTAATGACGCCCGGCAACACAACGAGCCCACCATCCTCTGCTCCCTTTATTGTGTGTTACATCCTTGGTTTACTGTGCGTTGCTTCTTCTGCGCTCGTCTTTTTTTGCTTTGATACCCATTACACTTTGCGGCACTGGAACAATGTTTACTACTCTGGCGTTTTTATGGTCTTTTTACGGACTGGGACTGGCATCTTGACTGATTGTCTGGTTCCTACATTCGCTTTTCAGAGTTTACTTGGGAAGAACCCGGAGCTTTGCTTGCCTTTCTCAACCCGCGAGCAATATCCAAGATTGAAACCCTACTGATTTGCGCCATCTTGGTTTCTAAACGAATGGATCTTTTTGGAGTTTAATTGTGTTTTATTGCGGTTCTTGCGTTGGGCGTTTCATTATGCTTAGACGCGAAACGGATAACAAACTCTCCTACTCACACCGGGCTTGGGGGGCCCAAAGGCATAATCACTCTACTCTCACACGCTTGATTGCGTGTGCCACGCCTTTTACGCGGCTCCCCTTTGGTCCTGGTATCCAGAATGACACCTCCTGTTTTTTTGCTTTCCCTTTGTTTTTGATGGAGAAAAAAAAAAGATCCCTCTGCATGGTCTTGGGGGCGATGGACAACAACTCGCCGAGAAACGAAGTTATGATCTTGATGATTAGAAACAAACAATACTTGATAGGATCGTTGAGCGATCCTCCCTGGCGCTAGCTCCGTCAGGGTCCGAGGTAATGAGAAATTCGGCCACCTCAAATTGGTTTCCTGTTCTGATGCGTGATGTGTGATGTTGATGTGCGATGCTGATGTGTATTCTATGGTTTGTCTACGAATGGACTACTCAAGTAGACTCCCACTTGACCTCAAAGTTCTCAAACTTGGCTTCCAACTCTTCCTTAACGTCCTTGTTAGGTCGTGCAACTGCAGCACCGATCTCAACCTCCCATCCATCCTCACCAAAAGGCCAGCAGAGCTGTCTCAAAGGCACCTTTTCACCAGCATCATCAATTCGAGAGATCCACCAACACAGCCCAAGCACACTCTTCTCCCTCTCGATAACAATGGTAGCACTCTTGCCACCGCTCTTGACAGCAGCCTCGTCCTTTTCAGGCACAGGCGCAAGACTCCAATCGCTGAAGTTATCGCAGCCGACGGTAGCGAAACGAGGGTGGTTGTTGAAGTACTCGATACCAGTCTTGATCCACTTTTTCTGGGAGCCCGGCTTTGTGAGGGTGAGTAGGAGACCGGCTTGGTCGTACTGGTGGGTGTAGGTCAAGGTGAAGGTGAGAGTTGCTGAGATGAGGCTTTGAAGGGGACCGGAGGAGTGGGTGCGCGAGGGAGCTGAGATTGTTAGCGTTGAACGGTGTTGGAGTGGTGATGTTGGGCTTGGTGGTGAGGGGCATTGAGGGGTTGCTCACCAGTAAAGACATCATGAGAAGGAGGCTGCTTCCAGATATCACCACCAGGCTTGGCAGAAACAGTAAAAGGGGATTCCATCTTGTAGGTCTTTGTTTATAGGTGTATGTGGTTAAAAGTCAAAAGGTCTACGGAGGAGGTGTAGATGTGAATGTTTTACTCGGAGGATTTATCGCGGGGCAGGGTCTGACGTAATTATAGCACCGAGTCTCAGACTGCCATCTTTTCTCCGCACTGCGTGACTCGGCCCACGAATGTTGAGATTGATTGGTAACAACACGGGTATTTGAAGGAATACGATGCATTAAAAGGTCTACTTGAGCGGGTATGAGAGTGCGTGAGGGAGTGCGGATGCCGGGCCGGAATGCCGCTGTGACTTGAGTGAGGGGAGCAGACTGTCATGCGGGTCAATGGACAAGACGAGACACCAGGACGTACAGCATAAAGTAGCGTTAATTGCCTTATCCTCCCCCAAGAGAGGCTATGAGAATGGATAAATTGACAAAAAGCAAACATGGAGCTTAAAGCCTTGATCCTGTTACCTTTGTATTCTTATATTTGAGAGGACTTGGACCGGTATTTACTTGCGAGTTGAGGTTTGGTGTCCGGCTTATTTCTTCACCTGCGTGCATGTGGAGGAGGAGTTGAGCAGAACGCTGAATTAGGAAATGATGCGTACTTCCAGAATGGGATATTAAACCAATCCTTGGATGACTACGATAATCAATTAAATGGCCTCAGAAGGGACGAAAATGAGATCAAATTCTCCACATTCGGAGTCTTGTTTGTCGCTGCTTCACTGATCATGGCCTTAAGTTGGTCTGATGGCCCACCAGATGGCTAGCAAACAGACAGCCACGACATCGTAACGTCAGGCGGAGGTCGCTGAGGCAGAGAGGTTATCGCGATAGCGAAGGGAAGACGCGTTTCGGGGAAAGGGTACACGCAGAAAAATCGTGGGCTACAATGGAGTAACGTATTTCTCCTTGCTTGGGCGGGACTGCCAGAGCATACTAATCTTCACTGTTGAAGCACTATCTGAAACTCTAGTAAACCATGTGGGATCAGGTTAATCCTTTATCTCAATTATGGTGAAAGGAAGAGACTGACCATAACCGCGCCCAATCGAAGACCACGCGCAGGCAACGAGATCGGAATCGATGGTCGAGTGGGGTCACTCCCGGCCTGAGTCACGGTGTCCCACGAGGCGGTGCTGGTTCGAACACCGGAGAATGTTGTTTTTTCGCGTGACGTGCCAACTCAACAGAACAAAAACCTTGTTTCTCTGTTATCTTATCTGCAATTTGAAAACTTCCGGCAATCAAAAACACAGAAACGACTCGATCACGACAATTTCGCTCGCAGCGCTGAGGGGTCGTTTATCCGCAAAGGTTGGTGACGAGCAGAAGCTGTACCGCGGTTTAGCCGCCACTCTCAGTCCCCAGCCCGAGATTGATCTTGAATTCTTTATTTCGGTTTCTTCACATCTTCAACATGTCGTCCTTTCTTACGCCTCCAAAATCCGGGCCTAATGGCCTACGGCCAACGGTGAAACCTCGATTTGCGAAGCCGAATCCCGTCCGGGCTATGCGGGAGCGAGAGGAACGCCGAGCTGCTGCCGCCACCACTTCCTCACAGTCCCTTCGAATCAACGCCGTCAATCGCAACGCATCGCTCGCTGCTCCGAACCGCCCGCAATGTCCCAACAAGTCATGTCCGAACCCGAATGTCGTCGACGGCACATGCCAGACATGTGGTCGTATCGCTGACGACAGCAACATCGTTTCCGAAATCACCTTTGGAGAGTCGTCCAACGGCGCTGCGGTTGTCCATGGCTCTTACATTGGAGCTGATCAGGCTGGTGTCCGAAGTATGGGACCTGCGTTTCGAAGGGTTGGTGGATCAGAAGACAGGGAAAAGAGCATTCGAGAGGCCAAGAGTTTGATGCAGGGATACGCACAGCAGCTCAACGTCGGAGAGAGCTTGATCACGGCTGGAACGCAGGTCTTCAAGCTCGCCTCGAGCGCCAACTTTGTACAGGGTCGCACTCTCGCCAGTGTCGCCGCCGTCTGCCTATACGCCGCTTGCAGAGCACAGCCGCCATGTAAGGTCATGCTTATTGATCTGGCCGATCTGGTGCAGCTCAACGTCTTCAAGCTTGGTCGCATCTTCAAGAAGCTCAACGAGGTGGTCCCAATCGGCAACGACGGTCTTATCCCTGTGTACCCTGAAGATCTTATCTGGCGGTTCGCGACAAAAATGGAGTTTCACCAAGAGACAGCCAAGGTTGCTGAGGATGCTGTTCGCTTGGTGAAGCGTATGAGTCGGGATTGGATGGTCATGGGTCGTCGACCATCTGGTATTTGTGGTGCTTGTCTTCTCATGGCTGCGCGAATGCACAACTTTCGACGGACTGTGCGAGAAGTCGTCTACATCGTCAAGGTCACCAATCACACCATTCAGAGCCGACTGCAAGAGTTCAAGGTCACCGAATCGAGTCGAATGTCGGTTGAGGACTTTTTGAAGCAGGATTTCCTGGAAAGCTCACACGATCCACCTTCATTCTACAGAAACACCGAGGAGTACAAGAAGACGTTAGAGGGCAAGACCAAAAAGCGCAAGCGGCCATCGGCAGACTTGGAGGGTGAGGAGGGCGAAGACGCGCTGGCTGACAAGATCGATCCTCGACTGATTGAAGGCGGTGCCGACCTGTCCAAGGCCCCGGTCGTAGAATATCGCCGCGACGACGACGGATTCATCATTCCACCCATTCCCTCAAAGATTGCGAAGGACCCATCGCTGGTTAACAGACTAAATGGAAACAACGCGACAGACGACCAGAACGAAGAAGCCAACGTGGAGAATCTCGACAACTTGGTTGAAGAATTCGGTGACGCTCTGGAAGAGGAGCTGGAAGGAGATGCTCGAATGAACGAAAAGCAAAAGGGAAAGCCTCAACTGCCTATCAACGAGGAATGGGAGCAGGATGAACAAGAACTAGAGGGAGTCATCGAAGAGATCTTTAACGATCCTCTGACATACGAGCACGCCATGGCCTACTCGAATGCCGAGCAGCGAGCGCAGATCCACACCGTCTGGGCATTACAACAACGACCTCAGAAGGAAGTGTCCATGTCGGCGGACGTGACAGAAGACGAGTTTGCCGACGACCCCGAGGTCATCAATTGTCTTTTGTCGCCAGAAGAGGCCCAGATCAAGGAGATGATTTGGGTCAACCAAAATAAGGAGTGGCTACGAAAGCACCAAGAGAAGGTGTTTCGAAAGAAGGTTGAAGCAGAGCGACCAAAGCAGACACGAAAGCGACGAAAGAGAGCCAGGATGGGTGAAGGACAGACAAGCCCAGCCAGTTCAGCAGCCGAGGCGGCTGTCAACGTCGCCAAGGATCGCGCGTGGTCCAAGAGGATCAACTACGACGCCATCCGCAACATTTTCGACATGCCCAACGTCGGAGGACCCGGATCAGAAGCCACAAGCCAAAAGACGAGCGTCGCTGGTAGCACCATGGGCGGCGACGACGCAAGCGAAGCAGGCAACGAGAGTGTGGTTGGCGATGAGACAGAGGCTCCTCAGGAGGAAGAGGAAGAGGAAGAAGAGGAGCAGTACGACGAAACACAAAATTACGGCGATGGAGAAGAGTTTGGTGGCGGAGAGTTTGAGGGTGGTTACGATGAGGATGATCCGGATATGGATGCCCAGTATGGACTCGACGACGAGTATGCTTGAGCTGGAGATATACCCAGATTAGAGAGATAGAGGCAAACCACACGCCCAATATGGTTAATTAAAAAAGGTTAACATTTGAGATGGGTTCTTGTCTGTGACTGGTCTATGACTGATATCCTTCACAACGATGGACCGGTGGCACTGGAGATTGAACGTCCCCTCAACATTGAACATGTATCACCCCAACTTGGGATCGAGACTGATCTAAGATTAGATATAAGGATCGCTTGTTCTTCTATAACCTTGTGAATATCTATAAAATCCTTAGAATGGGTCGTTCGGCTGGCTCAGTGTGGTCGGACTCACGAGAGAAAAGGCCCCTTGCCCCCAACCCAAGTACATACGACCACATCTGCTAGAAAGCTCGGGATCCCGTCCGATCTCCCATCGATAACCCAGCAAGAGTTGGATTAGTAGCTAGGTCGGTGACGACTAGCGAATCTCTAATGTTGTATGTCTTTCTTTTTGTATCTTTTGCTCCTCGTTGATGTTCTTGTTATCCATTGCTCATCGCTTCACGCTACTTGTGGGATCGCTCATCCTTTTTAGGGGGAACGTGAGTTTAACCAAGTACTTGATAAGATTAGACCAAGCATTGGGCATGATGGCTTGATTGTGTGTAAAACTGTATTTATTTGACTGGGTTGCCTTGGTCTGCCCTCTGGGTATGCTATGATGTTAAATTAATTTTCAAGATTAGACCAAGCGGACAGATGTTGGCACGCATGTCTTGAAGATGCTTCCCCGATCAGATTCAGCCAGGGCATACTCGTGAAGGTCAAAAACACCGATCCTTACCATGTCCCCTGAGGCGGTTGGTGAGACAACAAGACCTTGGGATCTGTAGAGACCTCTGGATGTGTGGAGGAGTAACAAGGAAATATCACCCCCAGAGTTGTTCTTCTTTTCTATTATGTCCCTCATTGTTTGTGCATCCTCCTCTGTGTCGGGGAATAGACGAATGCCCCAACTCTCATCGTTGGGTCCACCAGGTCGAATCATCAGTGCTAGGCCTGGAATGTTGACACATTCGCCAAGGCGACGCTTTTTGGCCTCGATAATTATGTGTGCGTCTCTAACACTTCCAAAGGGCAACTTTTGATGCACTAGATCGACAGAGTAGCTGCGAATCACTGCCCTATCTGCTGGCATTATGGGGTCGCCGTTAAAGTCGAAGCGGTCGTTGTGTAAGTGGTTCCAGATGGGACCGTCGATAGCTGCCCACGACCATGAAGGTGCCCTATATACACTCGCGCGCCGTGATTTAGCTGGGTCAATTGCATTCCAACGGAGCTGCTCAAGGAAAGAGGTGCTCTTTGCCAGGATTACAAACAGCCCTGCAATGTAGGCTGGCTTCTCCCCCCGGTCCTTGGAAATGTTCCACAGATGAGCCACCAAGGCCGATATTGCGAGGAGCTTGTCACCGGGAACGCCTATGTGACGGGCAGTGTAGTCCATCACGAGTTGCTGCCACTGGTTTGCCGTCGGGAGCTGAAGTGAGGCCCCGATGGGATAAATGTTGTCGACCAAGGACTGTATGTTCCCTGATACCCTGTCTTCCATGGCGACGAGCTCCCCGCCGCAGCCGGATATCGAGGTTGAGCAGGACCAGTAGAGTTGTCTTTCAGAGTAAATTAATATCCGCCGTGACAGTAGCGACTCCTGCATGGTCCATCCGCGTGTCGTTATCGGCTCCGGTGGTGCTTTGGCTTCCTTCAATAAGTAGACGTGGCCTTCGTCAGTGCCGTTCTTATTCCGCAGAGGTAGCTTCAAAGGTCCAGTAGCAAACTGGTGACTCTTTCGACGAAACAGAAATCCCTGCTCGGCGCTGAAGGAGGCGGCAGCGCAGATGGTGACTGTGGCGCTGCCGTAGTAGGTTTCCATTCGAGAGATCTCAGCTGCCTTGTCTTGGTCGCTGTCCTGTTGGATGCAAAGCGCATCAACCCACAAATAACGAAGGCCAAGTTTCTGAACGACACGAACGGCATCCTGAATGGTTTTCGGAAGCTCTGAAGGGGAGAAACCGCCGTAAAGATGTTGGCTTTGCGACTTGGTCAGCGTCAGTGATTGCGGGCCTCCCCAACAGTACGAGAGTGCTGCGAAACCAGATGAACAAAGGACGGCTTGTTCGTCGCCCGACAATGTGTCGACCTTGATGACTTTGATGCGACTTCCAGCTCCAGCTTGGACATCTAGTAATCGAGATGGGATGTTGGCTATGTCGGTCTGCTCGCTGCTTAAACCTTCGCCTATGCTCCGCAGCCGGATGTCCGACCCATCTGTCAAACGCTCACGACATCGTCCGTGCCTTTCTCGACATGTATCAAGGCACCGGCGGGCAAAGTCCCAGCTGGCATCAGAGTCGACATTGGACTCGTAAGGACGAGAGTCGATGAACTTGGAAGCTCCGTCGCCAGCCATTGCCCACATGCGCAGCTCGCCTCCCGTGAAAGAGTGTGATGCAGTTGAGATACCCCATGAGATATAGCAGTTGGCAGGAACTCCATCGAGAGAGTTTATTGTCCCGCTGAGATGGAATTTCCCCATAGTGAATAGAGATTGTATCGTGTTCCAGCTGAAGTCATCCTCTAACATATAGAGAACATGTTTGGGGGAGCCGAGAGAGTCGAGGAGAAACACATAGAGCAGACAGCCCGACCGGGCAGCAACCACAGCGTCCTTGAGTCCATACTGGAGCGTAGATGAGTACTCTCTGTGGACTTGATTATCGTGAAGCATCCCGCATTTACCGCACGCCCGATACTTGGGGCTTACAACCGGGCCTTGGCCTGACCATCCACATTGGCAGTGAATCACGGTATGTTCTTGCCCGACCTCAACGACACTATCTCGACAGTGCTCGCATGAGTGTGGATTGTCAAAGGTGAGTAGCTCTCTATCTCGGGCTTTCGCGTCTTGCCCAAAGGTTAGGCCTAGCTCCCTAAGCAGTTTTTCGATCTGGCCTTCCTGAGCCATTTCGCTTGGGTGAAGCCGTGGTTTCATTGCAAGGCGGATATGATTGTTACCTAAGATGCAATGAGTAAGGCGGAATACGCTTACGAGAGCCAGGCTGGATAACTGACAAAATAAGGGCTGGTTGGAGGTGTTTTCGCTGTCGAGAACTTGTTTTACGGACAGACAGAGGATGGTTTGGCGTCGAAAGTATGAGCCCAAAGCACCGGACTCCAAGATGAAACTGAAGAGAGATTCCTGAGGTGCGGGGAAATCTTTTGCGGGGCAAGGTGCAGCCTGATCTCTCCTTGTGTTGGGCGAGGGCCTGACAGTGCCCCTTGCCTGCAGCCCATATGCAGGCGTGACATTGTGCAAAAATAGCACGAATTACAGCCAGTGTTTCAGTTTCACAACGACCTGAAAAGGGCGAGAGACTTTACTAGTATATGGCATGTATTTTGGAACCCCGGACACATGTCGAAACTCGACTTGCTAGTCATCCGATTTGGTTGATAACAGTTGAAACTGAGCTTATTTGACATATTTGCAATGGAATTGTATAAGTAGGATAGTGAACCACCCCTTAAGCATGTTCCTTCTCTTCGAGCCTGGCAGCCTTGGAGTTGACAACCTCGACGGCAGCGTTGTCTCCCTCAAGAACCAGTGCCATCTCCTCCAACGTAGGTCCCTGAGTCTCGGGGAAGAAGAAGTAAACCACCACAGTCTCGATCACGAGCCAGACGCAGTATACGAGAAAGAACTTCCATGCCAGGTCCGCCATTCCAATAGGGTTCACCAATAAGTTAAATGCGGAAGCAATACGCGTCGACATTTGCATGATGGCAATACCCTTGGATCGCTGGATGAAGGGAAAGATCTCGCCGATGTAGAGATACTGGAAGGGCTGCATGAGGTTGTAGCCGGCGCTGTACAGGAAGATCAACACGATGACGGCCTTGGCAGCAGCTTTGTTTTCGTTGTCTTCAGCGTAAACGGCTGATCCGGCAGTGTAGCAGGCAAACAGGATAGTCATGCTGATGTATCCCGCCATGAGCTGTCTGCGGCGTAGCAAGTAGCTGGCAGCTATGCTTGAGCAGACCGCAGTTACGAGATTCCAGCAACTAAGACCGAGGTTGATTTGGTTCTGGGTCCTTCGGGAGGTGATGCCGACCAGAGCGAGAATCTTGGCTAGGTAGTAGCTAATGAGACCGTTGCCACTCCATTGGGTGAAGAAGCCGACGCAAATAGCAACAAAGACTCGATGACGGTTGGCTTTGCCAGTGAGAAGCTCTTTCCAGGGTTGTTTTGCTGCTTCCTTTTCTTTGCGGAGCGTCTCTCGGATCTGATAGAACTCGGCAGCTACAAAGGCAGACGTCTCATCACCTTCGGCGTGGTACTTGATGAGGATTTGAAGTGCCTCTTCGTGACGATCGTGAGCTACTAGCCAGCGAGGAGACTCGGGGATGAACCTGCTGCATGTTAGGTCTGAGTGCAGGGGCATGCAGTGAGGACTGACCAGATGAAGATGATGGTAAGCAAGGAGGGAAGAATCTGAAAGAGGGTAGGAAGACGCCAACTCCAGTTGTTGGTCCAGTTATACGTTCCAAGAGTGACACCCGCAGCGAGGATGGCTCCGGCAAACCAAGTCCCCTGGAAGAAGCCGACAATGGTGGATCGTTCCTTGGGGTAAGCGAGCTCGACAACAAGTTGGGCAGCACCTGCGAGGGAAACTGGAGAGCCTAGGCCCATGACGATACGTGAGGCGATGAGCATTCCGACTGGTTAGGTTAGCATGAGAGTGAGAGCTGGAGTTCAGGGTTTGAACATGCCGTTGTGAGCACAGGTTTGAAGCACCACACCGATGGCTACTATTATAGAGCCAAAAATGACACAAAACTTGCGTCCAAAGTGATCGTTCAGGTACGGCATGATTGGGACTCCAGCTGCTGTCCCGATGGCCAGGGCAGCAGAGATGACACCAAGAGTCGCACCGGTCGGATTGCCATAATGCTTGTTCCACAGATCGACAGCTTGGAGAGCGTTGAGGACGCTTCCATCGTACCCAGTGGTCATTTCGACGCCGAGGGCAGCAGGCACGAGCAACAAATAGAGCCTGAAGAGGTTGGGCTTCTTGTACCATAGTGTTTTGTCCTCTTGGAGGAGACGGCGGACCTCCGAGGCGGCGGCGACTTGGCCTGCGTTGTTGTGCTTTGCAGACATTTGGGGGAATGGGATCTGGAATTTTGTAAAGAGATTGCTTGGATTGAAGAGGGAGACTGGTTTTGGTGAGGCTTTGGACAGAATGGTGGAAGCCCTTAAGATATATGTACCCTTGGGGCTCTCATGACAAGACTGCGGGGCCCCAGAGTCTCACTTCTAGGATTAGATGGCCCAAGTCGGATCAAGATGGCGAGTAGGCTGGGCTGGACTAGCCCCTCCCCCGCATTGTCGTCTCATGATGCTTAGCTTGATGCATGTGTAAGTTGAAGAATATGGGGAACAGAGTTGGCTACTTCCACAAGTGGTTGGACTGATCAGCACTAACAGGGTCGTAAATGCAACCATAGTATGGGGTTGCAACTATATCAGGGGTTTTCCGCCATGTATTCCGACACTCACTCGCAGGAGCTTCCCCTCCTGGCCATTGAAAGTGCTGCCTTATCCCCGAATCACATTGCCATCTGGTCAAGTAGATGCCTCGAAGGTAATTTTATTGGTGGGGGGAAGCAGAGGGTTTCAGTTTCTTGGTTCATCGCCAGCATGTTCCCGTCAAGTTCACAAGGCTTGTAATCCGGCTAAATACACCAAGAAGCAAAAATTCCTTCGGGCTTCTCTCCGTCTTAATATAGCCGCGGAGGAGGCTATATCGATGGCGCATGGATGATGGCGCGAGGGCAAGAGGGGATAACCCTGGAATACCACTCGGTTGTGGACCTCGACGGATGATCATAGAAAACTACAGTGCCTTTCACTACTAGAGGGGGTGCACTGCCTAAGGTGCCCCGTCTTGGAATCAGCTAACAAATGCCCTGGCTAACTTTAACAAGTCTTAGAATTAGACGTCAAAGATTCTAGAGCATCCACCGCTTGCAAGATGTCATTGGCACTGGAGTATCGCCCAGTCCAGCATCTCAGAATTATATCTCCCCCGTACAAGCCTTTAGTATCAGGAAAGATGCCCTCCTTGAAGAAGCCATTAACCCGAGATCCGTACTCCTCCACTTCTTCTCGCGAGGTAAAGAACCCACAGGGAGGCTCTCTGTAGGGCCAGTGCCCAGAGACTATGGTGTACAGGACTGACCCGAGAGAAAAGATGTCAGTGGCCACTGTAGTCGTCCAGCCCGAGTTGGGGTCAAAGAAACCATCGTCTGGGAGGTTTTCACCCGGGATTCCGATTTCCTCGCAAGCTGATCCACCAAAATCACAGAGCATGAGATCAAAATCTGTGGAATCTGTAGTGTGGACGAGAAAGTTGTCAGGGCGGAGATCGCTGTGGATGACACCCCGACTATGGATGTAGACGATTGCCTCTGTGGCTTGCCTGAAAAACCTTTTCCGTATAGATAGGGATATATCCCGGGTTGAGTCATCTAGGAAATTCTGAAGGCTGCCAGGATTGGCCTCGACAAATAGCAAGCTCGTGGGAAACTCGTCGTGCCACCCGAGATACCTACACTTCTATTAGCAAATATCCTATCGTACAAAGGAGCTTTTTGTACTTTGTGATTCTGGGATGATCGCCAAGTCTGACCAAAATCTTCTTTTCATTCGAGAAGCCAGTCACCACACTAGGTCTCAGCCGAATTACTTGATCCTTTTGTTTGCAAACCGGAGCTTTCAAGACGACTCCAGGTCTGACTCGGAAAAATATAGCTGTCGAGCCCAAGAAGCCATCATCTATCGGAATCGGGGAAAGAGATTGCCCAGAGGGTATCTCAGAGTCTTGTGTCATAGTCTGCCGATGTGAGGAGGCTGTGTGTCACAAGTGAGCATAAATGTTTGTTTGACATGAAGTAAAACAACGTTGAATATTGGCATAGGTGAAAAAAAACGACGAGAGTCGGCTCAGCCTGATTTCTCGGACTATGTTTGATGCGAGTGTCTCACAACGGGTGGCTCAAACATGCATGTTACACAAGTGGCTAGGATGACACGTTGGGTGTTGTTTGCGCAAACAGGCGCTTTCACACATCCCTCCAAAATGTACGACGACTGAGAGCAAATGCAATGTTGGATCCCATAGATAAGTATGGGAACCGGTAGAGTTATTAGGCTTTACATGGGGTGCCCATGGCAAGACTAGATAGTACCCCTTAGAGCCTCGGGTTTCTTATTCCGAGTATAGCGCTGTGTTAACGAGATAAGGGCGGATTGGTATGGATATCGTCAAAAGAAAGAGAGTGCCAGTCATCCTAGCCCACTTCGCCTCAGCATCTGCAAGAAATATGAGGCGCGAGCTGACGACACAGACAAGAAAGATGGTTCATGCTCCCCGCTTGATATCCTTGGCGATGGTGTTGCGTCACCAATCAGATCTCAGTTTCGCTTTCATACGCGTATTCGGGACCTGGTCCGAGTATACGGAAATCTTAAACATGGCCGATCCTTGCTAGCGCCGTCGATACGTGTAATTGCGTACCTTGAAAGATCCATAATAGTTGACGTCCTCCTTACGATCTGGGACTCCTATCTTTACTTTGATGGCGAATCTTGCTCTTCCATCTTTACTTGAGCATACAGCTGTGCATTCCACCATGAAATCAGCTTCAGATCTGCCCCCAGGGCCACAACCAGCGAGAGGCATTCACCTTCACTCCAGACTCAAGCCATCAACGACGACCAAACTGGTCTGTTTATTCGTTGCGGTCCTTTTCTTTTCAGCAGCGAGAATTCATCATACGCCAGAATCCTCTACACGACCAGACGATACCCAACGAGAACCCACGATCGAGATCCCGCCACCACCGAAACCCGAGCTCATAACGGTCAGCAGATTACCTCTGCCACCCGTCGCTCCTAGTTCCGATGTTGGATCGTGCAACTCGACCATCAACCCTAGAGGAACAGGGTGTATCGCAAAAACAAGCGGATTGCAATCGGGAAACTATCTGCCGGACGATGTCCACGTCCTCGCCGTTGCCGACTTTGCAGGAGCACCGGCCGCCCCAGACCCTGCGAGCATTTATGAAGGTCGACAGTTGATCATCATCAAGACGAATAGCGAAACGTTCGAGAACGGAGATGCGTGGAAATGCATCACTTGCGGCGTGTCTGAGGAAAATTCGCGCGGTCGGGGCAAGGGCATGGACTACCCACAAGCGTTTACAGATGGAAAAAGGGTCCTGACTGGTACCGACATTGTCGAATGTCCCGATGGACTGGCCAGTGAAGCCTGTGGCCCTGAAAATGTGCGCATCATCCCTCTCCGGTGGGATAATACGGCAGATGGCTCTGGACCGGGAGGCCGTATGCGAGAGCTTCGCCTTCACCCTGATAATGTGCATATCGGGTTTAGCTCTCTATTCGCCACGAAACATGGCGTCTCTCAGTTTTCTTTCTTTGGAAGGATCAACTACAACCAGTTTCCTACCAAGGGTGAGCCCCTCGCACCACGCTACGATGTGGTCGATGTCAGTATCCTCAACCATGAACGGCGTTCGCGGGCCATCACGACAGATCCCGAGGATTCTACTCAACTCATCATCAACCCCCAGTCGCTGACTGTGGGCGAACTGCGAGGGTTCAGCGGCTCGGGGAACGAGGTCACATGGATTGGGTACCCAGCTGAATCGTGCAATATCGATGTTTTCGCTGCCAACCTCGCTGATGGGACTGTTCGCCGGTTGACTAGCCATCCTGACTATGTTGATCCAGTGGACATCTCACCCGACGACAAATGGACCGTTGTTATGGATACACGTGCGTCAGAGCGACAAATGTTCCTCTCAGGCCTCAGAGGAGTTCCACCTATCATCGATCTACTCGTTACAGCCGCGGTTGCCTCAGTGCGGAACAACGGCCAACGGCGCTTCTTCAAGCCATGGATCATTGACCAATACGGAGATCGTGGATCTTACATCGGGCAGCAACTGAACACCGCTGGCAGTGGTGTTCCTGGAAGCGGAGATATCAATGACCCTGAATGGAATGGCAGGGCGGACCCCAAGTGGTCGAGAGACGGCACTCGCATCGTTTACGCCGAGGCTATAACAGAATCTCCAGCCTGTGGGGGAAAGAACCCCTTGCCTTGTTATGAGTCGACTGAAGATGGTGGGCGGAACGAGCGTATCATGGTTGCGCACCTCACAGATCGGGAGCCCTTCAACCTACCCGTTGTGGAACCCAGACCAGACGTCATCCCATGGGGTACGCCGTTTCCTCCAGGGTCATCATTCCCCGAGCGAGAAGGGATATCCCCAGGAAACTACACACTCAAGGGAAAAGTGTCAGGATGGGCCGACGTCTCCCTCGGAAACAAAGAACGCGGCTTGATCTCATCAATTTCGGTACAATACCACGACTTCTCCGATGACGGGCTGAATGTACTGGTTGGCTCGGAAAGCGTATCCAGAGAGAACCCAAAACCGTTCATGGAGCAGTTGCATTGGTTTTCCAACTTGAAGCAGACGGGACCTAACAACGGGACCAAGATTACGAGTCCGGATGGATTTCATCTTTCCATTGATATTCAGTACAATTTCTTCCATGCTAAAGGGAACTTGACAACGACGGTCAATGGGAAGGAGTATCGTCAGCCGGCAAATGAGACCTAGGTAATTCGTTTGGAACTTTTGGAACAAGGAGAAATGGGGAGTATTGAGACACCAGGCTGGCAGGGGTAAAGTAGGTGACATCCTCAACTTGAAAATCCTGGGACGTGTAGCCCGCCAGGTCGCCACATGTCGTTTTCTTCTGATTTGCATCGACAAACATCTCATGCCCTGCCCAAAGCATGCCCACTTGATCAAAGACAAGAGTGGTACTTGACACATTAGATATTCATCAAAGAACGTTTGAAATACGAGACGCTTCGTTGAAAGATTTGGTGACCGAGCTGGAGGCACTCCGGAAACAGGGTTGTGAGGACATCGTTCGCATGCGGACGTTATACAACTACTTGAATGAGTCTGTAATGTCCGAAGCTGATGCGAGGTTCGTTTTTCGTTCTTTCCGCTTTCATCTTGTTAGAATCGGAATGCTAACAGTAAATACAGCTCTGCATTTGAGGCATCTACTCTCATCTATCACGTCACGCGGCATGGCGAGTCAGGTTGGTACAAGACCTCTGATTGCTTGTGGTCCAGTGAGACAGCAATTCGTGGCAAAGTCGTCCTGGATGAGTGCTGGGAGGCGCACAAGAGTTTCTTTGTGAGCAAACTAGGGGTAAAGTTGCTCACCCTACAAATGGTCTACGATGAGCTGCGACAATCGCCTCAGAGTAGCATCGACGAGATTAAGGTTGCCATCTTGTCGTTGAACGGCCTCCTCCAAACAGAACGGACGTATTTGGATCCAGAACCGATCAGAAAGGCCAAGATATTTCCGGTCAGGAACCCAGACGGGACCGTTGTGTTGAGCTCTGTGGATGTGGAATTTGCGATTGGAGATCGGGACAAGTCGAAAGCAAGGTTCCAGGACAAGATTAATATCTTGGACTTTGACCTGGAGGATGTTCGCCACCTCAAGCCACTCTTTGAATGGGCAAGCCTTCAAGATCGGTACTTGTCCCACTCGGTCAAAGAACGCACTTCAGCCTCGACAAGTTTGGGGCGTCCAATTTCATCACCCAGTCGTGATCTGAAACGGAAAGCTTATTATATTGCCCGGTAAGTGCTGAAAAGGATTAGTATCGTCCGAGCAATGCTGATTAGGCCTCGTCAACTAGAGTCGTAGCTACCTTTCACAGCCCTCGATTTGAGGACAACCCAGGCCAACTCTATGAGCAGCTGCGCACAATGAGAGTCCTGGAAGTTGACGGGATTTCTTCTGTATTGGAGATGTTCTAGAACAAGGAGCTATTCCGAGTCGAAGTGGCAGCTGCCAACGAGCATATCGACGACAGGACCTCAGAGGGACTCACGATTTATGTTCCCAGGGAACTCAGAGCGCAGGAACTCTGTTTTGGCTCAGTTCTGCCTAGGAAATTAGCCGGATGGTTAATGCAACGCTCGATACCTGATGGCGAGGGACCTGTTGAAGTTGAAGTTGACGCAGTCAACGCTCTCACTTCAATCTTTGCCTGTGACCAATCCGTTCTTGACGACATTCTCGATGACCAATGTATTATTCAGGTTTCATTGGAGAACAAGGATCAAGGCTATGATGACGAAGATGGAGAGCAGGAGGTGGAGGTGGAGGGAGCAACAGCCACAATCCGACATCCCTTTTGAAACTGACGGCGCCTCTTCAGAGCAACAAATGACTCCAGCCCATCCCTCGGCGAATGTCAGCTCGTCTTCATACCTTTGACCATCTCGCACTGAACCCACAAGAGGCATCATGGAGACAGTAGTTGAGACAATTTCTCGGCAAAGCCAAATGTCATACCGACCTCACCTGGGAGGTGGAGATGACCCTTCGCGACCACCTCTATTCCACCATTCATCACTATCACTGAATGCCTCGAGCTATCACGCTCCCACGCAGCCTGGGGGTCGATCCGAAGACGCGCAATATCGTGCGATCCTGGACAGGGTTGTCGAAAAAGCTAGAAGAACAACATTTGGGACAATCAACTCGAGTGGCAGGCGGGATACTCTGTCCAGTGGCGGGAGGCACGCGGATGCGTATGAAAGCTTTGACGGACTGGATGTCGTAGGTAAATTTCGGTCCACTAACCAACTAGAGCGTGACAAGAAGATTGGAGCAGCGGGCGAGTTATTTGTGAGTAAGATTTTACGCATAGCACGAGTTCTCAAGACTAACGGAGGTTTTCGCCTAGGTCTTCGAGCTCCTATCCAAACTCGAGATGCCAGGCTGGGATCGGGGAAACTGGCAAAGTACGATCAGAACATACGTGACAATTCACCTAGACTACACAACCATGGGGGCATAGAACAGAAGGGAGACGGCAGATCTAGTCTATGTCGATAGTGCAGGACACTTCACAGATATGCTCATTGGCTGTGGCTATCTCGATCATGATGACTGGCACGGGGCGCGACCCAAGTATTACATAGAGGTCAAAACCACGACTAGACCGCGTGATACCCCCTTCTATATGAGCGGCAAGCAATACCGGCTGGTAAGTACACTGGAGAAGGCCACTGTTCGCTTCGGCTAATTTTATGAGATGCAACGCGTTCACTCCACGGAAGATCGTTCAGAAGTTTACATGATTTTCCGTGTGTTTTGTCTGAACGACGACGGGATCGGCTTGAGTGTTTATTTTGACCCAGAGAAACTGAGGCAGGACGGGCAGCTTGAGTTTACGGGACAGACGTGGTCTGTTACTCCAGTGAATGGCACGGAGGCGGATGGTTAATGAAGAAGGATAATATCACATGTAGAAAGCTGAAGTTGAAGATTTCCTCGACTTGTTCAAGGTGAATAAAGGCTTTAGATGTATAATATGATACCGAGGTCGGATCCCGCAGTCATGTTGTGAGTCCTATGGTAGGATCATGCTGAACCAACACTCCCATTACGGAATAAATGGCCATCCACGTGGGGAAATTCCTAAGTTCCTACTCGAATTGAGCTAAGCGATGGGCCGGTATCTTGTGGACAATGCGTTCTTTATTATAGCTAAAGCCCGGCCTTTGATGGGTTAACAGAGCCAGAACATCGACAAGCCAATATCAGACCAAGATACCTAGTATGGGCCAGTTCAGACGAGACGAAACATCAAGTGACACCCAAGTCAAGAATATCACGTACCAACAAGGCGTCGCCAGTAAAGTGCTGAGCGAAGCTGAGCCGGGGGAGGGGATGAGGGCCACGCAAGCGACTGCCCAGGATGATTAAGATCTTACCTGAGTATCACCTCAGAAGATCAAGTGAACATGTCCTATGAATGAGTGCCTTGGCAAGACTAGAACAATTGCAATGTTAATCAAAGAGATGAAGAGGTAGACAAAGGAAAAGGCCGCAAGAAGCTAGTCCTCTCAACTTCTCTTCGATGACAATCATGTCCCACTCCGCCACCACACTTCACTTGCCCTTTGAGTTTGCTGTCAGTTCGGAGACCTACGAGGATTGATAAATTGTGCTCTATGTGAACTTGGCTGCGCAAGTCCCGCGCCCGTTCGATGCCCTGTTATTACCTGAACATTGCGTCGGTTCTGAGTTGTCTAGAAACACTATAAAGAGTGCTGCCCTCACCCTCTATCCCGTCCACATCTACTCTACTCTGTACCATTCACCTTGTATCCTTTGATCAATTTACAACATGAGCGACTCTATCAAGTCTGAGAACCGAGGAGAAAGCTCCTCGGAAGAGCCTATGAAGCCAAACGACCTCAACAACCATACCCACTTGGATGAGTCCAGCAGCGGGGAAGTGAAGAAGGATCACGGCGAGGAGGAGAACAAAGAGAGCGATCAAGTCGACGGCATCGATTCTGAACAAGACGATACCTCACAGTGTGACGAACTTCTAGGGAACGACGAAGGCACTTCTGAGGACCCCGTCAAGCCCGCTTTCGTTCAAGAGCTTAGAGCATGTCTCAACCGAAGTGGTTTCAAATGGGCCTGCATGAGCACGGAAATTATCACAAACACCCTCGTGGTCGAGTTCCTTGGATGTCCTGAAGAGGACAAGGCAGAGGATCTCAAGAGTGAGCTTCGCCTTGTTATGAAGGGCAAAGAGCTGCCCATCAAGTTTGTCGAGTTCCCCGCCCCGTGGAAGCACGCCTAACTTGACCATTGAAAGTAACTTGGCAGTTGTTGCTGCGGAGACCACTAAGCGAGTCTTTTTGGCCCATGGCGATGACGCTTTGTGACCAGGTGATGGCTTCTTTTGGGGACGACACCAAGTTCACACAATTTGTATTGTAGTCCGCTGATTTTTGTACAGCCGTATAAATTGTAGCCGTATAAATTGTACACTCTTGTTTTTGCTAACTAGACTACGTTGACTGAAACGCAACTACATACGTGACTTGATAATTACACATTTAATTCTTTGGGGGGGATGAGCGAGAGTGTGTTAGAGGTTGAAGTGGAAACCACGTATATCCAAATGTACTCTTATCGAAGGCTCAGCTTACTATCCGTAAATCTGTGGCTATTGACTTTCATGTAACCCAGGGATTCCGGCCCGGGATATCCCCGATGATCCTGGACCCTTTTTTGGATGCAACCCCTATGCCGGGGTATTCTCCGCAATTGGACCGCGGCGCTAGGTTTAGTGGCCAGGCGTTGTAATTGTCAACGTCGTTGTGGCTCGGCCCCATTCCAATGCCGATACTAATACCGCTCGCTTCAAAGCTCCGGTCCGTGCAAAGCCAAGCCTGGGTCCGTGAAGCGGGTCGCCGCTGACTGAGCGGATTTCCCTGTTGTTGTATAGGTTATGAGTCCCAGAAATACGGAGACACGACGCAAGCTCACAAACGCCGCATCGTGTCAAACATCCAGTGCCTCGTTACGTATTACGAATGTCGAGGAATACGGTACTTTCAGCATATTTAAGGAACACATGAATCTCTTGCAAGTGTAGATGAATTGTCGTTACGAAGCACAAACTCGTTTTCTTTCCAACCCATCGCATACTACACAAACAATCTCTTCTCATCTTACACCTGCTAACGCAAACATGGCCGGCCACTTTGTTCAAGCCAGCGGAAATACTTTTCCTGAAACCCAGTACTTCGCGGGGTTCATGGAGCCTTGCCGATTCGAGGGTGAGGTGTATGACTTGGAGGTCATTGGAGAGATCCCCAAGGAGATCAACGGCACCTTCTACCGCAACATGCCGGATCCTCAGGTGGCGCCCTTTGCCAGAGATGACATTGTAATCCAGTTACCCTTACATAGACCCCAGGATGTGACGCTAATGTGCTGCTAGTGGTTCAACGGTGATGGCAACATTAGTGCTTTTCGAATCAAGGATGGCCATGTCGACTTCAAGCAGCGGTACGTGCGGACAGAAAAGTTTGAGAGGGAGAAAGAAGCTAGGCGAGCGTTGATCGGTAAGTTGTCCAGGCGAGAGAGTAAAGAAATACATGCAGCTTACGATGAACAGGAAAGTATCGCAACCCGTACACAGACGCCGAGCCTTTCAAGATTCGGTCAACAGCAAACACAAACATAGTCTACTTCAACGGAAAGTTGTTGGCCTGCAAAGAAGACTCACCCCCTTACGCTATGAATCCGGAGACACTCGAGACTCTAGGAGTTGAGACATTCAATGGCCAGCTCAAGAGTGAGACGTTTACGGCTCACCCCAAGATCGACGCAGTTAGCGGAGAGCTGATCGGTTTTGGCTATGAGGCCAAGGGTATTGCTACTACTGACATTTGCTACTTCTCTATTGGGCCGGACGGAGTCATGACAGAGGAGCTCTGGTTCAAACAACCACAGGTGTCCATGATCCACGACTTTGCCGTTACTGAGAACTGGGTGAGTAACCTTGGCGAGCTCTCACCTACATGGCTAACTCGGTCAAGGTGGTTCTTCCGTTGATCCCTCACATCTGCGACATGGAACAACTGAAGAATGGAGGAGAGCATTGGTACTGGGATCCAAATATGCCCATCTATTTCGCCGTATTGCCCAGACGGGGCGGAAAGCCCGAGGATGTCAAGGTACGGCAGAGAGCCGCATCTGTCTGATGGGTGAAGAAACTGACGAGTTCAATAGTATTTCCACGCACCAAACGCTTTCCCAGGCCATACCGCAAACGCCTATGAAGACTCTGACGGCAATCTTTTGGTTGACCTGAGCATCGCCAGTGAGAACGCCTTTGACTTTTTCCCTGAAAAAGACGGCACCACGCCAGACATGACCAAACTCCGCGCGCCACTCAAGCGGTTCACCATCAACCCTCATTCTGACGTGGCAGAGCTCCCACCAGCAAAGATCTTGCTGGAAACCAGCAACGAATTCAGCAGGATCGATGATCGTTTTGCCACAAGACGCTATCGCCACGTCTTCAACATCCTCATGGATCCAACTCTGGAGACTGACTATCCGGCTGTCATGAGAGCCAACCCTGGAGCCTTCTTCAATGGCATAGGACATTTAGACTTGGAGACGGGCAAGCTGGAGAAGTGGTCTGCCGGCCCACGAGCTGGATTCCAAGAGCCTGCCTTTATCCCTCGCTCGAAGGATGCCCCTGAAGGCGATGGATTCCTGATTGTCTTGGTGAACGATTATGAAGCCATGAGGAGCAAGTTGGTCATTATTGATGTCAACAAGTTTCAGGAGCCGGTCGCAACCGTCAAGCTTCCTTTGCGACTGCGTCCTGGACTTCACGGCAATTGGGTGGATGCTGAGGACCTTGAGAAGTAAAGGATGCAGTGTGTTGACGCAATTGTCTTTGATATATCGTTGGTAGGTGCTGTATGAGTTGGATAGCATATCATTAGTTGCTTCAGGCTGTTTAAATAGCCGATACTCGTTCATGTCACGAAAAAGCTGCCACGTCAATTTCAAGGCGATAGTGGACATCGCGGGGCTCCTAGACCGCCATATTGTCAAGTAGTATTATGTTTCCTGGTAGTATCCCAAAAGAAATAAATGTGCCGTCTAGCCCTGCTTCGTTGCATGCGTTGTCATTTTCACAACTGGTATGCTCTCGTGTGATGATTCTTGCCATCCAATGCGCCGGAGATGCTTCTAGGCATGGGCCATAATTAACAAAGAGCTTCTGGTCTCGATGTGACTGATTTCGCTCAGCCGTGAGCCCGGCTTTGAGGTCAGCCTCAGCGATGACATGGTAATAAAGTACGTGTGAGTGGGGTGGCCAAAGCTAGATCGAGATGGATACAAGGTCTAAGGGCCCCTTGACTGAATAAAGGATGGGTTACTTGCGGGGTACACACCATCTTTCATGAGAACTTCGGATAGGGCGATCGGCAGATACGGCCTCGATGGTTGTACACAGGCTTATCCTCAGGGGTCAGAGAGTGTATGCCGAATACAGCAACATTGCCAACCCCTGCACCCTGCTCTGGCAGATCTTCCCCTTAGCACAAAAAAGGTACTCTGTGGCACTTGTAACCTCTTTACTCGTTCTTTCAGTGGACAGCACTCTTCTCTTCGCTCGGACACTCGACTCCACGGCCCGAGACTAATCGAAACCTGTGCTATCAACTCGGTATTATGTACGCATGGCCGAACTCCGCTGAATAAGCGCTTTCACTGGTATAGATTGTATATTTAATCGTTGAAGGAGACAGTCCAGATAGTGTTCCTAGCAATCTTTCGGCTACATCAATCTTTCATCCCACGCTTATCAACCTAAATCACCAAAACCAGCATGACGACCCAGACCGAGCTCCCTGCGCCACAATGGGACCAGTTCCCCCGGCTGGGAGAGTCCAAGGTGGTGGCATCTGAGGCCGGTGCAACTGTGAACAACAAGAAGGACTCGCTGGCTGTCAGTGATGAGTTCAAGTTCGACGTTGCTGATCCTCTCTGCGCTCTTCCCACAAATCAACCCACGCGCTATGATGCCGAAGTTGCCTCTTGCGTCGTCCACGGAAAGATTCCATCATGCATCGACGGAACCTTTTACCGTGTGATTTGCGATTACATCTTTACCAATCGCAATATGAAGGATGTCTGGATCAACGGAGACGGCGCCGTCAACGCGTGGAGAGTCTCCAACGGTGTCGTTGACTGGAAACAGAAGTTTGTCAGGACACCGCGCTTCATCATGGAACGAGCCGCTCGACAACCTCTGTGGGGGACCTACCGGAACCCGTATGCGGGAGACTCTCGTGTATTTGATGAGATCCAGTCCACTGCAAACACGCACGTGCAGTGGTGGCAGCAGAAGCTGCTGGTGCTGAAGGAAGACAGTCCGCCGTTTCTACTTGATCCTGACACTCTGGACACTATTGGTGAGTTAATAGCCTGTTTCTCTGTCAACAGTAGATGAGTGAGCTTAACGATGCTAGGCGCGTACGACTTTGAAGGGCAGTTGAAATCCAAGACCTTCTGCGCCCATCCAAAGACCGACGCCACGACGGGTGAGATGATGGGATTTGGCATGGAAGCCTCTGGCTTGGGGTAAGTTATTTCATCTCAGCAGTCATGGCCACGCGCTAATACGGTGTTTTAGATCAAACGAGCTGGCGTATTACCGCTTCGACAAAGAAGGGAAACTGCTTGATGAATGCTGGATCAAGACCCCAGTCGTCTCCTGGACTCATGACATGGCTGCAACTGACAAGTTCGTTCCCCGAGTTCGCTCTTCCAAAGCAATGACTGGAGCTTTGTGCTGACTCAGTGTGCAGCTACGTCGTATTTGGTATGACGCCGCATCAGTTTGACTTGGATTACATGAAGGAGGAGAATGGGACTCACTTCCGCCGAAATCCTTTCCTTGTAAGAAACTACCTCACCAAACATGACCAGGCCCTGACTTTGACTGTTTAGCCCAACCACTTCGGTGTGCTCCCGCGCCGAAACCCAAAGCCCGAGGACGCAAGATGGTTCACCTCTCTCAAGAACCACTACTGGGGTCATGTCTGCAACCACTTTGACGGCGAGGACGGCTGCATCTACATCGACGCCTTCCTCCACGACATTGACGCCCTGGGAGCCTTCCCCACCAAGCATCCAGAGCTTGAGAATACAACACCCAGGAGGCCACCTGTAGGCAAGTTTGTGAGATTCAAGATCGACCCCAAGGCCGAGTCGACAGAGTTGGAGCCACCGGCAATCATCAGCGACATTGCGGGTGAAATGGCCCGATGTGATGACCGCTACACCACAAAACCTTACAACCACGCCTTTGGCGGCGGCGTCCCTGGGCCAATGGGATTCGGGGCTATTATTCACATCGACATTGGCGCTGGGGTTACCAATGTCTGGCATGCGGGTGAAGACATTACGGTAGGTGAGCCGTGCTTCGTTCCTCGTGCCCCTGACTCCCCCGAGGCAGACGGCTACCTGGTCGTGCCATGCCGTAACCACAAGACAACATTGGGTTCTCTAGTCATCTTGGATGCCCTGAATATCACAGCCGGTCCTGTCAGCGTCATTGATCTTCCACTGAGGCTTCGAGAGGGTGTCCACGGCAACTGGGTAAGTGCAAGCCCTTCCACAGCGACGAGACCCATTACTAATCGGGGTTCCAGGTTCCTGCGACTGAGTTCGCTGCTAGGAAGCCCCTGGTGGACTATTCTGGTATCACTCCTGAGATTCAGGAGAAGTTTGGGACAGGGGCGCCGAAGCAATACGATGACCTCAATGCCCGGTCTGTGAAGAGGCGGCCATGAACATACCATTTGTCATCCTGATCTTGCCATAGTACATGCTTGGTTGCTAGTATCGTGTTAAATTGACCCTATTTATACCTTGCTTCAGCATTAGTTCATAAAGCCCGGAAGTTGTCCCATTTCCTTCTCTTCCACGTCACTGGCAGCGAGTTTTTAGCATTGCCTCACCCCCAACGTGCGTTGTGGGTGATGGCAAAACATGGGATTACTTCCACCCGTTCCACTCATTTCAGTGTAGAGAAGAGGCATGTGCTTGTAGCTGTGCTGTGGCTGGATGTCGCAAGTCAGAAGCCAGTCACGGGGAAATTCTTGAACGGATGAACAGAAGCGAACTACTCTCTAGAAATATGTCTTGCCTACTTGATATTCACGACCTTGTAATCAGGTTCTCCAAAAAGTCAAAACCCTCGCGTTGCAAGTTCCACGTCTGAGAGGCCACCTTCATCCTTGCAGCGAACATATGATCCTCCCCAGGAATTACCCTAAGCTCAGACTTGATCCCATGCTCGCGCAGCGCCTTGAACAGATCCTCACTGAGCTCCAGCGGAACCATCTTGTCCTCTGCGCCATGGCACAGAAACGTGGGCGGGAACGAGGGACTGAGATTCTTGATGGCATCGACCTTGTCAAACTCTCCCGAAGGCAGGATAGCATCAAGTACGGTCCCGTTGGCAATGTGTACTTGAACAAAAGCCTGGCGAGGGTCACTAAAGTCCGGCCCTCCGCTCCGCTGACCCTCAAGTGAGAAGCCCCCTTCCGTGGGGACGGGGTCTTCATGATAGACCCGGTTCAAAAACTCTGGAGTGAGGTTCTTGGGGATGATGGCTGCAAGACGATCCACCTTGTTCCTCATCACAGGGTTGGAGAAGTTGGCTGTTCCGTATAGGCTGTATATGCCGGCCACTGGACGGGGGACTCCAAAGCCCTAGAATGGTGATTAGCCTGGTAGTCTACTAATGGTTTGCAACTTGACATGTCCAGTGTCGACGCAATGCACTTACCAAACAGAGGGACAATGTCCCTCCTGACGATGCGCCAAACGCAAACACGTGGCCAACGTCAACGATGTACTCGGTGCTGGTATGAGAAGATATAGCACCCTGCAGGCCACCCTCATACACCCACGCAAGAAGATCGCGCGAGTCTTGGACCGGCCCCTCGATGAGATTAACCCCAGGGCATAGGCGATGGTTCGGCGCGACGACGATCCATCCACGCTGCAAGCAATCGCTGACTTGATCTCTGTTGATCATCTTGGAGGAGCCCAGCATGAATGCTCCTCCATGGAAGTTCAGAACTGGAAAGAGTCAGTCACGGGTGCTCTAAACTGACGAGCAGAGTTCACATACGAACTGGGCACCGTCCGTTATTCTTATCATTAGTGGCTTCGGGGAGGTATATGTCTGCATCTATCTCTTGCTTGCCTAGGGTCTTGTAAATACCTCTGAAGCTAGTGGGACTCGCCATGTGTGAAAATGTGGGAATGAACCTGGAAGGTGATGATGGAGGGCAAACAGTGAGGTAAAGGTGCCTTGCATCCACAACTTGGGGATCTTTATTTCATCTTTTTATGCCCGAAAAGAGAAAACTAGGTTCGGTACATACCAGGCCCCCCGCTTCCATCCTCCTGTTCTCCCCTTCCGCCACCCTCCCCCCGTGGCTACGGATTTAAGGTGACTCTCTTTACTCCGAAGTGCCGGAATTTTGCGTCATTAAACGACTAGTTCGGATAAGTAACAAACATACCGAAGCCATGTATCCGGCTCAGTTGCCAAATACACCATCTTGAATTACTAGCTATCAGGTTGCTGTGGTTCCTAAGCAACCACTTCGGGTCCCATTTACCCAATAGTGAATCCTGGGTCTTTGCAGCAGAAAAGGGGCTATTTTCACCATCTTCGCTTTGTCAGCGGACTTTTTCGGACCACCGAGCCTTAGCAGGACGTCAGGACTCAGCCTCATGGAGTGAGGACCATGTATCTTGTGGACAATTACCCTGGGAAAGCCGCATCATCCATAACCACCAGAACCGCCTTGCAGAATCTCGCTGCTGCTTTCTTACCCCTGAGCTTTGTAGAGGCTTACGCCGTGCTGACATTCACTCTTGCTTTCAGACACAAACTCAAAAGACGAGACCACGTTCTTGCTGCCTATGGACTAAGAATGACTGTCTGCGTTTGCAAAAACTCCTTGATCCCCCACTCGGCTCCAAACCGTCCATATCCACTCAGGTTTGTACCACCATGAGGCAACGTTGACTCATCATGAATGGTCGAGCCGTTAACATGCAGGGCACTCACATGAAGCCGAGAGGCAATCTCCAAGCACGATGCATGTCCTTTGTCCAAAGTGGGCTGAATAGGCCGTGGTTGAGACTATTCACGATGGATATCGCCTCATTCTCATCCGAGACAACGCGGATTCCTGCAATAGGCCCAAAGCTCTCGGCAGAAAGGATATCCATGGACTCAGTAATGCCTTCGAGAATAGTGATAGGTGTTCTGTTGTTATCACCCTTGGTTTGGTCTGTGGAGTTTGAGATAGGGTGTGCACCCTTTCAACCGCGTCTTTTACCAAAGAGCTGACTCTGTCGTTCGATCCAGAGCCGACAAGCTGATATTGTCGGATCTCTTCTGAGCTACAAGAGCATTAATAGCTTGCGAGAACTTGTCCGCAACTGCTTTCACAACAAGAACCGTGTCAGTCGACATGCAGACTTGGCCGGCCTAAATAATGCCAATGTCAATATTTGCAGGTTAGAGCAGGTTTCAGAGGGGCCAACTTACATTCTCCACCATCCCCTCGAGTACTCCTTCAGCTGCTCTCTGTACATCGGTATCTTCGAGCACGAGAACGCAATTCTTTCCTCCAAGCTCGAGAAGCACAGGCTTGATTGCTTCACCAGCGGCCTTGGCAATGATCCTTCCTACCTTTGTCGAGCCGGTAAAGTTGATCTTGCGCACGGCTGGGTTATTGATGAGACTGTGGACCACACTGGCGGCATCTTGAGGCCGATGAAGCAAAAAGTTGACGACTCCTGGTGGAAACCCCGCTTCTACAAACAAGTTTGCAACAAAAAAGCGAGTTTTGGGACTGAGCTCAGAGCCCTTTACGTTGATTAGCAAATAGACGCCGTTGCTTCTTCCTCCGCACGTACCTTCAAAATGACCGTGTTTCCAGCTACCAAGGGAGCGATGACTGCCCGAAATGCAAGGATGAGTGGAGAATTCCATGGGGCAATCCCAAGAACCACACCAAAGGGCCTGTTGATGACGGCAGCATGTGCGCCCTCGCGGTGGGTATGTGGTATGGAGCCTTGCAACGCCTGAGATGTTGCGAGGCATGCGTTCTCCTCGATCAAAGCGACGCTGCCCATGAAGCTCTTCTGGGCCCATGCTGCCTCGCAATGGATCTCTTCCTGCATCAAGCGCTGGGCCTCGGCACCTTTCTCGCGTAGCAACTAGGAATTGGGGGTCGAACCTTTTCAATACACCTTAAATTGAAGGCTGCTCTCTTATTTGGGCGAAGTGGAACAACAGCTGCAGTTGCTCCAAAGGACTCGTTCGAGACCACTCTTGGAAGGCCTGAGCGCTACTTTCTGCTGCTCTTTGGGCATGATCAACAGTGGCGGCCAGGGACTCAGTACTGTCTGCCAAGGTGTAATAGTTCTTGTCCGAGTTGTCATGGATGGCAATATTGTTAATGATGAGTGGTACTCGGGCATGGGTTTGAGCATTACCCTGTAGGGGCAAACTGCTCGCCGGCGCCACCATTGCTGAAGCCATGTTATTGAAAAACAAGACGAAAAGAATAAAAGGAATAGCATGAATGTGAATTGAAAACTATATACATACATGAACATAGCCTTAAATACTCTCTGTATACACGCAAGCTTTCATTATCTCGAAGGGAGAGGTCAACGAGATTACTCAGCGGGACTTTGCTCACAAGTGGCTCTGAGCTAGACAAGTTTAGTCCAGAAAGGGATTGGTGGCTGCCCCACCCTCCGGAACAAAGTGCGGGGAAAAGCCGGGGAAAGAACGGATAGAAAGCGGCATGTAAAGAGGGGTTAACAATAGCTCAAACACAACTGGATCAAGTTTACCGATGCTGCCAGGTGGCCTTGAGGTACGCCCTGGATTTGATCTTGTGATACCCTAAGCGGCAACTGTTACGGCTTTGAAGCAATTCCGACAAAAATGCCCGCTGACTCATCAAGAAATGCCGAACGCTGTCCCGACAAGCGGGGTGAGACTCGATGCTTTTCGTGAGTGCATCGTGATCTGCAGGGCTCCAACCGACCAGTACTCAGTGGGTTTACGGGCTTCACCTACCATAAGAAACAAATGTTATCCAAAGTTACTTGAAGAACATTTGCGTGTCACGCAGTTTCATTGGCACCAGAAGCTGTTTTGTTGCTTCCTAGTCCAGCACCCTGAACTCACCCATTGATCCTCTCCGCATTCTGCATTTCTGGGCTTCCCCATCTGTTTAATAAACCATGGTATTTCCCGCCACCCAACAAAAACCTCGCTGGCATGACAAGTCATTTTAACTTGCTCTAGTCACAAGCAGCCCCTCGCACGAATCCAGCCGTGCAACTAGATGTCGCCATCGTAGGTGCAGGACTCAGCGGCCTTGGAGTCGCCATTGCCTCTGCCTTGTCTGGCCATAGGGTGATTGTTTATGAATCCGCTACAGAGCTACGTGAGGTCCGTTGCCTACTTGTTCTACTCGTGATAGGTACTGACGGAAAGCAGATTGGAGCTGGACTGCAACTCACGCCCAACTCAACCAAGATTCTTCAGCGATGGGGCATTGCTGAGGGCTTGTTGAAGGCTGCTGCTGAGCCGACATCTCTCATTGTTCATCGTTACACGGGAAAAATCCTCGCCGAGGAGGCCAACTTTGATGAGAAGATCCGGGCCAGATATGGCGCGCCCTTTATCGACATGCACCGAGTGGATTTGCAGATGGCGCTCTTTGACCGTGCCAAGGAACTGGGAGTTCGGTTTGAGATGGGCCAAAAAATCGCTGATGTCGACTTTAGCACCCCCGAAATTTCGACTGCATCTGGACACAAAGTCCGTGCCGACCTGATCGTCGCAGCTGATGGCATCTGGTCCCAGTGCCGGGCTTGCTTCACCGGGAACGGCGATCCACCTAAACCGACAGGAGACTTGGCCTATCGCTTGGTCATCGATCTCGAAAAGGTGACAGATGCTGATCTGCGGCTCTGGATCAGCAAGCCAAAGGTTCACTTTTGGATTGGCCCTGGGGCTCATGTTGTGGGTTATTCTCTTCGGGGCGGGAACCAGTATAATATTGTCCTTCTCGTGCCCGACGATCTACCTCAAGGTGTGAGCCGACAAGCAGGCTCTGTCAAAGAGATGAGGGAGCTGTTTAAGAACTGGGACCCTACTTTGAACCGGTTTCTCGATTTGGTTGACGGCGTGGAGAAGTGGAAGCTGATGCATCGTGAGCTGAATTCGCAGCTGTTTTATACGCCCCAGTGTTACTAATGGTGCGCCATTATAGGATCCGAGCTGCCATCATGGGTCAACGATGAGGGTAATTTTGTCTTTGTGTTCGTCTCCCTGGCCCACAACCTAGCGGCGTCTCCGACTAACACTCGTGTTTGATTCAATTTAGCGGAGATGCATGTCATCCCATGTTGCCATATCTGGCACAGGGCGCAAATTCGGCCATCGAAGATGGTGCCGTCCTCGGACTTCTGCTTGGTACCTTGAGCCGCCGAGAGGATCTACCAAAGGCGCTCAGGAGGTATCAGCAGCTGCGAAAAGCCAGAGGTGACTCGATCGTCAAGGAGACATTTAAGCAGGTACGTTGCTTATCCCCCCTTGCAGAGCCCAGGTTACTGACCATGTTCCCTCTCATAAAGCGGGATTCGTTTCACATGCCCGACGGACCCGAGCAGGAAGCTAGAGATGCTATTTTCCTATCACAGCTTGGCAAAGAGTTGCGGGCGCCTTTCCCAAGCAGATGGACCTGTCCAGAGGTACAGCCCTGGCTGTATGGATACGACGCGTTCAAGGAGGTTCAAGAGTCGATAAAGGTAGACCCTATCGGCCAAGGTACACTCTAAGTTGGGCTGTGGTGGGTAATAACCCCGGGTACTACTTGAATACGTTGGCCATTACTTGAAATACGAGTCGTTCATCTTATCTTTCGGAACATCCTTCCCATCGGGTGTTTGGAGTCGATATGTCTCCATTTTTGCGTCATTTCCCCCGGGGTCGTGATGTAATGGGATTCTACGTAACTGATGGTTTATCGGTGACCTCTGGTAGTAAGTTGAACTACCACGTGCCACTCTGATTCGCGGCCAGAGCTTTCAGGTAGAGAATAGAGCGCAATGCTCTGCCTTATTTAAACTCTCCTTGCTGATTCATATGCATTCGAACCCGTGAATGGGGTCAACTAATCAACATCCGGCACCGGAAGACCATCGATAACCTTCATGCCCGTAACCCCTTGCTTTTGGATGGCCTCGAGAGCCTTTTCTGTGCGGATCTGGTTGGATTCATCCTCCGTCACCAAAACAAAGTCATACTGCATAAGTCTGGTTGAAGGTGGAACACCATACTTTTCTGCGTAACCTTCGACGTCGGAGACGGACTTAAGACGTACAAGAAGAGATTCTTTGACTCCAAATACGGCGTCCGATCTCTCGTACGGGGAGTCCCGGATGTATAAGGCGCTGCAATAAAGGTTAGCGTTGTGAAATATGAAAGGCTAGGGTATGTAACTTGCGTGATAAGAGGATCATAGCCAGGCTTGCTGAACATAAAGTGGAAGTGACTTGGGCGGTACTGATGGCGGTTCAGCTTGGCCAAGAGGCGTCCAACAGGTCCATCATCGGGAATTGGATAGGGGACTGGCGTGATTGCGGAGAAGTAAAACAGGCCGGCTTCATCGCTCTGTACTATAGCGCGACCGTCTGGCCCTGTCCGGTCTGCATGCTGGACATCATAGAACCCTTTTGAATCCGTCTCCCAGACATCAACCAATACACCAGGGATTGGCCTCCCCTGTGTGTCTTTGACTGAACAGACGACCAGCATCGGCTCACCGTCAGGGTCTTGAGAAATCAGTGTTCCATTCTCAATCTTTGGCGCTTCATGGGTGTGGAAAGGGCCTAGAACGGTTCCCTCGGTCGAAGCTGGGGGTTTTGGATGGTCGATGGAGTCGACCAAGAGAGACAGGCCGAGCACGTCTGAGAGGAGGATGAATTCCTGGCGCACATCGGTGCATATCTGCCCGACTTGTGTCAGGAATTGGATAGCTGCTTGCCATTCATTCGTGCTGAGACGTGTCTCGCGAGCAAAGTCGTGCAAGTGCGTAACCAGCCTTTCCAACAGGAAGCGGAAGCGCGCGTCATCACACGTCGAATTGACAGCATTGACATTTTCGGTAATGTTGTCAATTGTCAAGTCTAAAAGGGGACGTGTTGTGTGGTCCATTCTGGATAATGATAAAGACTGATCGTATGGTTGGTTGTAGGTAGTTGGATGGGTAAAGATACACTATTCTTCTTCCATTTATATACCTTCGGATTGGCCAACCACGATGTGATTAATTCGGATGTTATGAGAAGGGGTGGGCGGGGTTCGCGATGACAAATTGCTCAGTAATGCCATAAAGTCAAATCCGGCTTCGTTGATCGGTATTTAGGGGGATAGAACGGATACAACCCGGAAGCTATCCGCGGTCTAGCTCCGCTTTGTCATCGGAAATCCTGAAGTTGACCTGGAAATCTTTAAGGGGTAAAGTTGTATAAGTGTTTCGAAATTATCTTTGAGCCTTTTCCCTTTCTTCATTATTGCTCATAACTGGCTAAGTACTTATTATGGACGCAAGGATCTCCTCTGCGCCTCAAGGAGGACTGGGCATTGATCAAAATCTTCCGCAACAATGGCCAACAGTTCCAAAATCAATTCAGCGTCAATCTTTTGCGCCCAGGTTTCCCAGAGCAGAGCTTCACCGGTGTCAGACAACTTGCTCACCCCAGCCGTATCGACGTCACCAAAAGGGGCAGAACAACAGATCTCACGGCAGGCACTCTCAACGGAGCCCAATCCATCATCAACCTGAATGGCGACCCAATGAGCACGTTTGCAATTGTCCACTAAACAGGTCTTTTCCGCCGGAGGGGATAGCGAATCGTGGATTATGGACATAAACGGCCAACTGGTAGGCATGCTGTGGGGAGGGAACAGGGTGTTTCTTCCGGCAAAGCAGAGGAAAGTGATATGGGGCGACCTGGAAGGTTACAGATCCCATGATTTAGACGTTGAGGATGTTACCTACTTTACCCCCGCCACCTACTTCTTCAAGAGGATCGAGAGGAGTTTCAAGAGAGGGATGAGGGCGTTGGGGCACGATCTACCTGACGATTTCGAAGGGAGAGTTTGACTCTTTGAGTAGGATTGGTTGGTGAGGTTTCGTTTGTTCAACACGACTGTCTCTTATTTTCCTAACTAGGTACCTAAATTGACAACAATTCATCCTAATATTATGATGGCAACTAGAACATTATTTAGTAGATTACTATCAACCATAGCCGACTGCCGATCATCAAAGGGGGCAAAGCCAACAAGTGAATATGTCTAGTTAGAAAGGTATTGGACATAGAGGCTGTAAAGAAGACACTTTTTAATACCATTGTGAACTCGATGGCACCTCTAAAAGAAGCCATCAGCCAGAATAACAAAGAGCACGGCCATTGACATATGCTGACAGTAAAACCCAATACCGAAAAACACCATACTTGCTGTACCATGCGCCTTTTGAGTTTCACTTCGGAATGCCTATCAATTGTAGTAGCCCAGTCCATACTTCGCCCAAGAAAGCAGCGCCACTGAAACAACAGACGGCTCGCATAGAAATACCTCTACATAGTCCCCATGTCAAAGCCAGGGGCAATGTTGATCCGGCAGCTGTTGATGACCTTGCCGTCTCTCTTGACAATACCTATCACAATCTTTAGTATCTGGGCTTGCCTTGGTGTGTTGGGGCACCTACAACTCAAGTCTCGACCAATCATCTTGAGATAGATGAGAAACTCCACCTTCCAGTGTCTCTTACCGATCAGCTTGCCATTCTTGCCAACCTCTGGCTCGATGGGCTTGATGAGGCCTTCTTTCTGGAGAAAGGTGAAGTCAACCACGAGTGTGCCGGCTTTTTGGGCACCTGTCACGGACAACCGTTAGCGGTGGAGTATCTCGCGGATATATCAGCCATACCTTTGTTCTTTTTGTGTGTTACTCGGTAGTGAGACTTGGTCGCCGTGTCTGAGACGTATATTACCTCTTGACAGAAGAGTGGGTGGCCATACTCGATGTAATGCACTGTTTCCAATGGCTTTTCGCTGACCCAATTCGGCCCAATCTTGTCTCCCTAAAAGCGTTGTATCAGTGCAAAAATCCTGTCAATATCAATTGGTGGTCTCACCTTCTTCAACACCCATTCTATGGTGTTCAGTACATAGTGTTCCCCAGTGACCGGGTCAACAGAGTAGTTCTGCCCGCTATGCTCGATATGATTGCCCCAAGGCTCCGAGCGCAAAAGGCCATAGCTAGATCTGGCAAATCTCGCTGGTCCATTCTTCTTGTCAAGGGCTCGAAGTATGGCACCTTGGGAGACGGCATTCACAGCCATCCTCCTGCATCTCTGTCAGCATCATTACGGGATTATAGGTAGATATGCGAACCTCTCCTGTTCTTCGAGCCGGAACAGCTTGATGGGACGAAGCCCGCGGCTCTTGCACAGACCCTCTAGAAACTTTTCCAACCATTTCTGCAAAGAAGGGGAGCCAGAGAAACCTCCCATCAGAATGACCCTCTGTGTACTACCGTGTAAGCATAAATCCAATGACTTGAAAGAGTGGGAGACCAACATCGACGTTGTAACCATAGTTGCTTGCAGGGATTATCTGGTTCTTCAAGATATCTCCAATCTGCACAAAAAGTCTGAGAAACATTGCTTCGATATCCTTCCTGTGAACCGTCAGCTTAAGATAACACTGGATTAGAAAAGACAGGGAGCTTGCGCTGAAATAATGGCACAGTTGCCCTTCAGGCCTTTACCCGGCTTCAGATTTCCAGAAACAAAGAGAGACAGCTTCTTTTTGTTGAGGTAGATGTCCCAGCACCGCTTGTGGGTGGTCTCGAACTTCATCATGATAAACTCGACAATACCCCTGATGGTGACTCCGTTGACTTCAAGCTGGGTTTGGTTTTCAAGAAGCTTGAGGAGGTGCTCTCTGAAGTACTCGTTGAGGTAGCTGGAACCGCAGAGCCCGCCTGCTGCTGTGAGACTTGAGGTCCTGGGCCTGCGAGGGGTTACTCACCGCCATGGGGGACTACCTCCTTGCTCAGCCTCATTGGGAGCTGATTCTCGATTTGATACGTAACAGCATCGACGGTGCCGCCGCCTGGACTTGTTACTCATGTGTTGCTCACGGATCTCTAGAAACATACCTGCATCCAAGAGGACAATCGTATCCCCACGCTGCGGAGGTGGTCGAGTCAGCCAACCTTTAGCACACAGAGGTGTTCTGAAACTCACTCTGAAGCCATAGTTCTGGCTCACCATGTAGGTTGCTGCAGCTTCTGGCTCAGAAACAATAAACAATCTTTCAATGCTGTTGTTTTCAATGTCAACGCCCGGGAACTTGGCGCGTTTCATGGCAAGCGCCAGACATGTCTGCATAATGCGAAGGGCCTTGGGGTCCCAGATGGCAGGGACACAGAGGACGACTTCAAACTGCCAGCTGCCGTCGACGCCCTCCTTCGCGAGCTCAGACTTGGTGTGAGCTAGCAAATGGGAGAGAAAGTCGGTGATGGGCTGGTAGTCGTTCTTGATGACCATCCTGTTGCAAAGTGGCTTCAAAGTCTTTCCGAGATGAGATCTGACGGGTTTGGTAGTCTTGCTCTTATCCAGGAGGAGCTTGAAACGCGCGAGGGGACAGGTCATCTGGTTGCTGTGGGCAGTAGGGATGGACCAGAGATGGCCAACTTGGTATCCCCAGCGAAAGCTCTGCGGATCATCGGCGTCCTCGTCATCGCTCTCATCGGACTCACCATGGTTTTGATCACGCATGGGGACGTCGCCGTCAGTGTCACTCGCTTCTTCGGGGACGATGTCTTCTTGCTTGTAGTAGCGTGAATTGGCGGGATACATGACCTCAGTAGGAACCTTGTACCACATAGGGTCGTCCTGGCGACAGACCATAGCGACGTCCGGGAAATTCCCAATAGATCGGATGAATCTTGGATCTATGGAGTCTGGGGAGCAGCCACGGGGTATCTTGACAGTGGAGACAGCTGACGCCGTCGTGCCAAAGTCGACTGAGATGATGCAACGATTCAGGGTGAGATCATGAGTCGACTCAAACAGTCTTTCAACATCCTCTTCGTTCAATTTTTGGGACGAGATGGGTTCACCCGTTGAGGAACGCGGGCGGCGCCCGGGTCTGTCAGGACTGACAGGGGTAGGCAGTGGCATATTAGGAGCGAGGCTTGAGTAGACTTGCCTATGAACAAAGAGATGTAGTCTCAAGAAAAAAAGTCGTTTAAGAGGGCAAAAAGGTTCTCATTTTATGTCGAACAGTCTGCAACAGTGTCACCTTGTTTCCTCAAGCTTGTGGCCCCGGGAAATCAGGCTCCCAAGGCATGAAATTTTTTCATCACGGGAAAGTGCATTTCCTCTAAAGCAAGAGTGTCATTGCAATCACACTGTTTGTATCCGTCAGCCAATCATTGTTGCCCGTCATTTGTGAGACGTGAGATGACACGGCAAGGTGAGAGCGCCACTTTGCAGCCAAGAGGACAAGCGTGTTTGTTTCGTGACGGTGAAGAAACTGGCCTTTTCCCTTCTCATTTTGCACAAGTATTTCCGTTGTTTTGACTCATGCCATCATGGAGAAGGCAGTTGCGCGGAAGAATGGGAGGGTCTGGAGCGATAGCAGTCGCCTTCAACTTCTCGCCTATCTCAATTTGTGTGCCACGTACAGAGAGAACTTGCTCTCGACGGCTGAAGATCACCTGAAGCGAGTGACAGGCAACGACTTCACGCAGACGCAAATCCGTCGGAAACTTCGGTTCGAATGGGAGAAGCATGGGCTCTGTGACAACTTCGACGATGTCTTTGCCCAGGGGACACCCAGCCTCGAGCTATCCGACGAAGAGCAAAGCGAGATTCAGGCCATATTCACCGGCCTCCTTCATGGTCCACACGGGCTCCGAAGCAACACTCGGGAGACCCGGAATCGGTCTCGGGCTGCTCTGAACACAGTCGGGACGTTCACAGCCAAGAGTCCGGCCATCAGGCTCAAGCTGACCAACAAGAATTCTCCAGCAAGTCTTATCAGGCTGAAGAGTTGATGTCGCATCTAACTGAGCGATAGACACGGCCAGTGGCGCGCTCCCATCTTCTGGATTACAGTGTCAACGACGAAGGCAACGGGGACAGCGCTGTGAATTTGATCGAAGTGTCAGAGTCCGATAGCGAACTTAGCGAACTGTCGTCCCCTTGTCCTAGCTTTCAAAGTGCTGCACATAGCCCAAGCCCGACATCAAGCCCCGGTCCAACCGAGCAACCTTCAGACAACATAGGAGCTCTTCAAGATGAGGTGTTGAAATTGAAGGGCCATAACTTGACCCTCCAGAACAGGGTATCTGAGCTGGAAACGGACCATGCAGAGATGCGCCACCTCCGCGAGTCGACGAACGGTGACATTGAATATTGCACTCGAATGATCTACATCTTGGAGAAACGAAACAAGACCATGTCTACACATTCTGGCAACGTTGAATACTCCAAGGCACGAAGACTTGGCCTGCCGGAGAGCACCATCACGCAAGAATATAGGGATCTCTACGTCTGCATTCTAAATGAAGCTCAGGCGTTCTACCAAGGCGACAACCCGCCAAAAATTAGCAGCAATAACCAGAATACACATCCGGCGAGAGGTTGGGCAATCAAGGCCTCTGGCTGGGATCTCTATCCTCTCTTATGTCATTACGTGAGTGAGGAGATCCCGAACTCAAGACTTGTTGCTGCTCTCGTTGCGGCCGGAACTTTCGACCTCGTTTTTGAACGCGCCTTTCCAGACGTGTTGGGCGTTGAGAGTCCTCTTATGAATGGGTATAGGAGACACATCTTGGCTAAAGGCAAGGGCGTGTCGCGTGTTCCCGAAACCTGAGGCTAACAAATTCCCCAGACGGATCCGAGGCCCTCCACATGGCCGATCTCACCGCCCTGGAGTCTCTTACACATAGGGATACGGACGGCAAGGATAGACTCAAGGAGCAGATGATTGAAGAAAAGGTCAAACATCTTTCTGAGTTTATGCTACAGAGCCTGAGCTTCTGCATCACGGCAGAGAGCCAGGACACGACCCCAGACGGTGACGCGGTCATGCAAGAGCCCCCCGATCTCGATAACCCGCTGAGAAAAGCTCTGAACCTCAAGTTTGCACTGACTACTTCAATGACGCGTCTCAAATTTTACTTCTTCTTGCCTGGGCACGAATTTGACGAGACAAGAATGGAAGAGGATGATATGTCGAGTGATGGCTTTGTTGTGAAGCTGTGCCTACTTCCAGCTCTCTTTTCTGTGCCGAGGGATAGGCTTGACACGAGGATTGAAGAATCTCGATGGGAAGTTGAGACTCATTACGATAGATGTCTTACGGAGGCGACGGAGCAGGAGGTTGCATCTCTCCACCTTGTTGCCAAGGCTGTTGTGCTTACCTGAGAGATGTATTTGTGATGGGGGGGGGGGGGATTTCAGTAATGCTCTCGGTCAAAAAATCACATAGTGAATAGATAGTCACATACGATGCATGGAAGGTCTTTGTTCATTAGTTATCCCATCGAGGGCTGGGCTTCAACTATCGCGAAAAATACATTGGCGATGCATGGGCAAACAGATGATGGATCGTATCTATGAGTGAAGACAGTCCCTCAAGTAGTCCTACGGCACACTACGCTGTCTATGTAAGCACTAGACTATATTATCCGGCCAATCTTCTAACACTATGATCAAACTCGACACCGCCTCATCCTGCAGCAGTTACCCGTCTAGGGCGGGCGCAGACGGTGTTTCAGAGGACGGCACCTAACTGAGGAAGAGGAAAGGGACAACAACGCGTATCCCGTATAGAAATCTGTAGAATCTGATGGAACCGGTATCAGTGATTTGATTGGCGCTTTTGGATCCCGGCTGAGACCTCAAGCAGGCTGTGAGTGGTGGTCGGCCTCCCGCAGGACCAAGACGAAGCGTTTGCAGGGGGGTTGGCACAAAATGGATGGCCGGCCAGCGTCACCAACCTTTGCTAGATTGGTGTTGGGTAAAGCAAATAGAAAACAGGAAATTCCTTTTTATTGCTCTCTATGTTTGTGTTGGGAGTCGACTCCTTCCCTAGTGCTGAGCCTCGATGGCCAACAATTAGGCCGCAGGTATCGGTCTTGGGTGGTTGGAGGGCGACAGTCTGTGGTGGTTACGTGCCTAAAACGCTCAATGAACAGTCTATGACGTATCTAAAAACGACACTATCCAGTCATGAACGCGAACGAGCGGCTCGTTGGCTGCGGCAGGCAGAGTTCACCTGGTGACTTAGGTATGCGTGAGGCCAACCAACCAAGCCCAGGTACCTCAGAGCCTGATCACACCTTTTCGATTTCAAAGAGGGGCCCATGGCCCAAGCTTCTCTGGTCTTCATCCACAGATCTCTTCCTAACATCTCTCCCCGCTCTCGCACGCATCCAAGCTCCGCAACAACGCACCCGTATTCCACCGCGATGACCAGCAACGGCAGCGAGGAAAGCCGCTCTCGTAGCAACATGTCACCAGACATGGATCTCGAGAAAGATACCAGACCAGAGCATTCGTAAGAATCCCTCCGATTCCCCCCCAAACTCGTGTTGGTAACTAACCATTGCAGGCCTTATGCCAGTGAACCCTGTGCTGTCTTGTTTCGAGACAGGAAGACGCTTTACATTCCGAGAGAATCTCTCAATCAAGTCGAGCAGATCTCTCGCTATCTTGTTCGGGGCGGCCCTAAGCTGAAGGCCCATTTCACCGACATCACTTCCGCGACCGGTCATGTTCTATTGCACTTTCTGGTATGCGGGGCCTACCAATCTCTTAGACCCGAGGGCGACAGCCTGGAGAAAAGACAGGCTTCCGAGTTCAAGACTGCCCTTGACGTATACGTCGCGGCCGATTCGCTTCAGCTCCCTCGCCTCCGCGATCTCGCACGAAGAGAAATGGCCAGGGTAGGCGACACGCTCAGTCTGCCGTCTATCATGTCGGCTTTTGAAGACTCTGATATGTCTTCCAACATACCCCTTGGTGTCACTGTGTATCTTGAATCTCGCATCCTCTCCTTTGCAGAGGAGGCAACGCCCGCGGTCGTCGAGAGCATGCTTCCGGAGCTCGAGGGGCCAAACACACTGAGCCGAATCTTGTTGAGGAGCATTGTGCGCCTCAAGAGTTCAAAGCTGTCCAAACAACAACAGGAGCTCCACGGCAAGAAGGGCGAAGTATGTTTCGGCACTCCCAAAAATGTGCTGGAGGGTAAGATGAGAAGAAGGATGTCGACTACAGAGCAGGCTATGAAGGAGGCTGAGGCGAAAGCCGAGACTCTATCCAAGGAGGCGGAAGTTCTTCCATTGGCCGAGAAAGCGTCTTCTGAAAAGCCTGAAGCCTTCCCAGCAGAGGAAGAACCTGCGAAGTGTGCCCCTGCAGAGGAAGGAGATCGCGAAATGCAATCCCTTCTTACTAAGGAGGAAATCAGTGCTCTACATTGTAGACACTCTAAAAGGGGCGGCAGGCCTGAAGCCTTCCCAGGAGAGGAAGCACTCGCTAAGTGTGCCCCTGCAAAGAAAGCAGATTGCGAAGTGCAATCCCTTCTTACTAAGGAGGAAATCAGTGCTCTAAATAATTTTAAACAGTCTAAAAGGGGCGGCAGGCGGTTGAAGGGAGACAGAGCGCACCTTGAGTTTCTTATTGAAAGGGCCCTAGTTGACGCCGACCTGAAACCCCTAAAGGCGACAGACGTCGCTCCCAACGAAGAGGCCACTACGGTGTCATCGGCTGTAACCCCGGCCCTGGATGGTAAGATGTCATCCCCCCTGCCTATTTGAACCTGCAAGCCTAACCGTATCCTCAGCCCAAGAAAGACAGACACTCAATTTACCAGGATCTCTAAACACGGAGAGGGATCACTCGGAGACTGCATCCTTCGATAGGCCCGGGTCGAGAAGCTCCGGAACCTGGAGTTTTGCGGGAACCCCGGCCTCTCACTCTAGCCAGATTTCCCCAAAGGTCGAGGTTTCAAAGGATCACGCAGGAGGGAGGGAAGACGACGTTTTGGATTGGGATGCCATTTTCAAAGCAGTTCGAAAGAAGAACCAGGGTAGGCCGTCGTAGGTAAATCCTATGGGTTCGGTAAAGGATCTCCGGAAGGGTCGTTTGGGTACTTTCTTTTCGCTCTGGGTTTTGGGTCTCAATGTTTTGCTTCCACATGGAGCATTCACTCATTCGTTATGCTGTCAACTACCGCTAGGTGTCTATAGAGGCCGCTCAAATTGAAGAAACATGGGCCTCATAGGGAGCTTCTCCATTAAAGATGCCACCAGTGGGCAAAACCCACGTGAATTGTCTGCATGCTTTGACTGGTATCCCGCATCATCAGACTCAGGACTGCACAGGTGGTTACTTCAAGGTTACTGTTTATGCTAACTTTGCCGAGGTGGCCTGGCATGGTGATCTTGCTGCCTTATGAAGAGCTCTTAGGAACTGTAGTTTCAACAGTGGTTGCTCGACCCTGGAGTTGGGATGACGAATAGTCCATATAAAATTTTCACGCTTGGCGAGGGTATCAAAGACTTCACTCCAGGTAACTAGGAGGACCCGTTGAGAAATGAGACTCGGGTGAGGTTCTCAAGCTTCAGTTCGTGATGAGGCTGTGAGCCTTGTCCAAGTGGGCACTTGTGTTGTTGATTTTTACACTCAGCCTGACCCTCGCGTGGCTTACTTTGTGGAAACCCACATTTATTGGGTCAAACAGTTGACGAGTAACTAACTACCTTAAGTTGCCATCGGGCAAAACATCTGCCTATGTTCCGTTGGCCCCATGGCGCTTCTCTGCGTGAGGCTTTCGAGGCTTGCATGGTGCCGTCGCGTTTGTCCGCTGGAGGCCGACCACGCATTGGTGATGATTCATCAAACGTGTTATAATGTTGCTTCTCCCCCTCTTTTCCTCCCTTTGGATCATCCCTAAGCACAACTCCGCGTTTCTCATTGTCAAAGACAGCAAGTATGCCTTTCAGCATCACAGCATCCGATCACTCTGATGCCGGTGGCACCTGTGGTGACAATTCGGAATTCCAAGACGATGACATACCCTCCCTCTTGCCTTCCGAATCTGAAGATCCGGGCCAGGACTCGGACGTCGAGGTCGTGAAGAGCCGGCCACAGCGCTCGTTAGTCGCACCCCGTCTCTATAATGCAGACTAACAGCACCCTCAGACCATATGCGAGCGATATAATTGCCCTCCGATTCAGCCCCAGTCAAACACTTCGCATCCCTCGTCAGTTCCTAGAGAAAACCCCACTTGCCGATCGTCTCGTACGATGCTATCCGCCCAACGAGATAGACCTGGGATCCATCCAGTTCGAGGCCGGCCATGTCATCGTGAACTTTCTCGTGACGGGAAAATACCAGTGCCTCGAGCCGTGGGGAACCACTGCTGCCGGAAAGAACTCGTCCGAGTTTAGAACCGCCCTTCGCGTGTACATGGCTGCCGAATCTTTCTGCCTGACAGAGCTATTCAACGTTGCACAGGCAGAAGTCAAAAAGGTTGGAGACAAGTTGAGCTTCCCTCAGGTTGTCGACAACGTCCACTTTCTAAACCCCTTCCATGCACACTTTCCGTGGATCGGCGAGTACATCCAGTCTCGCATGGTCTCTTTTTGGGAGAGCACCACAGTCGAACAGGCGACCGAGATGACGTCTGATGTCCCGGGCCCTTCAAACCTACACAAGATACTTATCAACGGGTTATTGAAGATGAAGGCTTCTTCTAGCTGGCCTAGGGGGCGTGAATCGGCCATCAGAGATACAAAAAGCCCGGAAGATGGCGTTGAAGAAGACTTGGTTTTTCCCAGCCAGTTGGTGGAGAAATTAAGGACTGCGAATGAAAGGATGTTCAAGTTGGCTGCGGATCTGAAGACTGCGGGAGTCTTGAAGTCGGGTTCAAGCAGCTCGCCCAAAGAGCCGGAAAGACGACGTATTCAACTGCCTGAGTTCACCCTCCTCCATGAAACGCCGGACCTACCCCCAAAGAAAAGCGTGAAAGAGGTCGAGCAGGAAGCTGTCTTGGAGCAGGTCGAACTGAGATCCCTCAAGTCCCAACTCATCGGCAGGGAGAAAGCCGGTTTGGAGTTATCCTGGGTCGACCATAGACGCCTTGAAATACTTGAACAAAAAAGCCAGAAGAGGGTTGACGTCTTGAATGCGAAAAGAGATTGGGATCGGATTGATTCCCAACAAGGGAAGGCAGAAGCAACTTTCAAGAATGCCATCAGCATCGGTAAGTGGTTCCGTTTCGAGGGATTATGCTCAAGTCTTTTGTATTTCACTGCTAATGCCATGTCTTTCTGGATATTAGAAGGAATGTTTCACGAAGTTTGGCGAGACGACTCCACAAACCTGGCAAAGACAATTTTCCTCCGGGCACTTCGCAAGAAGCATCACTCCGAGAAACTCGAGGCGATGGCAAAAAGGAAGGCTGCGGCTGAAGGGTATCAATTCCCCACCTCAGCCGATCAAGGTCATCATTCGGACACAGTGGCCAGTCAAAGAAGCTCTTGTTCTTCTCTATCTACAGGTCAGAAGACTCCCGATTCGGATGACGGATCGAGTATTAGTGACATGTGCTTGGAACTAGAATCTCATCTAAGCGTGGGGAGTTGGCGCGGTTGCAGCTCGTGCAGGATATTTCTGATGGAGACTATCCAAGACATGGTTGCTCTACCGGAATTGGAAGTGTCTGGGGATTAGTGCCTGGGAGTTTGGTGGTCTGGTTCATGTTTTTTGTTTGGTAGAGTGACGTGGTGTTTTCGGCTTGGCTTGAACCTCTGTTTGGCTTGGAGTAGGTAACTCACGGTAAAATGTATGTTTGTCTTTATTCTAGCAACTAATTAATTCTCATCAATTGGCCAAAGTTCAACCCTCTGTGTACCTAGGTGCCTTGCCACATTCCCAACTTGCAGGCAGTGACTCGAGGAAGGACACTGGCCAGGAGTTGAGATGCCAAGCCGAGACATCATCCTGGGTCCAGCCCGAGCTCTCCGAAATTTTGCACAAATAATGGCAAGTATAACAATGAGTTGCAAAGAATGTAAGAATATTATTGGGATTTCAATAATATTACTGGCTCAAACGAATTGGAAGAAGGCACTCAGCTTAAGCCTTAACCTCGGGTGTTTCCCCTCTTCTCCACTCGCTCAACTGAGGGGCTCACAAAGTCCCGCTCTCATAATCTCATCACACTCACAACCACTGAGCGAGACGTTATACAAAAGTTTGATATTAGTACTCGGAACGTAATATCATAGCTCGATATGGCAGAGTCGGAGCAGCAGACTATCGCCCTCATCGGGCTCGGCACCATCGGCCTCTCGTTTGCCGCGTTGCACCTCCGATACTCAAACGCCAATCTTCGGCTGTATGACGTACGAGACGACCTCGAGCATCACATTTCTACCCTTCTGCCGGTATATCTAGAGTCGGTAAAGAAAGAAGCGACAGAGACCCTATCTGTTCAGCAGCTCATATCCATCGGACGGCTGTCGATATGCTCGTCCATCGAAGAGGCATGCTCAAACGCAACGATTGTTCAAGAACAAGGCCCCGACAAGATTGAATTCAAGCAGTCAAACTGGGCCAGCGTCATCAAATATGCGCCTGCAAACGCACATCTATGGAGCTCAACATCTGGTATATGTGCTTCCAAGCAGGTCGAACATCTTGAGGACAAGACCAGGGTTCTAGTGGTTCATCCTTTCAACCCAGTAAGTACTGTCAAGCCAGGGGTGCTTATAAATCGGATATTGACATGGGACAAGCCGCATATCATGCCATTGATCGAGGTGGTCCCGTCTCCCCACACCACACCCGAGAGAACCCAGTTCGCCATGGATTACTTTAATACTCTTGGCTCAGGCCATCGCCCTGTCAAGATCAACAAAGAAACCCAAGGATTTGTTGGAAACCGTCTAGCATTTGCTCTCTTCCGCGAAGCTTGTCATCTCGTCGCAAACGACGTGGTCTCAGTCGAGGATTTAGACACCATCATGGAGAACAGCTTGGCGCCAAGATGGGCCGTGGCCGGTCCTTTCAAGACATACAACAGCGCCGGGGGAGCTGGCGGTATAGGAGCATTTATGCATCACTTGGCTGGAACTATGGAGGCGTGTTGGGACGATGTCGGAGATATAACCTTTAAAGGAACAGTTGCCGGGGCCTCGGCTCCACATCCGAGTATCGCGGCAGAGAGTGAGGACTGGACAGAAAGGGTTTCTAGACAAACGGAAGAAGCCTATGGAAGACCAACTGCGGATTCGCTGGCGGAGAGGGATCGAAGTCTACAAAAGATCATCCAGGCTCAGCCAAGTAAGAGATAGTTAAGACGCAACCCCCAGGGGTCCAGTTTGTTGTAAACCCCTGGAGCTAGTTTATCCTCTTCCCACTTTTATAAATCACACTCCGGAATCATCAAACACTAGAGGTGATCGGACCTTAGTTGCACCGCTCGAACCCACTTCACGAAGCTATTCCCCTTCCGCTTAGAAATACAAACCAAAAAAATCACGAAACCACCCATGTTGCTATCGATATGTTGTTCCATCCCAAGCAGGGACCCTCCCCGGATCCGGTCTAGTCTCCCGGAAAACCACGCACGTTTCGGACGAAAAACCGGCCGAGTCTCGATTTGTCAGTTTCTCTGCCGAGGCTCATGCCATGGTTTGGATAAAGAGTGGGCAATTGTTGCCGATCTAACAGACCGCTGGGGCGGTCGGGAGATTTACGGTGTTTGTGTTGCATTGCCATGGGGACTGGAGGTTGTAGGGGTTCTTAGATGCTCGTATAAAGAGGGCCTGGAGTCATGATTCATGGAACTGCAGAAACTCTTGATATTAAGTTTCTCCGTCCACCTTAAGAATACTCGAAATGACTGCACCAAGATATGGCTCACCAGGTGTTGATCCTGCACCGCTCTTTGAGCCCCTAACCTTTTCTCCCTCTGGACGCACCGGACCTAACCGCTTCCTCAAAGCCGCCACTTCTGAAAGACTAGCCTCATGGGACCCCAAAGATGAATCAGCTCGAGGAATTCCCTCAAAGCAACTTATCACCCTATACAGAACCTGGGGCGCCGGCGGATGGGGCAACATACTCACGGGCAACATCGCCACCGATGCCGTGCATCTCGAAGCAGCCGGTAACCCTATCATCAAGGCAAGCGATCCATTCGAGGGTCCCCGATTTGAAGCATTTAAGGAATTGGCAGCTGCTGGAAAGGAAAACGGCAGCCTCTTGCTCGGCCAAATCACCCATGCAGGCCGTCAAGTCGAATCTTGGATACAGCCCAACCCCATCAGCGCTTCTGCTGTCCCTCTAAAGGAGTCAGCCACTGGCCGTTCCTATGGTGAGGCACGGGAAGCAACCAAGGAGGATATTGCAGCTATTGTCGAGGGATTTGCTCACGCCGCAGAGTACCTGGAAAAGGCTGGCTTTGACGGCATTGAGCTTCACGGTGCTCACGGCTATCTCATCGCTCAATTCCTCAGCCCCCGTACCAACAAGCGGACCGATGAGTATGGAGGCAACCTCGAGAACCGTTCCCGAATTGTCTTTGAGATTGCCAGTGAGATTCGAAAACGCGTGAGCCCCAAGTTCATCCTGGGCATCAAGATCAACTCAGTTGAGTACCAACCAGAGGGCATCACACTCGACGACGCCAAGAACTTGAGTATCGCATTGGAGAATGCTCATTTCGACTTTATCGAGATCTCTGGAGGAAACTATGAGAAGCTAGCATTTAAGCACGTCAAGGAGGAAAACCGAAAGCGAGAGAATTACTTCCTCACCCAAGCAGAGGAAATCATCAAGTCCCTCAAGGGAGAAACAAGAGTCTTTTCAACCGGAGGATTCAAAACGACAGAAGGTCTGGTCAACTCCCTCGCCACCCTCGACGGCGTTGGTTTGGGACGAGCAGCCTGCCAGGATCCCGGACTCCCCAACGCGATCAAGAATGACGGTGCAACGGGAGTTCTGAAGCAGGCGTATGATGAAGAGGGTTTTCAAGCGATGGTTCTTGTTTTTGTGCTCATTAAGCAGATTGCAAACGGGTTACAGCCAGCCGACTTTTCGGTGCAGGAGAATGTCGATGAGGCGTGGGAAAAGGCGAGACAGCATATGCAGCGAGTCGCAGAGGACAAAGATCATTATGTGATTTAGACCAACCTAGAGGTCCAGGAGTATATAGAGGAGATTGCTTTCGGCTATGAATTGATTGTTATTGCAGATGAAATACCCGCCCCCCTATCGGTGAAAGTATTTCTTGGTTGCAGGACAAAGCAGAGAGAGAAGACTAAAAATACAACTAACAGAACCTTAGTTCTTGGCCTACCTGGACTTGAAACAACTCCTGCTGAGCTGGCGGTTATGGCCTGTTGCCATTCGCCATGATAATCCGTGCACTCGCTCTGCAGGCCCGGGGCCGTTTCGTTTCAGCTGAAGGATCGGCCTATAGATAGACTCGGTGTGGATCATTTAATGCATATGCTAACCGATCACCGTACGTTGGTTGCCAAATCAGGGGTATAATTCAGGCACCGCGTTCTTTGTGCAGCTGCATTGAAGATTAAGGGATGAACGCAGGCTCGATTTCAGGCAGATTGAGATGCCGCTGGGGACTCGGTGCCCTGTTTTTGGTCCATCTACAGCCCGCAAACTCGTATCTCTGCTTTTGCCATGCGTCATTACAACCACCTTGGTAGATGTCTACCCATGTCCTGTCCTCTGAGTTGTCAGTTACAGCCAAGCGTGCCGCAGCATGACGCGCCGGCCGAATTTCCCCACGGCCTTGCATGACGTTCTAAGACCTACCGCTCGCCAGTAAGGACGGCAAACACTATGGTTCTCTTAAAAGGCTTCCCTCCCAGAAGCAGAGTAGCCGACCGCAAGGTACCAGCCATTCTGGCTGTTGAGATCAACATGGAACATTTTCAAGCATTCCTTGGAAGGGCCATGGGTTTGCTCATTTATTTGTCGCTGTTCATGACCACTGCCATTGCGGCATCAATCGATGCTTGTCCAGGATACAGCGCGACCAATGTTGAGGAGACAACCAACGGGCTCACAGCTGACTTGGCCTTGCTTGGTGAGCCTTGCAATGTCTTCGGCGTAGACGCGCCCGAGTTGAAACTTGTGGTAGAGTACCAGACGGGTGAGCTTTATCGTCAGTGTTCTTATGCGCGAAGCTCACTGTAAACAGACAAACGGCTACATGTCAAGATTTACGACGCGGGAGAAAAGGTCTACCAAATCCCCGAGTCCATCATCCCTCGACCTTCAAAGAGCAGCAAGAAGATCGAAAAGTCCGACCTAGTTTTCGACCTCAAAGAAGAACCTTTCTCCTTCACGGTCTCTCGGCGCGACTCGAAAGAGGTCTTGTTTGATACAAGCGCCGAAACGCTGGTCTTCGAGTCCCAATATGTTCAGCTAAGAACAAATCTCCCCAAAGACCCAAGCATCTATGGCCTTGGTGAGCACTCCGACTCTTTTCGGCTTCCTACGAATTCCTCCTATCGAAGAACTATGTGGAATCGAGAGGCAATTGTGATTCCACAAAACACGAACCTTTATGGAAGCCACCCCATGTATCTTGAGCACCGAAAGTCTGGCAGCCATGGTGTCTTGTTGATGAACTCTAATGGAATGGACATTGATCTCAACGTCACACCAGAGGGCGACCATTACCTCGAGTACAACACAATCGGAGGTATTCTTGACTTTTACTTCTTTGCTGGTCCCACCCCGACAGAAGTCAGCAAGCAGCATGCTGAAGCGATTGGGCTAGCGGCGATGATGCCGTACTGGTCTCTGGGTTTTCATCAAGCCAAGTATGGCTACTGGGACGTTAACGTGCTAGCAGAAGTCGTGGCAAACTACTCGACGGCCAACATCCCCCTAGAGGTCTTGTGGAGTGACATTGACTACATGGACATGCGCAAAGACTTTACCACAGACCCCGAGCGCTTTCCCATGAGCAAGATGCGAGAGCTCGTCGAAACTCTACACAATCGACAGCAGCAATTAGTCATGATGTTGGACCCCGGAATCAGCACCAACAGCAGCTACGAGTCCTTCCAGCGAGGTCAAGAAGCAGGTGCCTTTCTGAAAGCCGCTGATGGCTCCAACTATCGAGGTGTCCAATGGGCAGGCGAAGTTGTCTGGCCAGACTACCACTCTCAAGAGGGCCATGATTGGTGGGGTGACGAGATGGAAAGATTCTTTGACCCAGAGACGGGTCTTGACATTGACGGTGTCTGGAACGATATGAACGAAGCGTCCAACTTTTGTCCCAACGTTGACTGCGATCCTGCAAAGCATGCCAAGGATACAAACACGCCTCCTCAACCACCGGAGAATCACAGACCTCGGCCAAACACGGGGAGACCAATTCCAGGATTCCCGGATAGCTTTCAGCCCAACAGCACATTTTCGAAGCGGCAGGATACAAGCAGTGAGTGGGAGAATGCCCTTGCACATAGAGACCTGTTCAACCCACCGTACTCTATCCAGAACGCGATGGGAAGGCTAAGCGACCGCACCATCTACACCAACATCAGCAACCACGACGGCACCGCGCAATACGATACACACAATCTCTACGGCCTAACCATGGCCAAAGCAACCTACGACGGCATGATCAAGAGGAAACCCGGAGAGAGGCCCTTTGTCTTGACTCGGTCAACCTTTTTACACTCGAGTGCATGGTCTGCTCACTGGTTTGGCGACAACCGTTCTTCTTGGGCTCACTACCGCACCTCGATAGCCCAGATGCTCGGTTTTACTGCTGTGCATAATTACCCAATGGTGGGATCAGATGTCTGTGGGTTCAACGGAAGGGCAGAGGAGAATATGTGCTCTCGATGGGTTTTACTCGGAGCTTTCATGCCCTTCTTCCGCAATCACGCCGACGTTTCTGCCCCAAACCAGGAATTTTATCTCTGGGAGTCTGTCACCAAAGTGGCTCAAAAGGCCATTGACGCCCGGTATAGACTGTTGGATTACATCTACACAGCACTGCATCACGCCAGCTCTACAGGTGTACCCAGTGTCAACCCATTATTCTTCATCTATCCGTCCGACAGCAACACTTTCGGTATCGACACGCAGTTCTTCTTAGGTGATTCTCTACTGGTATCTCCCGTCGTCGAGGATGACTCTCAGTCTGTCACTTTCTACCTGCCAGACGATCTCTTTTACGATTTCTGGACACAAAAACCTGTGCGTGGCCAAGGTGACCACGTCACAGTGAATAATGTCGGCTTCGATGAGATTCCTGTGTACATCCGTGGTGGAAGCATCGTGCCGTTGAGGAATGAGTCAGCCAACACGACTGCAGAGCTTCGAAAGAAGAACTTTAATCTCGTTATCGCTCAAGATGGAAATGGCCATGCGGAAGGATCACTGTATCTCGATGACGGTGAGAGTATAGAAGGCAAGTCATCAGAGATCAAGTTTGTGTGGGAAGACAACATCCTCACCGCCAATGGAACATTTGGATACCGTTCAAGCCTAGAAGTCGAGAGCATTACCATTCTATCAGAAAGGGGCAGTGGTACAATATCTTTGAAGGAGAGTCTGGATAGGCCATTTGAAGTGCAGACAAAGATTGAAAGGAGAATAGTAGACCAGCAGGGCTCACTGCCCTAGAGGATAACGACTCGAGTTTATTTAATAATACTTCATTTTTAGTGCACCTTACTCCTGCAGTCCTTTATCTGTGATGAAATGTTGTCAAGAAAAACACAAGAAATGCATTACCTCATTAAAGGACATGAGAAGAACAAATGACACCTCCCAAGACTTGTCCCATGATACCTTGTTTGCAAACTAAACCAATCCCTCTCAGTATCTATAGCTCATAGAACCTCGCACAAATTCGAAATATCCTTAAATGTCCAAAGTCCAACCCATAAATTGACAACAATTCCATCGTCCACATTTTAGTGTCCCAAAGCAGGCGGCGTCGGAGGCGTCGGAGCCTTTGCCAAAAGCCTCGTACTCTCACTCGTCTTAGGCGGACGTCTATTCTTAAACTTTGCCGCGGCCCTCTTATCACTATAACAAATAAACACCATTGTCAAAGTGCACGCAGCACCAAGGAAGCCAAAAATGCTAGCGATGACGATACCCGCTGTGCCGACTTCGTTGTGCAGCTTCATGCACACATCATTACCAGAATCAGGGTGGGTCGTGCACATCAAGCCTGGGGCGCAGGCGCTGGATGTTATGTTTGCGGGGGTGCAGCCGTGGGTTTCAATGTTGCCGTTGCGTGTTCGCGTGGAGCAGAATGTTGTATGCTCGACTGTTGTGCTGAAGCATGATGCGCCAATCTTTTCGCTGGAATATGTCGAGTATGTGACTTGGTCGCTGCTAATGTATGAAGTCTCGGTCTGTTCATCGCTCGATGAGGGTTCGGTCGTTGCCGAATCTTCAGACTCTGTTTCTGTGGGGAGAGTCTGCGTTGGCAGCGTTGCAGATGGTACGGTGACGGATGGCACGGTCGGCTGCTCAACCGTCGACTCCTCCTTGGTCTCTTCTTTTTGCGTCGTCTCGGGCTCCTTTGTCTCCTTCACTTCTGTAGTTTTTTCGGCTTCGGTCGGTTTGTCTTGGGTCGTTTCCGCGGCCTTTGTCTCTTCCTTGGTCTCTGCATCTTTTGTCTCGGCTGCGTCTTTCGTTTCGGCGTCGGATTCCTTGGAATCGTCTTCTGTCGCCTGGGCGGCGGCAGCGTCGGTGGTAGCGTCCGCCCGTCGGACCCATTGTCGCAAGCGTTTGACTAGCCCATGGTCGCGTGTCTCGTCATTCCAGACGGCGGAAGAGTGTGGGCAAACGTCGTCATCCCAGAGAGCGCTGACTCCTCTCTGTTCGTGGTTTTTGTTGGAATCATGGCAGTCGATTGAATCGGTGTCGTAACGCTCCAGGTATTCCCCTCGGGCATCAGCAAGGGCATTTGCCCAAGCGAGCAGTGCTAGCGTGAGAAGAAGCCGCATGTTTGTAGGTGATGATCTGATGAGTAAAGACTGTAGCACTCTGTCGGGGAGGGCATTTGATATAGGCAGCCAGCGATCAACAGCATGCCATCTACAGCATGAAAAAGATTATGATCTTCACGACATGTTGTTTCTGTACTGCTTTGTCAAAGCTGCTATAAAAAGATTGCGCCTCCACGTCTCGTGTCCCCTTGCGTGTTCCCTGCAGGCGAGGGGCCATTGAGAGCCACTGGCCCAGCTTAGTCACGCCTGTGGTATTTTTAACTGGCGATTAATCAGGCGGAGTAACCTGATCATCGCAGCTGGGTACGAGGCATTCGTCATCCGTCTGCGGGAGGTCGTATTTACAGCTTGTGCGTTCCTATTCTGTTCCGCCGTCTTTGACGTTTGAAGGGCAAATCTGTCAGTCCAATGCGATGCGGCAGTGGGAGCTCCAGGACCTTGGCATCCACGGCATCTAAACATCCCTGGATGTCAACCGGAAATCGCCCATTCCTTTTTCAGGTCGAAAGACCGCTCAACGAAGTGGGTCGGGTCGACAGCCCCTCTTTTAGCGCTTTTGTCTGTAGGGTAGGGCAAGAGGTAAAACGCGACTTCCTCTTCTCCGTCACAGCATCTCTAGAAGCATAGGTTCATTTGGCAATTTATCGCCTAGTTGGCATGGCAATGGACACGGTCAAGACCTTGATAGACCAATCATTCTCTTTGCTACTCAATGTCTCGCTTCAACATGATTGGAACGCAGCATGCGCTTCTTTCTCGAACATATGACAACGAGTCCAGCGGATCACCACAGCAGGATTAAAGATGAATTCTATATACTGTCTATGAAATCTTAGAAATCCCCAATCTGGTCAAATTCGCCTGGTTTTGCTGTTTATATGGCAAGAATGACGATGGTGGACGTAGATATCTTATCACTCACTAGGCCTTTTAATGAGGTTTCACCTCCAATTGAGCAATTGCTCACAAGATCGACAATGACGGACGCACCTGTTCTTTCCTCGACGATGACTTTTTCCAAGATATGCAGACGTACGTTAAGACTGACATGGAGTTTCCTCATAGCAAGTGCCTCTTCAAGATGATCCACCCACTCACCTGGTTCAACCCTTGGGTCCAGGAGGATCTATAGTATAGAGCGAGAACTTCCCTCACTATCAAGATCTCATCGAAACCATGGCTGAGGCTGTATTGCTTCTGGGCAACCAGGCCTGCCTAGGGCATGTGGGTTACGGTGTGGTCTGGACAAAGCTAGACAAAGCCGTCGGGACCTGCAAACTGGTTTGTATCTCTAAAAGCCTGGCCTGAGAGTGTGGAAATTAACTATTAAACATAGGTTGTATAGTTTGTGCGCGAGTTTGCCAAGCGGGCTACTCGATCTTAAGGACCCTCTTTCACCTTTATAACCGAGAATGCAGGATGCTTCAGACGTTGTCACTATGTTTTACGGTGTACATATCCAAATATACCAGATCCTACTTAAGAACGACCCGACCGTCTGGGTCCATCACGAAAAGCTGTTTCTTGGAGATCCCTGATCATACACGGGCTGGAGCACATCACCAACTAATATGTAAAAGACACCCTTTGTGCCAATCTGAATAGAATGGTGATGAAACTGGCTGTTGGTTAATTTTCGGGAAACGCGGCTGCTTGGCCAAGCCTTGTCAAGAACTGTGTTCTTGTCTACTAGCTTGATGGGGATTTGAAGAGTATCCAGGGAAAAGAGGTGGCCAGCATCTCGCTCGTTATTGAAGGGTTTGGAGCTATTGCTGCTCATGGAAAGTCAATTGGACAATGGTTCAGCTGAATGCATAGTGAATGATCTATACGCAATGCTGATGCCCGCTTACGAGGGTACCTTTGAGATAAGCTGACAACATCGGAGGCCTGGAGACTAGCTTCGCCCTGGCCGTCAGCCCTGTCATTAGAAATTTAGCATGATGGAAGAAAGAGGCCAAAGCTGAATGCCCGGTGTAGTATATATATCGAGGGCTTTCCGTCTCGGGAGTTGACTGCGCTCCAACAACAACCACCTGCCATCCACATTCACCACAAACAACAGGCTCGTTTAGAATCCTAACCAACACACTCACCAAATTTACATTCGCAAAATGTCTGACAAAGAGACATCAGTCAACCTCAACGCCTATAACATCAACGGCTACGATGCACCAGACCGCTGCGAAAAGTGTGAAGTCTCCCTCCCAGACGCAGACGCCCGGAAGCAGCACGTGAGCGAGACACACCACCGAGCTTGCCCGTTCTGCGAAAAATACGTGCCCGTCGGCGGATTCTACGTGCACTGCGATATCGTCCACCCACAGGAGCACTGGAACGATCACCAGGTTGCGTACCAGGACAAGTTTGATAGGCAGCAGGCGCCTTCGTGGTTGGGTTTGAAGGAGTGAAGGTGTCGACTGTAAAGGATGTATCACTAGGTTGAATCGAGTGTCCAAGTATGCTTGGCTGATTGGAGGTCAAGGGGTAAAGGTGAATGCGGCATTTGGTATACTGTTAGCGTCTGAAGCGGGAGCGTTGTTTGCAGGACTGAGCGAATACCGAGACTTGAACCTGTCTTTACTTGGATTGTGTGCCTTGCCCACCAACTATGCTCACTAAGAATGTGGCTAACTCAAGCTTGACCGCTTCCATAAGTTGCGCGCAAATCGAAGCCCATCTTCACTTCTGTGGACATCCATTAAGCTTCCCTGATAAGCTTATTCCGCCAACGGCTTCATTCCCTCAAAGGATCAACGCATCTTTACCGCTCCCATGTGTCTCTCAAACGTTGGCGCAGCAGCTAAAGGCGCCCCGTCCACTCACAGCTTAGCACCGAGTTCAGCTGGCCGGGGTAAAGGCGCTGCCAAGACGCGCCTCTGCCGGGACGCATGCGAGGTGAAATTCAAGGGTCGTGATTGTTTCTCTAGCCCTTCAAGATCGTCGGAAACGAGGGTTTTAACTGGACGTTGCGTAGCGAGAATCGTGGGATTTCGTTTTCGGCGGCGCTTCAGTGTGACGAGGGTCTCTGGAGCAGTCAGCCCATTGTCTGCCTTGCAGCTATCAGTCACAGGGCCTGGACCCTGCTGGATGGAAGCGACGATACAAATAGATGCGTTTTATCTGCCGAGAGAATTTTCGTAAATTATTCGGGTGCTTGCGTTGCTTGTCTACCTGCACTCGGCGGAAGCAAACACTAGACACAATGAAGAGCGTGGCATACCTTGGCTTCATAAATCTCGGTACTTGCTCCCCTCACTTATTCCGATAACCTACTTCGAGATACCCATGCTAACCATGTCCTTCGAACAGGCATTTTTGCCCTCTCCATCTGCGTCCTCGCGGGCTGCAGGAGTAACATGGAGAAAAACTACCCCATCATCAACTGGCCGCAGTCCACGATAGAGCTCATCTGGGGAACAGAGTGCACCAATGCCACAGCTGACTATATGCCTGACCTATACAAGCTTGGCACGTCGGGTAAGAATGACCTCTAGGCCCATAAAGGCATGACTGACATGGCTATAGGGATATGTAGAGTCGTGGATGGCAAGACTTCCTGCAAGTCAAAATTTCCACCGTCTCTCAATCTTGCTAGAGCTATTCTTGAAGATCTTGAAGAGGCAGAGTCATCAGACATCATTGAAGAGTGTCGAAAAACGATTGACAAACCAATCAACCACCGTACAGCTGAAAAACTAGGCATCGCCATGGCCTCGTTCATCATCGCCTCCATCTTCCTCAACATCATCTCCGTCGTTGTAGCCGCAGCTGACGACTCAGCCTTTGGTCTTCCGGCAACGAGTGTTCTGGTGATAGACGCGTTGTTCATCTTTACGTCCCTCGTCATGTGCATCGCGATGATGAACTTTGAGGGCGGAGGTTATCTCAAGAACGTTAGTGGGAGGGACTTTTCGGATAGAGAGATGATCGGTGTCGCTATTTGGATGTTGTTTGCAATGTTGATTGCCCGTGTTCTTTCCAACCCTTGGTTGCTTGTAGGCGCTATTATGGTCATTTTACCTATAGTGCTCGTCTTTGTTCTCTTCTTGGTGCGAACCCGAGGGTTCTTTGCTGTCGTTCGAGCAGCGGTTGCAGAGGGATAATGCATCAATAGCACAATCACGAATCAAAAGCTGATTAAACTATCACGAATTCTCGTTCTGGCTGCTGGGTAAAGTCAATTACCCCCCCTTCGTCCTTTTTGGGATCGTGACCATAAAAGACGCCTACTCTCCTGAAAATTTGAGAATTCCCTTCCTCCATGAGTACCAACCCCACAGCGTCAACGCCCGTTTTATAAAGGCATAGACAATGAACTAGCCCGTCTCCTTTCAAGTTCTCTTCAGTGACTGTGCTCTTGTCGTCAAGCCAGATGGTCGCCAACTGCCTTGGCACAGAACTGTCAATACCAGAGCAGGCATCATGCAAATCATCCTGGTCATCCTTGTGAAGATATGCACATGTTGCCGGTCCGCTGATAACCAGTCTTCCTTCGCTGACCATTCCGAAGCGATCATCTGTGGCGAGTTTGGTCGTGCAGTCTATGATCCGGGCACGATAGTATTCTTCGCGGAAAGCAAGACTGTAGACCCACGTGGTGTTGCAGTCGATTGACGCCCATGACCAAGACGGGGCCCTTTCTCGATGGGAACAAATGTCAACGTTGGGACACACGAGCAAAAGGTAGTCCTGTTCGCGCCTCCATAAAAGTCCCGGCAACAGATACTTTCTCCACAGTCCAGCAAGGTACTCGCCCCCATCGCCTTTTGTGAGAACATCCCACTGTCTCGCAACGCCCGCGACGGCTGGCAGTTTATCTCTTGGATTTGTCAAGTTTCGACAGCTATACCCCATAAGGATCATGAACCAATGAGCCGGCTGGGCAGACTCTTCTTCAAGAGGGAGCCTATACTTGAGAATCTTGTGGCCTATAGGGTTTCCAGGTGACGGACGAAGACCAGGATGCTCTCGTTCTGACTCGCTTGTACAGTAGAAGAACGGGCCATTTGATCCAAAGGTCAATAACCGAGAGGAGAGCAGCCATTCCTGGTGTGACCATGCGCGTGTATTGATGGGCAAGTCTTTGAACTCCATATCTGGCATGAGCATAGAAACTTCGGCCATTGCATTCTCATGTTGTTCTTGTCCATTCCCCTCCTGTACATACGGAATATGGAACCGCGTTCGCGATTCGAAGAGACCGCCACCAGAGTCTCGAGCGCTACCAGCGACGATGGTGAAGTAGGCGTTCCCATATACGCTGTTCATCGTTGCTGATTCCTGTTCCCAGTCTTCGCGAGCTTGCTTGGAATCGCCTTGCAAGATACACAGGGCATCTATCCACAGATAATTGCAGCCAAGATCTCTTGTAACCTGTACTGCGTCCTGTAGAGTGGGGGGCATTTCTTTGATCGAGAACCCTTCGCATCGGTCTTTGTAGCAGGCTGGCGTTGTTGTGAAACAAGGGTAGGTACCCCAGCAGTACGACAACGCGGCATACCTCACGCTTCCTCCTGAGCTTCTCAAATGCTTGATCTTTTGGTCTTTGGCTGACGTGATGAGATGTATTCTGCCATCGGGGTGACTGACATCCAAGAGCCGAGTTGGAAGTCTTTCAGAGACCATCTTGCCACAAGGATGATTTTGTGCACAGTTTTCCACATGATCCTTGAATGCCTGCGTATCCCACTCGTGACGACGGTATACCGCTGGTATTGGTTAGTCACCTAGTTCATCTATGACGTTTTGAATTGTGAGGCTTACCGGGTGAGTAGTCGAGGTCAAGTTTGGGTGACACTATGGATCCGGCCCGGCAGACCAGTCCACCCTGATCATGCACAAGCGTGATGGCTAGGTCCTCCAAAGTTTTGTCTTCTGCTACCTTTTTTCTTTTTGGATTCGTGCCTCTTTTAGGCTTTTTTCTATCGTCTAGTCTTGAATCTAGGGTGAAAAGAAGCATTGAACAGATGTAACAGCCTGATTCCGAGCATGTCTTGGTCTGTTTGATGGTCCCCATAGTCAATGTCCAAGGCTCTTGAGAACGGGATATAGTCGCTTTGGAACATGTTGAACAGAGGTTCTCTTGATAAAACTAGTTAGCGTAGGTAGCCATGAGCAGTAAGGTCCGTTTTGTAAATTTCTTACTGGGTAGAGTCATGGTGGAATTGCCTTGCTGCGGTCTTGGACAGATATCTAGCTTTAATGGTGCGTAGTAATGCTTGTTGAACCTGATTGGTGCGCAGTTCGTGAGCCTGGTACGACACTCTGTTCAAGGGTTGGCAGCGCATGGAAACTCGGGGAGTGTGGGAGGTAGAATTGGGAACTTGGCAAAGAGGGGGTAAGATTGGGCACCGACGGGAGGACATTGAGTGATTAGGCATCAGCCTCGTGGAGGATCAAGGGTCTTGAAAGGAATCAAGCCGCTACCCTCACAACTGGGGTTATCACGAGACTAGAATTTGAGATACAACAAGGTTCAATGTAATACCCTAAACTCCAATCTTCTACAATGTCGTTGTTCACTCTACCCAAATCCTCTCACACTTGCTATTGTCAAACACCTCCCCAGACATGATACCATGAACATACGTCTCACCAACCACCTTCCACCTATTCTCAGACGGTCTAAAGGCCATTGGCGCCTTGCAGCCATTCACCAGAAAGACCCTGTCCCCAGGCTGAAGGTTAGGCGGCCCAAGACCCACGTAACCACTTGATGTCCTGAACATGGCTCTTCCCCATCCAGCAGAAGCGTCAAACAACCAGGACGGATCCGTAGTATAGAACCTAGCGGTCGCACCAATGGAAAGAAGTGTGTCCCACAAAGTGAGGAGAGCAGCTCCAACTTGATTGCCAAACAATCGCTTAGGGAGAAAGCTTGTTAGCCTAACGACACGGTTGTCAAAGGCATCAAACTGCATGTTTTCATCTTCCACCCGAACAGGGTTGTATAAAGTGAACCACTTCATAGTTCGCCAAAACATCTCCCGTCGGGGTTGCCCCGTGGGCTCGTAGACACCCGGAGAATCGAGCTGAGCGACTTGACGCCATGTGAGGTACGCTCGAAACGTTTGTGTCCAAGCCCATTCATCAGCATCAGGCATGCCGAGTCCCACAGCCACAACTTCATCTACCTCTGCTGCGAGAAGGCCCAGAACCTTGTCGTTCTCGATGAACTCGACTTCTGCCTTGGAATCTTTGGTGGCACGAGCGGGACTAGGGATACTGGCCCTGTGATTATGTCCAGTGAAGGTCCAGCTCCACCACTGTTGCATCTGGTCATGTTCCCAGTCGAGTGACCATGACGGAAGATTGGTTTTCGAGTTGGGTCGAATGCCGCGACTTCGGACAAGAACACTGAGATCAGACCGGCCTTTAAGGACTGCAGTCGTAAAATCGAGATAAACGTCTGCAGCGTCTTTGGAGTAATCGACAGTAATGTCGATGTTATCCTTCTTTCGAACAAAAGCGAGCACGCCATAGATCTTATCGCGAGGGTTGGTCGCCGAAGAAGCCTCGTTTAGCGCAAACGCGATAAACAGATCCATAGCAAGATCCCTCTTCCAAGAAACCCGATTAACGAAAGGCGCTTCAGCATGAGTTGGAATAATATCGGCCTTGGAGTTCCAGCTCCAGTAATCAGTGAGGTACGTCCAGCTGATCTCGTCTTCGCCACACTTGACGATGGCTTCCGGGGAAACGGTTGCTTCTTGCAAGATCCACACACGCGAGAACCACTGCCTCTTCCAGAGATACTCGAATGCTAGGGCATCATAGATCCTGTCCCAGAACCAGTTTTCGTTGAGTCTTCTGTCGCTTGCTGCTGTTCGTCCAGTGGTTTGACCGAGATTGTGCTCGGCATGTCTCCAGCAATCCACCGAAACCCTGGTGAACCCAAGTGGCCAAGCATGGGAGTATTCAAGAAGGACTTTGAGCACATGAAACGCTCTCCTCGTCAGAAAGTTTGACGGACCAAGCCATATAACAGCTCTTTGACTTGTCTCATAAATCTCCCGCATGAGCGGAACCTGGACGTTCTTTTCGTTATTGTCCATCTGGTTGATGCATATAGCATCAATCCACATGCAACGGGGCTGACTAGCCTCTCTCAAATTCTTCAAAGCTGAGTAGAGGTTTGGTCCAACAGGAAAGTCATGCCCGTTGACAGAGATGTTTTTCTGCCCGGTTGCGGTACCCCAGCAGTAAGACAATGCCTCATAGTGCGGCTTGTCAGATAGTCGAACATTCCTGATTCGGCATGAGATTGGACCTGGCCCGGGCAGTAAATCCAAGACGCGTACTTCGTCTGGCGATGTGAGAGGCTCGTAGCTGAAAGAAGTCATCGTGATGACGGTTGATGAAATGTCAGGCGATGCTGCCTGAGAAGGATCAACCTGCGCTTAACGTCGTTTACCCGATGACTAAGCTCACGAATTCTGTACGAGCATCACACAACCCCTGTCTTTTGGATGACTCCTCTGGTTCACTGGTTTCAGAATAGCTTCAACGCCATGCAACGGAGAGGCTGCCACAATCGACGATCCAAGTCTTCCCGTGAAGTGGGCGCCTTATCGGCTTCTAGGGCTAGCTGCACTTAGCCCCTCTTCCGTCAAGGACACTCTTGTCTTAGACATTCCACAATCCCGGATCAAGCATCTGACGAATGCAGCGCCACATCCCGACAATTGGAATCGAGTACTAATTAATTCTTCCAGTCATTCTTCAATAAAAGCCCTGCATCTGCCAAAGAATCCCAGAGTCCAGATCCACTGTCCACGCAATCAGGGTGGTCCCAAGACGGGAATAGCGTCAACGAGCCAAGACTAAAAATCAGCCACCATGCCAGGAACGCACGCGCTATTGACTGTTAACCTGCCCCGTGGCGTCGATAGGGCGCTTGCTTAATTGTCTAGGCCTTCCAATCCAGCTTTCAGCTCCGTCTTATCGGGCGGGAGAGACAATAGCGTCTGCTGCGGTTAGAAATGATCCAGACCCTTTCTGTTTGACGCCTTTATTCCTCTTCCGGGATTCAAAGTCGATAGTTTCTGTCATGGAAGGGAATATTTAAGTCCAAGGGTGTCCTCGGCCGGAACCCTTGATGGAGAGGAGATTCGATATTATTGAAGCCATCAATCGTAGGTCTTGGGGATTTCCTGCACCCTTTTCTGTTATAAATACTTGTGCGCAAGCACCCAGTTCATTCCTTATCATTTACCGTCCTTTCACCCAAGCTTCACAATGTCTTATCGCTGGATCCTTGCAGCCCTCGCCTACTTGGTGACCATCGCCGCAGCCTGGCAGGCTCCCGCATATAGCGGCTACACTCGTGTCTGGTTCGACCCTTTCAGAGGAAACTGGGGTGTATCAGTCAACACAAACACATGGAACGTCATCAAGAGAGACAAGAACTACAACAACGAGATTCAAAAATACACCGGAGATCAGCGCAACCTCCGCCTCAGCGGTCGAAGCACCGTCCAGCTGGTCCCTCAGTACTCAGCAAGCACCAAGTGGACCTCGGCTCGTATCGAGAGCAAATACACCTTGACTCCCGCAGTCGGCAAGATCACTCGAGTTGAAGCTAGCATCAAGTTTGGCACCAACGCAGCGTCGCGCAAGCAAGGTATCTGGCCTGCCTTCTGGCTGCTCGGTGATTCCAACCGACGCGGCGTCACATGGCCCGCTTGCGGAGAGATTGACATTATGGAGAATATCAACGGCCAAAGTATTGGATACGCTTCACTTCACTGCGACAAGTCCCCTGGTGGCATCTGCAACGAGCCCACTGGCCTTGCTGCTCAGACTTCTCTGCCTGACACCAACTACCATGTCTGGCGCGTGCAGATTGACCGCCGAAACAGCAACTGGAAGTCTCAGTCTATCACATGGTACATGGACGGCAAAGTATTCCACAAGGTGACTGGCGCCAAGATTAACGACGCCAAAACGTGGAAGGCTCTCGCCTACAGCCCGTTGTATGTCATCTTGAACGTTGCCGTTGGGGGTGACTGGGTAAGCTCTTCATTGATCAAAGATATTTAGACAGTCGTTAACAATTTTGAACAGCCCGGCAACCCCAATAAGAGTACATATGGAGATAGGGGTAGTATGATGGAAGTAGGATATGTCGCTCACTATGTATCCACATAGATAGACACAAAATATTAATGCGCTTCGAATTGTTCAAGTTTTATATACCTTTAGGAGTTACAAAAGCTAAGTCGGTATTTTACTGGCTCTATTTATATGGCGGAATCCTATTATGGCTTGAATAAATAATTTACGACTTGAGTTTAATCTGTCACACTTGAGTTATAAACCTAAGCAATGGAACCATCTAAGGTCATGACTTCTTTAATGGCATCTTCAGACTAACACGCCAGGCTTCTAGTACGCGGGGTCTGTCATGGGTGCTAAGCGCTTGGAGCTGTCCCTCTGGGACGTTGAGCCTGTCGTGAAGCTCGTCGAGTAGTTGGTGATGGTGAGCTGTGGGCGTTTCCCAGCGGGTGAGAGGTGACGTAAAAGGAGTTTCCTAGACTCCAACAGGACTCTACACATACCTCTTGCAGTACTTGAAAAACAACAACACGAACAGAATACTCAAACATAATCCAGATAGTCACAAGTATTGGTGAGATTCCCTTTTCATGTCTAAGTAACTACTAAGGGATGAGAGCTCTCATCCCTGCCCTGCGTGCCCATCCCCCTCCGTGTCCTCGCCCTGCTCAGCCTGCTGCCTCTATCCGCCTTGGGCGAGACGCTGGACATTCTCACGCCGAAACAGCGGCACCACATCCATCATTTCCCTGAAGAGGGGCGTGGGCGTGGTCTCGATCAACCTTATGGCGAGGGCACGGCCCGAGAGACGAAACAATGTCTCGCCCATCGGTTCATTCCATTGTGCGGCCAGGAGAATGTCGCCAACCAGCTCTGCCATCCCAGCCCACGTCTGCTTGTAGTTCTCCCGTGGACTCTTGTCAAAGATATCCATCATGTGAGGGGCGCAAATTTCATTGACTCCCCTCAGAACTACCCAGCATGTGCTTTCCAAGGCAAAGTAAGGGAATGCCATATCCATCGCCTCTGCATGGAGCCAGAAAACGAGGGACATGAGCAGGGCTGTGGGCTTGGCTTGTTCCTCTTCGGAGCTTTCACTTGAAGAGCCGGCCTTGCCCTTTTCAGGCTTTGCCACTTTCTTGTAGTCTCGCCAAGGTCCTTTGAAGCTTGACCTGGCCTCAGACATAATCCGTCCGATATCATTAGGCTCCAGGTTGATTCGCGAAGAGTTGTTGACATATCTGTCAACAAAGATACTCGAGATGGGAGTATTGGCCTTGATGATGCGACGCTGGTTGCGGTGGCGGACAAAGTCATACATCATGCGCTTTTCCTTTGCTCCCCTTCTCCCATGCCCAGCAAAAGTCACCGCAGGGAAACCACACTGCATCAAAAAGCGTTTGAGGTAGTCTTGTCTCTTGGTCGGCAAACCTCCGACGAAGAACGAGTTCTCCCCCAAGTATTTGATCGCGAACTGGATGTCGGGATGGGGTATGAAGTAACCTTCTTCAAACGCAGCGTTGCTCGGGTGCGCGCAAATAGTGGTTGCTCCCGTCTCGTTGATCATTTCAAGACCAATCTTGTGCAGTCGGGCTCTGAAGTGAAACAGTGCAAGACCTGAAATGATGGGAGAGATTTTGAAGATTCGACCCTTTTCATCGGCACCGAGTGCTTCATCCGGGGGACGGCCAAGAGTCTTTCGCTTCTGAGCAAAGATAGGGTCATCGAGGAATCGCATCAAACATTCAACGACGCTTCGAAGCTCACTGTCCATAGCATCAGGCATTCCGTCTAGCATGTTAGTCTTTCGGCGTTTGAAGTGCTTCATGATGCTGTGCACCATATAGTCAGTTTCAGACTTCAGACGTTCCCAAGGGTAAACAGTCTTCTCTTGCAGCCGATCATGGATGTCAAGCAAAATCCTGGTAGCAAAGACAAGGTAAAATGGAATCTCCCCAGATGATTCCAGCTCGCGAACACCGCGGATGAACTCATCTTCGATAGGCCAGCAAGGAACGTGATGTATAAGTGTGACAACGTCCAACTAGAGCGCTGCAATCTTTTCCTTGTCGTGTTCGAGCTTTCCGGGGCTGTGCTTGGACTCAAGGGGCTTGAAAGGAGAAGGTATTCCGGTGTATCCTGTTTTGACGACGGCGTCGTGCTTGGGAGGTATTTCCTTGGCGAATGATTCGATCATGTCGAGGGGGTCGAAGTAGACAAGAAAGCCAGTGGCGTAAAAGTTTTCCCTTGCGCAGAGATTTCTGTACTCGATGAGATACTCCTCCGTGCATTTTCCGCTTTGATTGAAGTCCTCAAACATCAATCTCCAGACTCCGCGAGCACCTCCGTATTCTTGTAGGTCTGGTTCAACTTGAGCGATCAGGCTTCTGGCAAAGTCAAAGGCAGTGTTGGTGGCAACGGCACAAGATGCAAGGTCAAGCCTATCATCGACCTGGGCCAACCAAATACCCATTACACTTTTCCTGATCAAATCCAGATCCTTGACAAGCAACGTAAATGCCGCTACGGCGTCGTCTCTCGAGGATAGGACTTCAGCTTCATATTGGTTTTGATCGATGGGAAACTCGGACTTGGGAATCGCTTGAGTGGAGAGAAACTTCTGCGAGGGCTCAAATAGCTCAAGCTGATCGAATGGATTGGTAATTTGCTCCACTACTGGATCAGGGGATGACGCTGTTTCATCTGGAGAGGAGCAACAGGGCTGAAGAACCTCTTGAACCTGTCGAAGGACATCGACAAAATGACCATGAGATCGGTCTGAAAGCTTATCAAGAGCAACACCACTCTCAGCCAAGTGTTTTCCGAAGCCAGATCTCATTTCGATGACCATGTCGAGGGTCTTGAGGAAAAACTGGGAAACCTTGATGCTAGGTTTGTGCGAAGAGATGATTTTGGCCATAGGGACAAAGTCTTTGATAGCAACGACAGTCTTGAAGGTGGTTTCCTTCGCAGATTGTTTGCCTTTGCGCTTCGCATTCTTCTTTTCTTGGCCAGTATTCGACACCGAAGGCGCTGTGTCACCAGTGGAGTAGCCGCATGATTTGGCAGTAGAGGCGAGCCAAGAGGCGACAAAGTCTGTCCCCTGTTTGTACTGCTGATATATGCTAACTAGTGGGTCGGGGGGCATGTTGGAGAAGAGTGACGAGGGTGACAGGGCAGCGGGTCGATCGTGGACTTGAAGTGTTGGGTTCGATGTGTCGGGTAGGATCTGATGAGCAGGATGAGCATGAAGGAGAGGAGAACTTGGAGGACATTTCTAACGGGATCGGAACGGAATGCGAGCTTGTGGATTCTCTCTTTGGCTGGGATAGTGAAGGAACAGTGTCGGGCAAGGGAAGGGATTAGCCAGATGCTGTGGACACCTGCAGGATGAGACTGAAGTGCAGAGGATGCCAGCATAAAATCGGGATGGAAATGAAGTTCTACAGAGTTCCAAAGGCTCGAAAAATATTGGGAGAGTCTTGCAGATAAAAAAAATTGGTGGTGGGATGTTCTGCTGTGGTTGATTGCAGCCGCACGTGACCGCCTCCGTCACAGAAGCCCAGGAAGGTGAGGCAAACGGCAGATCACGTGTGGCAGCTAGGCAGGACATTAAAAGCTCCAGATCCCGTCTATTATGCAAGATATTGTCTCTGCCTGGAATTCCTAGTTTCCAATGCCCCGTTTGCATTAGCCTAACCAATTGCTTGGTGATTGTCAGCTTCGGTATGTATGCAGCAGATCCCCTGGCGTTTACATCTGGCAGTTCAACGTTACCCAGGTCGAAATAGACCTCGCGCCTCAGCAGGTTGAAAGCACACCTGACGCCCTCAATACCGTACAAATTCGTAAAGATCACGTCCGACCGAGACCGACCGCCTTGACATCAAGAGCAAGAAGCTTCAGAACGTCACTACCATACAAGACGCTCGGCATAGATCTTAACCTGGCCGAACAGAGCTGGGTCTTTGTCAAAGATCACGATGGTTGTTCTCCGAGATCCGTCAAGCTGGCGGGCAACATGACTAGAGAGACCGATAACGGGAACGTTATGCTTGATCGCAGGCATGACATTGTCGACAGTTTCGAGTCCCTTGATTATGATGGAAAGGCAAAGACGCCCAGGTCGTCGTCATTTTCTTGTAGTACTCCCACTACGATCTTCGGGCTCAGTTAACCCATCAAGGGCCGGGCTGCAACTATAATAAAGAACAGATCGTACTCCCACTACGATGTTGTCAGTCACAGGTTCGTCACTTCATCACACTTGATAAAGAAGGGCAAAGCTTGGCCACTCACGGTGATGAGTGTATAGTCCATATCGCTATTCAACAGCCAGTCAAAGCTGATCACGACATGGCCTCCGCAACCCACGCCAATACACCATCGAAACGAGCCGCTCACTGACGGTTACCATCAGCAGCCGAATCTGCCTTATAGACGAGGGCCTTTTTGCCAGCCCTTTCAGAACGAGCGAAGACCTCCTTAGACGCGATATCACGCCTTCCATCCAGGTACACCCGAGGAGGACTGTCAACAATTTCACCTTATAAAGTTCGACGACGAACATGATGCACCTGTCAGGAGACGACTGGACTCTTTGTCTTCGCTGCTGCGATTTCTTCCAGAGCCAGAGAGGTGTGCCACGGCACTTTTGGAGAGTTAGTCTCCAAGAGGAGAAGACTCGGGTACCTCAAGGTCTGCCCATATACACGATGTCCTCCCGGGCGATGCTAAGGCCAGAGGCTGGGTCTCATCTGCCAGGGGAACATGGATTTATTAGCCTAGAAGCACGTGCTATCTCAACAGATGTATTCAAATGTTCCGGGGACGCTTTTTAGACCGGTTCGGTAGTTGACTCTCGGACGGATTTCCATTACCGTGGCTCCTGTTGCCCCTATTACCCCCCTGCCTCTGCGCTGTCACTCCACCTCGCGTCTCAACCTTTTTCGTCTTGATAGCGTCCGCCAAGGCAACAAAGTCTTGACCCCATACGTCGCTCGTGACCGTCTCATCCAGAACGCAGAAGAAGCGGCCCCCTTGTATCCGGCCCGAGTTCTTCATCATCCATTGATGAAGCTTTTCCCGGGTGACTGTAATACCGGTGCATATCAAGAGCAGAAGAAATTTAGTGCCTTTCCAATGAGTCAGTTCTTCATCTCGGCCGTTTTCCCTGGTGCCGCTGTGCCAGCTGGAGTCAATCAGTGTTTCCATGGCAGCCTCGAACTTGGCACTTCGACCGGTTTTGACCTAGGGTGTGTGAGTAACACTTCAATTTCAGAAAACCGCAAAACGAGCAGGTTAAATCATACTTGTGCCGCTACCACAATCTTTTCTGATGGACTGAAGGGCTGCGGTAATGTTCCGTGAGGCTTTTCCTCTTCTTTCCCCATTGCTGGCCGGTTCTCCAAGATGAAGACCAGATCGGGTCCAGCCATGATGTCAGGGAACATGAAAGTCGGGACTGAGTGGTGACCCTCCGTCCGGTATAACCTCATCCACTCCCAAATTGACCTTGGGATGTGGTAAGTATATACCGTTGGCTCCCTGGGTAGCAGCCTAAGGTTGTCTGTTCTGATGACTGACCCGAGTTTCGATATCGGCGTGCTTTGCTGTGGATTGAGTGAGGCCGACCCGGCCAGGATCTTCAATAATGTCTCGCGACGGGCAGACCCATTCAACAGGTCAGGCAAAGTAGACTCATAGTCCTCTTGGTATCGAAACATGCGGTCAAGAGACTAATTAAAGTGTCAGTAAATTGTCAGGAATATCTCTGGGGATGAAAGCTCACCATTGCCACAAACCATTCAGTAGCCTTTCCAAACATAGCCTGGACTTCATGATCATCTTGCGTATCAACTAGCCACTGCCGCATGAGATCGTGATAGTCCTCTCCGCCTTCTGTACGGAGGTACTCCATGATAGCGTGCACTGCTATGGGCTCTGCGAGTGTGTACTTGATAGTCTCTCCGTCCCTCTCAGTTAAGGCAAATCCATACGTGACCAGCTCAGCGTAGCTTTGATCTTGGAATATCGTCGGTGTGCTCATGATCTCGGCTCGAATACCAGCTCGGAATAGATCCCGGACCAGTTGCGCTTTTCCAGCTGCCTTCATCTTTCGAATTTGTTCCTTGAGCGCCTCCACTGCTGCTTCGTTGGTCTTTTTCCTTGCTTGGTCTATCATGGCTCGAATCTCCGCCAGGGATGCATTCTTAGAAGCCAATTTTGGTGAGAGTAACATGATTTCCTCAATATAGATAGTTGACCATCGATAACGTCCACGATGACCGACGCTGCGTGATGTTATGAGTTGCCGGATGTACAGGTTTCGCAAGTGCTCATGGAAAGCCAACGCCAGGTCATGAAGGTTGCTATCCAAAGCCACTAGGTTGGTCGTTTCATTCAAGACCGCACTGCACACCTCGTCGATACTGAGTTTTCTGGATTCCCCTAGCAATCGAATTGCTTGTTGGAAGAATGGCTGCAATGATGTAGAATTGCCACCAGCAGAAGCAGTCACAAGCTGAAGTGCCAGGGCCGAAACAATCATATCTGAATCCGGATGGTCTAAAGCAACCTCCAGATCAGCAAACAAATGCACATATTTGCCTGGGCTTTCTCTTGGTTCCTGGTCCATAACAAGCCGACAGATTTGACCAAGCATTTTTAGCATATTTGGTAATGGAGCGACGTCCAATGGTTTCTGGAGCCATTTGTGAGCTTGTGCAAGATCGAGCCCGTCGCCAGAGTCTTGCAGAGGTAGCGGTCGGCCGCTTCGACTCAACAGGGGCACTCGAGACGCCCTGTGCGCATTTGTTGAACGCTGAGTCCTTGAAATTTCCGATATTGTATCAGTCAAATGTTTCTGGTAAAGGCGCCAGAAGTCTTCGTCAGAAGACACCAGTGGAAACATGTTGTGGACAAGATATGCTCCCCAACAGTCCACAGGAGGCTCATCATCACCCCAAGAGCCCGTGAGAAAGTGTGCAAGCATTTCTCTTAGCTTCTCCAGGTTGAGAGAAGTTCCTGAAATCAGAAGAAGCGGGTTGATGGTTGGCATATCGTCACCCATCTGCCATGGTGCGTCTTGGCTTGTAGAATCACTCTCATCCTGATCAAACTGCTGCTTCTCCAGGACGACTCTTGAACCAAGCGGTTCATCTCTTGATAGAACGTAAAAATACGTCAGAGAGTTGTACAAGTGACCAAACATTGCGGAGGCTTTGGGGTTGTCAATGGTCGTCTGGGCCTCGTCGATACAGTAACATAATGGAAGCCCAGAAGGCTTCCAAAATCGCTCTCCGAGAAGTGAATAACACATTGGCACAAAATACCCGGGTATTTCTGCGTCGAGAACGGTTGCAGCGTCTATTCCGAGGTAGCTTGTATCGGCGAGCCGAAAGAGCCTGTATAAAGCGTCAAACGGGTCAAATGCAGCACATGATATCTGCAACCAGAGCCACTCGGTTGGCGTTGCTGAGGGATGCCGAAGTAGAAACTCGTAAAGTAAGGCATTCTGAGCAACTATGATTGGCTGAAACACATTGACTTCTTGAAGATCCCAATTCGGGTCGATCAGAGGATGGTGCTCAAACATGGTGTAAGTATCCCTAGACGCGGCGTACCTCTGTGCACCTAAAATATTGCTGCCTTCTCTTTCCTCTTGCTCATTAGAAGTAGTATTTTCTGGTTCGATGTTTGGAGATAGCATGTAGAAACCCCAGTGTTGCTGCAAGAGTTCAAACATCTGGCGAGTCTTGCCCGTGCCAGCAGCGGCAAACAGTACATGGACAGCGCGAATCATCTCCTTCTTCTCATCACGATCATGAACCTTGTCGTTTTGCAGCCGCTCGATAAAATCCGAGCTTGAGGAATCTTCCTTTGGGTCGGCCATCTCGGGCATGTCTGAGATCGCCGCGTCAAGGTAGACCCATGCCAGCTTTCTCCATTGCTCTTCCATATATACCATGAGCCCGAGCTCCAGTGGATAGACGTTTTGGGCTTTATGAAGACTGATAAACCACAAATCCTCTATGGTATCGTGATTAGAATATGTCTCGTTCATCAGCAGTAATTTCGGAACGAACCAAGGTTGAGTCTTTGCAGCAAGACACGGTAACGCGTCAGGCTACTCAGAATATTACTGAAAACCAGACTATGGTCCTTTGGCGGCCACTCGATCATCTCCGCCATAAAATCATTCAAAGATATTCGCATGTTAGGGAGGTTCCTGCCTGTAGTTGGTGCCCGACTGGTGTACGTGCTCCAGAACCGCCCCTTGGGGTTAATCAAAGAGTCACAAAGTACCATGAAATCATCAGGTTCCGTACCCAAGGCTTCCCATAGTACAGCGCCTATCTTAAAATTCCAGGCGCTTGACGGGGTGCTACAAGCATATAGTCGGCCTTGGTAGAATTCTTTGTCGTTCAGAAGATATGGCAAAAGGTGATCCAATGGGTGCGAGGCATTTTGAGGGACGGGGTATGGTTTCAGACAACGGAGGTCCATGCGTAGTTTATAGCGGCAAACAAATAAGTAATGACATCTTTTTCTATAAATTTCGACTGGGTCATTCATTGTATCTGTGAATAGGTGGTCGGTACTCTGAAGTTGCGGGATTATGAGGACCAGTAGATTAGTAACAGGAGGCAACAAGAGATGTCTATCCGAGGGAAAAGGCATCCTACCGGCCACCTGAGCGGACCGGATTAATTGTCGAGACTGATGGAGGAGCTGTTGGTTGTTGTACTCCGAACAGGGGCCTCTCCCAACACATGCGAGATGAACCCATTCTCATCCTATCAGCGCAAGCAGAGAATTGGGGCAGGGGCAGATGTCCACCGTCTCCAGGTTTCAGCATAAATCCTCCCTGTAGACCCTCCTATAGGTAGGTTGAGAAGCCTTTAACGTCGGGCCATAAAAAGATGAAAGAAAATGCTTCGAGGCCAATATCTCCTGCCACCTCGGCAGCCACCTCCCTCCCTCAACCGAGCCAATAGGCACCCGGCACGTGGGGATCCGCGAACCCATATTTCAAGCATCAAGGGGCGAGAAACGTCTGAATAAAGTTCTTTTTTCCCCACTAACCCAAATTCTCCTGCATCCAACGCGCCCCGATAAGAGAGGTCATCATGTCGAAGCGCAATCTTCTCTTGTGTTTTGATGCTTTTGGTACTCTCATCAGACCTGCTCGCCCTGTTGTGCAGCAGTACGCAGAGATTGCGAGACAGTGTGGCGTGACTGATTTTGATGATCATGAACTTCAGTCTTCTCTGTTGGCGGCCATCAAGAAGGAGGCTGCAAAGAATCCCAACTATGGAAAGGCGACTGGATTGGGTGCGACTAAGTGGTGGACCAATGTACGTCTGAACCCATTCTCAACCACCCATAACTCCGCTAGTGATAAGAACTGACTTGTTTGTCAGGTCATCCACAACACCTTTACACCCCTAATTCGGAACAATCAACCCCTGCCAAAAGAACTGGCTCCAGCGCTTCTCCATCGTTTCGCAACCAAAGACGGATACGACACCGAGCCGAACCTGGTATCAGCCCTCAAAGCTCTCAGACGACAAAAGTCCCAATTGCATTTCGACGACGTCGTAATCGGAGTCGTTACAAACTCTGACGATCGCATTCCAAGCATCCTTTCATCGCTGGGTCTCGACGTGAGCCCCCTGCGATACGGCACAGAGGTGGATCCAAAAGAAGTCGAAGGACAAGACTATGACATTGACTTCCACTGCATGTCATATGATGTTGGTGTTGAGAAACCAGACAAGTTCATCTTTAACGCTGCTGAAATGATGCTGGCTGAAATCATCGCCATGCGAAATGGCAAGAGTCCAGCTGAAGCCAGGGCGGACATTGAATCGTGGCAAAAGGTCCATGTTGGTGATGAGCATGCAAAAGACGTCGTCGGTGCGGCCAATGCAGGTTGGAAATCGGTCTTGCTGGATGGCGAAGAGGAAGCTGCCACTATTCCCAGGTTGGAGGACCACCCAAATCAGACACTTGAGAAACTTTACAAGGACAAGGATGTTGTCACGGTTGATTCCCTACAAAACTTGATCGCATGGCTCACGAATGATGCTCCCATCAAATGAGGAACTGGGTTGCATGTACTTGGACGACGACACACGTTGAAGCTATCGCAGCATAGAGATCAAGAACCAAAGACAAAGTCCACGGCGGATAGAGGTCTAGAAACAACATCTCAACTCAATCTAATAGAAGAAGAGCAGAGTGGGTGGCATACAGCCCTCTTTCTCGCATACCAAGTCGCAATTTTGTCGCTTCGGTGGAGGCGATGGGCCGGTTGCCCAATTGGGCCTGATAAAATGATTCATCGTGAATCACGCCTTTGTTTGGAACGTCTGTGGGTTTTTGGATGGGACGACGCTAACTTCGTCCTCTTCAACCTCATCCGTTCTTCTCAACTCTTTCTCGTTTGTTTGAAGCCTACATGGTTTATCTAGACTAGAATGTTATTCCGTGATAACGCCATAACATCCTCAACCAAATCAACAACTTCAGGCTCACAACTCTATCATGGCTATCGACATCTCGGTTATCGAGTCGGTGAGACTCAACTCAGCAAGCGAAGAAAAAGTCATCGCACTCTCTCTCCTGGATTGCACGACAGCCAACTTTTCCTACGGTAGTGCCATTTGGCTATACCAGCCCCCAAAACTACCTGAATCCGACAACTTCAACCTCGGATATCACCTCCGCGAGTCCTTGGCCCTCACTCTAGAAGCCTACCCTCAATGGTTGGGTCATCTCAAAGTGGTGAGCAAGATCGATGGCGTTGGTCCTCCTGAAGCGCAGCATCTTCCTCCTCATGCGCGACGATTTGGACGCATCTATGCGCACTTTGGAACGGCCACGGACCCTGGGGTTGAATTCGTTTATGCAAGAAGCTCCGCCACTCTCGACTCTATTTATCCTATGGATCGACCTTCGAAGCAGCCTTTGTGGTCATGTGAGACGGCGACTTTTCACAGTTTCTTGGCCGCCACGACTCTTGCGCATGCTCTCCAGCCTAATATTGCGGATGAAGCAGGACGGCTCAGCCCCCTCATGGCAGTTCAGGTCACGGAACTTGCTTGCGGGGGCTTCGTTGTGGCTGTCAAGGGAACGCATCCTCTGGCAGATGCGACAAGCTTCATCTCCCTACTCAAGGATTGGGCCACTGTCAGCCGATCAGTCCTGGAGAAAAGCGCTATTCCTGCTCTCACACCTCTTTTTGACCCAGCATTGCTTGACAGCCAAGCAGCCGGTGACATCAATGCCGAAGAACCAGACGAGGACATTCTACAAAAGGCTAGGAGCCTGCCAATGCATAGATACGATTGGTGGGCTTCGGCAGCAACTTGCCCATGGCCATTTAAGATCCCAGCTCCTTTCGATACCGAGGAACAAACATCAGTGGGCAAGTTGATGCCCTGGGCTGAATGGGATCTTGCCTCACCAGTATCCAACTACGTCGTTCATCTAAACCGAAACCAAGTCGACGTTCTCTGGAACAAAGCCAACGAAAATGCCTCGGAAAAGCTTAGCAGGCATGATGCAGTTCTGGGGCATATATGGTCCTGCATCGCACGTGCCCGTGGCTTGCAAGACGACGATGGGCCTGTACACTGTGATCTCGTATACGGAGTGCGTCCCTCTTTTCAGCTGGGGAGCGAGTTCCAAGGATCTCCATGTATGATGATGAACGTGGAATTAGCAGTTTCCAAAGTGGCAGATGAGTCGAACTTGAGCGCTATCGCTACTCAAGTGCGTCAGACGCTCAGAGTAATTACCAACAAGGACAATATGGCCGCCCATCTTTACAGCATCGCATACGAAAAGTCTCCCCAGCGGATATGGCAGGCTTTTCTGGGACGACGGCACATCTTGGTTACGACCTGGGGCCGGGCCGGTATTTACGATATTGATTTCGGACTAGGATCTGAATGCAGCTTCGCCGAGGGTGTGGTCCCGGAGATGGATGGGAATATTCTCATCAAGGAGGCTCCTGGGAAGCCGGGCGCATACTGGACGGACAATGGCGTTGATATTTCTATTCATATTAGAACGGAGGACATGGAGAGGTTGATCAAGGATCCGTCGCTTCTCCCAGAGGCCTCCATCGGAGGTGGACATGAGCTCCAAGGTTATAGTTTCACGTCTATCAGATCATGACCTCGACGCCACATAAATCCGTTATCGTTTTATCTCAGAAATAGAAGCACGCATTCCGCTAAAATGCTACAACACAATTGGCTGTTCGACATTGGGTCATGTTGCAATCATCGCACGTTAGTGTCGTCCCCTGAACTTGATTGGCCGTGGTCCTGCATTGTGGTGATCTCATCATCGTCATCCTACCTACGTAAACACCACACCTAACCGACCTTGATTTCAGGATTGAGAACTTGTTTATTACAACATCACCTTTTTTCGGCCTCCTGTCCCACAACTCTGCGCAATCATTGTCTTTCCAAAGCCGCAATTGATATCATCAATCCAGCATGTTCATACACGAAGAATCAGCAAACCACAAAGACAAAGAGAAGAAGTCTAGGTGGAAGATCTTCTCCTCAAAGGACAAAGAAAAGCACAGCAGCCTAGAGCCTCCGGTACCCGATGTGGAGGCAAACTCGGGGGACTCTACCTATGGCAGCAGCGAGCCCAACAACTCGCTCACCACAGAGGCCGAGACGAGTGCTCCGAGGAGTACCAACAACACCAACGCGGAGATCCAGAACCCCTCATCGTATACCAGTCCCACCATTAGACGAGAGACTCACACGAATCCCAACACTGGGCAAACGACAACCACGACTACAACCACTACGACAACCACTACGACGGTGAGCAATGCTAATGGGACTGTGTCTACGATCGAGGAGCCTCGCCCGCCCTCCGAGCTGCCGACAGTAAGCAACCAGGACTTGCCACGCACAGCCACCCCCAAACAGCCAGACCAGCAGCCAGACCAGCAGCCAACGTCTCAAGACCAAACGATGTTGACGCCAACGAGCCGACGGCCAAGCGTCGAGACACCAGGGCGTCGAGTTATTCCACCTCGCGAGCCGATTCCCGTGCCGAGCCCAATTGAGAACACCCCGATCATACCAGAACGTGATGCAAGAAGAAAGTCCTCCGAGGTCCAACCAAACAACACCGAGGGACTCTACCCGGCTCCCCTCAGCAGCCCTAGATCCTCCGTCAACTTTTCCCACCCATCACCAAAGTCGACGATACAGAACCTCAAATGTGCAGCTGCCGGTATCCATGTAAGTTCCCCAAAAGACAAGTAAGGCAACAAACTAATCTGTTGATCACTCCAGGGCGCCGGTGAGACCCTCCGTGGAACACTCAACTCGACCGTCGACAAGCACTTTGGTTCAAACCCACAAGCCATGGAAAAGGACCAGGCCGCCATCGATAAAGGACGGTACGAGGTTGAGAACATGAGGTTCTTTCGCCCAAACGAATACTGGCAGCAGGACCATGAAAGTCGGCCATACACGAATGAAGCACCATACGTACAGGGTCCTCACAACGAACCACCTATTGCTATAAGCTCAAGCACAGTAGACATGGGGGATCAATCACACCGCGGCAAGTTGGCCAGTTTCTTCAAAGGGTCGAGCTATTCTTCTGGTCAACCTGCTATGAACAACCCCTCAAAGTCACCTCCACCTGAGAGAGCAAGGCTTAAGAAGAGGAGTAGCTCGAGATTGGCCCATGCCAGGCTGGGTGCTGTTGGTGAATAGTGGAATAAGACTTGGAGTGCTGCATAATAACTCCGTGTCATTGCAAATTGATGATACTAGGTGTGTTTATCACATATATTTTGAGCTGTATATACACATTTCACCAGTATGAAACCAGTAGAAACAAGTTACCTCGTTTTGACAGACTCCCAAAACCGTCTAGAATGCCAGGGAGGCGGTATCCTCTTTTACACGAGGTCGACGAGACAATGAAAGGATATAAGCCCTCCCAACCTTTCTTCCAATGGTTTGTAGGTTCAGAGCTGCAGACCTGATGAGGGTGTCATTTAGATGTAATAGCCAGCTAGACCTGTTCCACTAACTATTCCGATCAGACGAATTGGAATCTATTCCAGTTCGATGTCAGCTTACAAGATTGCCTGAGATATGAGGCCGTGCTCATGCGCCCCGCTCACTCAGATCTCTTTGATTCAGCCGGATAAAGACTCAACTTGCCTCAATCAATCCCATACCCAAACTCTACACACTAAAACGCCACTTGAACCAAGTACAATGACTCAACAAAGCATTCACAGATTCTACCGCGTCTGGCTCACTTACGTGGACCCCCTCACCTTGATCCCAACCGTCTACGCCCTCATCTACACACCGGAATTCATGCTCGAAGGTCTCGTCCCACCCAGCATGGCCGTTTACAACCCAATCGAAGGATTCTTCTACCACCAGCTTTCAGCCCTCTACGCGTTTGTGGCAATCATGCTCGGCGGTGTTCTGCGCGTCACTTCTGAAATCAAGGTGTGGAGGATCATTGTCTCAGGAGTCTTGCTCGTCGATATCTCGATCCTGGCTAGCGTGTATGTTAGTCTTAAACGTCAGGATAGGCTCGAGATGGAAAAGTGGCGTTGGCAAGATTGGGGGAATGTCCTGTGGACGGGAGGAGTGGCTGTCATTAGAGGCCTGTTCTTGGCTGGCGTTGGAGCTGGACGCAAGGGAAAGACGGCTTAAGGGGAAACTTTGATGAGGCAGCATAGTCTTTTGGGGGTTGATGGTAGTATCGAAGTATTGTAGGGCAGCGTTTGATCTGGCTTCACGAACAAGCCGTCACGAACAAGCCGTCGTTGCGTGATGTGAAGGTAGTCTAGCCAGTCCGTGTTCTTGAGCGAAGCAAATGGACAGTTGCACAGTTGATATCAGAATATAAATGTTGCGAGCCAAGCAAGATCAAATCTAACTTGCTCGTGGAGGTTGATATTAAACGTATAATTCTCTATATATATTACAATATGGCAATGACCATGCCCGTATTATGTATCTCTTTTCAGATCCCGAGGAGCTCCGACCCTTCCAGACCGTTTAGAAAGGAACAGGGACATTGCGCTCAAGATATCCCCTCCACGTGGGCCTCTGGCGCTTAGAAGGAGCATCAGTGCTCTTCTGAAGATCCTCAATGGCACTAGCCCACTTGACAAGCTCAGCCTCAGCGAAGGCAGTCTGCATGATGGCCAGACCAAAAGGCATGCCAGACTCGGAAGAGTAACCACCAGGAATAGTGATGACGGGGTATCCAGCTTGGGCAGCAATCTGAGGAGCCTGAGCAACCTGAGGGGGGACGAGGAGACCAGCGAGCTTCTTTCCCTGGTAGTTCAGAGCGTCATCAATACCCTTGCGGCAAGAAGACACGCAAAACTCGAGAGCCTGGAAGTAAGTCTCGTCCTGCTTTCCCTTGGTCTCGAGAGAAGCCAAGAATCCGTCCTGGCCAGAAGCAAAAGCAGGATGACCCTTGCCGTTCTTGTAAGGATATCCACCCTCAGTGCCATCAAACTCCTTGTTGAAGTTGACGATATCCTCCAGATCCTTGACGTTGGTGTTGCTGACCTCGGACAGATACGTCTTGATGTTGTTGTAAAAGTCGACCTTGATGTAGGTGTACTCAGACTCATTAGGGAAGCCTCGGACAGTGCCGTAGTCCCAGTTCCAACCGTCTGGGCTGACGAGGGTCTCGTAGTTGGTAATCTCAGTGCCGTTGATGACGGTAGCGCCGGCAGACTTGATAAGATCGACAACCTCCAGAAGCTGCTTCTGCATATCCTCATCGGCGTAAACCCAGAAGCTCTCCCAAGGAAGACCAAAGACGGCGCCCTTGAGAGCCTTCTTGTTAGTAAGGTACTGGGCATAGCCGCCCCGGGGAGTCTTGCCCTTCTGAGCAGATGTGTAGTTGTCGCGCTTGTCGATTCCGTACATGCCGTCGAGAACGAGGGTGGCGTCCTTGACAGTGCGGGCAAAGGCGCCAACAGAGTCCTGGTGCTCACTCTCGGGGATGACGCCGGCGCGGGAAGTCAGGCCGACAGTGGGCTTGAAGCCGACGAGGGCGTTGCGGTTGGCAGGGTTGATGACTTGAGAAGTGTTAGTTTCACTCTTGCATCGCTTCTACATGCACTTACCACTGCCATCAGTCTCAGTGCCCAGAGAAAAGGCGATGGCGTTGGCAGCAACACCAGCACCGCTACCAGAAGAGCTACCACCAGGGTTCACAGTAAAGTTGTACGCGCTGCGAACCTGACCACCACGAGCAGAGTAACCCTCAGAGTAGTCATTGCTGCGCATATCAGCCCACTCACTCAGAGCAGCCTTGCCGAAAAGCACAGCGCCAGCCTCGCGGAGCTTCTTGACGACGTGCGCATCGCGGGGCACGACGCTACCCAGAAGAGCCCAGCTACCGGCGGTGGTCTCCATGCTGTCCTTGGTTCCGATGTTGTCCTTGACGGTAAAGGGAATGCCGTGGAGGGGACCGCGGACCTTGCCTCGGGAACGCTCGGCATCGCGCTCGGCGGCGATGGCAAAGACGTCGGGGTTGACCTGCATCACGGAGCTGAGGCGACATTAGCATTGCTTCGCATAAAGAGGCCGGTGTTGCGCGACGTGAAAGATGCGACGTCATTGGCAATCATCGCAAACCTCAACTTACTTTATGTACTCCTGTGTCTGGTAAGTCCTGGTGAGATAGCAAGTCACCAGCTGGACAGAAGTGAGCTTGCCCGATCGCATCGCCTTTTGCATATCATCAATGGTAGCCTCCTCCAGCTTGAAGCCATTGCACTTCCCCATAGGGAACAAATCCGCAGAACCAGCATTCTTCTGCAGAGGCAGCAGATTGGGCGCGTACGAGAAGAGAGGCTCCGTCGACGGCTTGGCTGCGAGAGCCTGCGCCGCAAGAAGGCCAGCGGCCAATTGCAACTTGGGAAGCATGATGAATGCGATGCGACAAAAAGATACAGAAAAAGAGAGAAGGAGGTTCGACGTTAAAGATCTTCCCTGGCAAAGGAACACAACAAGGTTCACAAGGCGCGGGTGGCGGCGGGTTCCAGAGGAATTTGTAGCACCCACTCCCACTACGAGAGCTGAGTGATTTCCCTACCCTTGCCCACCCACGCCAAGGGTTCGCCATCCGGGGGGTTCCATTCCAAGGACAGGGGCTTCCATAAGAGATTCCCTTGCCTTACCATCGGGGAACTCGAGGTCAGGCTTGTCCGTCAGCTAGTGCTAGCTGACGGACGCCCTTCCGCAGCGGATGAGCTTGCCGATGAGGGTCCCCTCTAGCGGGAAAGCGTTCATCGGGAATGAGGCCATTACGAGTTGATAGTGGGGATTTAACTTTTAGGCGAGTCTTGCTCAACTGAGAGAGACAAGGATGGTGGCGATTGCAGGGATCAAAGCTGACGAACAGTGATGGAGATGGAAGACTTGGCATGCTTTGGGTTTATTGATGCCGGTTAAATGACCATGTTTTCTGCAAGGTACGGATTGATCTTGCATTATGCCAAATTATCCACTGTCAATTGCAGTGCAATCAGCACCCAAACACAACCAGAGGTTGCACAACGTCAAGATGCGCTCGCAAGCATGTTGATATCGACTTCCAATCAAACAAATAAACATTTTCGCTCCAAACTCGCTCATAAATCATCCAAACATCGCTCTCTATTCGCAAATCACTGGCTTTTCCACGAAGACTCCCCATCACTCTGCTGTCCCCGTTGACTATCCTCCTTTATGCGGAAATCCACACTAACCAAGATGCCATCCGCACTATTCTCGCTCTGATTATCCCTCTGGTTCTTTGTCCTAAACGTATTTATCCCCTCGGCCGAAGTATCTCTACTCGTAAGGACGTCGTGCTCGGGACGAAAGTTGAGCGATCGGAGGGCGTGGCTGCGGCTGTTGCTCGTGGGCTTTCCGTATCGTGAGTTGCCGTTGCTGTCTCCGGTTGTCACGTCTCGGCGGAGGATGAACTTGTCGACTAGGGGTTTTAGGCCTGGGACGGATAGGGCGATGAGTGTTGCGCCGATCTCGCTGGCTTCGATTGCCAACATGGGGTTGTCTTGAACTGTTAGCTTTAGTGTGTAAAGTGTTGGTGGTCGCACTTACAGGCCCAGGACATGTCGGCATTCCATTGCCCTTCAATAACAAATACAAGGCGTGTAATCGAAATAGCAATGACCCTGTTCCATCGTCAATATCCAGTCCCAGCAGTATTCCATCAAGGCGACTCACGATGTACCCGGCAAGAGAATGCACGCAAGCTGAATCTTTCGCTTGCGAGGCATCTCAAGAACCCGAAGCATAACAATCGGAATACCAAACAGCAGAAAATCGCAGACCAGCGAAACCGACGAGTTGACGCTATACACGAGTCCCCATTGCAAGCATGTGTACTTGTCGAATCCAGGCTGAAAGTCGTACGGCCACAATCCAGTGACGGGTATACAGTGGAAGATGAGGAGGAACAGCTGCGGGAGGTATCCCAGGATCAGAATACCCATGACAATCTTGATTGCCAGAAGGAGTTTGTCGTGAATACTGCATAGTCGGTAGTAAAACGCGAGACCGGAGATTCGGCAGAAGAGGAGTGTCGTCGTGTAAATGATATGGGCGGCAAAGTCGAGTACTTCGGTCAGTTCGATCGTTGGCATATCGAGAACATATTGAATGTATTCAAAGTGTCGTCCGGATCCCAGATTGATAAGCTTGATACACATGCCCACGAAGGGAATGAAGCAAATCTATGACCTAGTCAGTTGAGCCGCCTTGACTGGCACGAGAGATCGGCGGTCGTGGGTCAAGCCAAGGTGAAGAAGCCGACCAGAGCGACTCCCTCTAAGCATCATGGAGAAACACTTACCCATGATATCAACGTCAATATATCATCAAGTCCAAATCTTCGGATGAGAAATGCCCTCGATATGAGTCGTCCAAGAACAACAAGGCTCGTCAACACCGTCACAAAGACAATTCCCGCAATGGCGGGAGCATCCTTGGACTCGTTGAGATAATCAGCCGTAATACCCTTGGGAACCCGCCCGTCGGCAATAGCCCTAGCCACATCAGAGTCGGGCATGATGTGAGAGAAAACGAGCGTATGGTTGTTATATTATGTTCAGAGTCAACCAACTCCAAAAAAAGACTCCATCAGGAAAGAGACAAATGCCCCGGGAGGTGAGACACAGGACTGCCAAACCCTTATACCAACCGTCACAACACCACTACGTCCCAGAATGCACCGCGTCAGGCCAAAGCTGCACACTATCAATGCAAGCTTGACCTGTCCAGTTTTTTTCTTTTGTGGCTATCGGTACAAAAGTCCACACACACCCGACTCTAGAAGCCGTCCTCGATGGGCGGGATGCCGCACCGTACCGAATCAGTTCAAGACCAGGGGAGGGAACCACACACACCTCGCCTGTCCTTCTTTCTTTTTCCCTAAACCAGTGTTAGCGGAAAGAAAGAAAAAAAAAAAATGTCTTGCCCAGTGACAGTCACGGCACACGGCAAGTGGAGGCGAGGGAACCTGTCTGGCCGCTCTCCCGGATGCGCGAGATGGCCGGAAATTAAAAACGGCGCAAACTCTAACATCCCGCTGCTTGGTTCCGTGGGCTGTGCGAGGCCTAGAATGGCAATAGTTTTCAGGGATGGAGGCACAGACTGGACTCTGATCCAAAGCTTGCCAAGCTGATTATCAGGTCATGGCCGCATGGGTTACATCAAGAGCACGTTTCATGCTGGACATTATTTCTTCTTTGACAGCACCATTTCCCACAAACAAAAGAACCCAAACGCTTGCATGCCAGACAGTGATGGCATTACCCACTTGAACCTGTCTAGTGCCACTGTAACCCTGGCGATTGGCGCAAGGTACGAAGGAGGATCATCCCCAGCGGTGCCATTCCGCTGGGAGATCAAAGTGGGTTCACTCTGTTGGTTTGCTTCCTGCGGTTGCTTGGTTCCTGTCAGCTTCTGCCATCCATCTGGATGTCACTCGAGTTTGCCTATCGCCGTGTCAAGACCATGAAACTTTGAAGCAAGCCACACATGTACGACCGTTGCATTTGTTGCTTTTTTGTCGACTCACCCTCTATCTCGAGCGGAATATCGGTCCTTGTAAACTCTGCTGTGCCGCAGGTTCAACACTTGGCCTCACGTCAGTCTCTGTTTCCTTTCTTCTTTTCGTATCCTCCATTGCTTTATCCACGTGAAATCTCAAGTCTCGCTCGGTCCCCGGATCGCTCGGTCCATCTGTATCCACTCGGTCCCAGAAACATCAAAAACCGCGTCAACTCCCCCCCTGGTTATCTCTCCCCCTAGTCTCTCCACCCAACCAAACCTCCCGCATGGTCAATGTCTCGTTCGCCTTACGAAGTGGATTTCACGCTCGAGTCTCTCTTCGGTCCAGAATACCGCGAAGCAAAGCATCTTTTAGTCACCATGAATCGAGTCTTGCCTCTCCAAAAGGGCAATCCACGGCCACTAGCCATTTGACTTCTCCTTCGAGACTGGTGGTGCACCGCCATGATCGCTAGCGCATCCGGCACGGGGGGATGGCGGAACGCCCGATGGATCTAGCGCAGCCCCAAGAACGTAATGACTCGCTGTTTAGCGTTTGATGGGATTGATAAAATCGGTATTATTTCTCGTAGGATCCATTTCAGCTACAAACTTTCCGTATGCAGCTGCTTGTCTAGGAAAAGCTTGTCACAGGGAGTCTTGGTCAATGCTGAACACGGGCCATTCGATGTCTTCTAGAAGCCGCGTTCAAGCGAGACGAAGCGGCAGCCTCAGCATTCCAGTGAAACGGAAAGAGGAGCTATATAAGTCATGCCAAATCTACTTTCAGTATTTGGCCGAAGTTGCAACTTGAGTGAGGTAATTGTGACAAACAATAATGTTTTCCTGCTACCAGCCTCACAACCCAGGCATTATTCCCAGGCATTATTGTCTTGGTGGTAGCAAATAGCCAAGAGTAGCAACGTCTTTTATTTGCAAGGGTATTGTTTTCCTTTATCTGCCACTGAATTTTGGACGCCAGGAGCCAACGAAGAGCTGAAACAGGAAAGAGGCGGCTACATGTTGAGTCCAAGCAAAGCCGTGCGTGCCCGATTGCATGTGACCACCCTCAGAGTTATTGTACAGGTTCCCATTCAACATTAGTAACCAGGCGCGGATTAAAGAAGTGGAAGCCTCTATAGCGCACGAGATGCTTAGCCCAACAAAACGGCCGTGAACTAGTAACGTCTTTGCTATTCTCCGTTATTCCAAGTGCTTCTCATTCACAAGCACATATCGATACCGGGCTTGACCAGCCTCCATGCTCAACACAACTTGGTTTGCACCTCTTCTGAATTCACGGCTTAACCTTCTTTCCTACTACAAAGTATAGCATCTCCTCGATATCTGCCGGCGAACCAGTCGCACTGCCGCCAATCTTGAAGCCACCGCTGATAAGTGTAAAGGCATTAATAGGCGGTAGATCGCTATTGTTAGGTGCGTTAACCTCAATGAAATCACTTCTATACCAAAGTAGCTTGTGGTAGTCGGTAAGGGGCATGTCTGGGGACGAAGCAGTACTGATAATCAGGTCGATGGTCCTGGAATTCTCTGTTGCCCAATTTTTTTCGTCCTTGCCATCGGTAGCAATATACATATCTGCGCCGAGAGCGAGGACTTCGTCTCTCTTGGAGGCTTTGCGTGAGATACCGACAACCTTCTCTGCTCCAAGGGCCCTTGCGAAGAGTATTCCGAAGTGGCCAAGCCCACCAACTCCTACAATGCCGACCATCTTACCCATGCGGCCATTATTTCGCAGAGGGGTGTAAACGGTTACGCCAGCGCAAAGCATAGGTGCAGCTTCTTCAGAAGGAAGGTCATAAGGGATTTTAATAACCCAGCGCGAGTCCATACGGTAATAGTCCGCATAACCGCCATACGACTTACCAATATTGCCGAGGTATATTAATCTATAAGTACCAATAGAACCTTGGAACAGTAGCTAACCCGCCCAGCAGAGCAATCAGTGCAGTCATCACATAGGCAGCTTCGCGCCTAGGACCCGACCCCGACACGGTCACCAGCCTTGACGTTCTGAACTTTGCTTCCGACACGGATAACAATACCGACAATCTCGTGGCCAACGCAGCAAGCTATTCCAGGTCAGCACGTATAAGCAAAGCCTCATCAGGGGTCATTTACGATGAGGAGTGTCGCCCCAGCCAGAGCGTAGCGTATGGAGGTCAGAGCCACAAATGTCGCAATGCGTGATCTTGGTGTCGACATGATTGCCCTCTCACATCTTCAGCTCGAAGACATCCCACTGCATTTTGCCGTTAACAGCGTCGGCGGAGTAGCCAAGCCAGCCCTGAAACTCATAATCCTCCATTGTAAATGCGGATTAGCCTAAAGAACAAATTGTTACAAGTGTATCAATTACCAGCATAGTAGCTCAACCAGAGAGCTTTACAATAAGTAGGCAGAAATTCTGGCTATTTACAGACTGTCCGCCCACATTGCGAAAAGTTTGACAGCATGCAAGTTTGCCTGGGTGAGCGATTTCGGACCTCAAGAGCAGTTGTCGGATATAGCACACGGACCTGTAAACTTCCACGATGTGTAGCTATTGAGGTCGGATCGTCAACGAAAGGCCCTGCAGCCGCAGCCCCGATCCGACATCCCGATTCAAAATGCAGTGGGGGTTCCGAGTGCAAACCACAAGTTCTCGGCTCGGATGATCCGTTTCCGATGCCCGGAATCGTGACGCGAGCTTGGATCGCGCCAGCAGGGACAAGGGTGTGATTTGCCCGCTGATACTTCCACCAGGCGTTGCCTATCTTTATAGGCATCAAAACGGTCAAGGGTCCCTTAACGGTGATAATTGCTCAATCACTTGCACTCTTTCTGCCCTCATCTGGAACCGCTTCTCAAGTCTTGGTCATTTCTGAGCTGAGGCACTTGTTCCCCTCACAAATTGCCCGACCCCTTTTTCGTCATCTGTTACTACATACTATCGACCCAACATGGCCAAGAAACAAGTCCATGCCGTACCCAAGGACTTTTGTAAAAACATGGAGCATTTTGATGTGTACCCTGAGATTGACCCTCTCGATGGGCTAAAGGGTTCGTTCAAGGGCAAGACTGTCGTCGTTGCTGGAGGCTCTGGGGGGATTGGAAAGGTTTGTTGAACCTACGTGAAACTCCTTGAAACTGACGTTGACAATACTGCTGCAGGCGATTGCTGAAGCCTTCTGTCTTGCTGGTGCCGCATCGCTCTGCATCGTTTCGAGGTCGAAGGAAAAGTGCGAGAAGGCAAAAGCCGATATTCTTGCAACCTGCAAGCTTCATGGACTGGAGCCCGAGATTGTCGCAGCCCACGGGTTCGATGTTGGTAGTACCGAGGACGTCGATAGGTTCTGGACGAAGTTCAGGGACCACCCGCTCAAGGTAGATGTCGTCGTTAACAACATGAGTACGCCCGCTGTTCCATGCCTTTGGAGTGCAAGTTTAGTATCTTATATGGCTCACACCTCATAGTTCGAGTCGACGAGGGAGCCTTTGAGAAGATTGGTGACACCAACCCCAAAGCGTGGTGGGATCTGTGGGTAGGTAATTCCGCAGAAAGCAAACCAACTTTTTCTAATCCTCCTTTTTGATCTAATGTGTTGGCTTGCTGAACAGGAGACCGTTGTAAAAGGCTCATACTTGATGTCACGTGGCGCGATTCGTAACCGCGATGGAGACCTGAAGGGCCTGACCATCATCAACACAACGTGAGTCCCACTGATTTGGCACCAAGATTCCCAAGGGCTAATCTGATCATTGTCATGTAGATCGGATCAATCTAATCAAGGCTCCGCTGCCACTAGTGTGTACCAAGGCACAAAGAGTGCTTTGAACCGGTGAGTCCGCCAGCGATCTGTATTATGAGTGAATATGTGTTTGACAGATGTAGTCTCACCGAAGCTCTTGATTGGGACCACGGCCCGGATGGCCTCCGAGCGTTTGCACTACACCCAGGTGAATAACATTCCATGTCACCCTTTTCTTGCGTGTATCTGACAGTCGTAACTAACGCATGGCTTCTGGCTTCTCAAGGTTCTATCTTGACTGAGAGTACTGCCAAACACTTCCCCGACCTCGAGATACCCGGTAATGTCCGTTTGCCTGGTGGTTTTTGTGTCTGGCTTGCGACGTCAGATGAGGCAAATTCATTCAAGGGCCGTTATGTAGACGGAAGCAAGGGGCTCAAGACTCTCGCTGCCATTGCAAAAAAGAATGCCGGCAATCCTGACTGGCATAAGATGCGCTTGGTTGATTACGAGGTTTGAAAATTCGAGCCTTGACTTGTATACTGCCAAGTAGTAGAGGCAAAACATAGGAAGGCGACAATATGACTGTTAGCAAACTGAACCTGTGCTGTTTAATAGACTTCCCCATTAGTTCTAAGATCGTACGTCGGCTCCTGATGAGAGGTGGAGCTGAGCCTCATCCCATTTTCACTTGATTTTTCACTATCCTTATCGAGCCCAAAAGGTAACCTTTGCCTGTCGATGAGCACCCTTTGAAGAGTAATTGACACCAAAGAGCAAATTGCAAATACACCCGCATCTTCACCGTGAGACTGGGGTGAATGATGAGAGGACAAAGTGACTGCCAAGGTGAGGACGATTATGAAAATAGCGTCGACAAAACCACGTTCTTCAATATCGCCAAGAATACAGTCACAGAAAACCAGTAGCGGAAGGTGACACTGGGTCTTCAACCACAACGACGCCTCTGACTAGAATCACACTCAATGCAATATCAGCCTCTGCTGGCTCAGGAGCTACTCGAGGTCCGGAGGTCCAATGTGGAGCACACGCGCGGCTATTCGTAAGGTACGATGTTGAAATTCATATTGAGTGGTTAAGAGACGCAATCGAGACAAAATCAATAAATAAACATATTTCTGCTTTGCAATCCTGCCGTTTAACAAAAAGACAAGAAAATGGAAAAGAAAGTGATAGCTACACCACAGGAGCAAATATTAATTTAGATGTCCTACATATGATTAGGATTGTAACAAGTCCCCAATGCCCCGGCAACAATAACTTAGTTACACTCCATCTGTTTAAACAGACTCCTCAATCTGGACAACTTCAATGCCATCAGCCTTGACGCTCTTTCCATTCACATCGATGTCAACTGCACCGTTCTGCGAGCGATACTCTTGGATCTTTGCAGGGAAGTAACGGCAATCAGTCTTGGCAGCAAATAGATAGTCAATCTGTTGGACGTTACAGCGGTTAGCATGTGTTGCAACATTTTAAGGCGTGATGGTCAGAGTTGTTGGTCCCATACCTCTTGGAAAGAAAGCCCTTTCGTTTCGGGAATATAGAACCACATAAGGACACAGGGCGGGATGCTAAGACCAAAAAAGATGAATCCAATCTTGGCGCCCAAATTGGCGGCATCAGGGTTAATAAGGTAAGGAAGAACAAGAGACACGATCCATACACTACAGTGAGATGACGTTAGCAAATCAAAGATTACCCAAAAAAAGAGACTGAATACCCACCCAGCCATTTGGGTAAAGCCCATAAGAGATACCGTCGAGGATCGTAGTGGCAGAGACGGGACTTCTGCACCAAAGGCGAATCCGATGGCGCCGAGCGTGCATTGGTAAACTACAGCCCAGATAAAAACCGATACCAAAAACACCCACACGGCAGCTCTTGTGTTGAAGCAGCCAGTGATTCCCATGACCAGAAGCGCGGCAGTCAAGGAGTATGTCCCAGGAATCATGAGTTTTCTCCGTCCAACAGCCTCGATCAGTGGGAAGGCGGCCGCACTAGACGCAAGCATCACGCTTGTCAGGGCAACGGTGACGGTGAAGTAGTCTTTAATTCCGACAAGGGACATGAAATAGGTGATGAACCCTGGAAAGCCTTAGCTGACTGAAAAAGTAGGGGGTGGTCTTCCTCGTCTTACCGAGAACAAATGTAGAGCCCACACATTGCTGTTCGACTGCGGGGAGGTTTGCGATGAGAGTACGTCTTAGATTGGTTGACCTGAAGCACTGGACAAGAGTCAGCCCGCTCTGAGCGGCGGCAGCCTGGAGGCTTCCACTGAAAGCAGCATCCTTTGCGATCCTATCCATCTCTGCGTCGATCAATGCCTGGTCGCCGTGGCCGTGGATTCGGATCAAGGACTGTCTGGCACGCTCGGTTCGTCCTCTCTTCAAGAGATAGTAAGGAGATTCGGGAAACCACGGATATAGAAAAAGGAGAGGCACTTTGAGGAGTCAGGAATGGCATCGGTGATGAATATTGAGGGGATGCGTACCGACAAACGCAAACTGCGTCAGGATAAGGCCGCGATGGGCCCATTCTCCTTGGACGGTTGAGAAGACTTTGGCAACAATGGCCAGGAGGAGTTGCCCAACCACAATGGAGGTGTTCATCAGACATAGGTAGAAGCCGCGCAATTCGGGGCGTACCGTCTCGCCGATCCAGACGGGAGACAGGATATAGACAATTCCGAACCCGATTGCTGTGATGATGCAACTGTCAGCAAAACCCCCCCGTCTTCTCCATAGTGAGACTCACCGTTGACCAAGCGACCGCAAAGGAAAAGCACCCATTCGGTACTTGCAACCTGCATTCCAACTCCCGCGGCTGTGATGACGGCCCCAACCAGCAGCGAGTGTTTCCTTCCAATCCATTCGATGAGTTGACCAGAGATCAAGATGCCGATGATGTCTCCGCCGCTCGCGGCGGCAGACCAACCAGACAGGTAGTTGGCGGGAATGATGTAGCCTGTGTCAGATCCAGCGAATTCTCTCCCGTATTCCTGTTGGAAAGAAGGGAGGGTTGCTGCATTGCTGGAGACGCCCCAATCGTATCCTAGCACATGAACCCTGTCAGCAATTCAACCTGTCGAGATGATGTGAAACACTGCTCACCGAGCATGATTCCTCCCAAGGCGGAGAAGAGCGCCCAAGCAGCAAACCTAGGCTGTGCGCGGAGGATTCGCCATCTATTCTCAGGCTGCACCTCTGCCCAGTTGGGAGTGAAAGCCATTTTTGGAACGAAGTGATGGTGTCTATCTTGCAGGACTTGGTTGCTGTTGGCTGCTTTGGGGACCGGAAGGCAGCTGAGCTCTGCAGCTTTATACAACGTCCGCCTTCACCTGCTATGCTACATGCATTCAACTGACCATGAGTCTAGGATTCCCCGCAGTGTCACGTACCCCAGATTCATCCCCGCGGGGTGCCCCGTAACGTTGGACAAGATCCGGATTCTTGGATCCACAGCCATGGCCGGCCATCCGAACTCCGATACTCCAAACCAATCGGCTCAATATATAGCTGGTCGGGTTCGGATAGAGTCGAGTTTACCGAGTACTCGGGATGCGGATGCCCTCTCCGACATTCTCATCCAGTCACCACTTGCCCTCCCCCAGCACCTTCACCTTTCTGATCCAATATCAGTTTTGCACCGACTCTCAACAGCAATGGCCACCAGCCGCGGTTCCGATAGTCACAAGAGACCTCTACCCATGGATACCGACGGGGCGCGGGTCCTGACAGCATCGCATCCGAACCCAGCCAAATACCCCCGCAAACGTGTTTCGGTAGCATGCGAAGTCTGTCGGTTACGAAAGACGCGATGTGATGCGGCCAGACCAAAGTGCCGTTTCTGCTCAAACGCGGGCATCGAGTGTGTGTATCGTCAGACAGACAGTGGGCCATCACCGTAGGTTACTCGTTACTTTTCAACACCAGGCTAAATCCCGACGCACGCCTCTTGCATGCGATTTGCGTCCTCTCCCTACAGCTAACCGAGTTGATGCCGTCATTCTGAGCTAACCCCACCGGTCGGCAGTAATTCTAAACCACCCGATGCCCCATCGCTCGACTCTCAGGTCTCAAGTCAAGATCTTGCAACTTTGCTAGCCCGCGTGCAGGTTCTGCTCCAAGCACGAGCCGCAAGTACCCCGAGTGATGCTCCACTAGTACCGACATCTCTTCCTTGGAGCATCAACCAAGATGCAACTGAGCAACAGCAGGAACCACCTGCCACCACTTCATCGGCCGGTTACGATGGCCTCGAGCAGGTGAACTCGCAACCGTCTGCTCAGCCCAGTCCGTCAGCAGTCTTTACAGAAAGTCCGGCTGCTGAACATTCAGACCTGCCATGCCTGGTCGGGTTGAGTCTATACGGCTTCGCCAAAACCGCAACCAAGCCGTGCCCGAAGCAACTTGAGCCGCTTCTGTTTGATGACGGCGAGGATTACCTCGAGCACGAACATGAGTACAACCAGCGCATCCTGGACCCGGCCGTATATGTTGACATCAAAGATGTTGATTTGAGTGTCAAGGCCTGTTGGAGGAACCAGCAATCCTTTGCAAAGAGCGTCTTGCCATGGGTCCCAGTTTTTGATCAGCAGTTGTGTGCCAAGCTGGTCCAAGAGGTATCAGCCAATGGCTTTGACTCGTGCGACCCGGCATCGAGCCTGGGTCTATTTGTCCTGGCCTTGGGTGCTCTCAGCAGAGCAGGGGACGAGTCGTCCCAGACCTCAGTGAGTGAGACTCCCGGTTTAGGCTACTTCCGAATAGCTTCGCGCAAGCTGGACGTTGCTGCCAATGGTCAAGACACGGTTACGATTGCTCAGTGTTTTGTTTTGAAAGCGTGAGTTTAATACCCTGGATCCTTTCCTTTCCTCCCATTACACTAGAGGCAAGCCGCTTTTTTTTCTCTGACCACAATAAATATCCAGGTCTTACCTACTGCTCTGTCTTCGTACCCTGGCAGCGTTCGATGCGGTCCACGTAGCATCTACCATTATTGCAAGGCAGATGGCCCGCAAGAAGTGGCTTGAGCAAGAGACTGGACGCTTTGAAGCTTGCCATCGGGTCTACTTGACATGCTACATTTTGGAGCATGAGCTGCGGGCCGTCATACACTACGGCACGGAGCTACATCAATATGAACGCCTTGCCATGCCACTCTTCCACACCCACGAGCCCGGGTTCTTCTGGCTTCTGAGCGAGATTGCACTACGACAGATATATATGAATGCGCTCTGCGGAGTCGGGAGCACCGCCAGAGTTGCGTATGCTCCCCGGGTGGCTCAGGAGTTGATCAGCCAGTTGGACCAGTGGTACGAACATTTGCACCCTACGGTCAAGTTTCCCCTGGGGCCGGAGCCCGTGCTCGACACACAAAAGGCATTTCTTCGCGCTCAGTACTATGCGGCGAGGTTTCAGGTCAATTGGTCATACGTGGTGCAATTTCTGACCACGATTGATCTCGGCGTAGACATTGATGAAAAGTCCATCATGCTTGATGGAGCCCAGCGTGCCATTGAGTATGCTTCGTTGGTCATCAGCTCGGCCCAAAGTCTCTGCCAAGACAGACATTTGATGCTTTTCACGAACTTGATATGGTGAGGACTGTCCTACTCATCTGTCATGCAGAGGAAGCTAACAATTCCTCATCAACTAGCACATTTGCAGTGGCCATGATGCTCTTGTGCATTATTGATGTCCCAGAATTCGCGAGTTTGCATGATTTGACCACGACAGTCGCTGCTATTCATCAAGCAAGATCAATTTTATCCTACTGGGCCGAGATAAACCCAAGCATCTCAGTGAATTTAGGCAGGTTAGATGCCTTGATGCGTGCGAAGGGTATGGACATGGCGCCATTAGAGGTAGCTTGCAACAATCTTTCATAATGGTCTAATAATCCTTTGAAGTCTGTCTGCGTCTAAATGAAGCAACTGTTACGCGGTAATATATAGTTCTGCACCTAGGACAGAGAGCCTGCTAGTTCATGTTCCCGAGACAAGTTCGCCGTTGCAGTCGCTTGCTTGGCTGCCGATATGTGCGACTTGTTCGAAATTGCTAACATATATCTTGATGATTTTGGAAACCGCTTAGACGGCAACTAAGATTCGGAAGCCAGCAGCCCCGGGCCGGATCAGGGGCCAATGCGGCAATTCCGTCGGATGAGCCCCGGACGCCATGTAACTCTACAAGACCCAAACACAACCTTTCCCAACTATGCACGATGCCGGAATACATAAAATATCCATTGCTCTTCAAGATGTCCGTTCAAACGATTCATGGTTGAAAGACTCTTGAATCGAATTTTAGCAACAAACTTTCCACATGTCTAACCCAAACGTGCCTCTGATCATCGACAACCAAAACCTGCTAACCCAGGTCACCTTTGACGTTGTCAACCCTACCAATGGCGAGATTCAGCACAGGTCCAGCAGTTCTTCGGTCAGCGAGGCAACAGCAGCAGCCGAGTCGGCCCAACGCGCCTTCAAACTGTGGTCAAAGACAAAGCCTTACACCCGGCGAGATGTTCTGTTGAAAGCGGCCGACATTCTCCTGCAGCGCAAGGAAGAGCTGATCGGCTACGCTACATACAAGAGGAAACCGGCGCTGAGAGACGGTTCGCCGAGTTCCAAGTAGCGTCAGGCATCAACCTGATCAAGGACGTCGGGGGCAAGATTTCGAGCATTTCCGGCTCCATCCCTACGCTGCTTGGCGAAGAAGACCATGGCCTCATTTACAAGGAGCCTTTTGGAGCGATCCTAGCTATAGCGCCGTGGTATGTTTTTCCAGGTTTGCGTCTCTCAATCTCGTATATAGAGTTTGCTTATGCGCAACAGGAATGGACCCTATATTCTGGGCGTACGTAATGTGGTACTTCCGCTCGGGGCTGGAAACACGGTCATCCTCAAAGGCTCCGAAATGGCCCCGCGAAGCTTTTGGGCTGTCGGAGACGTATTCCGCCAAGCCGGGCTCCCAGCAGGCTGCCTGAACGTGCTCTATCACCGCCCTCAAGATGCAGCCCAGGTGACGGCGGCTTTGATAGCCCATCCAGCCGTCCAAAAGATCGGCTTCACCGGCAGCACGCCGGTGGGCAAGATCGTGGCCTCAATGGCAGGGCAGCATGCGAAACCCATCATTCTGGAGCTCGGTGGCAAGTCGAGCTGTATCGTCCTTGACGACGCAGATGTTGAGAAGGCTGCCATGGGCTGTGCATTGGGGTCCTTCATGAATGTAAGGCTCTCCCTGTACATTGACCCACTGAACTCGGTGACAGTACCGAGGCTAATCGTCTTTACTTTGCATAGGCCGGCCAAGTCTGCATGTCCACTGAACGGATCATCGTACAAAAGTCCATTGTCGAGAAGTTCCGCACTGCTTTCAAATCAGCAGTCGAGTCGACATACGGCGCATCTCAACCGGCACCTGTACTGATTAATCAGCGAGCAGTGCTGAAGGCAAACAAGCTAGTTCGAGATGCCGTCCAAAAGGGTGCCCAGATCAGTATGGGTAACCTAGAGGAAGAAGTTGTCAATACATCCATGAGACCGATTGTAATGGAAGGCATTACCAGGGAGATGGATATCTACAAAACTGAATCCTTTGGGCCAACCGTCTCACTCTTTGTGGTTGACAATGACGAAGAAGCTGTGGCCCTGGCTAACGATACGGAACATGGACTGACAGCTGCTGTATTCTCGGGAAATGTAGGCAGAGCTTTAAAGCTGGCTCAGGACATTGAATCTGGGTATGTTGCTCCTAGCTCTACATCTTCACTAACGCAGCAAGGCTAAAAGAATTTCCAGCGCCGTCCACATCAACTGCATGACAATCCACGACGAGGCTTCCCTGCCCCATGGCGGAGTTAAGGAGAGCGGCTTCGGCAGGTTTGGAGGTGCTGGTGGCTTCGACGAATGGCTGAAGCTGAAATCAGTTACTTGGAGAGTTTAGCGACACTTTGTCTCATCTCGATTAAATGACTTGTAAACGTTGCGAATATTACCATGTAGGATTTATTGCAACGAGGTGTTTATGTCAATGAAACCCGAAAGCTTCAGTAATTCTTGGCCGAGTTTTACTATCTGAGTAGTGGTGTTGCCTTTACAATGATGACAAAAAACACAGTAAAGTTATTATATCTTCATAGCCTACTGCTATTGCGAAGTTTAGCATGGGTGCTAATCTTAATAGCATGTGTTGTTATTCTTGTCTATTAGCCTGGAAATAAATCGATTCCCTCCCAGGAGCCAAATGCAAAACCCTCGCGATTAAGGAGTGTCGCTGGGTCATCCCACCCTATGACCGACATGTCGTCAAAAATTCCAGCCTCGCCGCTTCCCGCAGAATTCTGATGTATATCAACGGCGCCTCAAGCGAGAGACCCGCCTCTTGGTTGATGGATCCGATCACGTCGAGCGCATCGAAGTGGAACATCTTCCTCACGAGCCGAGTGGACAGTTCTCGCCTGCGGGTTAGTGTCTGACATCCACGAAGAATGGCTGATGATGTATGCGGAAGTAGGGAATAGGACCGGGAGAGGTTCTCAAGTATGACCCGTGGTCTGGAGCTGTATAACGATACCCGCGTTTGCGTCCCGATTATCCTGGCCATCGGCTTCTTCCCGACCCTAGAACCGACGGCCACCCCACAGGACCTAGATACCTGTCGCAAGGAGGGTTGCGGGGCTTTCGGCAGAGCCGGAACCGCCCGGCCTGCCTGGAGAAGCAGCCGGGGCCTCGCCTGGTCGGTCCTCTGAGCGTTGTATTCCGCAGCGTACCAAATTCTCGCTGCTAGTCTAAAACATAGCGGTAGCCACCCTGCATTTGTACAGTTGACCACCTTCATTGATTGTCTTGCCGCGACAGAGCACTGGCAACCTTGGTCCTCTCCCTAGAATTTCTTCAACCTTGAATACGGAAACTTGTCTCCCTTCACAATGGCACACACTACAGATGCTCTGGTGGTGTTCTCTGTTGGCACAGACGCGAAATTGACTCGGGTAGTTCTCAGCCCCATCCAACCGACCGAGGTTTTGGTTGAAATGCATGCTACCGGCATTTGCAACACAGACCTTGCGTGCATGGCCGGTAAATTGCCAGCTGAATTCCCCAACGTTCTAGGCCATGAAGGTATTTGTTCCCTTCTCTTCAACTTGACAGTAATCTCCCTTCTCCATGCTTACTTTTTTCTTGCTTCTCTCCGTTCTCCAGCATGGATTTTGCTGACGGATAGTAGGTGCTGGCGTGGTCCGCCAAATTGGGGACAGAGTAAACCATGTTCAGGTGGGCAACAAGGTACTACTGAGCTATAACTTCTGCCGAGAGTGTGGCGCATGCAGGTCCAATACTCCTGCGTACTGTGACAAAATGTTCCAGCTCAACTTTGGCGGTCGAAGGCTTGATGGCAGCCGTACCTTGTTCCTTGAAGACGGCACCGATATCTTTTCCAACTTCTTTGGTCAAAGTTCATTCTGCCACCTTGCCGTCGTGAGCCAGTCATCCTTGGTCATTGTGCCCCAGGACACTCCCCTGGAACTATTTGCACCGCTTGGTTGTGGTTTCCAGACTGGCGCCGGGTCTATCATCAATGTTCTCAATGTCCAACCAGGCAGCTCCGTTGCTATTTCAGGTGTGGGGTCAGTTGGGTTGAGTGCCATCATGGCTGCCAAGTTCCGGCAAGCAGCCATCATTATCGCCATCGACATTAACACCCAACGTCTGGAGTTGGCCAAGGCATTAGGAGCTACTCATACCATACTCGGATCTGATCAACATCTTGCTGAGCGTGTGCGGGATATTTGTCAGCCATCTAATGGGGTCCAATCTGCCCTGGATTGCTCAGGGGCAATTACGGTCGTGGGCAAGTTGGTCGACTCGCTCGCAACACGGGGCAGAGCCGTGAGCGTTGGCGCGCCAGCACCAGGAACACGAGTTGGTGTGGATGTGTTCTCTCACTTAAACTACGGTCGGGAGTATAGAGGCTCCCATCAAGGCGACAGCGTTGCAAAAGAAGTGAGTACTTGTCTGCCATCGGCCGGGCTTACTCAAGTCAGATCCAATCAAATAGTACCTTGACTGACAAGAACAGATGGTTCCTTTCCTGATCCAACAACATCGCAAGGGCCTTTATCCTTTGGAGAAGATAGTTACTTCCTACCATGTTGACGACTACACCCAGGCATTTCAAGATATGAAGGATGGAAAGACTATCAAAGCTGTACTGAAGTGGGTTTGATAAGGACTAGCCAAACTTGCATGTAGATGAGTGCACATGATGAGCGCGCTGAATGGAATCTCAAAGGTTTCCGGTCGAGTGGTGTTGGTGATAACACTGCCAAGAACGACGGGCCACAACCTGGTAGATGCCCTTCTCAGATATCCACTTCGACCGCTCCTCGTCCCACCAGCTAGTAGCAAATTTCTTCTCAACATCCAGTCGAACAGTCTGCGTCTCGCCAGGCTGCAAGAATACTTTTCGGAATCCCTTCAACTCACGAACAGGACGATTAACGTCTGTCTGGGGAGCAATGACCCATAGTTGCACGACCTCAGCACCAGCAACGGAAGCAGTGATGGGTTCTCCAGACTCGGCATAATGAGCCGGCTCAGGAACGGTGTCGATGTGGACATCAGACCGATAGAAAGTCGTGTATGACAATCTATGGACGAACGCAAAGCCTAGACGAACGTCGACCTTGTCGAAATACCGATAACCCACGTAAACATCCTCACCGTACAAGACGCGGCCGCGCTCAGACCGGAAGTTAAGGTGCGAGGGGTTATCCTGCAAACGGCAAGGAAAGGAAATAGGTAGCTTGGCCGAAGGGTTAACATAGCCATAAAGCACGTCGGCAGTGCCATTGCCACATTCGTTGCCGCCAAACCAGGCTTGCACCAGAGCTATAGCCTGATCTATCAAGGGCATCGTGACTGGCGTGCTGGTTTGGAGAACGACAACTGATTTCGGGTTGGCTGCCAGGATGCGACTGATCAGCTCATCACTCCCCGGGGGCAAATTCATATCTTCACCATCATGACCCTCTATCTCCCACTCTGTGATGAGCCCTGCAAAAAATAACAACTTGTTCTGCATCAGTGACTTTTTCGACTACCGTCTCAATCAGCTGTTCCTGACTGACATGTCTGCTGGCGCCGAAGCGGAAACCGCCCGCGCCGAACGAGACAATGCTGCGTGTCTCGAGATCTGACGTAGGTGCTGTGCCAAACTCGAACTTGACTTGATACGTCTGGTTCGCTTTGAGCTCTTCGGCCGACCCCTAGCCAAACGACTAGGTCACACCCGGAATAGGACACTCGATAGTCGGAGAGCCTGCTGAATTTAGTTTGAAGACATATGAGTGTCGGATTGATGTCGGATGTCGGGTCAGCATCCTTAGCGTTGTTCTAGCGAGGCAAAACAAAATTGCCAACGCAACGCCAAATGTGTATATGGATACGAATGGACATGTATCCATACCCCGGAATAACGGTCTGCCCTCCACATCCTTCACAGTATGGGTGTGTCTATTACAAGATACGTATTGATGCATGCCTGCAAGTTCCACCCTCCAATAACAACCGCTCGATATGGTACCGGCCGTTTCAGAGACAGCGTGGCTTGGCCGTGGACTAAGCCTAGAAGATGCATTGCTTTCCAGAAATGATACCTTGGATGCTGCTTCTCGAGCGCAATGGCTTCAATAATACGACGCCACTTGACAAGCCAGGTATGTTCGAATTGTATCCCGTGCCGAATCTCAGTATGTAAGATAGCTTCTTAGTTCACAAAAACGACGGAGCTTGGTATCTGTCAAACTCCATTCACTCTCACTTGCACGTCTTCGTTTTGTGCTTTAATTACCCTGCGCTGTCACCGCCGCTGTCGCCCAAGTTGACACGGTCTTCCAGCTCAGGTATCTCACCAAGGGCCGGGCTTCAACTAAAATAAAGAACATATTGTCAACACATTATAGCATCATATCCCAATGCTAACATAGTCTCCTTTTTCTTTTACATCTTTCTGTTACCTGCAGTAGAAGAATTATATCTATCTGCATCGCCCAAGTTACCACGAGAGTTGGGTCAGATGAATTAGCCCAGTATCACTCGAGCACGTGCCAGATGCAATCCTATTAAGAGCATCGAGAGCGGTCACGAAACATAAGCCAGGAATGCCCCAAGACAGGCAGTGATTCCCCTGTTCGTAATAGAGATGCTCAGCAACATTAATGCATTACTGCTCCTTCCCAAGAAGAGGGCAACTAGAGGGGCGAAACTCCCTGACTCCTTCGACGAGTCTGCTGATCTACATCTTGTGGTTAATCCGATGCTGAATTCTTTCACAATGCCACATCCTGATGTTGTATTTAAATGGAAAAATGTTGTGATACATCGCTTCTGTTTTTGAGTGGGCATTGTGTTGACTAGGAACGTAAAATGAGTGGCTTGCTGACCTGTCGGACTTTTCCTGTTTTCCGGAAACTCCGAGTATTGTATAAGCAGCATTCCCGCTATGGACCACTGATATTATGGTCTTGATGTTTGTAAGATGACTCATGTGGTGCCATTTACCAACCATAAGCATCCTTACTTCTTCAATTAACCATGACAATGTGACTCACCTTGCATATCCCACTCAAAACGCCGATAAAGTTATTAAGCGGAGGGAATGTATACACACATACTATGTGCATAGCTGTTAAAGCGATTTGTCATCTAGGATGGTCTATTTGTCAGTATCTACGTGATATTCGCAAGGTGTTGCATGGCGCACACCATCATGATTGCGTGCTATCAGCGTCTAGGTATATAGATGGCTTGCGGCATGCATTGCGAATACCCGACCAACACTACACCAAACAGCATCATCAGCATCATGTCTTCTTCAACCAAAATTCTACTCATCCTCGGCGCCGGCAAAAACATCGGCAATGGCGTTGCCAACAAGTTCAGATCCGCCGGCTATCGAGTCGCCCTTGTATCTCGAAGCGCCGAAGACAGAAAGACAAACCCAGACGGCGACTTGACTCTCAAGGCCGACCTTAGCAACCCCTCTTCAGTTCCAGACATCTTCGGAGCAGTCAAGGAGCTGCTTGGCGGACCTCCAAGCGTTGTGGTTTACAACGCGGCTACTCTCACTCCACCAACAGACCTTCAGAATCCCTTTACTGTCCCACTGGAAAGCTTTGAGAAGGATCTCAGCGTTCTCAACACCAGCGCCTATGTCGCTGCTGGAGAAACTGTTTCTGGTTTCGAAGCCATCTCGGCAGACATCCCCAGGGCTTTCCTCTACACCGGCAACGGCCTCGCTGGTGCCACGGCGCCTGTTCCTCTCCTCGTCGATCTAGGAACTGGCAAGAGTGCTGCGAGCTACTGGATTGGCTCAGCCTCTGGGTTTTACAAGGAGAAGGGTTACAAGTGAGTCTAGCCTACATCCTATGTTCCTTCGGGTGGCTAATTTCTGCAGGTTCTTCTACGCTGATGAACGCGACTCCAAGGGAGCAGGTGTCCCATTGGACAAGCTTTCGGGTGTAGGAGCTGGTGAATTCTACTGGGAGCTCGCGGAGAAGAAGCAGGATATCCCATGGTTTGCAACGTTTGTTGCCGGAAAGGGCTATGTGCACTTTCCCAACTCGAGCAGGACATAGACTCTAGCCTTGGCTTTCCGGTCAGTGAGTCTTTTGCCTTTGTCTTTCTTTCAATAGTTACGAGTGTAATGCCAAGCAGTAAGCCCTTGGAGGCAAAAACAATTATGCAGATCTAGTGCTGCCATCTCCGCAACATCCGTGATAATAACGACGCGTGTCTTTCCAAACTTCAAGAGGCTGTTTCCACGTTATGAATGCGCTGTACCTGCATGCCGAGATATTGTTTTAATTAAGTCATGGTTTCATGTGGTTGAACAAATTGCTGGTTGGTGGAAACTTGTCAATTCAACAAGGACAGTGAAACAGCGGAGTGTGTCATTCCGAAACCATCTAGGAAACTCTCTTCATCTATATTATCGATAACAATATACCATCGGACCATCGGGCCGCATACGAATGCAACTGCCGATTCCCACTTGCCTACCCCGGAGCGCCTAGAAGCCTTCTCCGCGGGTTCCGTAGCCCAACGGGGGATGCAGAGCCATTTTAACTTTTTACCGGCCTGTCAACTCCTGAAAGCTTGCCTATTTTGGTAAACTGACAGGGTTTTGAAACGACGTTGATGAGTTTGTTTGGCTGGGGTTAATTTCCTTCGGTTTTAGCCTCTTGAATGACGGGACGATCCCTATTTCCTTAAGCGTCGGCCGTGTAACCCTAGGATAAGTACATAATCTCACTCCATCTGCCGACCATTTTGCTATCTCGCAAGCATCTCTTGTGCAGTCACTCCTTTGAATTGTTTTTCGAGTCCAAGACTCAAAGTTCCACAGCCCAACATGGCTTCACTTTCGCTTCTTCTCTTTGGCCTGGCCGTCCAACTCGTTGCCGGCCAAACACCAGGCAACACACCTGAGGTGCATCCCAGGCTGGATACCTTCCGATGCACTGTTCTCGGTGGCTGCAAAAAGCAAACAAACTACATCGTCATGGAGTCAAGCCAGCACCCGATCCACCAAGCAACCAACAATCTTAGCTGCGGCAACTGGGGAGAGAAGCCAAACAGCACAGTGTGTCCCGATGCTGCATCCTGCGCCAAGAACTGCATCATTGAGGGAGTCCCTGATTATCAAGTCCAGGGAATTAGCACGTCCGGCACCGAGCTTCGTCTCCAACAGATGCACAACAACCTCACAGTTTCTCCTCGAGTCTACCTTCTTGATGAGAACAAGCAAGAATACGACATCATGTATCTCACCGGCTCTGAGCTGACCTTTGATGTCGAAATGTCAAAGCTGCCGTGTGGCATGAACAGCGCTCTTTACTTTTCCGAGATGCTCAAGGATGGTGGCAAGAGCTTGAGTCCACACAACAAGGCTGGAGCGTATTATGGTACTGGCTACTGTGATGCCCAATGCTTTGTGACCCCATTCATCAACGGAGTGGTGAGTAGAATATTCCCATTATGCGATCATAGCTGACATACAACAAGGGCAACATTGATGGCTACGGCTCATGCTGCAACGAGCTCGACATTTGGGAAGCAAACTCTCGAGCTACTCACATTGCGCCTCACCCATGCAACCAGACTGGTGTCTATGAATGCAGCGGTGCTGAGTGCGGCTCTGAGGGTGTATGCGACAAACCTGGTTGTGGATTTAACCCTAACCGCCACAACAACACTGACTACTATGGACGCGGTGGTTCTTTCAAGGTCGATAGCACCCGAAAGTTCACCGTGGTGACCCAGTTTCTAGCCGATAAGAATGGCCACCTGACAGAGCTGCACCGACACTATGTGCAGGACAACAAGATCATTGAAAGCGCAGTCGTGACTCTTCCTGGAGTCCCCAACGTTAACTTCATAAACGACGAATACTGTGTGGCTACCGGCGCCAACGCATTCACGCGCCTCGGCGGCATGAAAGGCATGGGCGAATCCATGACCCGCGGCATGGTCCTCGTCATGAGTCTCTGGTGGGATGAGGGTGGTTTCATGAACTGGCTTGACCAGGGCGAGGCAGGACCTTGCAATGCCACCGAAGGCAGCCCAGCCAATATTCTCAAGATCCAACCCAACCCGGAGGTGACTTTCAGCAACATCAAGATTGGAGAGATCAACTCGACTTTCTCTGTAGGCTCGGGGTATAGACGGGATGGGTTTGCAAGGGGATTGGAGAGGGGTCATGTGCGACATCACCTTCACCAGCATCAGCGTCGAGGCAGCCTGTAGGCAGTGACCAACCATTGACTGCCTACGCAGTAGCATTCATGGCTTCACATTGTTTCTATTCAGTTGTACATGATTGGAGGATATCTGGATATACACCGACAGCCGGAAGACTGGCCGTGTCAAAACAAGGAAGGCCATTTTATAAGTATTTGTCTCCAATGCTTCCCCAAAGGATGTACATGAGATACTAGCTACTTTGAATTTTACCCTCGGGGTATCTGATTTGGCTCTACCGCATCAAGTTGGGTTACTTACTGGCAACACGTGCATCCCACACACGCAGCAGTCTCACGCTCGCCAAAAAGAGAACGCTCTTCACGACTACATCGTCCGACAGGGCAAAAAACATACAACAGCGGGGATTCGCTGGTCGTCACCGACCCAACTACTAATCCGCCCCTCACTGGCTTGTCTATGGGAGAGCGGACGGGATCCCGAATTTTCCAGTGGGTATGGTCGTATGTGGAAGATGGGGGAGAGGGAACAGCATTTCAGTCCGAGGCATTGAGTTGGCCAAGTTCAGGGTATTCTTGGTGTTTTTCTGATTGCAAACAAAGCCTTTCTATGTGGCGGTTGCCTGGAGATGTGCCTCGACTCGAGACATCTACATGTGCTCGCTGATGGGAAGTACTTGCGCATCACTCATGCCACCAAGACCAGGGCATGTCCACCTTGTAAACGATGATGCCAAGCCTCTCTTCGTGGTGAACAACAGAATAAGGATGAGATCATAGAGAAGTGAGCTCTGATCTACGCTCAACTCCATTTCCAGACGGAGTCTACGAATTCACGTCACATGTAACTAGTTGCTGAAGCATATGTCAGATATTCAGCGTCAAGCTTGAAACCTGGCAAAAATGTGATGTCTCGAATACTCTCATCGTGCGCCTGAGCCTCAAAACTTGCCTTCAGACATCAACCCACTCAAAAAGACAGAAAAACTTCAAAAAGAAGAGATCATGATCACGCTGGGGATCGAACCCAGAATCTTCTGATTCGTAGTCAGACGCCTTGCCATTGGGCCACGCGACCTTGCTTGTGATTCGGCGTCAATATTGCGAACTAATCGTGGGCTGCGGGGGCTCCAGGAGAGCAAGTTGCCGTTGGTGCAGCAGAAGTGTCGAAACCTCAAAATTCTTGACTTGGGTCATATTCTCCCTACGATAGATGCCATGACTGAACAAGAAGGAGAGATGAATTAAGGTCTAAGAGAATTGGTACTTATGGAAGGAAGTAAAATATTCTAGGGCGAAGGCAAGTAAATATAACTAAAACAATGAAGTATAATATACTGGAAAAGAAGCCAGAGGCTTGAAGAGCCCAATGGAATAGAAGACAATCTTATGATACCCGTCACAGCTACCATGTAGAACGGTACGGGAGCCTTATCCATCCTAGATCCAGATTTGGGTCTTCTCGGCTACAAAAGCCTGGGCTTCTCGAGAGGCCATGTTGGCAATGGTCAGAAGAGTCGAAGTATAAGAAGTAGGCAGCGAGATCGAGGGTTTGGTAGGGTAACACTTTGAGGCATGAGCAAGACCAGCAACCAACAAGGTCAAGGTGCTCGTGATAAGCTTGTACGAAACCATTGTGGCGGGTGGTAGATAGACGAGTGAAGGGGTTGAGGGGGAAGATGATGAACAGCTTGTTTGCAATGAGATGACTAGGCTCACCCTTAAATACTCATTCAATAGTGTCCTGTTTTCTGATCGTTGGTGGCGGTCTCTTCGGATCCAGTTGCATGAGCCAATCTCCCTACGATAGGAACAGCCGAGGTGCATGGGGCTGTGTGAAGATGCCGCCTTTGCTGCGAGATACCCGAGAGCCGGGGGTGACACGGTTGATCGATCAAACACGCAAGTGTATTGCTAAAATCACTGACTCACTGCAAGTCTCTCAAGGTTCCGTGATCTTCATGCTGCGGGACGGGAAACAAGTCGAGGACCTGCATTGTACCAGCGGGAGACGGCTTGGCATGAGAGCCTGTTCCAAGACGTGGGCATGATCTCGTTTCTTTCCCTACCATATTCACTGATAGAGCTGCTTAGTCGCTATATAGGTGGGAACCTGCCATTACGTCTACTTCCGTCGAGATCTTTACCACTCCTTCTTCTTCCATAATACATTCGATAGTAAAAGCCTAGGCTGGGCTGATCTCTTGGGGATAGCCTAAAAGCGTCAAAAGAAGAAACAATGGCAATCACAAATGTTTGCCGCACGCCACCTTTCAATATTTAAAGCAAGTGTCTCAAACATGCGATAATGAGGAGCTCACAGCTCTGTTGCCCGAGCCAAACGTTTTCGTCGTTTTCCGCCTCCTTTGATGTGACTCCACTTCATAGGTCGGAGTGATTACCATCCACTGAGTCGGTTTCCGCTGACAATATGATCAACTCAAACACTTTTCTTCTCGTAGTGGCAAGAAAGACAACCCCATAAGTCATTGACGGCATAATACTCGAAATCATCTTTTATCTCTGTGACAAGACAGGTGGCAGAGTGAGAAGGTCTGCATTGCTTGTTCCGCTCATCGATGCTGAGCAACCTCGGTAGTTGCAAGACTCAAGAGCAGGATCTGAAGCCATGGACGCGGCATAGACAAACAATGATCGGCATGATCGGAACATGACGTGGCAACAAAGATATCATGACGTCTTGCTGGTGTTCCGGATCATGGAGTGTCTCGGCAAACATCCATGCTAACACTACTATTTTCTTTGTCACACAGCCAAGTGTCTCGGGGCCGATTGAAAAATCCCGAGATCGGCTTGGAATTTCTGATGACAGTGTCGAGTGGCCCTCTCTATCTACCGAATAGTCGTCGTGCCAGAAAAGACGTGGCTGACTTGGGAGTCAGGCTGTTCCAAATGAGTTGTCTGGCTTCATAGGAACATTGAACGATGAGGCTTTCGATTGACTTCCTGATTTCGCATATTCGAGAATGTAGTAACTGGATGGCTCAAATAATCTTTCGATTGAGTAGTCAACGCTATTGGTGACGGGAGAGGACGGCTCTGATGCTTCTTGTGTGGCCTGGATGCTCGATCCTCATCCAACAAGCTGCACTAATCACAGCCACTGCCAGGCATTTCCCCCCCTCCTTTCTATCTCACCTGGGCCCAATAGATGTGCAGAGCGAGACTTTGCGGGTAGAGAGAAGTCTCCTAAAAGTCCAAAGAAATCGCCCTGAAGAATCCAAATGATGATCGAACGCCTTGCGTGCTGAAAATCCATCCCTGAATCTACCCAACCGTAAAGCCCAGCGTCCTCGACAAGCTGTATAACAACACTGGTCTATACGTAAGCGGCACATATGCCACTTATGCATGAACAGATGGCGCCTCTGACACAGATGGGTTTATTTTGACACTCGGCATCGGTGGAGCACGAGTTAGGGTTAAGAGGGATAATCGAGGTGGTGGTGGATGCAGCAGATGTCGTAGATGCCTCGCTGCTTGCCGAAGAAGTAGTTGTAATGGTGATCAAAGTCGAGGAATCGGAGGTAACCAGCGAGGTGGTGGATTCTGTGATTGCGGCTGAAGAGCTCGAGTCGGATGGACGACAATTCGTCGCGTGGGCGATGCCGATGGCCAGGAAGGTCAAGGCGCTTGTGAAGAGCTTAGAGGCAACCATTGTAACGGTGGGGGATGCGAGAGTGGCAGATCGTGTGGAGCAAAGAGAAGTCGAACAAGATCTGAGAAGCGGCTGAGCTCTCTTTTTCAACACTTCTTGCGCGCTCTCCCTATCGGCTGGAACTGTTAGCTTCGTGAGCTAGCAGGGGATACTGAGCTGAACCAACAGGTGTGTCTGGGGCATGGGAGCGCTAGAGACTTGGTTGTGGATAGGGGCGGCAAGACGCCGAGCGCCGGACTGACTGCCAGCTCGACGCCATCTCACGGGGCCTTTCACAAAGGCTTCACGCTTTGGATGTCAAGATGAAACTAGGAGAAATTCTAGCAAACGGACTGCATGACAGCGCGGCGTGGCGTGAGCGCCTATGATGAGCTTAATTCCTACTTTATTTATCTCCATACCTATCTGGATGTACACTCGATGAGATAGGCCATTTCTGCTGCTATGATTGCATCAACTTCCAAGCAACTTTCCCCTTTCCCATGCTCTGCCCACCGCTCTGCCTTTGCAAATCATCACCGAGGTCCTTATTGGTGCCCTATGACAACTCAGGATCACAGAAACTTACGAGAAATTGTAATTTCCACAACCGTTAGTGGCGCGCCACAATCAATAGTTTCGTTTTCTGCGCCTCCACCCGAAACCGAGTTCCTGAGCCAAGCATTTCATCAACACTTTTTAACCATCAGTTTGACTCTACCTCCAAAATATTTGAATCGGCATTGCTCTGTGTGGTTCAGCGGTCAAGCAGATACCATAATGTTGTGGGCTTGATTTCTACCAGGATGGTTGTGGTGTGAGTCACCGGCGAGCCCAGGGGCAACATCGTTGGCTCATTTTGCTGTGTGTTCCAGGCAGCGAGCCAGACAAATACCCGGATAGGCAGTAGTTTTCCTTCATGGTGTATCAATGGGCGTTTGCTGCCTGCAGCTTATACTTGCGACTCATGTGTCTATTTTCTCCTCAACTCCAGCAAATTATAATTCGGCCAATATTCAACTCCAAAGGGAACTTCTGCAGTCTTCCCCTGTTCCATTAGAGAACCCGTCGCTTTCTGTCCCTCTCGTTGCTGACAGTTCGACGCAACCATGGAAACTCTCGACTTCAAGTCCCAAGAAAGGGAACATCTCATATACTCTATTGATCAAATCCTTTGCCTCAAAATCACCCTCGACGATTCTTCCTCTCATCACCAAACAGAGGTTCTAGTGAGGGTTGAGAAATTTGAACCAGAATGGACATTCTCCTGTGGTATGCTGGTGGAAATTCTTCCCGACTCAGCACGGCAACTAGGCCTAGACGAAGGAACACAGGCATTTCTCAAGCTCTTTGATCGAAGATTTGCACGCTCCCTCCGCAAGTGGGAAAGGGTCGGTCCATGGACAGCTAATATCGAGGATGAATTTCTGCACAAGCTCAAATCAGGAGATCTTCAGGATTTTCTTGGTAGGCTTCACGCCGAGGAAGACTCCGAAGAAGATGACGACGAGGACGACTGGGATGCATCTGAGAACGAGGCTTGGCTTGCCGATATGATGCTCAACTACTTTCGGGCTGAAGTTGCAACATATTCTGCTCTGCAAAAGCACCAGGGAGACTTGATTCCACGTCTTTTTGCCCAAGTTACTCTCCAAGTGGTCCAACCGAGCACCTCTCTCGACGAGCAGCAGCAGGATACATGTCTAGTGAAGGGCATCTTGATCGAATATCTGAAAGGCTTCACCCTATCTTCCCTCAAATCATCTGCTCCACGTTCCTCATGGCAGAACATTGTAGATCAAGGAATTCGAATAACTCATGTCCTTGGCGACAACAATATTCTCAACTCCGACGTTCGGCCCGACAATATGATGGTCGTTCGTCAAGGCAAGGAGGAGTACCGAGTCTGCATGATCGATTTCGGCCACTGCAGGATGCGCCGAGAAGACGAGTCTGATCATGATTGGGGGCGAGCAAAGTGGTGTCAGGACGAGGAGGGTGCCATTGGGGTGGTTATGAGGGGGGCTCTAGCCAAAGTTGGATTTCAGCTTCACTACGAAAACTCGGGGAGATATCTAGAATGGGCACCCGGTGAGGATGATCAGTAGACAAAGTGATGAATCCGAACAAACTGGCAAGTTTGCCAAAAAGATAGCCATTGTTTTCCTCATAATATTCCTGCTTGGTAACCTCGTATATCCCAAAAAACGTAAGTTGCGGAATAACGCAGATGAAGAATGAAAAAGTGAGAAAGAAAACAGGGAATCATAGATACAAGCATTGTCAAATACGCCAAGAGTTATAGGTTCCGTCCTAATATATTTAACTCATCTTTCCACTCATACTTCAGCACGCAAAACATTCATGTATCTTTCCTGCGTGGATAGAACTAGTCACTGAATGTCGACAAGTAATGACCAGCATGACTCGCCTCGCCATAGTCATCCTAAAGATGCTTTCCGCTCAATAATTGTCTTTCAGAAGAAGGAGGCTGGAGAAGACTTACCTCATAAAGACACACGTCTCCGGACTCCATCACTTTGCAGGTTTACTGCTCTCGCCAGGCCGATCTCCATTGATCTGACCATAATTCGGCGCAACGTATCCAGCCAGCGCGCAGATGCAGTGCGTACCAGGCTGAGGCTTGCAAGAAATAATCTGACGCGGAGATGTGAGGGAGCTGTTCCTCTTTGCCATGATGAGCTTGCCGTTGGAGAGCTACGGCTTTGTGAGCGAATAGACAAAGATTGTGTGTGTCGTTGCCGTTGAACTCGAGATGAGAGGCTAAACCCTCACGTCAGCAGAGGTCCTCCTCTTCTTTATACCTCTCAACATTTACGTGCCTAAACAAGCAGGCTTCATGCCCGGAGCCTGGTCTCAAGTTACCCAAGCACACGAGCAGGGCGAACCAACTCTGCGGGGAAGCGTGGGCTTACAGGCAAACGCGCATGTTGTACATTAACAAAAGGCATGCCTTGCAGCTGTTTGTGGCGGCCCAATGTCTCGGCGCCTCACTTTAGGCATCAGCTGTTTGTGTATTTTGGTTTGGACCAATGAAGCTGGATCGCCATACGAGTGAGACGACACCGGCGAGTTCGGTGTATGCAAGGTCATCCATATGACGCAACTATCATGTTAGTTTTGTACTTTGGTGTCTTCAAGTCCTGATCTTTGTCCAAAGAGGGACCTTGGGATGGTCAAGGACTTATCAGAGGAGCAAACCTATGTGCCACCCACTTTGACTATCTGTCACCCAAAGTGCAAGAGAGCAAGCCAAATTACATAAACAACTTTGCAGCTTGAGTAATTATTCATCAAGACAATATCTTTTCCGAATAAGCGTGCGGATTAAGAACATCTAAACGACTAGGTTCTTGGGCTCCCTCCACCACTAGGATCTCCTCCATCACTCAAGTACCACTCTGAGGACTACGCCACTCAACACCGTCCAGAGTCGTGATAAGAGTACCAGTCGAAGTCAAATCATTGATCATGACATCAATGTTGGCATGAAATCCTCCCGGGCTCGTCTTCTTGGTTCCTTTGACAGCTCCCGTCTGACGAATATCCGAATACCAGTCAAAGGAAAAGTCAGTCAGATTCTCAACAGACCCCGTCACAGTCTCGTTCCCATTGAGGAAGCTCTTGCCGTCGAGCGAGTAGTTATTGTACACGACGCTGACGGTTCCGATCTCGGGTGCTTGGCCCCAGGTGATGTTGACCTTGGCCTCGCCGGAAGCCTTGCCGTAGAGCGTATAGATACCACCCGCCAAGCCCGGCGTAGGAGCAACCTGAGATCCAGGTACATAAGGTACACCCCAAGGGATGTTGTCGGAGTGCTCCTTCACCGGGGCAGGAGGGCTTGGGCTGCGGCTAGTAAAGGTCGCGATGTACATGCGATAGTTACGACCACCTTGCTCTTTTGAAGGATAGCAAGTGAGAGGGTTGGCACCGCCACAGGAAGGGGAGACGGTATGAGTCTGCCAAAAGACAAGTTGCCTGCTATCAGGAGACCATCGTGGATCAGCCATGCCGTTCCACTCAGGGTCATTGATGGCACCACTTCCAGGAACGCCATTGTTATCCCCGTTGATCTTTTGACCATAGTAGTTACCACGGTCACCGTAAAAGTCGAGGAGATACGGCTGAAAGAATCGACGAAGACCGTTATTGCGAGACGACGCTGGAAGAATACCACCAACAATATCAACCAAAGGCGGAATTCCTCGCATGCCTGCAATAAACATGTTGCGACCACTTCCCCGAGTATCCATGACAGCCACCCACTTGTTATCAGGGGAGAAGGCCAGAGGGTCAGGATACTCAGGGTGGTTGGTAAGGCGGCGGACAACTCCGGTCTGAAGATGAACAGCAAAGACATCGTTGTTGCAGCTTTCAATGTTGCTTCCGACATAGGTAAGCTCTGTTCCGTCGCCATTAAAGCCGCGAGCCTCGCCAACAGTAATGGCCTGAGGATTCAAAGAAAGAACCTTGCCCTTGGCGGTGATGGGGGCAATTCCTTCGGGATTGTGCAGAATGGTAACATTTTCCAGGTCATACCGCGGCGAAAGGGGAGTTCCAGTCTTGGGTGAGGGGTTAAAGACGAGTCGAGAAAAGTAGGCATACTGTCCAATGCTGCCACCGGCAAAGGTGAAGGAGCTGAACTCGAGATGGACATTATCCGGGTGCAGTCGCAGCTCACGAATCTCACCACTCGGGCCGGAACCATCGGCAGCAACATTCCAACGGAGAGGGTAGATGTGGGTGTTTTCCGGTTTGCAGCTCTCGCTAGTCAACTGGTTGGTGCCACAGTCGAGGATGTTGTGTCCGATGAGAAGACGTTTGCCATCCTTAAAGGCCTGAGGATAGTCGTACTTGACGCTGATTCCAACGGCGTTCTTTTCAGGAATACCACAAGTGATGCACTTCCAGGGGTCCCCGTTAGTAAACGTCTTGCCATCTGTCTTGACGATGATGACCTGCGGGCCAGAGTAGATGCTTCCAGCAGCCGGGGCAGCAGGCGCACCAGTAAAGGTGACCATGGCGATAACATGCTTTCCATCAGGCAAAAAGTCTCCAGACTGGAACGTTTCAAAGACACCATTTGCGATGCATCCCGTTCCGCGAGAGTTGATCTGCTTCGTACAAGCACCGACGTCGTCGCTGGGTGAAATGGGAGGAAGGGGAAGTTGCTTGAGGGTGATGGGCTCAGGAGAAGGAGGCTTTGGAACAGAAGTAGGAGGAGTAGCGACGGCGGCAGCATGAACAGTCTGGGCTACGCTACCGCAGAGAATAGCGTAGGTGGTTGTTTTGCTGAAGAAGTGCATCTTGACGAGAGAGTTCCCTAGACAGAGGGCCTGTAGAACTTGGGAAAGGCCTGTCGAGTGTCTATTCCATAAACTTACATGATTCTTACCTCTTTTATATACATTTTATTCTCAGTGTCTGTCGTTGGTGTAGTTCATCCTGTCTTAAAACCATGTGATGCTATACTCGCATCCCTCGCTCCTTTCCGAGAGCGCGTACCCCAAGACGTCGGGATTCGGAAAACCCCTGCTAGAGTGACGCTATATACCCATCAACTCCGCCATGTCACGCCCGGCCTAAATTACCTGGCATTAGCCCCCGCTTAATGGTTTACTCGCAGCTGAGGATTTGTGCCTGACCATCTCGTCTATGTGCCAAGCCTCTGGTTTCCAGGCGGGCTGCCATGCAGTTCTCCTGCGGAATGCGATACTTGAGAACGTACAGACCAGCCAGAAGGACAGTTTTTGACAGCTATTCGTTTCTAGACAGACGTCATCTATACTAGTAAGTGAGAATCAGAGGTTCTGGATAGACTACCGAATGAACTATTAGAGATGCCATCACAGAGAGGCAGAAGACGCCGCTGATGACAATTCAGCAAGCTGACAAAGATGAAATACATAACAGAGGGGGAAATGGTACGTGACTGAACATGCTCGGCTCCCTTTGCACCGAATGGGCCACTGTTCATGACTCCCCTCAGCATCCCGCCGGACGAGCTTCCTTGCATCTGCCATGAGCTCACGTCGTAGGTCAAAGTTCGCTAAACTTGCCATATATGCCATATACCTTGTATGACCATGCAAACTTCTACCGCCTCTTCGGTTAGCCTATTTAGCCGACAACTCTATCCCTTCTTCGGTGCAGATGACCCGAGGAATCGTGGGGTACGTTGTCTGTCTTGGTCTTCTCCGCATTCAAGCTGCTCGCTAGAGCGTCGGAATACGAGTCGGAAAACCCTTGCTCGAACAGTCCCCGGCCATGCTTCAAGGTAGTATTGTCGTCCCATCTGCTCACGAGATCAAATTCACCTTCATCGTGAGGGTTACTTCGCGGATCAACCCCATGGGGCTTTCCCCGGTCATCCCCACGGGGTGTAGATCCAAACTTGTCTTGGTGGTGAAAGCCACTCCAAGGAACTGGTCGAGAACTGTGGTATCCTACACAACAGAACTCTTTCGCTCGCCAACTCGGCATATCGATTAGCGAGAACCTGTAGCGAGAGGAGTGAATTCGACAACTCCAATGATTGTTGTTGGATTAGGCTACATCAGCTGACTTTTCACATGACCCTTTGCATCCATCCATTTCACTGCAACTTTAACCCGCCCCGAGCGAACTGCTCAGCAGTACTCCTCCATTGACAGTCAACATCAGGAACTATTTTCCAAGCCTTGATTTTCCAGTTTTGAAACGCCATAACGTGAATCTCCGGAACTCGAGGGATGAAGAGACACTTCCGATCTTGCTTTCGCTAAGGCAGCCTTGAGATATTTGAACAGTTTGAGCACGCAAGCATTGATCAATGAACCCATGGCGGAATATTGGAATCTTAAATTTTTGCTGGTAAACCTGTGTTGAAAAAGACTTACTCAATCCTAGTAGAAAAAGTAAGACGAAGTAGACAAGGCTCAGGCTCTCAGTACAGATCTTCCAGATAACTTCAACAAACAACTCTGTCCTGGCGCCCTACATCATGTCCAAACAGCTATTCATTTTCTCCTTCTTGACGTAGGTGTATTAAAAAGACTAACCTATCGTTCTTTAAACCTTATGACGCCATGATTGACATATCCTGTCCTATCGCAGCTCTATTCCCACAAGCTCCCTCTCACCCAGCCCAACCTCATGCGCAATCTCCTTCTCAAGCGTAGAAAACGAACACCGCCCGACATTAAGATATGAATCATCCACCTTGCGAATCAGCAAAAACTCCACGACACCCTTGAGGAGAACGACGTGGTCACCTTTCGCCGCGCTCCAAGGTACAAACATGAACCCCCCATCTGGTGCTCGAGCTAATCTTGACCTTCCTCGGTACAGCTTTTCCGCGTCCTTCTCTGCTTGGGCTATTTCTAATTCAAACTGTGTTTGATCTGAGATTCTTGTCAGGAACTCTAATATGGATGAGCGATACAGCATATATTGTTCTTCCGGGTTGAGTTGGTCTCTCAGCCCGTCGCCAAATACCCGCCTCGGGGGTTCATCCAAAACCCTACACCTCCATGGTTCTCCAAGTCCTATATTAAAGAGAAACTCCTCTCCAAACGCATACATGTATTTTGACTCGGAGGGACTATCGTCTGTATCATTTGTCGATTGTCCGTTGACGAGGAGGTATTGAATTACTCTGATGATTCTCAAGATCTCTGGCATCTCCCAAACATATTCTTCTTGACACTCGCCCCCCAAAGCCTTGGTTAGAGTCACCAGAGGATGACTATGGCGGGTGTCATAAGGCGGCGAGTTGAGCATCTCGAATAAAAACATGACAAAGGATAACCAAGTGTCATTGTTGAAAGATATGACTGGGCCCAGATCCAGGACAGTCGAAACGAAGACGGCGCGAACAAATAAGCTCCGCTCTCGTATAAAGACATCGGGCGATGGACCGCTGTCCATCCACGGGCTTATATCTGAGGGTATTTCCCACAATCGTTCGAAAGGACGAGGAGGGTTGGCATCACTTCCAGACGACATACGTCGCTGAAGGTTGGGAACCCAGGAAGCAAATTCGTATGATTGCTCAAGCTCGTCTTGCATAGCAAGCCCCGCATGATAAAGAAAAAAGAGAAACTCGAAGGAGAAGTCGGATGGGAGGTCGATAAGCTCGGCGCAGAGATCGATGTAAACCGACTCGAGAGATTTCTCTGGCCTATAGTCTGGCTTGAGCTTAAGGTCGGCAATCCCAAGGAGGGCATAAACATGATCTTTTGGGTCTCTTGCTTCCAGAGTCCCACCAGTAGACACAATGGCCCTGCGTGACATTTGATGTTGTTTTCTCAGGTTTGCATCTTCCGACGCCTTCTCTGCCCCGACAAGAGTTCTCGCCCAATTGATAGACAAAAAGATGGCCGCATCGAATTCATCTATTGCGTCACGAACAGATTGGTCGGTTCCCTCTGGCGTAATCTGTCCTTGAGCAGCGGAAAGCCAAGAATGCGCATGCAAAAGCCTGCTCAGTTCCATCAGCAAGGTTCGATAGATAAAGACGGGTCGACGAGCCAACACCACTTCTTGGAATATCCATGCTCGCTTCCAATACGTCAGGCAGCAAAATGCATCGATTGCAGAGCCAACTGTTACTCCAAGATGGTGAGACAGGTGGCAAGAGAAGGCGAGATATTCCGTCACCCGACGCATCTTGGCTATTTTTGGTTCTTCGTTGGGTGCTGAGACAAAGCCGTCTTCATCTGCGCCTGTTGCAATAGATCCAAGCGCATAAAAGGCGCATTGCATCTCTTTCTCTGGTGCCTTGAAATCAAGAGCGCAAAAGACGACTTCGGCCATGGAGTAAACTTCTTTCATGAGCTGTACCTGTTCGCCCTTCTCTTGGCTGTCAGCCTGGTTGATGCAGATAGCGTCAGCCCACAGCCGACAAGAACTGACGTCACGGTCCCGAAAGATGGCCCTCCAATGAAAGACGGCATATTCTAGGGCATTGCCAAGGCTTGAGGTGATGCTGCGGTAAGAATCATTGACCGTAATGTCTTGGGTGTCGCTTTCGTCTCCCCAGACGTAGGAAAGGGCGCAGAATGAGGGGTTATCCAGGAGAGATACGGTGTGGAACTTGCAGATGATCTTTGGTGTGATGGAGATAATCTCTAGTAGCCTGATCTGTTTCCGGGATGTGTCAAGAGGCAGATAATGTGTCTCCAACTCAGAGGTAGACATAATGAGTCCGTTGAGGAGATGGTGAAGATTGGAGCGACAAGGTTGCTTCGAGGATGGTGATTACAACGTCATAAGGCCGATGTCACCTGTGCACTGGCCTGGCCGTACTGAATCCATGTGTGCAGAAGCCAGGCCTAGGGAGGTCTCATGTCAAGTTGAGAAAGATACTCACTTTTGATCTTGAGAATATTTCTACCAGTTGATTGACTTAGCTTCCTTTTCGACAAGTAGTTTGACAACCAGGATCATCGTCTTCGGTAATCATACTCCGAAATGTGAGCTATTCTCGTGCTTCACGTCGACTCCACAGCGGAAAACACATCGTAATCCGCAACTCTCACCCGTCTTCACCATCTCTTCTTTCTCAAGTACCGTCTTTCTCATTTGTATCCTTATAAAACACTTCAATCAAATCGGCAGGATATTTTCTACCCAAAATCGCTTATCTCGGTATCCCACAATGTCTTTGGCCCCCAAGTCCGAGAGGAAACCCCGCGTTGTGTGCCTCGGAAAACCCAAGTTTATCGGGGATGACTACCTCAAAGAGTTTCAAAAGGACTTCGACTACGATGTAAGTTAACAACCTCAATAGTTCTTTCGGGGGTTCTTATTGGAACTGAAAACGACTAACCACCCCCAGGTCCTCGACGTTACCAACCACCAGCAAGCCATGGAACAGCTCCCTCTCATGATCGCAGAGCATGGCCCAATCGATGCCTTTGTCATTCGTATGGGAAGACCTCCCTTCCGTCCCTTCAACGAGAAACTCTTCGGGCCGCTCACTCCACACTGTCGCATCATCGCCTCTGCCTCTGCCGGCTACGACGACTTTGACCTTGACTGGTTGACTCAGAACAACATCTACCTCTCCAACACCATCGATGCTGTGGCGGAGGCCACCGCCGACATGTCCTTTTTCTTGACTCTGGCCGTCATCAGAGACGCTTACCGCGGTGAGCGAGATGCTCGCAATGGTACTTGGAACCGTATTGTAGTCCCGAGCAGAGATCCGACGGGTATGACGCTTGGTATCATCGGAATGGGCACAATCGGCAAGTATGTCGCAAAGCGGGCAGCCGTCTTCAACATGAAGATCAAGTACTACAACCGACGGCAACTGAGCCCAGAAGACGAAGCCAAGTACAGTGCCTCTTACTGCTCGTCTTTAAACGAGTTGCTGGCTGAATCAGACGTTGTATCAGTCAACTGCCCGCTCAACAAAGAGACAACAAACTTGATCTCGGCAAAGGAGTTTGCCATGATGAAGGACGGGGCCTTCATCGTCAACACAGCCCGCGGCCCAATTATCAACGAGGACGCTCTTATCGAGGCTCTAGAAAGTGGGAAAATCACACGAGCTGGCCTGGACGTGTTTTTGGGCGAGCCAAACATCAATGACTACTTTAGAAAGAGCGACAAGGTGGTGATTCAGCCGCATATTGCTGGTCTGACGGATCTGTCGTTCCAGAAGGGTGAAAGGGAGGCGTTTGATAACATCAAGGCATTGTTCAAGACTGGGAAGCCGCTCTCACCAGTCAACGAGATCAAGTCTACGCAAGGAACATGATCTACAACTAGATTATTCAAAAAGATTGGTTTGGTCTACATGATTGCAATCTAGATCTAGAAGTAACTGGATGCCCAATCGTGCTTCTCCAACATCCCAGTGCCGATCAACTGCGGGATCGGAGGTGTTGTCCGGCGCAAGCCGAGCCTGATATTACGTGCTCTCTCAACGGAGTGGCTTATCCGCTATCGAATCGGAAACTCACATATATGCCGCAACGCCTCAATAGACTATCTATCAAACTTTCCTATATCCGTCACGGAAACTCTACATCCTCAACTCAACCCGGCAACTCTTATCAACATGTCAACCCCTCCCGCCAAGGCCGACGCCATCATCATTGTCGGTGCCGGTATCTTTGGGCTCAGCACGGCAATCCATCTCGCTCGCCGAGGGTACACAAATGTCACTGTTTTTGACAAACAGCCGTACGAAAAGACTCTCTATTCCTATACCGAAGGCTGCGATGCTGCGTCTGCCGGTTCGTCCTGGATCATTCACGTCAACATTTCCGGAACTGACGATGCATAGACATCAACAAGATCATCCGCTCCGCATATGGCGCTCAAACCGAGTACCAAGGCCTCAGCGCCGAAGCTCTCAAGGCTTGGGATTCCTGGAACGCAGAGCTTAAAGCTGGCGGCTCGTCAGTGCCTCCAGGCATGACGTCTAACGACGTCGTTTGGATCAACAATGGCTTCCTCTCGCTATCTAACTCTACAACCCTCCCAGACTTTGAAAGAGCCACCGTGGACAACATGGAAGCTGCCGGCCAGAAAGGAACACAGCTCATCAACAATGACGAGAATCATCTTCGGCTCGCGGCTGAGAAAGGCAGAACGTCGGCAATGCAACCCTTCAGCAAGAAGGCACTTGGTGTGCTTGACACAACAGGCGGTATTGCAGTGGCCGATAAGGCCTGTCTATTTGCTCTACACAAAGCCAAGTCTCTCGGCGTGCGCTTTATTCTCGACCCAGCTGCCGGTCGCTTGATATCCACCATCCAAGATGCCAATGGCAAAGTGACTGGTATCCGTACAGGAGACGGTAAATCCCACTCATCAATCATCACAATCATCGCAGCTGGCGGCTGGACACCAACCCTCGTGCCATCCCTCGACAACCTCGCCGAAACAACCGCAGGCTCCGTCATAATCCTCAAGATCCCCGAGTCCTCACCTCTCCGTGAACGATTCTCACCTTCGCGCTTCCCATCGTTTTCGTTCAACATGCGAGAAGGTGCCGAAGGCGGAATCTACGGGTTCCCTGTGGATGAGCATGGTCACCTCAAGATCGGCTATCGCGGCACCAAGTACACAAACCCAAAAGTACAAGCAGATGGCCGAGAGCGCAGTGAGCCTGTCACAAGATGGACCGAGAAAGAACAAATCACCAAGATCCCAGAACAGGCCCTGCGTGTCTTGCGCAAGTTCCTGGCCGAGTACCTCCCCGAGCTGGAAGCTGAAGGCATCGATATCTGGCTGACAAGACTGTGCTGGTACAATGACTCCTTCGACAACCACTATGTGATCGACCGCGTGCCTGGCCAAGAGAGTCTAGTAGTTGCAACTGCTGGAAGTGGGCACGCCTTTAAATACCTGCCAAACATCGGAAACTGGGTTGTCGACATCATAGAGGGTGTGGGTTTAGATCGGCCTGCTGTGAAGGCGTGGCGATGGAGGGAGAAGCAACCTGGACAGGAAGTCGTGAATAGCCTCATGGAGGGTTCAAAAGGAGAGAGGGCTCTAGGAAATATTCCTCTCGTCTCAGCTGATGTATCGAGTTCTCAGTCATGAGAGAAGGCAGTAGATGTTTGTCCTATGAATGGGTTTATTCTTGACAAATTCCTATTTAGTGTATCTCTCCATTCTTTTATATAACTACAGTTTAAGAATAAGAAAATGGAGTTCCAGGATCAAGCTAGCATGTATGAAGTCGCATTTTTTGTTATTTCTTTAACCCTCAACATAGGAAAAGCGTACATACGTACTCGACAGGTTTCTGCTCGCTCAAAGCAGCAGTGGGCTAGATAACACAGAAAGCCCCTACCAAAGCCAACTAAAATACTATCTCTATTTACAAACCTTTTAAATCCCCTCCCTCTTTTATAAACTCATCATACATAGCAACTCCACCTCGTTATCCACATCTTCCAGCACTTTACCTTGCTTGGAAAAACATCAAAGCCTCATACACCATAATACCCCCTGTAGACGAGATACAAAAGAGTACAAAAGCGGAAACGCCATACACGCGAGGCAAGGCTATTATCCCAAACCCAAAAAAAGAGACAACCAAAGATGACGCACCAAGAAGGCAAAAGCCAAAGGTCAGCCCATGACAGACTGCCCCATGGCTGAGCCACTTTCTCCCTCCCACAAACTCCTCACCAGCAACATTGACAAGAATTATCGAGAATATCGCTGCTGGCTGTCCAAAAAGTGTCCAGACCCATAACATAAACAGCAAGTTGAGGGGGGTGCCGCCGGTGAAATACGTTAAAATGGGGGTCACCAGGAAGATCCCAACTAAGGATATCTGCAGACAGGACCAAAAGCATATCGGGGGAGCCCAGTTGGTTTCATAGTAGTTCCGCTCCAACCACTCCACGGCTTGATTATTTGTGTCGGTTTCGAATTGCATCCCAACTTGCGCCGTTGTGTCTCTTGCTCCGGGTCCAAGGAGAGATGTCTCACTTTCACCTCCAAGAGCAGGCCGTCCCTCAAACCCACTCCCTGAAATGCTCCTGGTGTGAGTTAAAGACTGGCGGTCTAGTCCTGCACTTCTGTCCACTTCAACGGAGGTGGGAGGATCCGAGGGGTAGTCGGTATGTTCGGAGTCGCCAAAAAAGGCCCCGACCGCCGTTATGGCCGGTCCAAGGAGCATCAAGACGGGGAGAGTCTGGCCAAATGTCCATGTGATGCTCTCGTCTGACGGTTGTTCCCTGTATTTTGAGGCGGTTGTTCTCAGCCCATCAAGGTGGAGCGTAGCCCATAAGCTCGAAATGAGTAACCAATAAACCTACCGAGTGATCGTGTTAGCCGATAACTACTTGTAGCGCTCCCTAGACTCCTCAGACTAGCGTTAGAAAACAATACTTACCTCGGATGATGTGGATACAAAGATATCAACATAGAGGCGCAGGACCAGGAACGCTGCTAGACAAGGTTTGACCACCATCAGATCCCACTGCCTCTGATTTAATGCCCATGAGAACGGCCGTCGACTCTGTCTGAGTCTGCGGAGACCACGTTTCGCCAGCTGGCTCACCCTTTTTCGCACGCGGCGATCGATGGCTCCAGAGACAGAACTAAATATACGTAAAGTCCTGATGAAAAAGTTGAACACCAACAGTATCATGCTCACAATCATGGACTGGAAGCCTTTCGTCTCAGAGAATAACCATCCGTAGTATCCCCGCTCTCGAAATGCTTCCAAAGCCTGACGAGGGGAGAAGAAACACCAGGCAGAAGATGCTGGTTCGGCGACTGCATTATCCATTGGATCTTCGGTCCAGTCGAAAAAGGCCGTTGGACCCAGAGCGATCATTAGAATTACAATGAAGATAAACATGAGAGCGAGTCGCCATCCTCGCTCCCACTGACGAGTGTGAAAGTAGCCTCGGAGAGCTGTCAGGCCGGATAGATGTGTAACATTAGAGAGCCATGAGAGGTAGACAATCATGGACCAATGGTAGGTGGACAGGTCCTTGCTGAGAGATAGAAAGCCGCTGATGAGGATCCCGAGCCCGGCAATCAGCTGAAGGTCGACAAAGTTCAAGATGCACTGCGTAAAGGAAGAAGATCCGGTTAGATCAGGGAGAGAAGGACTGCAGAAATGCGCATGCAATCTTACCCCTGTCATACTCCGTTGAAGCCTGGAGAGGCGAGAGGGTCGGCTATCGCCTCCAAAACAGCCAAAGCGGGTAATGAGTTTCCCACTAACTCTGCGGATAAAGCTGAGTAGCATTATGTCGATTGGGTTCGGTTTGTATAAAGTTTCGGACTCTCCCATGTGTGCTTGGCGAGAAGTGTTGGCAAATGGGTCAAGTTCTGGGTCGAAGAAGACCAAGTAGTAGACAAGGATAATAGCAATCATCAACCACGCTGTTCCGAGAAACCCCACAAGAACCTAATAAGATCGAACTGTTAGCAGATGTGATAGTTCTGTCAGTCAGAGCTTACGCCGACCCCCTCAATGTCTTCATACGGCTCCGGATAGGATGCAATGTCCTTCCCCGGAACGGTTGTGTTATAGGTGCAGTTCACCATGTTCGGATTGTGACACGTTTATCGTGGAATCATAACTTGTGTGAGAGTATCCTAAATGTCAGAGAAGCTGACGACATGGTGGGGTCTTGTTTTGACTGAACCAGGCTGCGGTGTTACCTACAGCCACTCATGTGATATTTGAAAGCAGGCTCTGGGCAATTTGACCAACTAGAAGAATGGAAGAGGCCTGTGTGAAGATGATTTGACATTGGCAGCTCTGAAAGCGCGACAGTTAGGTGGGTCACCAACAATCGGCACTCAGGACTCTGCCCTGAAAACATAGTTAGTTGATTGATGCTTGTGATGATGTTGAAAGAGGGAGGTTTGTACAGTGCCGAAGCTGCCTCAAATAGCCGGCACACTGTGGGGCACTCCTACCCGCAGCAGCCCCTACGTAACCATAATCGACATGCCCTCCTTCTACCAAACCGGCTCCCACTCACTTCTTCTCATAAGGGTCCTTGAAGAAAATAACCTGCACCGTCATATCATCCCTCACATTCCGACTCATGGGCGAATACGTCGTCAAGGCCCCCAAAAACAACCCCCTCCTCGACCCCCCAAGCGCATTCTTGACCAGACAAACAGCCGCGCTGTCCAGATCCTCAATGACAAAGTGCTCCGGCGTAGCCTGCCACCCATCCCTCGGCTTGCCATCGAACTTGGTCTCCTTGAAGGGCTCCGGCTTACCGGCCTTCTTGGCCGCGAGCCAGCGTGAGACGCACTTGACAGCATCGTCGTCGCTGATCACATCCCAGAGACCGTCTGAGGCGAGGATGACAAAGTCTTCGCTTTGGACCTTGCGAGTCGTCACTTCGGGTCGGGCAGTCATGTATGGGGGTGTCTTGAAGTTGGGTCGTGGGGATGTGCCGTAAAAGTTGTCTCGCGCCGTACGAATGAGCTCGTCTGACCACTTCCAACGATGATCGCCAAAAGCTCTGGTGACAGCCATACCCAAGAGTCGTCCAGAGTTGGGGTTGAGGATGTCGTCCTTCTCTCCAGGATGCTCGCGGTCGAGTCTATCAACCTCATCCTGGTTGAAGCCAGTCTGGTCCTTGCTCAGAACATCAGCCTCATACTTGCGTCCTTCTTGCGACCAAGCACCACGAACGGCGCGGGAGTCTCCAGTGACAGCAGTTCGCAAGGTCGAGGTGCGAGGTTCGTAGATGGAAAGAAGAGCGCATGAGCCTGCGATGGCGGGTGCGATGGCGGAAATAACCTCAGCTGAACCTGGTTCGTGACCTGCCTTCATAGCCTTCAAAGCGTTGTCGTAGATACGATTATCGAGCCGCTCAAAGGCCTGCTTGATGGCGTCGTCGACCAGCTCATTAGAGCTACCGGCTTTGATGCTGGACAGAGCACCCGATACATACGGAACAAGAGCCCCTCTCAATACCTTTGAAGTTGCCCAACCACTATTTCCATGTATTAGCAATTGACCTTGGTTCACAGTCCGAGAGCGACTTACGCATGTCCATCATAGACGCCAGAGTATAGCGTACCAGCGCCACCAATGCCCTTGGCCACCTTAAGATCCCAGTCATCCTCGATAGGGTTGTTGCTTGATACTCGCGCAACATCTACCCGACCCTTGACACCTCCGTGTCCTTCAAAGGCGAAAGTATGGACATCTCGGCGCAGTTTGGCATCCGCAGTCTGAAGGGTCAACGCCTTGATGGGAGACTCGACAGAGATCTGGTCTTCAGCAACAAAGTCTTGTAGAGGAAGGACGTCGCCCGATCTGGATGATGGAGAGGGCTTCTTGTCGTCCTTGCCGGTAAAGATGTATAGGCTAGCCCCTCCAGTGCCGACAATGGCGACTACAGGCCACGCATACCCACCACCAGCTTTCGACGCAGTGGACGAGAAGCGTGCTTGTGTGGAACGCGCCGACGCTCGCTTGAGCGCCGGGCCATAGATACATAGAGTTCTAGCGGGTAGACGAAACATGATGTGTGTTCTTGTGTCAACCTGGGGGGATGTCGGTGAGTCGCGTGAGCTGCAAGGAGTCTCAAGTTACACAGTTGGCAGGACAACTCACGATCCAGGGTTTCATATCGAGAGCGACTGATGAGAGAGGTTGAAAATACAGTGTTACCCAAGTAGTGATGCTCTAGGCAGGATATTGATGATGAATAACCGCTTGGCCTTTCAAAGGATGTTGAGTTGATCGGTCGCTCGTCGTAGATTAAATAGAAGAGGGAGATGAACTGTGTGAGTTGTTTACCCTATACGCGGGCGTGAGAAAATGAACGTCGCCTCATTATTCTCTCGACAGCCTCACATTTGTCGGGCGCAGGCAAGGATTATATAAATGCTTGAAAGACTCTGTATATAGCCCCTGCAGTCTAGAATTTGCCGACGGTGACCTCGGGCAACAGTTAGGATGCCATAAATACGTTTCCATGAGTTATATGTAGTAGGCCTCATTTCAAGACAAAATGTTCGTTAGCACAATGGTGACCATTCTCACTGTTCGGGCACTTGATCTGAGCATTTCACAAAGAATCGACAAGGTATTCATTGCCCAGGGACCCAGAGATATGTACAACGCCGAATTACAACCAAGATACGAGCCCAGAAGTGCCACATCAGCTGTTGGCAATCTCCTCTTCCTCATCCTCCCATTCGCCGTCCTCCTCCATCTTCTCATTGACCTTGTACTCGGCATCCCCAGCCAAGCCTTCACTGTCAAACTCATCGACATCCATGTCGCTGTCATAGTCATACTCAAACTCGTCCTCGTCATCTTCACCGTCCTTGTTGCCGTTCTTGGCCTTGGCAGCCTTCTTGCGCTCCACGTTGGCCTTTTGCTCCTTCTTTCGCGCCTCCTTTTCTTGCCGTCTCTTCTCCCATCGCTTCTCCAGCTCCTTGATCTCCTCCTTGGACTTGTGCACATACTCGTGCCACATGACCTTGCCTGAGCAGAGACCCTCTTCCACCTTGGTCAGGCGTAGGCGCATGCGGGGACCGAGCTCGACCAGCTTCACAGCACGGCGCTCCACGTTTTCCTCTTCGATACCGGCCTCGGCCTCAGCCTGAGCAGCTTGTTGCCTGGCCTTGGCAGACAAGACTTTTCGGGTTGTAGAGTCCAGGATCTCGACCTCGGCGTCTGTATCCATCTCGCTACCGCTCGTCGCATCCGTCATGTAACCATCTCCATTCTCGCCTCCGATCAAAAAGTCGGCAATATCCTCTAGCTTTCCAAGGTTTGGCATCTTGCCTTTCCGGTTGGTCTTTGAAGACACAAACTGCTCGGCCGCGTTAAGTCTTCGCAGGGGCTTCGAGACTGTCGTCGACTTTGTTGTAATGGCATAATGTCGGAAGTTGAGGATAAATGTGCCATCGTCCTCCTCTGATTGTTCGCGGTTCAAGAGCAATACTCGTCGGATCGACTTGAGAGGTGTAGCTTGGGGGTTGATGGGAGGGAAGAGGGACTGGAATACGGTCGTAGCGAGGGATTCGAGGTGCTTGGGAACTTTTGACTTGGAATCCGAATCGGGACGGCTAAAGTTGTTCATGACCAGCTGAGATTTGTTAGCGGAAGCATTCTCAACAACACGAAGCTTCTTACCAGAGGAGGAGTGATAAACTCCTTGCCGCCACCCTTGGGGTGCTTCTGCGCTCGCTGTACATCCTTGCACAGCGAGTACTTTTCCACGCGAAAGTTCATGGTAGGTCCTCGAGGCGTCAAGGCGACTCGAAGGTTGGTGTTGCCGCTCTCTGACCGCGAAAACAGAAGCAGGTGAGTAACTCCCAATGGACCACACATGACGGCGTAATCCTTCAATCGGTTTCCCCTCCGCTCCCTCAATCGACTGGCAGTACCGGGCTCCATGACTTTTCGCACGTCGGCCGCAAGCTGGCTAACGCTGGAACCGACCTCGCCAGCGCCAATTCGAATCACCATGGACTTGGGGTCGCGTGCCGAGGCATGGCCAGGAGCATCAACCTCGGGGTTGTTCGCACCTACGTGAGTTCTCTTCTTTGTTCGTTTACGCGCCATTTTCGAATTGGTGTTGTAGAGAAAAGTTGCTGAAATGAAGCTGCAAGCTGCGAATGGATCTCCGTCGCAAATCGCAGGGAAAGAAAAAAAAGTTGGAGGGGACAAGCGATAAGACTAGCGCACGTGCGATAAGGGACCCACTAAACTTTTGTTTCTCGACCGAGTTAAAGGTTGGATGAACCTTTTCCAGGACGAGATAATCTTTACGCAAACGCAAAATGGCCAACGTCAAGAGCGCAAAGCGAAGAAAGGTCGCGCACGATGCGCCCAAGGCTAAGAAGCCTGTGGTCAAGGAGGTTTCTGCTGAGCCAGCCTCTGAGGATGAGGATGAGGAGCCTGAGGAGGAGTCTGAGGAGGAGTCTGCTACTCTAGAGGAACCTTCCGCTGAGGAGACACCTGATGCTCCCAAGAAGACGTTCAAGGACCTGGTAGGACAATCTTGGCCGTTCGCATAGTTTCAGAATGCTAACATTGGCCTAGGGTGTCAACGACGCTCTCTGCGAAGCCTGCGAGGCCCTCAATTACAAGTACCCGACCCCGATCCAAGAAAAGTCCATCCCCGTCGCTCTCCAAGGTCGCGACATTATCGGCCTCGCAGAGACTGGTAGTGGAAAGACTGCCGCTTTCGCCCTCCCCGTTCTCCAGGCTCTTCTCGACAAGCCCCAGCCTCTGTTCGGCCTCGTCCTCGCCCCGACCCGAGAGTTGGCGACCCAGATCGGCCAAGCCTTTGAAGCGCTGGGATCGCTGATTTCACTGCGATGCGCCGTCATTGTGGGAGGTCTGGATATGGTTCCTCAGGCGATTGCGCTTGGAAAGAAGCCTCATATCATTGTTGCGACTCCGGGTCGCTTGGTGGATCATCTTGAGAAGACCAAGGGTTTCTCTCTAAGAACACTCAAGTACCTCATCATGGATGAGGCTGATCGTCTCCTGGACATGGATTTCGGTCCCAGCATCGACAAGATCCTCAAGTTCATCCCTCGAGAGCGACGCA